CGAGTTCCTCGATCTCGACTACCTATGCAGTAGTCGGTCTTTAGTTGATAAGGGTAGATTTCGATTGGCTTGGACAATCAAACAAACTTTTAACGATTTTCAACGCGGCTATAACCCTTTCTTTCAGAAAAGGGAATAAAGTGTCTCAAATTATGCGTTAAGTTGCTAAAAGTACTTCAAAGTCCAAAAGTATGTCTTTCCCCCTTGTTTGTTTTAATGAAAAGAGGGCATCACTTACGCACAAAGACCGAAATTTCTTTTATATAATATTTATGACCATGCACAACAAAAAGTTCGAAGTAAAGAATACGCTGACAATGGCTGAAACAAATGAAAGGCAGGGGAATAGTGATCGCAGATTCCTTAAGAAGAAAGCACGAACACAACGACATAAGATACATACAGAGAATGTACAAGATCTTGGATTAAGTAATTAATATATAGAAGAGATTTCTAAACACATAAGACTATAGGATGATTACAGAGAGAATATCCAAGTACGACGAGTTATAAAATCCCCGGAGTATAAATACGCTGGAATCTAAAACACTTCTTGAGGAAAAAATTGGTATAGCGAAATGCATGCGGTAAATTTTGGAAAAGTGTTCTACCTATAACTTTTTACTATATAAGCATCTTATCATATGAAACACGTTTGCACTAATGATCGATCTCTAATCTGTTGAAATCAAACCTCTTCGAATTGACTAGTACACGAATTATTTTCTGAAAAAATCGAGTCAAACATCGTATCGAAAAACATTGGTTCAGTTTGGTCTAATTATTTAAAAAGTGCTACTGTATATGAACAAACCTCTTAGACAAATCTTTTTAAACCTCGGAAGCCGAATGCGGTTTTCTTTAAACTGAGAATGACCTGATCACAAAAACAGAAGTTCTGGACCAACAATATGGTCATAACATAGTTGAAAATGTTTAGTATCGGCACAACTTTTCTCCAGCCAGGTGAAAGATCAGGGTCACTATCTTCTTGATGTCTCGTTCACTATGATGACACGCTAACATATCTTATATAATTCGTTCAGCGAAGGATTTTCAAAATATTGCAGTGCTATTGCTAAATCTTTATACATGATGTGACGAAGGTATTCGATAATGATTGGAACACTTCATGTCGTAATCTTCACAGCTTAGAAAACGACAGCAGATGTAGACAGGAATATATTTTGAAATTTTGCATCTATTACTGCAATATATCTCGCTGCGAACACTAGAGACGAGCAACTCCAATTCCGTTTCAGATCGAGTTCTCACTATTGAAACCCTACCCCATCCCTTGATATATGCACTGTCTCAATCTATTCTAACTCCTATGTCGTCTTGCTGCAATAGTTGAAGATCTTTCATATATAGGACTATTAGCCACACTGTGAACAAAATACCTATGCAAGTTTTTTTTTGCATACACTATAACAACCGCAGTCGAATCAGAGGTTAGAAAAAAACAGTCCCAGCTCTTACTCAATCTCCACTAATAATATGTGCAATTTCACTACCCCTCCTATAGAACATTCCTTGAGTCCAGAGGAGTATCCTGGGAAGTTTGGAAACCTTATCAACTACATACACCGAAAGATAACACTTCACTCGACTTGGGTGAAATTTCATCTAATTCCCTCTTACCAGTTTCAGCTAGCGGTTTCGACTCCCAGTCGACCTTCCGTGCGACCTTAGGATACAGCGTAGAAAGTTTGATGATCGTACCTAGTACAGGGACTGAATGCTTCATATGTTAGGAAACGAATAGGAGACGCACTGAAAAAAAATAAGGTACTCTACCAAACCCATCAAAAAGGTTTCGTTAGTGTCGAAAGCTTGCAAATGTGTCGGCATGTTCAAAAAAATACTTTTCAAAAATCTACGAAACCAAAAAAAAGGATCGGTCGGCGGGCACACGTTCCGAACCCTCATCACGGAACCTTTTAAGATTTCGTCACAAAATACGAAACCTTCTTAGATTCGTATAAAACCATAGCGCGAAACCTTAGGGTTCCGTATTTTCTGACGAACCTTTATTGGGTGCGTGCGAAACTTAAAAAGGTTCCTTGATGAGGGTTCGGAGCTTGTGCCAGCTGATCGATCTTTTTTGGTTTGGTAGATTTTGAAAAGCATTTTTTTGACCACGTCGACACATTTGCAAGCTTTCGACACTTACGAAACCTTTTTGATGGGTTTGGTAGAGTACCTTATTTTTTTCAGTGCGCAGAGACGGTTGTCCTTCAAGATTTTTCATTTATGCCACAACATACCTTATCCCGCATATCTTGCGGGTGGGTGTGCACGTGAGTCCCAGTAAATTTGGCAAACGCGCTAAAGTGGTCCACATTCGCGTCCCTGTCTTCCTAAAACTCATCAATCCGCACACTCGTCTTAATTCGCCCTTCACCCACGAACTGCACAAGTACACCCGCACTGATAGCTTCACTTATCATACTCGCACCCCCACCCTCAAATCACCTGGGTGGAATTTCACCCAGATTGTAAAAAATCAGAAATTTCTCCAACCCAGATTGAATGAGTAGTGTAGAAATCGTTAACTCGATTCGAGTATTAAACATCTTCTTCGAGTTTTAAACTTCAGAAATTTAGAACTCGAAGCTTCGAGTTTTCAATTTCTACCACCCTCACCTCACACCCTCGCCCATACCCTCACCCACACCCTCACCCACACCCACACCCTCACACCCACACCCTCACCCACCCTCACGTACACCCTCTAAATTTGAGAAGTTTAAAACTCGAAAACTCGAATGAAAACTTTAATACTCGAAATATCTTTTCGAGTTATACATGTATGGACTAAAAAAGACTGAGCCTGTGTATATCTCGATTAGAAAAACTCACTTGAAGGATCTATCATAGTGGTAATACCACAATATTAGAACACGAATTACCTGAACAGGTATTGAAATTCGGGTCCGACTACTTTTTACGATATGCGAGATCGGTAGCCTATAGGAGAGCACAAAATCATCGTTTTCCAATATGTTAGGTATGGAATATAAAAACTTGCGATAAACATCGGGTACTTTCCTTAGTGTCTCTATAGCAAAGCATTTTCTATAACATGACAACATATTAGTACATCGCTAGAAAATTTACGGAGTGATCTTAAATCATAGTTCTACAACATTCGTAGTGTTATCGTTCAAACTGCATCTTGTATCTATCAGCAAACAGAATTTTCCGAGTGGAGTATTGTGCTTGAAAAAGTATACATTTAAAAAATATGTCGTAGTGCTTAACAACGGTTTTAGCGTAACGTTTTTCACTCTGACATCGATCCGACTGCTGCCGCCTCGAAAAATACTAGGTTCTGTATGTAAGTTTTTCCTCCTTTTTTTCTTGTTGCGATTATTGCGATATCGCTTGGGAAGAGGACATTTGACTTCTAAGGATTAATAAGAAGGTAATAACTAAAATAACTCTGACTTACTCGTAATGTAGTTGAGAAAACTGTGTAGTGTCTAGTTTGACGGCAGTTGCTTTTTTCCGCAAAAAAATTCGTTTCAATGGTGTTGAATGTCGTCTTCCGAGTCGTTTGTGATTTTAGAGAAGCAAACAGAACGAACAACAACTTTTTATGTTGGAATGAAGGACTATTTGCACAATGAGAGAAATTTATATAAAATTACCTTTTCTCTTTCGTCTTCTTTTGCATTCTTTCGAAGAACAAATGAAAAAAAAACAGAGTAGTTAAAAATAAACACTCATATAGTTGCTGTAGAAAAAAACATTTTGAGGGTGTGGGTGAGAGCAGCTACCAACACGCGTGTGTTGGCTCGCCTAAGAGTGTTATCTGTTGAGTTTATATCTTTAGTTTGATTCAATATACGGCAGTATGAGATTAGCTGATGGTGTGTCTATTATATAGATATAGAAAATCCCTACGATCTAAATTGCGACGTCTTTTAACCCTTTGTTGGCGGAGTTTTTTTGAACAAGTCAAGTTTTTTAAAATAGTGAAAAAAGATATTTATTCAATCAAAAACCGTCATCAAAAGTGTTTTAAAGTGTGATAAGCTTTGAAACAGTCAATTACGCATAATCCAACATCACATTCTTCGCACTGATATCTTGTGTATTTGACTGATTTTTCTTTTTTTTCTGTATGAGAGCATGCATAACATGTCCTCTGCGCAGCAGCTTTTGAGGCAGTAGGAGGAACAAGTGATGGAAAATGTCTAGCAGATAAACGTAGTGGTGAATCAATTGTTGGTCTTCCGATAGAAATTCGTCTTTGGTTACCATATTTTGATAAGAAATTTCCATTATACACTGTTGAAAATTACCAAATGCACTATGTTCGGATTTTTCTAATATTTCGAAGTACTGACAGGATTACTTTCTCAATACAGGAAAAGTACTCTACAGGCTGTTTCTACTCACTTTTGATTGATTTGAAATATATACCACTCCTCAACGTTGAGAAAATAGTCTAGATGGTATATATACCATGCCCGCCAACAAAGGGTTAAATATGTTCTAGATACATCAGCGTTGTTAATTCTTGTGTTTGACTTGATTCAAGAGATCTTTCAACTCTTCTAACAAGTAATCCATCTCCCTTACGAGCTTCATCTCACAATAAGTTGGAGAACAATTCATTTGAACTATTCAGCATCTCTTGGATTGGTCAATTGAAAAATTACATACATTAAGATTCCAATAAATAAAGCTGCACTACTCTGTATTCAACAATTTTTGTTGATTTTTCAAAGCGATTTCTTACATTTATTTTTATTTTCATATATTAGTCTGTATCACCAACAGTACAACGGTGAGGAAAAATAAAAATCAATTCATTAGCCAAGCGTACAAGCAGAATATTAATTTGGAAAGAAACTAAAATTCATTGTTATCTAAAAGCAAACTGTTCCAGTGCACCTGACATGCAGCAAAAAAAAAAGAATTACAAAAAAAATCACCATTATCTGATATTCGATATAAACAGATTACTGATAGTGAGATGAATTTCTTTAGTCACTATTTGGTAACAATAATGAGATGTTTTTATTTGATCCTTTACGAAACTCCACTTTATCGACACCGCCTGAAATAATATTGATGATGTGGTTGTGCTTATCAATTTGTGCAGAGACATATCGTTGAACGTCCACCGTAAAATTCGATCTAAAAGAACAATTACAACACATCACAACTTGAAATAGAAGAAAAGTTACATACGATTTGCGTTTGAGTTTAGCAATAAGACCAACAAATTCACCCACACGATCGAGTTTTGTATGCATGTAAAAGACTAAATCATTATTCGATACTAAGTGAACGACAATCAGTTGTTCTTTGCCTGATGTAACACTTAAACCAGTAATATCATTGATTGATATACCCGTCTTTTTCACATGAAAATTCTTGCGTGGATCTAACTTGTAGAGATATTTGTCCGTCAGAACAATCGCACGTTCATCCATTTTGATGCGACTGTTTAACTAAAGCAATGTTTGATATTGAATATGGAGAATTGTCTTTTGTAAAAGTCTACCTTTATTGCCAACGTAGAAAATAATACGTGATTAAAACCATCTTTACCACGTAGTTCACTGATTGATTTACGATATTCAATTGAATGTGCGTTCTCCTCAGGCTAAATAAATGAGTAAATTTCTCGTATCTGTATTAGTATCAAATTCGTACAAGCAGTAAGTAGTCTCCTTTCCATTCTTGACGAATGCTGGATTCAAGAAAAGAAGGTCGCTCTTTTAGATAATCTCCAGCGAGTAATTTCAATTCAAATGTTGCTCGTTGATCGGCTGGTATTCGTTGTATAACTTTAAAAGCACGCCATCTAAAAGCAGAGATATGTTGATCAACACGAAGAAATAGCTAGAAAACCAGTGCATTTACCGTTGATACATTTGCTTGAGGAGATTGTTCATAGGAACAAAACCTGGTTTGGGTGCTGGCCATCTGATATTTTTGCCAAGATCATCTGTACTTGCAACATTTCTAACAAAATACAGTCAATAGTATCGGATAGATGCGATGCTATAATCTACCGAAATAATTCATTGAGTTTGCTAATATAACTTCGCGCACGATATTTTCGATAGACATTCTGTATTTTGATTGCTGAGATTTCGCGACGAAAGAGACGGTATTGATGCCACGAACGCGTATACTACAATAGAAATTCATATGTAAGACTTCCAAATCCTTATCTTCTAGGTTGTAAATTACTTTTTGAAGAATCGTGACGATAAATTGTAAACCCTCAGTTCGTTTCTTTTCCAATTGAAATAACGATATTCTATTAAACCGAACGAAATCAAAACAAAACTATTTGTCTTTTCAATAGCGTACGGTTGTTTAATAAATAATTTTGTAGTTCCATACGCGACATCATTATTCAAATGAAGTTCTTGACAAATATATGCAGCATTTTCTCGGGTAGGTGCTCCACGAGGATATAGCCGCGAACGAATACAATCGATGATTTTATACCTAAAAAGGATCACCTGATATTGTCAAACTCTTCTATCTAATAAGTGATATTACCGTTGAACAAATCGATCGTATGGTGCTCGATGACAGAAGCCTATATCACATTCAAATTGTTTAATAATGTAACCGTATTCAATGCTTACCTGCTCGACGGACACGAACGTTCTCTAATAGACCCAAGTAGGCAATCTGATGTTCAACACGCGTTTGATCAAATAAAGTCGGAGATTTCTCGTCGTTTGGTTTTATACAACGTACATAGAAAGGTTGCTAGAGACACATCATTCAGTGCAAAATCAGATTGAAAAACGACGACATTACTTTAGAGGAAAGGAGATTCGATAAACTGATCATTGAATTACGAAAAAGAGTTCCCGCAGTTAATGGTCGCCGTGTTACTGAAGTAATGCTCTTTTCACCTTCGGGCCACATGGATGAAATAATTGGATTACGACTGTAATACAACAAACGTTTGAAATCATCAAATAGAGTGTCACGGTTTTTATCGAGAAATCCATCAACAGAATAAATAACATCTCCTGCAATTCACACATGAGTGTCGGCGATGAAACGAAGTCAATTTTCGATTACCTGCATAGTGTCGAATGAGAAAAGATTTGTTGTTATTGACATTTTTCCACAGTTTATCTCCAGGAGCAAGCTGAAAGAGAAAGGTTTAGGAAGCGAGCAATGTACACAGACATATGTATGCGACGATGCTTACTGCCCAGCTTGAATAATGCTTATGAGTTTTCAATGCTTTATTGATAGAGTCAAGAAACATTTCGTCGGTTACTGTTCCAACGGTTTGACATGCTTCGTCAAGGTATGCTAAAATACCTGTTCGTGATTGCTCGATCAGATCGCAGATGACTTTATTATTGAAATAATCGACCTAAATTAACAAATACCTAGAGTTCGATACTACAAACTGAATCAATCCTACATGTTGCCAAGTGATATTTTCTCGTTCGTACTCTTCCTGTTCTTGCTTAAGTACCAGTTCAATAAACAGTTGTTGCAATTTTTCATTACAATAATTGATACACAATTGTTCAAAACTATGAATTCAAATAGATAAAGATCAGTTCAAACTTTCACCCTTACCTATTATTCTGGAAAATTTCAAAACCATATATATCCAATACACCGATAACGAGTGAACTTTGACTTGCATCATTCGTTCCTTTTGATAAAGTCTTATTGATATATTTAATCAACCACTCGAATAGACGCTCATATAAAGCCTAAATAATCATGAAAAACAAACACATGTGAGTGTCACTCGGCCGTTTCTAGAAGTCATGCAAAAAAACAAAACACTTGACACGAATGAATAACGTCAAAAACAGAACATGCGAATACTTCGGTAGATTTTTTTCTAAATATCTTACCAAAAAAGCAGAAAGATTCCCTAATATTCAAGATAGGAAACTGATCTGTTCTTTCTCTCCTTGAAGATCACTTACTTTACTCAGCGCATCTCGTCCGTAGTGAGCGCGGGTGATATTTTGTCGAGCTTGAATAACTTCATTTCGTGCAGCAACGACACGCGATGTTAAGGTGGACGAAATATTTTCTTCTTCACAGGATAATAGTTTCGATATCCATGTTAGTTGATCATTCTTATCATTCGAACGTGTTATTGAACAATGTTCACCGTCAACATCTGTAAATTTCAAGTTACCCTAAACGAACGGATAGACTCAATCGATAAATTCTCGATAAACAAAGTAATTTACTAGATGAAGGATAACTGCGACTATCTTCCATATGGTTGAGATTTCATCCGGAGTAAAACCAACGATTTTGAACGCTTGTTTCAATTGTTGATAATCACGTTTATCATCAATTTTCGCCACTCGACAGCAATTCCCCTGATTGATATAATGGTAGTCTTCAGCTCGAAGGTTCAATCCATACTCTTGTAAGTCATTCTCTCCGTACAATAAATGGTAGAAGGAATGAAAATTCCTTTCACCTGGTTGTTGTTTGACAACACGAGATTTTTCCAGCAGATAATGTTGAATTTTACCGCCGATCGGATCGAATTTATAGTCGAAATGTAAATCCATATATTTACCAAATCGACTACTATTATCATTTCGATTCGTTCGACTGTTACCGAATGCTTCGAGAATCACATTGGTTTGAATGAGAATATTACTAATTCTGAAACCGAATGGCACAGTTCACAGTGCTTACAGAAAAATCAAAAGCTTTTACTACCGTTGAATTTCCGCTTGATTTGACGCGTTTGTTACAGCAGCGATATAACGAAGAATGATTTTCGAAGCTTCAGTCTTACCAGATCCTGATTCACCTGGAAAATATCGAAACAAATGAATTGTTGACGTCATGTTCAATGACGATTATAAACCTGATATAACAATACAGCTATTCAAAGAGCGTTGTTTCAAAGTTCGATATGCCGCTTCGGCAAGCGCAAATATATGTGCAGGCCGTTCGAACATTTCACGTCCTTTGTAACTTTTAATATAGTCAGGTCCATAAATAGGTAAATCCCGATACGGATTGACACTAACCAAGACCTAGATGATATCATTTTTTTTGTGTTAAAAAGAAGACAAACGAGAAAATTTACTTCGCCAATGTATGTATAGATTCGTCCCTTTTCAAATCTAAAACAAACAGAAAACCAAGAAGTTTCGGTTGTGTTTTATGGAAAAGTAACGCACCGTATTCTAAGATTTCGAACAAACGCATCCATGGTGATTTCGGACAGTAGGACAAAATCACCGACACCCATATCGGGTCCTTCATTTTCAATCGAACCTGCTGCCATCTGAAAGAATAAGAAAAGAAAGTGTATGAATACATTTTTTTACATTTATGATTGTTATTCGACAATGATTCATCCTTGAGAGGAAAAAGAAAATAATTTATTATTCTACTCTGACTCATTGTATTTATCTTTGAGAACTTTTCAGGAGATCAGTAAATATTTCTTGTTGTTTTCGCATCCCTTCTCGATAGTATGTCTGCCATCGATAATTCACATCTTTCCAATGTTGAAGATCATGTTCGCGTAATGCTGAAAAATTGTTTTCGTCAGCCATGTAGTTATCATGTTCCTGCTTGAGGTTATGTATAACTTCATTGAAGCGTGTGCGATCTTGATCAGGAACATCTTGGATCTGTTCATAACGTGTTTGTTTGTGCACATGTCGACAAACCGATGTGTATTGCCGAATTATTGGATACAATTGCTGCTCGTTTGTTGTGAAATTGTCTAAGGAAATGGGCATTTGTGTGCGTTGAAATGGAAAGCGCCGATTTTGGGTCATATTTTGTCTGAAAAGGATTAACAAAACATGTATATTGCACTTTAAAGTATATAAAAAATAATTTGTTTTTATAACACAATTAATCTGTAAGAAAATAGTTGAATCATTGTATCACAAAAAAAAACACAAAATTAGTCATAGATATATGAAAATATCAAATTACACAGTTGCAACGGCTTTACTGAAAATTTGTTCCAGTTTCTCTTGAACTTCACCTAGATAAGGTCGTTGGGATGGTTGAGGATCCCAACATTTTGCCATGATTTCCCAACACTCTTCTGTAAAGATAGGCAAACGTTCAGGCCGAACACCTTGTCTCACTTTCGACCAAAGAACGTCTTTTGATGAACAAACATCGAAGTTATTCGGTAATTTTATACCATTCGAACATATATACCAGAATAAAATTCCAAATGCATAAACATCTACCGTGTGATCATATTTAGATGAGAATAATTCCGGTGCCATATGAATAGGCGTGCCAACGAGAGAGCCACTCATCATAACCTCAGGCTTACAGAAGCCCAGATCAGTTATACGCGCATGATTGTCTACATCCAACTAAATAAAAGAAATAGACGATGAATCATGACAGACAAGGCAGGTCCATAGACTAGAAGCTCATTTGTAATACTTTCAAGGGCATTTCTTTGTCATTCTTCAACTGAGTAATTTATTCACGCACGCGAATTTTTCCCCCGTACTTTTGTACGTCGTATTAACGAACACACTGCGTATACCTTTTGATGTGTTATTAATCGTCCTATAAGTACTTACCAATACATTCTTTAGTTTGATATCTCGATGAACCAGACCCAAGCCGTGTAAGTAGCGCAAACCTTCCACAACGTCCAATGCTATGCGTATTCTAAATGTATCAATATCATATTTACAGCAGTCTGTTGAGAAAAAGGTTGGATACCTTGCGTGAAAAGAAAGTTTATTCTTTAGTGCAGTATATAAATCTTTGGTAAGTCGTTCCATAACCAGTAGTACAGGTGTATGATCGCGATAAGTATAGTCAATAACCGATCCGACTAATTTTACTATTCTTGGGTGTTCAGGAATTTGTCTAAAAGAGGAAGAGCGTTGGAAAAAAAACCGTATCGGTCTCTGAATAAAATCACCTTAGATAGTGAAATTCCAAGGCCAAGTCATTCCAATGTCGATCGTCAGGTGGAATCACAGATTTTAATACACACGAACGTTGATTAGCCCAACTTTCACATTCGTAAACTACTCCATACTGTCCACGGCCAACTTCCCGACCTTGTTTCGGTAGACCATACTGAATAAGATCTTTCAGTGACGTACTTTCCAATAGATGTCTAGCAATTTTTGGTGTGAAATCTTTTCTAACACGTTGCTGTTTGTCTTCCGTTGTTTTCAATCGATCCGAATGTCGATGTTCTAATTGTTTGAGTAAATTTTCAAAATTGTTGTGTGACATACGAATACGATCATTCAGTTGCGTGCAAACGCTTTTTGCCAGCCTGTCAGCGAAAACAAAGCAAAGTTGTCGTCAATAAGAAAAAATCACAGCAAAAGTAATTTACTTGACTTCACTCAAGTTTTGTAACATATTCGCAGCCACGGAACGCTTAAATTCGGGATCAATACGTGGACAATTACTCCAGCTGAATGTTCGAAAAAGCTAAAAAAAAATTTATAAAGAGTTCTACATGAACTTAGACCATTGAAGTTACTTCTTTCATTCGATCAATTAATAGTTTAAATAAATTAGAACTCGTAGGTAACGAGATATTCACTTGGTATGCAGATTGAAGTATCTTGAAATTAAACAAAAAAAAAACATTCGGTCGAGATTTCTCGAGAAATAATTTACTTCTTGGAAAGCCTTGCTTGCGGATGCTTGATTCTCGTCATCATCTTTACTAAATTCCAAATTTTCAATACAACGTGTTAATGTTCCCACGTAATCTCGATGCAAAATACTGACTGAGGATGATAACTTTTTAGCAATGGCTCTATTCAATCGATCAAGAACAAAATCTTGAATAATACTTGTGCATCGTTTCAAATCACGTGCCGTTTTCACAGTTAATGCATCGGTCAATTCAATACCTATAAAAAGAAAAGGAATCATTTACAATACGATCGTACAGATCAAAAGATGATTTCAACTATTGCTATTTTACATCATAAACTGTTCTAACGTCTCGGCACGTACACCTGTTGGAACAGATGAGAAGAAAAAGAAAATGCTCGTAACCTATCATGGCTCAAATGTTCATACGATTACGAATGAATGTGCTGAAGAAAGGGATGAATTGATGATATTAGATTCGATTACAATTCGACTGTTCCTACCTGTTATGTCCAGCGAACAAGCTTGATCTAATAATGATTCTTGAATATCATCGACTGCTTGTAAGATTAATTTTTGTATTTCACTTTGACGAGAATTTGTCAAAGCAATGAGCGACTCGTACAATTCTCTTTCTTTCTCATGTGCATAGCTTATTCGTTTTGGTGTAATCAATATATCCCTAAAAAGTGAATGCAGGTGAAAAGCAAAGATGGTTTTCTTATTTACCTCGCCATATCGAACGCACTATCGTTGAAAAGATCAAGACATAATTCATGCGATCGCTGTATGATACTCACTGAAAAAAGAAAGGCAAGAAATCTCTTCTGAATTCGTGCGAAAATGTTCCTACCGGCTTGAATTGTTAATCGATCGATATGTTTTCGAATATAATTTAAAAACGATGAAAAATTGCTCAATCCGTTATCAATCATATCGCTATCAAATTGTGATGAAGTACTCTCCGATGGTAGATAACAATGGTCTGTCGTTAATAAAGAGACATATCCTAAATCGCATAGTTGTCTAATCGATAAAAAGTTTACTTTTATTCGATAAAATTTTCCAGAAGAATACTCACCGAAAGATATGTACACATGACGTTTCACCCGATTCGGAAGGCGATTCATTTGCTCTAGATTGGAATAAAGTTTAGGAGAAACAAACATTATCTTTCGAATCCTTACGAATCTCTCTGATCGCTTCGGATGAATAGGATTGGTTGATTCGGTGCATTTCTACGAAATAATTTTAGTTCCTCGATATCATGATCTAAGAGTTGGCCTTGATCGATAATGTAAATAAAAATAGGAACAACATTTTCTGTTATTTGAGAATAGATGTCTGGCACATTCATTTTTTGATTCGTTGGTGTAATCAGAAGTTGTAAGTTGTTACCAAGTAGATTCAAAGGTTTGCGAATTTCTAGAGATGCTGTCTCAATTTGATCGTGTTCATCCGTGTGCGAGTTCAAATCGGTTCCATTGGTTACAATAAGCAGATCACGTGGAACTGTTAACCAAGAAACGGATCGTTGAGCACCATCGGTATCAAGAAGTTCAAATGAACCAGATATATTCAAAGTAGCCCCTGTGGTTTGATGATGCTAAATAGAGACGAAAAACATCCTAATATATGCAGATTAATCATCGAGAAAAAAGTGCTTCGAAATGATTGATGCTGTTAGATAGGCGACTAGTCACTAGAAAAAAAGTAATTCAAAGATCATCAATTATAGACACGCGGCCAAAATCAAATATTCAAGAGATTACAACTCATGTGTAAATACTCCTAGTTCTTGATTTTCAAGGATGAAATATATCGAGATGTACTTATTTATCACGAGACAGGAGATTTTTGACTGGCTAATCAAAATTGCATGTTTATACCTTAATGCGGACCATGCGCACAACATCATCCTTTCCAATAGCTGGTGATTCTGGTAGTAATATTTCATTCAAGAACTCGTTGACAAAGTGAGCCTTGCCGTTATACGTCTGTGAACAAACAATCAATGCCAACGGTTTTGAAGACAATAACTCGATAGATTCACGATCAGCTGTCGATATTTTAATATCGGAAAATTTGTCTAGATTTAGAAAAATATCAGCATAGGATGTGTTCATCGTACTGACGTTAATTTACCAGATGTGAGCACATTTTTATCGTAGATTTCTCGATAGGATCTGTCAGTTTCTTCCAATAAACGTGTGATGTACGAACAATGCTTTTTATATCGTTTAATGATCTTTGCAAAGTCTTGCGTCAATGTAGATGAACTACTACTATGGTGGGTGATAGTTGTTTGAAATATATCTGTCATTTGATCTGAAAGAAAAAGACAGAAAGAAGGCGAAAAAAACAACAGAATATATGATCGAATATGTATCTACTCAATGAGAGGGGCAGAGAAGAAAGTAGAGTGTTTTGAGTAGAGCATCAAACACAATAGACAGAGATAATATATTTGTATATATACACAAATGAAATTTCCTTTTTATTCCTTCATCTAAGATTGAGACGTGTGCTCTGGAGACATTTGCATATTATTATCCTCATTTTTGGCTGCAGACGATCCATCATTATTCAGACTTTCCAGTCGTTTTTGTACATCTTTGAGCAACTCGAACTACAATTAAATGAAAGATGTATTTGTTCTTCAGAATATAGTAAAACGCAATGACTTACAATACGTCCGACTTTTTCTGTTTGGTATGACGGTAAATTTTCAAAAGGTAAATGATCACAAATACCTTGTTGAAATTGATCTCGACTTGGTAATTGCTGCGGCACGTGCGACTTTGGAGCGTTACTAAACATCCATAATGGTGTACCGGAAACTTGACTAAGACTTTTTTGTTCATAGTTTGTCATTGTCGTTGTTGTGGCTGACGAGGATGATTGTTCTTGATCAATCAATACCGATGGTGAATTTGATTCAACGGTTGACGATGCTTTGACTTGTTTCGGTGTATTCAATTCTTCGATTGGTGTTGGTTTGTATGTTTCCAAAGTTGATTTGCGTTTGAGCGAAGGCTTCTTCAACAAGTACATCTCTTCGATAAGATTCTCCTTACTTTGTTGTTTGTCAAATGCTGGTAGATTCGGACATGTATATGCTTCGTCGATAATACCATCTGATAGTGGAATATTAAAACCAGGATAAGAAACAACTTTGTCGAAATCATATTCATAACTATCCTCGTTGTTTAAATCAGCTTGAGTTTGCATATTATCATCCAGTAATGCGCCTGGAAACACATTGTCCTGTCCTGTTGGATCGATTGGCTCAGCTTTTTTCGCTTCAATAATTTCGCCTAAACAAATTCAAAAGATTCGATTCTTCTAAAACTTCTTCCCTTCGATCGTCTATCAAAATCACCTTCTTCATTGTCATGAAAGACTTGTAAACCAGATTTTTTGACGCGTGCCTCACGTAGCCATCCAGGTGGGTATCCACACCGACGCATATTATACACATACAGCGGAACTTGATTATCACGCAATCCTAATGCTTGCCGTAACTCATAACTGATAACACCAGGCTGAAAACGTCGAAAGCGTTCTTCAATAATAACTTGATCATTTAAACTCGATTGATACGAATCTTCATGATAGCGACTCGCTGCTTCACCACTATTTCCATAACCGCTATTCATGTGCGATAAATCATTGTAACCACATGCTTCAGCCATTTGTTCTTGATATTGTTCTCGACTTCGACGTATACGTTCACTGTCTAATTTCATTGGACATCCGTTGACGCCGTGATCTAGTGCTCCACAATTGAAACATGTTGGTTTCGGACGACGTGCTCGCTGTAACGAAGCATGCTGTTCACTATCGGGCAAAGCGATTCGATACACTTGTTCGTAGTCTGGTATGAGCCAGCCTTGTTGCAGCGCACCAACATTGAGCGAACATAATTCGTCACCATTCCTATCGATAAAATAACCATCATAGTATTCTAATGGAGCTTGTTTTGATGTTAATTCTGTTTGTGCTTCAGGTGGAAGATTCGATCGTTGAACACGTATTTCATCGATGAATTGACGAAATGTTCGTTCTATTTGTATCTAAACAAATTCAAAGCCCATTTCACGCTTTTTTTCTATTCAGATAAGAAATAGTCTATATCAACTCTACCTTTTTCTCATAATCCTGTTTGTCTAATTTGATTGAACAAGTAAATAATGGTGGATTGCCTGTTGTTGTTGTTGTTCGATTATTATTGAAGATCGAAGGTATATCGTTATCGTCGTTCATAATTGGTAAATATTTTCTTTCTATATCTTCAAAGATAAAACGCGAGAATATTTATTACTGTCACTAAAAGCTACAAAAAAGAAGAGTAAATACAAATAAGATCCAATACAACATATATGACATAAATTATATAATAAAATTTTCGAAAAACGACATCCATTCATTAGAAATTATTTGACAATAGCCTTTAGTACTTTCTTGGTTGATTAATAAAACGTTGATCATCGTGTTTTGAGTGACTGTGATACTCGTTTTTAGGATAGGTGCCCGGTTTGTCATGAATATGTTTCACACCTTCAGTAGGAAATGCCTTTTGAACCTAGAAGAAAGTAATGAAATGAATACTGTTGTACAAGTTGTGTATTGAAATCACGTACAGGAACAAATGTCCCCGAAACCATCTGACCAGCAACGCGAGTTGATATTGCTCTAAAAGATAAAGTCAATGAAAAGCGTTTAACTAGAAACTAATTTTTCAACAAACCCCGATTCTTCTGTATCATTCGTATTTTCATGATTATTGTTCCTTGTTGATTTTTCTCTACTATAACTTGCTCCATTATCTCCTGTTGCTTCATCATTAGACATGTTTTTGTCCTTATCATCACCCTGCGATGTTTGTCGAGGACGACCTGCACCGACACGCATGCCACCGACTTTTACTATTGAAACAAAAAAAAAGTACGGTCAGTTTCTTTCTGTTGGAGTCATATCATTGAAATGATCCTACAAGCAGGAGCATGGCCCGCTTTGAGTTCGGATGAACCAGATGTGTCTGCCGAAGATGGCAATGTATGATCAGACATTGTAAAAACGAAAATCAATTGGATTCAACGATCTGAAAAATATATTTCTCAATAATTTAGAAGAAATATTGACATAAATATAATAAATTTGCATTGTAAAATATCATATTTAATAAGCAATGTGATAAAATGACAGCCTTGTCTTCTTCCTCCATCGACAATTCTATTTAGTTAACTTTCATTCGTGCTTATCGTCAGCCAATAATCTTGCTTGTTTATCCTGCGACTGCGACTAATTTCCTGTCATTCTATAACGAAGAAGGAAAAAAAAGTTCAATATTACTGGAATAGCCAACTTTCCTTCTGTTTTTCGACTTTACCGGTACTGATGATAATACGATTGCCTAGAATGATGAGTATCTGATAACAACATGAAATCGAATATGCGTATATATCGAAACGTCCTTGTGCGAAATGTTAAAAATGTGATGTCATGCGGTTACTTTTATGTAAATTGACAAAATACTATGTCGATCGGTGAAGAATACATTTTGATCAACACTCTCTATTACTACGTATTGTATAGGTATAAGATGTGTCCGCTCGAGAATTCCAATACATGACAGTTGTGTTCTGTGAGGGTGAAATATTGTCCAGTCATGAATGAGTTTGATTTAGTGCAGTTCATCATTATATTTATATACATCATTCTTGTGAATTTGTTTGTTCTTTACAAAAAGAAAAAGAAAATGGCTGAATCAATACAACAATCATACAATATTAAAAATGAACGAGATAGTTAGATCCGATGGATGAATGGACACATATGAGAATAAATATGACAAATATAGAAAGAAATAACAACATGGACACGATCTATACAGTGAATAAACATCTTTTTTCTTCTTCTTTAGAAATTGTCTCCTTGTAAAAGTCCATCGATCATAGTCAGCTGTTGTTGTGACCAGAAATGATTCTGTTGCATATTCCAATCGTTCAGTTCCGACTGCGAATAAATCGTATCACTCGTTGTTTCTGTCTGCGTATTCGTATTCTTCGAAATCTCATTTGACAAATGATCTGTTGACAAAACATTCTTATTATTTATGTTCAAATTTGTCATATTTTGAACCAATGCATCATTGGATGTTGAAAATGAATTCGAGTCTTCTCCATCACTATATGTTTGATGTATATCATCATCACCATCATCATGTTTAAATAATGGACACCATGTACCTTCATCACCAAAGCAAACGGCTACTTCACCTGGATCTAAACGAGAAAATAATCGAAGCTTGACAGAATCGATTTCAAGAATACGTTCGATAATGTGTCGCCGAGTTTATTATAAATTTGATTCTGTGCAATTAACGACTTTGCAGCTGACGAATTCTCATTAAACAATAGAAATAGATGCTTACCAATCCACATTGTGAATGTGATAGGTAGATATCGATGCAGCGGCAAACGGGAACGTTCGGCGATGGATATAAGCACTGGATCTTTCCAATTTTTTGTTTGTAGACATCTATAAGCGCTTCCGCGGTGAGGCGTTGCTGAAAAAGAAACATGACGTTAAGTTTATTCCACACATTTCTCTTTTCTTTTTCATCAATACCTGGAAACCAGTGTCCAACGAAACGTTTCGATAGAACATCATAAAAAGTACGTTTAAAAACATTGATTTGTTCGACTGATAGATCGACATGTGGTTTAATTAATCGTAACAAATAACTACAAGCAATACTGAGTTCTTTTCTCGACTGTGTCATCATGAATAATGACAGATAAGAAAAAAATCAATCTGCAATAATAACCAGTGAACTTATCAAAACGAAATCTTCTAGTCAGAATGTGAACTATTACATCGATCGATAATCATCTTAACATCGCCCGTCGCCTTTTTTTTTTCTTCTTGTCATATAAATGACAGACAATGAATGAACAGGTGAACAGATGGCGACTTGTGTAAACATAGACAAAGGACAGATGAGAAAGAAAGAGAGTAATACTAGACAATAGAAATCGATTTCATCCCGTATTTCAATCTATATTTGAAGACGAAACGAAGAGATTTTATGAAGATATGAAATCTTATTTCATTCGTCGTAAATCTATCGATCGTGTCAATACTTTTTTCATCTCAATATTAAATATAGAAATACGAAAAAAAGTCGAAAGATGATTCGGTCAGCATTGGTTAAAATTTGAAGAAAGAAAATAAGATTAAGCGATAGCATTAAATGTAGTTTGTGTATTTTTTTAACGTGACATAAAACAATGTCGATATCTGCAAGAATGATGAACAGAGACAGTCTAAAATGACTCAGCGATAATCATCTGATGAGGAATCGATGAATCAATAGAATGAAACAGTGCAACAATTATGAAATAAGTTTCATATGAAAAGAAAAACAGCATACAAGTTCAACGGCAGTTTTACGGCTAAATTATATACTTTACCTTAATGAATAGAGGTCGCTATGGTCAACCAGACAGGCGATTACATATTTGTGCGAAAAGAAGGAATTTGTACATTAATAATGGCGGGTATTACATGAAAATGCGCATGTATATGGCGAGATATGTAATATCACTGCATTTAGCAAATGAAGTTCTACCTTTTCATCCTTGACGGTCATTGACAGTGTCATCCGTTCTTTATAGATTGTGACAACGACAAGAGTGTCTTCTTTCACAATTGGTACCTTTGCGAAAGCTCATGTCGTTTGGTGAAATCTTATTTGATCATCCGACGAGCAACGGCTAGCTCGCTATTGAAACCGATCTTTTATTATCTTTTAATAACTTATTTCAAATCAGTTCTTTCGGAAAGAAAAGTTTAAAAATAAAATCCAATATTCTGTTTACAATGAGTAAAGCGTCGAAAGATTTGAATCTATCATCGATTATTACTCAGGTATCCAAAGATGATGATACTAATCGAGCTGTGCCATTAACTGGTACAGTTATCAGCCCTGGAACTTCTCCTGTCACCAAAAGTAGGTTGAAACATAATGAAAGGAATTCAAAGAGGAACCTTTGTTGCTATTGAACTCGTTTTCAGCTCGTTCAAGTCGAAAACGTCGTCTGATGTCCATTTTACTATGCTGCCTAAGTGTATCCAATCACAATCGACCTAAAACGACCATATATTCACCGAAAAATGAAACCTCACCAAATCAAGAGGTAAGTGATTGATAATTTCAACCCAAATAAAGCATCTATTTTCTTTCTTTACCGACTATTCTTCCTCTGCTTATAGTTAATTGCATTGAATACAGATATAAGCACACAGTTTCCGGTATTTTGATTGATAGAACTAATCTTACTAATCAAATTCTTCTTTTGGAGCACATAACAATTAAACATGCTTTTTTTGCGTCTGTTTTTAGGCAACCGAGAAATTCCTTCTGCCATCATTACGTAGCAACGAACGAGCGAAGATCTGTTTGATTATTGATCTTGATGAAACTCTAGTTCATTCATCATTCAAACCTGTGCCCAATGCTGATTTCATCGTTCCAGTGGAAATCGATGGACAAGTCCACCAAGTATGTGTTTTTCCCTAGTTGTTGTTGTTGTCATCGTCTCCTTTTACCAATACAATAGTTAATCAGAAAACTCGACGGAAGAAGTTTATATTTAGCCTTAAAAAGAAGAAACTGGAGGCGTTATTAGCCGTATCTCGGGAGAATAACGTATTTGTCGTTTTCGTTCGATAACGATAGGATGTATCGAATGATTAATTATTTATGTATTATCATTGATTATTGCGAGAAAACGGAGCACAATCGAATCTGTTTACAAAAATATTTACACACTTATGTCCTTCAATTGTTTTCTCATAATCATGCTTTAAAGAAAAAGATAATTTTGTTTGCCAGTGTATATCCAGTCATTCAATTTCACACTTTTTTCTTGTGTCAAGGTCTACGTCACCAAACGGCCACATGTCGATGAATTCCTACGTCGCGTTGGCGAACTCTACGAATGTATTTTATTTACTGCTAGTCTGGCCAAAGTAATGAAACGAAATCGAGATGAATTTATAAGTCCATTCGTTGTTCTCGATATATTTCAGTATGCAGATCCAGTCGCTGATTTACTTGACCCAAATCAAATATTTCACGCAAGACTTTTCCGAGAATCCTGTACTTACTACAATGGTAAGTTGAACACATCTTTAATACAGCTGAGGAGACTTATTCATTTGTCTTCTAGGAAATTATATCAAAGATCTTAGTCGATTAGGTCGCGATATTCGTAAAGTGATCATTATCGATAATTCTCCAGTCTCCTACATTTTTCATCAAGATAATGCTGTAAGTCAGTCTTTAATTAGATTTATCGGTATTTGATGTTTGATTTTTTTTTCATGAATAAAGGTCCCTGTATCAAGTTGGTTTGATGATATGCACGATACGGAATTATTAACGTTGATTCCTATCTTTGAACGTCTGGCGTTAGTTGATGATGTTATTCCTGCTTTACAAGATATTCATCAACGTCGAGCAATTGTTTAACAAAAAGAAAATATGTCAGACATTTTCTTTCTTTCTTCTTTGATTCAATTTTTGTGTTTGTTTTCTTTTTCTACAGTGCCGTTAGTCTTTCTTTTCTTTTTCGTTTTTGTCTCGATTTTAACCCTTATCATCATAGTAAGCAGGTTTATTTTCATCCTATCTTTCTTTATTTTTTCCGACTCAAAAAAGAAAATCCATTCCCGAACGTCGATGATCTATGCAAAACAACAACCGTATACCATTCTAATCATCTGTTTGTTTCTTTCTATTTTATTCGCAAACGAAAAGGTAAAGATGATGAGAAAAACAATGGCCTGTTCTACTTTTGTACATAATTTCTTGCTTGTTGTGTATATACACCCGAACTTTCCTGCCCTCGTCCCTCTTGAACTTTGGTGTGAATGTGTGCATGTATCTTTCGTCTTATTTCTTCAGAGAAAATAGTTCACGAGGAGATTGAACAGTCGTAGGCATAAACAAAACAAAAACACTAGTAATCTCCTCATCTTCGAAAGAACAGTGTTGTTTCCAACAGATTTTCTTCTTCTATATTTCATTCATGGTGCTAATTCATCAAAATACATTGTTTCTATTTTTCGCCTGTTGGTTACTGCACATTTTTCTTGTTGTTGTTGTTGTTACTTATCTCCTATTCTTTTCTCATTAGTTCATTGCGCGTCTTTTGTGTGATTCCCTTATTCGATTTTTCCCCTTTTCATTCTCATAAATCTTGTGGCATTGTCAATTCATTTATTTCCTCACGTGGTCTTTTGTTTGTTCCTAAGTTGGAGAAAAGAAAACCACCTGAGTTATAATAAGTAGTCTAACAAAAAAAAAAGAACTTTGAAATTTGATTTTAGATGGCAGCGAAATCGGTCGATGCGAAAACTGCTCTTCGTCAATTGATGAAACAAGAGAAACAAAAGCGAATTGATTCGCCACTCGCAAAGTTAGCCATTCAAACCATAGCATACGATTTTCCAATTTTCATTTTTCTTCTAGATACACAAATACCGGTCAGTTATGTTGTGCATTGTGTAATCAACAATTGACCAGTGAAACGTTTTGGAAGGCGCATATCAATGGTCGAGAACATAAACAAGTTGGTTTCCTACTGTTAGCTTTCCGTTCGGTAGACATTCATCCATTCTTTTTAGAAACTTCTTGAATTGAAGTCGAATATCAAACAATCGAACACCGACGCTATCTTTGCGAAGCCATCACCACCATCTCCAGTAAGCAGTGAAGCACAACGAGGTGTTAAACGTTCACATGATGTAGGTATGTTTGTCCAATCGATACTTCCTATACGAACCGACGATAAATTCCGTTTGTAGCCAATGCAAATGATCGCGTCATTACTGGTAAACCATCAGTTTCTGTACCTTCAACAACGTCTGCTCAACATTCCGCTTTACCAGCTGGTAGGAGAACAAACCAATCGCAATTGTTTGACGCTTCGGTTTTTCTCTTAGATTTCTTCGACTCGGGTTCATCGAAAGCACAGTTAGATACTCCAAAATATTCAACACCAGTGACGATCACAGCTGCAGCAACAATTAATTCTGTCCCACCAGTCCAACAAACGTCTACTATACCAGAGGGATTTTTCGATGATCCACAAGTCGACGCGCGCATGAGAAAAGTCGAATATGTAGACAAAATGGAAGTCGAATGGGATGCATTTACTCGTCAAATGAAACAAGAAACAAATGTATGCTCTCTTGTATGAAATTAATTAAAATACGCATATTTTCTACTTAGATATCCGAAAAACTAGAAGCAGAAGACGATATCGAACGTGATGTTGAACGAGAAATCAAAGAAACAGATGAACTAATGTATGCATGAACTCATTTTCCGACTTCATTAGTCTATGTTCGATTGTTGTTTTAGAACACGATGGAAAAAGATCGAAGAAATGCACGATTTGAAAGACAATCGATTTAAAACAGTAGTCAAAGGTGCAAAGCCCAAAAAGAAGCCAGCTGATGACGACGACGACGACGATGATGATGAAGTTAACGAGGAGTTAGAAAAAGAACTACAGAACATGTACAATTGGCGACAAAAACGTTCTTAAATTTCTTTCATGTATATAGAATTACTTAAGAAAACAAGAAATAACTTTCGTTTTGTTAGAAAGCTGTTATTTTGGTTAGAATTTCAATAAAAAACCTTCGTATGATGCTCGGTGCAATTGAATTTCTATTTCTGGAGCGATGTCCTCGAGCAAATTCTAACCGTATACTTATCGACGAAAAAATAATCTTTCTCGATATAATCGATCGAATTATCTTCCAGCGGAAAACTATGTCCTCAGCCATTCATTGATAAATTGCTCGTGTTGATTATTTCCTTTTTTTTCTTCGTCGATGGAATATGCTTGATGGCCCAGATCATGAATGTCATACATGTCTTATATAATTAATTTTGCTGTTTTTCTTGATCTCCATTCTATCGAGGTCGCCGATCAATCATGTAAAGCTCCGCGAATGACATTGTTCATAAGAGATTTGAATGAAGTCAAAGAATTCATTAGAGATGTCTATGGCTGATTGTTCCAAGAGAAAAAAGAAGGTTCTACAGTCGATAGCAACAAAAAACATACATTTCAATTAGTGATTAAACTTAGTAAACGAGGGAGATTGAATTTGACGTTTCTTTCTTCGAATGAATTAAATGCACGAGATATGACAATACGAGAAAAACCTTTTTTTCTTTTTTCTTGATTTTTGTTCCGTTTCCGACGAAGCCTGAAGTCTTTTCTATTAAATATAAATTTCTTTGATTACCGTTCATTTTTCCTATTGACTTATCAATCGAGACAAAGCAGAAAACAGACATTGCAAGTAGATTGGGTCATGCCATTCGCAATCAAAGATGCTCTTCACTACAAACGCAATGATCGACAAATACGTGAGATTCATGAGAGAGAATATTCAAATTATGTGAAAACTCTTCGTCAACAGCAACTATTTCAACAGCAAACATTCTCACAGATTGCTCCAAATCATTTCCAGGAAATTGAACGTTCTCGAGTACGATATACAGTCGCAAAACAAACAGAATATGACCGTATCGGACGTGAAAATCATTTGTTTCTCAATCGTTTGCATCAAGCAAGTGAACGCACATTGATCGATCATCGAAATCAGAATTATTTACGAAATTTAAGCGCTTTCAATTGCAAACGTTCCCAACAACGTTCTCATGATTATAAACGTATTTATACTGATAATCAGCTATTGTTGCATCGTCTTAACACTACTCCGGGCCGCATAGCAAATAAGGAACAATGTGAACGTGATTGGAAGAGGCATGTCGATATAATGAAAAAATCGTGTGATTATCCCGAAAATATCGATCGATTTGTTACAAAAATGAATAAAACCGAACAAAACCAAATATGTCAGTACGAAAAAAAACGAGATGCACATTGGAATCGTCGACACTATGTTATCGAATCATCCACGCCGTTAACAGCAACTCCATTGGCGTTATTATTAAATGATTCTTGACGTATTTCTTTCTCTTTTCACTTCAAAGGTCAAGTCATTCTCTCTAATGACATATTAACAACAATAAATTATTAAACAATTTCACATTCTTTTGACAGAATTAAGTTCGATGTAAACATTTCTGATCATCTACGCGTGCGTCAATTTCAAAGGGTGACGATGAACAGAATTTCGTCGAGACGTGCTTACTGCTGCAGGTGTCGAATGTTTCGAGTGGTTTATAGATTTTGATGTTGACGCCGTTGATGTAGTCGAGTGTTTCGAAACAGATAATTGTCTGGATTTAATACCTGACGGAGCTTCAGCAGTAGGCTCCGCTGTTGTCACCATTTGCAGGGATGATAATGGTGGAATAGCTGACTTCCGATAGGTTGAACTGTGATGAACGTTGTATAGTTCAATGAGTTTATCAACATCTTGTTGCCAGACATAATGTTGCTTGAGAAAGTGACTACGTTTTGAACGCATACTCTCGTCGGTTTTGGTTGACATTGATTGTTGATCGAAAATTTTCGGTTCAGTCTGTTCACAGCGAAACAGTTCTTCAGGTCGCAGACCAAATAGTTCTTCGGGTTTATTGTAACGACTGGTTGGTCCGGTAGCTTCTCGAATTTGACATAATAGATCGTTCGATTTCGAAGACGAACGATGTGTTACTGCAGAAGTTGAACGCGTAGGACAAGCTGGCTGAAGATAGGTTTCAGTTGAATGAGTTTGTTTTGTCGTTGTGGAAGCCGAATCGAATCGATCATTTGGTAGAACTTTCTGTTTCGTTGGTGCTGATAATGCTTGTTTTTGCTTGATTTTTGCAGAACTCAAACCTGATGGCGGCAGACTGATGTGCACTGTGGTTTTGGGACGCAGAATTCTGGAACTGGATGTTTGTTGATACGTCTGAGAAGCGCTTGACTTAGATTGATTGGTTTCATTTTCGGTTTTTAATCCATTCGATTTACTTATGCTAAGATCATCAATGGATATTTGGGTTTTACTCGATGTTTTATGAATGAATGAGGAGTTTTGATCTTTGAAAACCGAAGAATTATTCGATCGTTGTTGACTTAGTAATTGTATTCGAGGACTGATACGACCGGATGGATGGAAATTCTCATTGTCGTCATAGCTGATCTGAGATTTTTTCGTGCGCGATAAAATGTGCGAATCATTAACTAATACTTGCGTACTAATATAACGAGCACCATTGACTGTTGTTGATTTAGTTTGATCGTGACCGTTAATGGGTGTCGATAGCTGTGGTGCTTCTTGTTTTGAATGTCGAATATGTTTGTCTTGCTGGCAAAGGTTAGCTAATCGAGTTGAATAACTACTATCGCTATCGTTAAAAATGATTTTAAGCAAACTAAATGGCATTGTTGCAGATAGATGATTCACTTTGTTCGAGAGAAATTTGTTTTTCTTTGATATTGTTGTCGGAACGTATCCCGTCTCGATAATTGTCGACGGATTCTCATAGATCGATAAAGGACGTGGTACAACAAAGAATTCATCACTATCACGATGGGTTATTTGATTTGCACATTCAATGTGTCCATATTTGAGAGCAAGAACTGCAGCCGAACAGCCTGAAGGCAACCATAAATTGTTTTAATAAATACTCAAAGAGAAAGCCAATCATGTCGAATTTACCTTCACGATTTACATATCTATCGAGACGAATACCAATTCTCTCTGCTGATTTCATAAGCAATTCAGCTATGTCACAATTACCTTGACACGTACGAAAAAGTACAACAGTTCTCGTTAAGCATACAAAAGAAGTCAAGTCGTTTACCTGTGATAGCAACATAATGTAAACAGGTATTTCCTTCGCAATCCTGTGCTTCAATATGAAAATCCAAACAAGATAGATACAGCTGAACGAGCTCGATACGTTGAACAGCACAAGCATGATGCATTCTGCATGATAAAAAACTAATCAAGTTCAGAAAGAATTGTAAACAGAAACATACGCATTGCGTCTTGCATGATCTTCTAACGCAATTTTTGCTCCTTTTTCCAATAAATTATGTGCCAACGATAGACTCCACCGATCATTTTCCACGTAGGCACATAAAATCAACGGTGTACGAAGTTGACTATCGCGTTCATTCGGATCATAATGAAGTTCTAATAAGTACCTTACCGAACGAAAATAGCCATGCTGAATAGCAAATGGTACATTGTAATGCTTGGGTATCGATGGTGCAAGTGTTGTTGAATTGGTTTGATGACTATATTCTGTACCGTTATCATAGATGGTAGTCGATGATAATGGCATGGTCGTTGGTGGTAGTCGAGATGAAAGAAGCATTGTAAGACGTTCTACAATATCAGTATGACTATTTAGGTGATGTAAAACACTTGAAAAGCTTCGTTAAAGAAAAAAAACTGATAAGAATGAACAAGGAATTGTCTCTCTAGGAACGAGATAAAGAAACTGAACTGGTATAGTTCATCTGTGAATGATTATTGAAACGAACGAGCTGAAATGAAATGGCAACAAGTGTCTCGCGTTCTTTGCTCTCATTATTTTTCTTTCGCTCGTTGTGATTCTTGTAGAAAGAAGAAAAATAAATTAAATATACACGCTCAAGAAAAAAGCAAGTACGATTATCATGAAGGAGAAACTGTGAGTAATTTGTTTGTATGATTACAACGTTCTTCTGTTTATCTTAGGTGGACACAAAACAAACGTTTTTTCCGCTATTTTTTGACAATCTACTTTACTCTTTCGATGCAGCTTGTCTCATCGAATCTGTTCTCTTTCGGTTTTCTGTTTTATTTGACTTCGATTTGTTTGTCATATATGATGCTTCACCCTTCTCTAAGCAATATGAATTTGACTTTTTTTTTCTCGTCGTTGCTTTCGAGTTTTTTTCCGCTGAAGATATTTTCATATAATTAATCACATCGAACGAAAAAAAAATAGACACAAGTGGGATGTTTTGCAAGAGAGAATTTCTAGTTAAGTAGTAGATAAATAATAATGTAGCCTTGAGAAATGGATTTATTAAAAAGAGTTTCAAGTGAAAAGAAAGGGCACGTTGAAGTTTTCTCTTCTACTGCAGTCAATATGTCAATAAAATAATCAACGTCTGTCGATGAAAATCGGTTTGAAAAGGAAATGTGTTGAATTAAATCTCAAGCTTTTCTCATTCATTTCGATGATTACTCCACAAATTGATAATCAACTTAAAAGGTTTCTCTCGATGAAATTATGTTGCGCTTGGGTTGATCGATGTATCATTTGAATAATTATAATATTGTCAAACATTTGAGTTGACTATTAATTTTCTATGCGTTGTTGAGATTGTATAATTTAACTTGTATGTAGAGGTATATATTTCTGTCAAGGATGCTTATGGCGTTTACTGCCACATAGAACAAACCAAACTAACCTTCAGACACAGGTTTCTATGGTACTATTCAGGAATTCTTTACAAGATCAGATAGAATGAGAACAATTGTGCCTTGACAGAAACTAATTGCATTACTTGTCAAACTAACGTAAAGGATAGGTATTAACATTGTTCTTAGAAGAATTTAGCAATTATACATGTCCTTTGAGATGTGGAACAGTGGACATTATATAGATCATGAGAGTATTTTAATTGAGTTCATATTTTTCAGCGCTTTCGAGCAAGTTTGTCCGATGTGTGTTTGATGTTGCAATACTTTTTATTTTGATGACTAGATAGACGACAAAAAAAAAGAGAAATAACCAATCAAACAAACAAAATCTACTAAACATTACACACACACATACATAATACTAGCAGAAGTAAACTTGTAGAAAAAGAAAACGCAACTGATCGATCTCACTGTTACAGAGTCATCATTAAGGTAAAAGAAAGCAAATGAATATACCTGAGAGAGAAGAAAGAAAATATAACATAAAATATGCAATTCTTGTATCGTATTTAAATCTTCTTCACTTGTGCAAAAAATGCAGATGGACCACTCGCAGTTTGTTTAAATAGATTAGCATGACACACGGCACATCGACTAACATGTTGCCGTTGTGTGCCTGATTTTAATGTTAATAGTTTAGGCTTTTCGAAACCAGTATATTCATCCAATGTAGCGAGATAGAATGTCATCATGTTCGGATAGTAGTTGCAGTGTGAATGATCTTTACAATGAAAATAGGGTCGATCGTGATATTTTTCCAGACATGAACCAGGTGATTGTAAACTTTGTTGATCACCTCGACCACCATCGGCTGATGTGAATACAAAACTATATCCAGTCCAGAGAAGATCGTAGCCTTCTGGACATGTGGGAACACGTTGCGATTGACTGTGAATTGCAAATACAGGTGTTGGAGATTCACAAACAACACAGCGACTTAAGTGATTGGGTAAATCACGTGATTCAAATGGTGACATACTGGCTGACATCGGTTCATTGGTTGATAACCAATATGAATAGTCGTTGCGTGATGCATAATGACACGAATTACCAATATCACAAAACAAGAATGGCATAGCACTGAAACGGCGCAAACAACTGCCAGAACCACCTGAATCGCACAAAAGAGAGTTCAAAGATGTTTTGTCCGCTTGAAAAAAAGATTCTCTTACCAAGATCTTGATGAGCAGCATATGTATCACCTTGCATACCCATGAATGAATAGCCATCTTGCATTTTTGTTGTTGAATATGGACATTGTGGCACTGTTTTATCTTGACTGTGTCTAAAAGTAGAAAAATTCCAGAATATATATCTTTGTTCAGCAACCGGGAATAGCGTACCGTGCAAATACGAATGAACCTTCTCCAGTGTCCCCTGGTGGACCTTGTGAACCAGCAATACCTATTGAAGAGAGACAGAAGAGCATGTATTACGGCATAACATTTCACAGTGCAAGTATAGATTACCTGGTGGACCTGGTGGACCGTTTAAGCCGGGTCTACAAGGATAGAATTGAATGTGAGAGTAGAAAAAAAGCAGTAACAATAACGTACACTCCAGCAAATCCAACATCACCAATTGAACCACGAGCACCTAATGAGCCTGGGTTACCTATTGGGAAGAAAAGATGTTCTCATTATTTTACTTTCTCTGTTGCGCGACAGATTTTACCTGGACTTCCAGTAAGACCCACTTGACCCGGATATCCTTTTGCTCCAGGAAAACCAGCTCGACCAGGTATGCCAGCAGCACCTTGAAAATCGACAATATTATTAGTGAGACACTATCCTTTCTTTTCATTTTTTTCTCACCTGGGAATCCTTGATCACCACGTTCACCTTTGGCACCTGGTTGCACAATAGTCTGAGTAACGAACAAACGAAGATAAGAAAGTTTATCTTTGATTAGATTCTTACTTCTACACGGACTGCTTCTCCCTTTGGACCAGGTAGACCTGGAACACCTGGCTTGCCTGGTAAGCCTAGAACATCAATACAATGTTGGTAATATTCACTATGATAACAAGGGAGCAAAACATACCTGCATCACCTTGGTCACCTTTACGACCTGGAAGCCCTGGTAAGCCTTTAATGAATAACAAAGAGTATAGCGTAAGAAACACATTTATTATTGATTGAATAGTAGTTCTTACCTCCGGCACCAGGCTCGCCTCGCCTGCCAGGAAGTCCTGAATTGCCTGCTGGACCTGGTAGACCCTGAATAAAAGATGAATAAATTATGATTTTGTACGACCTCCAATAGGTTCTTACCGGGAGTCCTTTTGGACCAGGTAAGCCTGGGCTGCCTGGAAGACCATTGATTCCAACAAGACCTGGTGTACCTGAACAAAGAAAATCCTCCATGTTCACAAATAAGCACTACAATTAACATACCAGGAGGACCAGCTAAACCGGGCTTGCCATCTCGACCAGGAAATCCAGCGGTTCCCGGACGACCTGGTAAACCATCTAGACCACGATCACCAGTTGGCCCTCGTGAACCAGTTGCTCCACGACCTAGAACGGAAGCGATCGTAACGTAGATTGATACTGTTGATTCCATTTACAACTACATACCATCACGGCCAGGAGGACCAGCTATACCCACGTCTCCAGGCAAACCTCTGCAATGAGACACCAATACGATCGAGAGTCTTCCAAAACAGTGAGCAACTTACTTAGGACCTGGCTGACCTGGAAGTCCACTACGACCAGGATCACCTCGAATGCCAGGCATTGAACGACCTCCTAAATAATTATGGTATGTGTTCGATAATTCTGTTGTTCAGAACAGAATTAAATTAACGTACCGTTATCACCTGGTAAACCTTTGGTACCAGGGCGTCCAGGTAAACCAGCGTTTCCTTTTGGTCCGGGTAATCCATCTCTGCCTAAAATGACGAAATTATTCGTATAGTAGGTGAATAATAGTTGAACTAACCTCGTCGTCCATCTTTTCCTGGAATGCCTGGCAAACCTTTTTCACCACGTAAGCCAGGATAACCATCGCGACCTGAAACGTATCAACAATCAGTGCTACATCTGAATCTCAGCAGTGTACGATTCTCACCTGGCACTCCTGGTGGGCCAATAGGACCTGGAAATCCCTGAAATCAAACAATACCACATCTATTTCTTACTTGCCAGTGCTCAACTTACTGGGACACCTAGAAGGCGCAAAATCCAAAATAGATTTCAAAAAAGTTCAAATCACATATACATACCAGCGTCACCAATCATTCCGGCGAGTCCAGGCAAACCAGGTGCACCAATGTCACCTGTTTCTCCTTTTAGTCCTAGATCGAGAAATGATGACGATTAGGGATCGAAGTCGATTTCGTTTTACCTGGTTCTGTTGCTCGTCCATCGCGACCCGGTTCGCCACTCAATCCTTTAGCACCGGGTAGACCTGGTAATCCAGGACGGCCAGGAAAGCCCTATGCAAAAATAAATCAATTATAATGAATTTATCTAGAGCTAAGAAAAATTTGTGATAAATACCCGATCACCAGGAATTCCACTAACTCCAGGAAGGCCTACGTTAAAACAAATGACGTACATCCAAGAAATCAATATGAGAGCTTTAGTCAAATGACTTACCACTTTGACCTACTAAACCTTTCATTCCAGGTAATCCAGGTGCGCCACTCAAGCCAGGTAGCCCTATTGAGATAAAATATAAATAAATTGCTTCAGTAATCTCAGTAGTCTACCTGGAAGTCCGACAAGACCAGGTTGACCTCGAGAGCCGACACCACCAGGAAGTCCAGGCTACAGAAAAGGATAGAAGTATATCATGCAGTTTATTTGTCAAGGTGATACTACTTACAATACCACGAAAACCTGGAGCACCTGGCAGGCCGGGAAGACCAGGAAAACCACGATCACCTCGTATACCTGCAATAGATAATCATCATTAGAGTTTTATTAATAGTTTCTATAGTGATTTACCGTTGATGCCTTTGAATGCATCACCCATTTCACCTTTCATGCCCGGTAAACCAGGACGTCCTATACGAAGAAACAGTGCTATTTAAAATTCATTATAATCATTAATATTACCATCACGACCAGGTAGGCCAGGCGCGCCTGGAAGGCCTGATAATCTGAAGAAAAACACATGCATAGTTAGATATAACTATCACCCGAAAAAGCAATTGCTTTTGCATACCCAACTTCGCCTGGAAATCCTTTTGGTCCAACTAAAGACAAGATAATTGATCAATAGTTAAAGGAAAATGATACTCAATACATACATGCGCCAGAGTCGCCAGGAAGACCTTTAAGACCAGGTAGACCAGGCTCGCCAGATTCACCTGATAGAGGAAAGAAAAACAATATCATCATTTAGTCTTCTTCTTAGAGTATAACAGACGTACCCATTTCTCCTTTTTGACCTGGTTGACTGTAACCACCGCCAAGACCTGGCTCTCCAACATCACCTATTAGTGCAAATGGACGAACGTGTTACTCAAAGACATCGAGTTGTTCGAGAAAGATTCACTGACCTGGGAGACCTTTTGGACCAGGGAAACCTGGTAAACCATTAGTACCAGGAGCACCAGAAATGCCTCCTGAATGAAGAGACATTCTTAGTATGATTCTGTGCAATGGACTGAGATCTACTTACGTTCACCAGGTACACCAGGACGGCCTATTTTACAGACAGAAAGAGATATGTATGTATGTATACTGATTTCAAAAGAACAGCAAAGTATTCACCTTTCGGTCCAATTAAACCTGGGTAGCCATCTAAGCCGTTGTCACCACCTATTTACAAGTAGAAAAACATTGTCAATTACTATACCGAAAATATATGATTGCATACGTTCTCCTGGCTTGCCTTGAAAACCAGGTAAGCCATTTATACCTGATCGACCCTATTGATGGATGTATAGAAGAGAATTATTTTCTTTAAACTATCTTACAGCATCACCAGGAAGACCACGAAATCCAGGAGCACCAGCTTTACCCGGTGGCCCAGCAATTCCAGGAGCTGAACAAAAGTAAATATGAATGTGCAATAGAGAGACGTTGTTAAAAAGAAATATTTACTTCCTGGTCGACCGCGAGCACCAGGCAGGCCAGCGTCTCCCCACAAACTAGGTACAGTGCCACCTAGAGGAATTGTTAGAAATGTGCTTGTATGCAAAAGATGCAATAACTATACCTCTTTCTCCTTTCTGCCCTTGTGGACCAGAAGCTCCAGGTAAACCATTGAGACCTTCAAGTTCATTTAGATAAGTAATAAAAAGGAAAAAAGAATACGATTCAATTACCAGGATTGCCAGGAAGACCACGTGGACCCAACGGACCCGCTTGAAAGAAATAGATTAGCTGGAATTTAGATTGGTTCGCTTTTTATAGCTTACGTAGTCCCGGTAAACCAGGTGCACCACGTGGACCAGTAACACCTTTTGCACCAGCACTACCTGATGGCCCAGCAGTCGTTGCAATAGCTGTTTCACCTCGTTGACCCTATATACAAATTAAACCGTATGTATGATGGTTCCAATAGATGGAATAGATTTACTTTAGCGCCAGGCAAACCAGGAAGACCAGCTTGTCCGTTTATTCCAGGGAGACCAGGTCTTAAAAGGAATGGATGGTACATCGATCTGTTTCGTTCAAACTAGTTCTATTACCGTCCATCAATACCAGGTCGTCCATCCATACCCGGATAACCTACAGAAAGTTATTGAGATAGATGCACGCTTTTTCGTCAAGAAACTTTACCTTTAACACCATTTTCACCTGGCAAACCGGGGAAACCGGGACGGCCGCTGTCACCCTAGAATTGAATGATGATAGCATTAGTTCAGTGTTCTTATACGGAAAATTATAAAGCAATTTGTTCTTACCTTTACACCAGGGTATCCATTTGCACCAGGAAGACCATCGCGGCCAGGTAAACCAGGAGCACCTAGTAGATGTGTGTTCAGCGTCGATCGAATTTTGCACGTAAAAACTTATTTATCCACTTACCAGACTGTCCAGGATAACTAAACAATCGATACTATAGAAGATAATAGTACGAAAATACGGTATCTTACCCTGCGTCACCTGGGTATCCTTTGAGGCCTGGTGCACCAGGTGTGACCAATTGTATTGGAGCATCGTCACCGGGTGGACCAGGCAGACCAGGTCGTCCAGTTTTACCTTCGGGACCTCGTTCACCTTGTTCACCACGTTCTCCACGAGAGAATACTTGACCAGGTGGACCAGGTGGGCCTTGTGTGCCTGTTAAGATAACACAGTAGGGTGAGTCTCACATCCTCACCTGGGAGATAAGCAAATGAATATACCTTTCGCTCCTTGAACACCTGGTGTTCCTTGACGTCCTACATCACCTGGAGCACCCTGTATTAGACAGACATAGATCATAGATAGATTTCAAAACAAGTATCGTACCCGTTGACCAGGTAAACCAGGAATACCGTCATAACTAGGGTAAACGAAAGTCAACGTGTCGAAGATCTATTTTGTATTATCAGCTATTCCATACCCGTCACGTCCACTATTGCCAGGCTCGCCGACATCGCCACGGTAACCTTTGACACCCGATTCACCCGGTGCTCCTCGACGACCTACACCAAAAAGATTGAAAACAGTCTGATCTAACAATAACGGTTGTATTTTACCTTTAATTCCGTCAGCACCAATCATTTCACCTGGTTCACCTTTGCGTCCTGGTAAACCTGGATAACCATCTCGACCAGGTAAGCCCTAAAAAGAGGTTACTCATGTACTGTGCACGTCTTTTTCAATCAATCTTCTACTTACATCTGGCCCTGGGAGACCAGTAGGTCCAGATGGTCCAGCTGGTCCCACGTCACCTTTTTCACCTATATTAAAATATTACTTTAGTATTTCACATTGAATTGTATCGAGAAATATTATTAACCTCGAAATCCAGGCGCACCATTTAACTAAAGCAGATCAGTATCATCGTAACATATCCGGAAATCGTAGAATAAACATAGACTTACTCCAGGCCGTCCACGATAACCTTGGCCACCGCGATCTCCTTGAAGACCAGGGACAGCTGGTGGGCAAAATCCACAACCACCAGATTCACCTTGAAGATAGAATTGATAGTATTAGATATCAAATCATACCCTACTCAAGATCGCTTACCAACATCACCTTTAGTACCAGGAATACCTAAACAATAAAATACCCTTCATTTTTATAATTATGCAAAATTAATGTCTAGTATCTACCTGGAAAACCTGGCACGCCGGGCGGTCCTGGTCGACCCGGATATCTATAAGAATAAAACATTGGAGAAAATCTCAATTTTGATATATCTGAAATATTCACCCTTGAGGGCCAGTTGGACCATAGCCTTAAAAGAGGAGATAAAGATAAGTATAGAGTTTCGGATATATTATATTTAAGGTATCTTTACCTTGATAGCCGCGATAACTTGCTTCGCCGGGCAGACCTACAAATATAAAAAATCAGTCATATTCTGATGTTGGTATATTCTTCTTATTTTTACCTGGTGGACCAGGTTCACCAATGTCACCCGGAGGTCCTGGAATACCGGGATCTAGAAAGCAATATATGATAGTTATGTAATCTACATTCACAAAATATTAACTTACATCCAGGACGACCAGAAAGGCCATTATTTCCACGAGGTCCTATAAAGAGAATTGGTTATTTCTGGAAAAATCTGAATCAACCGATAACTATACCGTATGTTTCTTCGCCAGGAAATCCTTTTTCTCCGGAACCACCTTTTTCTCCAGGAATGCCTAGAATAAATTCGAATTTATTACATATGAAATACATCGAAAGGAACAGATAACTTACCGCCAGGTCCTGGGGGTCCCGGTCGACCCGGAAGACCTAAATAAAACGATGAAATGTAATTTCGACTGGAAATAAATCAACTTTTACTTACCATCAGCACCTCGATCACCCTTTTCAGCATCCGCTGTCTCTCCCATTGGACCAGGTGGACCAGGCAGACCGTAATCACCACGTTCACCTTTGATACCTTCTCGACCTGAGGAAAAAAACAGACAGTGTACTCTTCATCGTTGACAGATGATCTTCTATTACTCACCAGGAAAACCAGAAGATCCAGGATAACCGTTCGGTCCAGCATCACCTGTCATTCCCTGTATAGAACACAAGAGTCAGGTATAAATAGTTCTATGAGTGTCAACACGAAATACGTACAGGATATCCTGGTGGTCCTGGAAGTGGTCGAGCACGTCGACTACCATAAGTCTATATTAAAATAAGAGAAGATTTCGAGCAAAACTGAGTATGAAAATTTGTTTACATACATTTGGACCATTGAAACCGTGATCACCTCGTTGTCCTTTCATGCCAGGATACCCAGGTTGACCGGCATCTACAATTAAAAGATAAGTTTATCTTCAAACCAATCTTCTCAAGTTATTTTTTACCTCCAGGTAGACCGTCGTTTCCAGGTGGACCAGGCGGTCCTGAATGTAGTGAAAAAAATGTTTATTGAAAGCAAAGTATATCAATGTGATCTAACCTGCAGCTCCTTTTATACCAAATGGACCTTGTGGACCTTCTTTGCCCAATTTACCCTGTTTGAAAAGAGCAATAGATCTAGATTTTATTTGCTATTCATTTACCTGTGGTCCAGGTGCACCAATATCACCTTTTTCTCCTTTAGGTCCTTGCAGACCATCGATGCCCTAAATCAATCGTTTATATTATGATTTTCACATAGTATAACCAATTTGCATACCAAATAACCAGATTGACCACGATCTCCCCGGTAACCTCGGTCACCGTCTGGACCACGTAGACCTGGTGGGCCTTGAACATTCGTGATACCTATAAAAATATCAGTGTGCCATTCGAGAGTAATATCAAGTTTGTATATACCTCGTAAACGACCAAAAGACATGGAGTCTACTGGTGTCGGAGCATTATCACCTTAACAAAAAATAGGCTCACTTTAGAATATTATATCCTTCCTCCTTTTTTTGTGATATTATTTTCATACCTGGATCACCACGTTGACCTGAACAACGAAGAAAAAAATCGTCATAGAATAGACAATCAATCAAAGTAAGCTTGAATATTTTTTACCTTTGTTTCCATAACTTGTTGGTCCATCTTGTCCGGGAAAACCAGGATCTCCGATTGGTCCTTGTAAACCCTATGCAAACATGAGAATCTGATTATCCCACACGAAGAGATAATTTCTCGAACACTTACATTTGCTCCTGGAGCACCTGGTGAGCCTGACAAGCCTGGCGTACCAGGAGGCCCAGGCCAACCCTACTCACATAAAATCCATTAAATAGATTATTTCTGAAATAAAATTGTTCTCTTCTTACCGGAACGCCAGCACGACCAGGCGGTCCAGGATCACCTCGTGGTCCCGCTATAACACCACCAAGACTACCTGCATCACCTGATTGTCCCTGATGTAATGAGAAGAATCATTAATAAATGAAAGGTTAACATTAAGATAACTGACTTTTTCACCCATTCGACCTGGCAAACCTGGAGCACCCGGCAGGCCATCCAATCCCATATGACCATCATCACCGGGTTCACCCTATAATTCAATGATACATTCAATTTAGACGAATCAATCACTGATAAACATCTGCTTATTCTCTGTTTAGAGAAAATTTCCTTGTTCGATTTTATAATCAAAGAAAGTTTATCTAATGCTAGCATAATTCATTAATTTTTTTGTTTATGATCCAAATGAGATTTTCTTCTTTTCTAACGATCAATTGGCAAATGTGAACATTTTGATCTTTGTCTATGCATATTCTCGGTAAAGGTTACAAGATACATAATCATTCTATCTGACCAACAGATACTTCAAAGTTGGACATACAGATAGATAGATAGAATATCCCCCATTGTATAGTGTTATCCATATCAACCATAATCTTCTCTATTACACATATGTATGTAAAATACATCTGCATGGAGAATGCCGGAGTGAAGAAAACCGTAGGGCATTGATTTAATCAATCTTTAGCTCTGACGACATGATAAGACAGACGCATATCAGTAGGCCTTGATCTATGACTAAATATTGATGATTTCCGTTCTCGTTTTTTTTTCTGTTCAAGTCTCAAGCACGTAGAACTACAATCTTCTCTCGACGATTCGATGGAATGATTATTTATAAACAAAACTTGATCGTCTAGATGATCGATGGATCACTTCAAATGAAATGTGACTATTTATAGTATTAAGGATCAATTACACTTTTGCACACTAGACTAGTCCATCCATTATTTGTTTTATTAGTTTGTTCCAGAAGATTTGTTAATCATGCTGATTATCATTTCTATCTAGCGCTTACGTTCATTCTGCTTCAATATTACTTGACTATTTATTACACAACGATATTACGTCATCTAAACATATCTATGTATATACGCACATATTCTCTTCTTCTTTCTCCTGCGCTCGTTCATACCATTGCTCTTTCTCCATATCATTTCCAGTAGGATAAACGTATCACTAGCAAGAAAAATTCTCTTTATATATAATGTGTTAGCATACCATAAAACGCACTCATTACAGAAACTGTTTACAACATCCATAAGCTTGTCGCAACATTAGTTGTCTATGTGCACATTTTTCTTTCCTATTTATACACAGATCGATTCGGTAATATTATGCAAAGAGATTTGCTTATATACACTAATACTAATGATGACAGTTTCTATTTATATACATGACTCAGAAGTCAAAGACTTGTTACAGCTGCCGAATATGACCTCATTTTCTATAAATATCTTTTTAGTCATCCATATGGATATCTATTTATATGTCAATCAGAAGAGCGTACTACAACAGAAGAATCAGACCACCAAGGTCATGTGCATCATAGAATGATATTGTATAAAAGTCGACAAGCAACGGAACAAGTAATTGTTTATATAATCGTCATATTCGATCTTTTCCATCTATCCATATCTTACAAAAAAGAAAAACCAAGGTCTGATATACTATGATAAACTCAGATAATTGGAACGTTGGGGTCGTCTGAGTATGAAATATGGTTAATTTTATGCCGATAGGAAATCGTTGGATAAAAACCAGTGACAGACAGGAGCAATTATGATTTTCATTTATCCTTACGTCAGACAATTCCTATCAAGGATGTAGGATTGCCTTTTCTCATTTATCTAAACGACAGAAAGAAGAAGGAAAAGAATGTTCGTTTTTTTCTCATGTGATAACAGTTCATACGTACTGGCCTTGGTTTATTTGTGGTCAAAGCTTATCTCATCAGAAGCATGGAGAATGAAAGAGCAGAGAAAACGTAAACTATACTCAACTATATACAGTAAACATATATGCAGGGACATTTCGGTTGATTACAATCTGTCAGTTCGCCTTTACCTTGCTTCCATTACAACCTGGCACGCCAGGAATACCACGTGGGCCAATAGCACCAGCTTGTCCAGGAAAACCATTTTGGCCATCAATTGGCAATAAGCCATCATCACCCTATTTATTTGCAGAAAGAAAGAAGGATAAGACATCTCATTTAAGACTGATTGATTGATTAGAACTTACACGTTCGCCTTTGTTACCGTACTGACCACGGTCACCTTTTTCACCAACAACACCTCGATTACCTGTACGACCCACTGGACCTTTTATACCACGATCTCCCGGTATACCTGGAAAACCTTGTGGGCCTAAACAAAAATGATACATCATTAAATAAACATTGTTAACATAAATGCTTTTAATATGCTGCATCTGTATTGAATTAACAGCAGAACCTACCAGTGATACCCATTGCACCCTTTCCAGGACATTGACAGTCTCGTCGTGGACCGCAACCTTTACATTCAGACCCTTGAACGTATGTGTCACTAGGATCATTTGATGAGGATTGTGATGGTGGAGGTTGTGGATATCGTTGACGCGGACTGTAAGGATATTGATTATATTGTCTTTTCACTCTGATATTTGCTACACCATCTTCACTTTGAGCCTATGTATATGTAAACACATCAGAATAGGATAGAAATTGAATTGGAAGAGAAAAAAAGACAAACAGTTGATTGCTTAAATACAACTTTGCTCTTTTTTTTCTTTTCGTTTTATTGTTATACTTACTGTACGAGTTTCGATTTGAGTAAGAATGAACAAAAATACAAAAAGACCGACGATGAATTGCCTCAACAACGAAGCCATCGCGCGCGCGTGTGCAGACAAACACGACACACGAAATTCAAACAATCAATCTGAAATCTTCGAGAAGACAAGAATGTCAATACAATTATGAAACATGTGAGAAACCAATTTGTTCTCTTGTTCAATCTTTTTTTACAACTAATTCTATCATCTATTAAAAGTGTTTTTAAAATAAACAAAAGAAAAGATATATCTGTCTGTTTTTTTTTATCTTACTCAATGTGTTTTTGACACGTTTATATAAAGCATGTTCATTTCGTGGTTTGTTGATAACGGTACCAGTAGTAACGGACAGTAGTTCGTCCGAAAAAAACTAGTTCGAGCTATACAATATGTTTTTTTTCTATTCGCTCTCGTTTTCTTCTCCTTTCTCTCTCTCTCTCTCTGTCCACCTCTGCCCCGCTCTCTTCTTCGCCTCGCTGTTGCTCTCTATTTTTCTTTGCCTTTTCGAGGAGAAAAAGCGAATGTGTACTATAGGAAAACTCAACGATAATGGTAGTGGTAGCAAATTACGCAGGGCGTATGTTCATATATATACAAGAGAAGAAAATGTCTTATGTATATATATATGAGTATGTAATATTATGTATGTTATCAGTCTCACTACCATAGAGAAGCAGCAAGGCGCAGTCGATATTCATCTTTTACCGAGAGGGAATAGAACAAAAAACCGCATACTTCTGGTTGGTAGATTTGAGTGTCATCTCTCTTCTCTTACTCTCTCCCTCTCTCTCTCTCTGTCCCTCTCTTTCTCTGAATGCGGTAAGACGATTGATATTATTATACCAAGGAAAAAAAATAGTCCAGTTTCTACGACATTGGCACTTTTCTCTGCGCTTCTTCGCAATCGATCTTCACTGGCGTGTTCTTGTAGATCAAACTACGACGAAGATCTCAATTCAAATTTTGTAGCCGTCCGTCGCCGCCCGATCGCGCGTGACCATAGACAGGCCGTTTGAAAACATGCACCTAACAACAACAAATTCAAAATTGTCCTATTTACGGACTACAAGGTAAAAGATTTCTTTCTTTCTTTCTGATTTCAACTTTGTTCAATGATGAAAAAGAAACGCAAAGACAGAGAGAAGTGTTTGATATGTTTTTTAATACAAACGGTTATGCGAATAGTTTTTTTTTTCATTCCAATTGATCTATAACGTCTGTCCATCTATATATGTATGTATTCTTGTATACATATGTGCGTGTGTCTGTATATGAGAAAGAAGAGAGCTGCATATGAAAAGACTCTATTATTCACTACCAGTTCGCCTTTCCCTCTCCTTCGTTTATAGATCATTCGTAAGAGTTTTTCGTTTCTGTTCATCTTTTGTACACACATACATCGTTACATAAACTGAATAAAAGCGACAAAGCATGCGATGTCGACGGCGACTGTCGTTGTATATGTGCCTGTGAACATTTTTTTCTCATATTTTCTGTTAACAAAAAAAATACGCAAAGGTATCTTTCATTTACTCTTTCGTCTGTTCTTTCTCTATTTCTCGTTGCATGATATTGCTACCAACATCAAGAGTGAGTTCTATGTATGTATATTATAACAAAGAACTCGTTTACATCTACACTTTTTTGTATGTATGAAACATACATATATAGCAGTGTATTTTACACACATTTATGAACCGTAAATTGATGAAATCAAAGACGAAGAAATAAAGAAGAAGAAGAAGAAGAAGAGCAACTCTAGTCTCTCCTTCTCTCTTTGTGATAGTCAACTAAGAGAAAAGGCTTAACTTCCGGTATCAGTTCTGACCGTGTAAAAAGAAACTTTGATTCTATCTGATGTCCTTATGTCATTCTACAGAATATCAGAAGTTAAAAATGTACTTTGGCACTTTATGCGTTCCTAACAATATACAGTAATATCGCGCGCTCATTTGTCCTCGTCATTTCTCCTCCTTGGCTTTTTGCTAATAGATTATTGAGATCGTCGAGAAATTCTTCTCCTTATCTATTTCTTCGTTCCTTCTTGCTCGTTCATCTTACTGCATTACTCGACTACTGTCTTGTACATACATAACGTTCCTAGCTATTCTTCTCTCTTTTCTATACAATATTCGAGAATTATTAATTATCGCACTACGATGGCAATCACCAGTAGTGTTAAGGCCGTTTTCATTCGACGTTGATATCGATGAGTATTAGAAGATAGGAAAATCAAATAGAAGGACTCTGTCATTGATACAACAATCTATAATAAACAACCTGTCGTCATTGTCATCAAATCAAACAGAGAACGACATTTGAAACAAAGAAAAAAAGTAGCAAAGACTAAGAAAATACGATTCGACATCTTTTTTTTATATTAATTAATCTGCATGCGCAATGTTTACCAGAATGAACCTTCGTAGAATTAATCCAAAATGGTTATATATGCATCTGATTAAGTAAGTAGGTCGATTATTTCTATTTTCTTTGACCACTAGTCAATTTCTTTTCAAAACAATCGAAGAAAAAAGAGTCAATATCATTGATCATATTATTCTAGTTGCATATTCTTCTATACATATATCAATACATCAGTTTGTTTATTTACCTAACAGCTATATTATCAATTTCTTTTCTTTTCTTTTCCAGAAGAAAGAAGACGAGTAATCGCAATACCCTCGACTACCTTGAAGATACACACATTCTCTTTTTCTCATAAAGTTCAACTCGAGAGAACAACGTTCGAAGAATGATAATAGACAAACTAAATGTGTGTGTGCATGTTCGACTGCGTAATCTTACTACTGTCTTGCTTTTACACATGATCTGATAATGTGTACAAACATTCATACATACATGCATTGTCGCTCATCAATTTCTTTTTTCACTAAAACGAGAGAATATGTCAATATGATGCAACATTTCTTTTTGTCTTCGACAAAGTGTTTACTTTCCTACTCTCCTTATTGTCAAGAGATTGTAGAACATTCGATTGAAGAACTTCAATGTTCTAGTCAACCGTCACATATGAATAGGAGTTGCTTCAATTTTCATTTAGCTTTGTTCTAATTGACAATCGAGGAGTATTGAATACACATTCAGTTTTTCCTTCGGTTTTTTTTTCAATGTACTGATGACACGTGTACGTGTGTGTAGATATATCGATCTGAATATAAATTGAAAATGAAGTGAAAAATGATGATAAGCATTGTACCTTCATAGAGCGTGTTAAGTGAAGGAAAAGGAAAAGTAAATGCTTGTGTTCGTTTGTTAATCATCGACATCCTCTATTGTACTATGTTCCTAAATCATCCCTCTCTTCACATTATATGTTGATGACTAAATGAATGACAAGTTCGACAAGCGATTGACCGATGTTCTGTGGAATAAGTAAGCAATCACGGTTCCTATTTTCTTCTTGTTGATCAATGGAAATGATCAGAAATTTGATAAGCTCGAGGACATCAATAAAGAATATATGTGAATAGATATTGATGTACATATGGATGAGATAGATCAGCTAGATTACATCATAACTATCGTTATACATTTTTTTTCATTTGCTTCAGTTGATATATTTATATCTTGATATACATATACAATCGAATCTTGTCTTCAAATCATAATCATATAGAAATGATTAAGTGCTTTTTTTCTTGTTATTTAGGCTAAACTATGCTTCGATTTTCTTCGTATTGATACTCGCCAATTTCGTCAACACAAGCAGTGCACAACTAAGAGTACGTATGCATTTGTACATCTATTGCAGCAACGTTCGTGTTCACGTGGACTTTTCTTTCCTAATGATGATGCAATCAGCCGATGGAACGACTACTAGTAGCGATAATAAACAGGCAACTACTGTGAATAAACAGTTCAAGCGTATTTGCTATCTCCATGAGTTGGTAAAAAGAGGCGCATTTTCTGCATACATGTTCGAGTCAATTGATCGGTGAGGGTGGTGATTGAGTGACTCGGCTCGTCATTATCGATACTAATTATTTTGTCATTCTCTATTACTGAAGAGAACGGGAACAGTGGGAGAACAAATGCCGCATTATGATGAGCAGAAAAAAGAGAAGAAAATGATGCTTAGAGGCATATGTATGTATGTTTGTATGATCTAAGAAACAGTTTCATTGAAGACTTACTCTGTCACCTTTTTGACCAGGCAGACCAGGCAGACCCCGATCACCTTTTTCTCCTTTCATACCCTCAGGTCCTAAAAACAGAAATCAACTCGTTATTGANTCGACTGCGTAATCTTACTACTGTCTTGCTTTTACACATGATCTGATAATGTGTACAAACATTCATACATACATGCATTGTCGCTCATCAATTTCTTTTTTCACTAAAACGAGAGAATATGCCAATATGATGCAACATTTCTTTTTGTCTTCGACAAAGTGTTTACTTTCCTACTCTCCTTATTGTCAAGAGATTGTAGGACATTCGATTGAAGAACTTCAATGTTCTAGTCAACCGTCACATATGAATAAGAGTTGTTTCAATTTTCATTTAGCTTTGTTCTAATTGACAATCGACGAGTATTGAATACACATTTAGTTTTTCCTTCGGTTTTTTTTCAATGTACTGATGACACGTGTACGTGTGTGCAGATATATCGATCTGAATATAAATTGAAAATGAAGTGAACAATGATGATAAGCAGTGTGCCTTCATAGAGCATGTTAAGCGAAGGCAAAGGAAAAGTAAATGCTTGTGCTTGTTTGTTAATCATCGACATCCTCTGTTGTGCTATGTTCCTAAATCATCCCTCTCTTCACATTATACGTTGATGACTAAACGAATGACAAGTTCGACAAGCGATTGACCGATGTTCTGTGGAATAAGTAAGCAATCACGGTGCCTATTTTCTTCTTGTTGATCAATGGAAATGATCAGAGATTTGATAAGCTCGAGGACATCAATAAAGAATATATGTGAATAGATATTGATGTACATATGGATGAGATAGATCAACCAGATTACATCATAACTATCGTTATACATTTTTTTTCATTTGCTTCAGTTGATATATTTATATCTTGATATACATATACAATCAAATCTTGTCTTCGAATGATAATCATACAGAAATGATTAAGTGCTTTTTCTTTCTTGCTATTTAGGCTAAACTACGCTTCGATTTTCTTCGTATTGATCCTCGCCAATTTCGTCAACACAAGCAGTGCACAACTAAGAGTACGTATGCATTTGTGCATCTATTGAAGCAACGTTTGTATTCACGTGGACTTTTACTTCCTAACGATGATGCAATCAGTCGATGGAACGACTACTAGCAGCGATAATAAACAGGCAACTACTGTGAATAAACAGTTCAGGCGTATTTGCTATCTCCATGAGTTGGTAAAAAGAGGCGCATTTTCTATATACATGTTTGAGTCAATTGATCGGTGAGGGTGGTGATTGAGTGACTCGGCTCGTCATTATCGATACTAATTATTTTGTCATTCTCTATTACTGAAGAGAACGGGAACAGCGGGAGAACAAATGCCGCATTATGATGAGCAGAAAAAGAGAAGAAAATGATGCTTAGAGGCATATGTATGTATGTTTGTATGATATAATAAACAGTTTACGGGCAAATTAAAAGAGAAAGAGTAAACTGAATGAATATGTATATATACACAAATCCGATGATTGTTGTTTTTCTTTATCTCTTCTAGTACAACGATTCCAATACGGTAACACCACCACCAGGCTATGGATTTGCACCCGGCTATGGTTCATCCCAATATCAACCAAGAAATGTCAAAACCAGCGGTGAATGCAATAATTGTAATCAACCATGTTTTTGTATAGCACAAAAAGGAGATCAGGTAAATTTAGTAAAATCGATATGAACAGACGTGTTTATATAAACTATATGATGAATGTAATTAGGGTCCAGCTGGTCCCATGGGTCCTGCAGGTGCTCGAGGATCGGATGGTGTGCCCGGTCCTGAAGGTAGGCTATTTCAGTGTGAACAGAAATGCGATTCAATAACGAGTTGATTTCTGTTTTTAGGACCTGAGGGTATGAAAGGAGAAAAAGGTGATCGGGGTCTGCCTGGTCTGCCTGGTCAAAAAGGTGACAGAGTAAGTCTTCAATGAAACTGTTTCTTAGAAATCTCATTCATAAATCTTTATCTGTTCAATAGGGTCGATCCGGTGAACCAGGAATGCCAGGTATGAACATATTTCACATTGGTATATATTTTCTACTCATATTATTCGTATTTAGGTCATCCCGGTTTGCCCGGTCTTCCAGGTCCAAGAGTAAGCTATATGTTATTCTAAGAATATTTTCTAATATTGAGTCATCTGTTTTTATTGTAGGGTCCAGAAGGTAAATGATCAATGTGCAGGCAGAAACAAAGAAGAATAACATATTAAATGATCTTTTTCTCTTTCAGGTTTACCTGGTCGTGATGGTTGTAATGGAACAAAAGTATGTGATAATGTTCAGAAAGAACTTCGAAGGTTTAATTGAAAATATTTTTATCGTCTTTAGGGAGAATCTGGCCGATCAGGATTTAATGGACAGGTAACATTGATTGATTGATTCAGAATATAATTGTAAAGCCTAATTCTTCTTTTTAGCCTGGTCGCCCCGGTGAACCTGGTGCGTAAATTTGTCCGAATGTCAATGATTTTCTAATGTTTTTTCACTATGTTCTTTCTTTCGATGCACATTTTAGGTCTACCTGGACAACGAGGGCAGAAAGGTATAGTAAAAAAGAGTCTTTTTTTTAGTAGAAGTTTTTTCATGCTCTTCATTAATTAGGCGAACCTGCACAAGCTTTGCCTGGATTCAAAGGGGAAATCGTAAGTTTTTGAAAATCTTATCTTACCATATTACATTTAATGTTTCCATTTTATAGGGAGAAATGGGACCTCCTGGTCTTCCCGGTGCTGCTGTAAGTATTCAAAAACGTTATTTTATCTCTAAAAGACTTCTATTTACTTACTTCAAGGGTCCTCCTGGTAATCCTGGTATTCCTGGAACCCCTGGCACAGTTGGCTTTCCTGGACGTGAAGTATGCGCAAGGATATCATATTGATGAATGATTGTTAACACTTTATGCATTGTTAGGGCCAAAAAGGCGATCGTGGTGAACCAGGCCGTCCAGGTATGCGAACTTTATCAACGAAATCCTTGTTTAGCTTTTTCCGATTTCATTTAGGTAACGCTGGAGTGGGTCTCAGTGGCGAAAAAGGTCAAAAAGGAGAACCCGTTAGTAGCATTTGATCGAATCAATGTTTACATTCATAGTACTCAATTTTAGGGATCTTCTGCACCATATACACCACCAACAATCGCTGAAATTCAAGGAAATTACAGTTATGTTCCATTATCAATCCCTGGTGCCCCAGGTCAAAAGGTAAAATTTCGTACAGAAAAGACGAATTTTACGGCAGACGAGGGCTTATTTATTTTCATTCGTAGGGTGCTATGGGACCCAAAGGAGAACCTGGAGAAATTGGCTATCCAGGTGCACCTGGTTCAGCTGGACCACCTGGTTTGACCGGTGAAAAAGGTGTTCCAGGTCCTGTTGGCCCTCGCGTAAGCAATTATACAATAAACTATAGGTTTTGTATTGTCCTTTGTGTATAACAGGGTCCAACTGGTTTACCTGGCCAAGCTGGCTTTCCCGGACAAGCAGGGTAAGCTATTTGAGTTTTAGTTGATATCCAATCTGGACTATTTTGTTTTTATTTCAGAGATCGCGGCAGTCCTGGTTATCCCGGTCAACCAGTATGTGTTTAATAGATCAATGAATAGGTTGTGTGACTAGTTTTCTGAATCTGTAGGGTAGCCCTGGAAGACCTGGTCAAAATGGAGCACTAGGAGAAAAGGGTATGACTTTCATGACACTATTCCTATATGGACAAGACATCTACTATCCATCTGCTTAGGTGATCGTGGTTTCCCTGGTATGCCTGGCATGTGTTTACCGGTAAGTTGATTAAAAAGAAGCTGTTCAATCTGAATCATATTATCTAATGTTAATAGGATCAGCATGGCGATGCTTCACCTGGACAACCTGGCCCAACTGTAAGTTTTAATTCTTTATATGTTTTGTAGAAAAATTGTCTGCTTTATTATGTTTTTTATAGGGAGCCAAAGGAGAACGCGGTAAATAGTGAAATATTCTGTTGACACAAATAATCTATAAGAAAAACATTCTAGGTCCACCCGGCGCACCTGGTTATCCTGGTCCATCTGTAAGTATATTTTTTTATAAAATGAAACAAGATGATTTAATCATTTACTTCAATAGGGCCTACCTGGATCGCAAGGTCCCAAAGGTGATCGTGGTTTTGATGGATTACCTGGCAGCCCTGGGCAACGTAAGTGTTTTGTAGGTGTTATCTAATATAACTGATTGTTTTCCATATAATTCAGCTGGACGTGATGGTGTAAAAGGAGACAAAGGTGACAGTGGACGACATGGTAAGGACGAGTAGTTCCAATAAGAAATATTAATTCTAATGCGTATGTAATATATTCTAGGTGATCCTGGATCATCTGGATTTCCTGGTCCCCAAGGTTTGTTGAATTGATAGAGAGAATAAGTATAAAATAACTTCGATATATCTAATTTTATTTCAGGTTATCGTGGAGCAAAAGGTGAACCAGGTCCAAAAGGTGCGTAGAGAATCATCTGAACAATTCCATTTGCACAAATATTGCTTTCTATATCTAGGTGAACCTGGTCGTTCGATTCCAGGGCCGCCTGGTATCGATGGTTATCCTGGTCCAGCCGGTCTTTCAGGAGCCAAAGGTAAACGACAACAGGAAGACATTTTAGTTGACAATCTATACATTTATATTCACAGGTGAACGCGGTTTGCGCGGTCTTCCTGGCTTACCTGGTAATTCAACTGCAAGTGCTGGTTTACCTGGTCCTCAAGGACGTACGTAACTTGTAGTTGAATCTAAAATAAACTATCTTTCACGTTTTACTTTTTGCCTTCTAGCCGTGGGACCACCAGGTAGTCCTGGCGCTCCTGGTTTTCAAGGTATTGCTGGTTTGAAGGGAGTCAAAGGAGACCGAGGTAAAAAAATTAAATCTGGAAGATATTTCAAGCTTTTGATTGAAAACAAATATATTCTTTTAAGGTCTTGATGGAGTCTGCGGTGCTCGTGATGGATTAAAAGGTAGCAAAGGTGAGCCTGGACCTCCCGGAGAATCAGGTAATTAAAAATCTTTATTTATGGTGAATGCATCTAACATTTACCGATCACTTCAGGTACACCCGGTCAACGTGGTTCACCAGGAGAAAAAGGTGATCGAGGCGATGTCGGTTCACAGGGTTATCCCGGCAATGTTGGCTCAGCTGGTGCACCTGTAAGATATAACGATATGTTGCGGTTTACTGGTATTAAAATTCATTTCTCATTTCATAGGGTCGCAACGGTAACGATGGTATTCCAGGCGAGAAAGGAGAAAAAGTATGTGTCAGAAATCAAAATAACTCTCCGAAAAATGAACGAACCGGATTTCTAGGGAGAATCAGCTCGTGTCTCAACTGTACAAGGAATGTCCGGAGAAAAGGGAACGCCAGGTAAGATCTTTGATTATTTTTTTCAGAATGAATATGGAATATGCATTCTTCGCTTGAATAGGTCTTCCCGGTTTGAAAGGCGATCGTGGAGAGAAAGGTACGATATAACTAGACTATCGAAATCACATCTACTATGTACTTTAACTTTCTTTTCAACAGGTGCACCTGGTTACAGCGGTCGTGATGGTCAACCGGGTGCAATGGGTTCTGCTGGAGCTAAGGTAAATTCAAACATAGGTTTCATATTTCTAGAAGAATCTTCATGTAAATGACTTTTACAGGGTGATGCCGGTTATCCAGGTCAGCCAGGCCCCCCAGGTAGTCCTGGCCCAATGGGTGATATTGGTCCGCCAGGCGCGACATTACCTGGTGAACGTGGTGAAAAGGGTATTCCAGGTCCAGTTGGTACGTTTGCATCGTTTCTATCAGCTTTAATATGTCTAACCCTACCTTTTCACAGGTATTCCGGGCCCACAAGGTCCTTCTGGTGCGAAAGGAGAGCCGGGTATGTGAATCAATTTCCTCAGAGAATTGGTTATCATAGAAAAGTTCATCTCTGATTGACAGGCCGGCCTGCACCCCAAGGAATAACATCAATGCCCGGTGCACCAGGAGAAAAAGGTGACCGCGGCTTCCCAGGTGCATCCGGATCACCAGGGCTACAAGTGAGATTCTAATTTTTCCAGTATCGGATATTTTGATTTTTGATCTGTTCCAGGGCCCGAATGGTCTTCCAGGTTTACCAGGTTCACCAGGCCTAAAGGGTGAACCAGGTTTACCAGGCATCCCTGGTCTTCCCGGACCAAAAGGCATTACGGGTATGATGCGAACAAATTCTTATTGATAAAGAACTTATACTATATTCATCTTTCTTCCTTTAGGTTATCGTGGAGAACCAGGTGCGTTGTTCGTTTCTGAATCTAAATGCAGAAAGCTGTTCACTCTCATTTTCTATAGGTCTCCCTGGCCGTGATGGATCACCAGGTCTTCCCGGCACTAAAGGATTCGGTAGATAAATCTGTTTGCTGATAATCATTTTTCTATTTCTTTGTTTTGTTTACAGATGCAGCACCAGGCCTACCAGGTCGACCAGGTATGCTTTCTTTTTTATTCCAAAATAGGTTCATATCACTCCAATCAATCATGTTCTTGCAGGAGAAAAAGGTGAACCCGGACTTCCAGGTCCAGGCTTTCCAGGTAAAAGCGATAATTTAACTATATCAGATTCGTTCACTCACCAAATATTTGCTCTTTAGGTGCTCCCGGTCCAGTTGGTCCGGCTGGTGATCGTGGTTTTCCAGGTATGAATTTGCATTTTATATCAAGAGCAAGATAACTGACTGATATATAATTTGTTTTAGGAGTACCGGGTCCACCTGGAGAAAGTGGACTACCTGGATCGAAAGGTATACTGAGAAATGAGCAATAATATAGTAGCCATTCTTTGCCATTTTCCAGGTGACCCAGGTTTACCAGGTATCAATGGTCTTCCAGGTCCTGTTGGTTTGAAAGGGTATATTATATAGATAAAATTCGTTTTTAAACTTGTTTGATAATGTTCTTGCTTTTAGTGAACGGGGTGAACCAGGTCTTGGTGGACAGAAAGGTGATCAAGGTAAAATAGATCAAAATAGATTAATTTTTTCATCATTTGTTATCTTTTCTATCTAGGTCTCCCCGGTCCACCCGGTATAGATGGTCAGTATCCACTGATCTACTTTGTATTCTATTGTACTAATCGTTTCTGTTTCTTTTTTCAGGTTTACCAGGTAGATAATATGTCACATTAGTTGAGGGAACTAATTTAATTGTTATATCTACTATATTTCAAGGTCTTCCGGGCACGATGGGACCACCAGGCCCTTCAGGTTTCGCTGGCGAGAAAGGTGCTGCTGGGTTACCGTAAGTTAATTTTAGGAAAAAAAACTATCGATACAATTATTCTTATCGAAAATATTCTAGTGGACCAAGCGGACAACCAGGTTTACCAGGTCTACCCGGTATGAAAGGTGATCGCGGCTTGAACGGAGCACCAGGAATGAATGGAGCTCCAGGCTTACCAGGTGAAAAGGGCGTTCCAGGGTTTCCCGGCCCAGTTGGATCTAGCGGACTACCAGGTCTTCCAGTACGTTGCAGATATTCGTCATTATTGAACAAAAACCTATTCATTTTCTTCTTTCTTAGGGCACTTCTGGTCTAAAGGGTGATCGAGGTACTAAAATAGAATATGCCTTATCAGCAATCTCACATGTATGTAAATTGTCTTATTTATTAAGGTCTGCCCGGTTTACCAGGTCAAGCATGTACGGCATGTATACCAGGTCAACGAGGAGATCGCGGTTTACCAGGTATAGCTGGTCTACCAGGTCAGAAAGGAGAACCAGTACGTACACATTATTTACACGCACACATGTTCAATTTTCACATGAACTATATTATAGGGTTCTGCAGCAGCTCGTGGACCAGCAGGTGAACGGTAAGAAGATCTTATACGTAATTCTCTCGAAAGAAACGTTCTCTTTGTTCATAGTGGACCGCCTGGCCTGCCAGGTGCACCAGGCCTTCCGGGAATTCCAGGAAAAGACGGCTTACCAGGTCTCCCAGGTGCTAAAGGAGAACGTTCGATTGGTCAAACAGGTAACTAGCCAATATATTGGATTGAAAAGAACAGTACTTATTTATTTTTCGCGTACAGGAATCAAAGGAGCCATCGGTGAACCAGGCTTGCCGGGTCCATCAGGTCTCTCAGGACCTCCAGGTGAACGCGGATTACCGGGTGCTAATGGTAATAAAGTTAACAATTGTTTATGATATACTAATTTTGTTTTCTGTTATAGGTCTTCCTGGTGCTCCGGGTGAACGAGTAAATTAAATATATTCTATTACTGTGATGCAAACTTTAATCTTCATTTTCTTTTCCTCTAGGGTTTACCTGGGCCTAGTGGTATACCAGGTAAAATACTATGATCAAACATAACTTGTGTATCATACCGCTAACTTCTTTTAGGTGCTCCTGGCCTTCCTGGCCCTGCTGGATACAAAGGTATTTTGCTATACTTTCCACACAATTAGATAGGAATTAAGGTATTATTTGATTAGGTGAAACTGGGTATAATGGATTACCTGGGCCTAAAGGTGAATCAGGTCCACCAGGTAAGAATGGAGACGTTTAGTTATGGTCACGAACAAAACACATCTATGATTTACGATTAGGTTTAAATGGCACACCGGGTATCAATGGTATTCCTGGAGCAAAGGGTGATCCAGGTTTACCAGGTCGAGATGGTGGTGCTGGCTTACCTGGCCTCAAAGGAGATCGCGGTCTTAATGGCTATCCAGGTATATATCTTGCACACAACAAATTGTTTGATATGATCCTTTCCATGCTATTATAGGTGTAGCAGGCGCTAAAGGTGCTGCAGGTGTACCAGGTTCGTAACAGCATCTTACATCAATATGGATATATGTGTATTTTACATTATCTTCTCTACAGGCCTGCCAGGTCCACTTGGTCCACCAGGCCCATCAGGTCTTCCAGGCATCAGTGGTCTTCCAGGACAAAAAGGTTCGTGTCCGGCAAAAATTCACATACCACTATAATCTAACCTTTTCTTCTAATCTATAGGAGAAGCAGGTCTACCAGGAACCCCAGGTTCAAACGGTAAAGTAGCCGACCAATAAATAATTAAGTATTAGATGATTTCATCTTTTTATAGGTCCACCTGGTTTGAATGGACCACCAGGTCTTCCAGGTGACGCTGGTATGTTTTCCCCTATGATGAAACCATACATTCTGACTAAATGGATCTGGTTTTATAGGTTTGCCAGGTTTATCGGGTCAAAAAGGTGAACCTGGCTACGCTTCGGCTGGACTCAAAGGTGAACCTGGTCCAAGTGGTCGTGACGGTACGTGAATAGAAATGAATAAAAAGATGATATTGATCTTTCCTTTTCTTTTCACTCAACATAGGTCTTCCAGGTCTTCCAGGTGAAAAAGGGTAAGCGAAGAAGAGACATATTTAAAATATACATCGCATACCATTATTCTGACTTGTAGAAATCAAGGTTATCCCGGCCCAGCTGGTAATTCTGGCCGAGATTGTGATGTACCAATCACAGGACAAGTACGTTTATAGAACTTAATCGAGATACTTTCTTCAGTGTCTTCGTTAATTTAGAAAGGTGATGCTGGTCTTCCTGGACTTCCAGGCGCTCCAGGTTTACAAGGTAAATGATCACTTTTTTTTTCTTTCTTTATACGCGATCCTATTTTCGTTCACTAGGTCTTCCTGGTCCAATGGGTAAAGATGGTAAGTCACCCTTCTATTTATTGAATATAGATCTTATTTTTTATTGTCATGCAAGGTCTTCCCGGTACTGCTGGCTTACCGGGTATACCAGGTGCCAAAGGCCGCGATGGATTTCCAGGTTCAAATGGTCTCCCCGGCTTACCAGGTACGTTGAATAAAATACACATTGTATCATATACATCATCGATTTCTCCTAGGCGAACGTGGCTTTGCTGGAATGCCAGGTTTGTTTTCGTGAACATTTTTCTTGATCTCGAACTAATTTTTTATTATTTCATTCAAATGTGTATAGGTCAACCAGGTTTACCAGGAGAGAAAGGTAAAGGAAGCGTATAGAAAAATGTGTTCTACTGACTTTCGAATCTATTCATATTATAGGAAACGCTGGATTCCCTGGCAGTTCAGGTATGTTTTTAAACTGAATACGTTTCTTCACTATCAATCTGATGCTTCCTCTAGGCTTTGCTGGACAAAAAGGAGATCGTGGTATGGATGGTCTTCCTGGTGCTCCTGGATTAGCTGGTAAGTTTTTTTACTGATAAGTAAACTAGTTTAACTGTATTCTTGAATTGTATAGGTCTCCCCGGTCCCAAAGGTGATTGTATTCAACCACAACCAATTGTCAGTCGTCCAGGTGTTAAAGGAGAACCTGGTTCAGCAGGATTGCCAGGTAAAGCAAATCGTCTGTTCAATTGATTCCTTCCTTAACTATCGTCTTCTTTTCTCTTTGAAAGGATTACCTGGACTTCAAGGACCACCAGGTAAGTCTCTAACTTATATGCTTTTCAAGCGGTCTCCAAATCTATTCTCATAGGTCAACCTGGTCCACGAGGAGAGAACGGTCCACCAGGCCAACCGGGTCAACCAGGCCTACCAGGTTATGTTGGACCTAAAGGTGAACGTGTGAGTATAGCGATGTTTAAAATAGAAGCATTCATCTTGATCTTAATCATTTCATTGACCATTTAGGGTACACCGGGTATTCCGGGTGTAGCTGGTATTGCTGGTCCACCAGGTATGAAATTTCTAATCAAGACAAGGATGTCCTCATTTTGATTTAATCTAATGTTAGGTGCTAGTGGCCCACCTGGTCCAGCAGGTCCTGGTCTCCAACGAACTGGTTTCATGGTTGTACGTCATTCACAATCAGCTCAAGTACCGGAATGTCCATCAGGAATGGTTAAACTATGGGATGGTTACAGTTTACTCATGATGCAAGGCAATGATCATGGTTATCATCAAGATCTTGGTATAAGGCTTTTGAGTTTTATGGAAAGAGAACACACCGTTCTATCACGTGATGTTCACTTTAGGCTCGGCTGGTTCATGTCTTCAGAAATTTTCGGCATTACCATACTTACGTTGTGATCACACCAATGTATGCTATTATGGCCAAACAAATGACTTAACATACTACCTCTCGACCACGGAACCCATGCCAATGATGCCAGTTCAACGTGATCAAATTCGACCTTACATATCACGCTGTGCTGTATGTGAAGCACCTGCCAATGTCATGTCATTCCACAGTTTATCGATGACACCACCGCCATGTCCAAATGGATGGAATATCCTTTGGCAAGGTTACAGTTTTGTCATGGTATGTGTATTATCATTAGTTGATCATGAAATGTACATACATCGATTTATCTTTTAGCATCTTGGCCGTGGTGCTCAAGGTGGTGGCCAGTCATTATCAAGTCCTGGTTCCTGTCTTGAAGACTTCCGCGCAACGCCATTCATCGAATGTTCAGGCACAGATGGCAATTGTATGTATTATGCAAATAAGTTCAGCTATTGGATGACAGTTATTGATCAAAATAATCAATTCGAAGTTCCACGTCAAGAAACATTAAAATCGGGTAATCACAGAAATAAGATCAGTCGTTGTACAGTTTGTCTGAAAACACAGCAAAACACAGGACAAGGTGGTTATCAAAACGGAAACTATTATGTCGGACAAACTTTGAAGAAACATTAAGATAATACCTTTTTCTTTGTTCTCTCACTTCAATAGTTTATCTTAATCATTTATACGTCCATTAGTCAGGCTTGTATTATGATTAGAGATACCAAACAATACAGTCATTGATCTCTTTAGACAACTATAAACTCGCGGGAATTAGATTGCTCGTTATTCCTTTGTGTCATTTTGTTAATTGTCATATCATCACTGCAGGGTTTCCTCTCTTTTCTTCTAACTTTTATTTCATTTTCTTTATATTTTTCTCTCTTTGGTCTTTTACACATAACATGTAAGCAAAATAGAAACAAACACATGCATACGAATATTTTAGTGAACAGTGGATGTTTTGTTAGTTTTGTACGCTTGTGTAAAGACTTGTTATTATCGTTTTCTATTCTCTTGATTAATCTCCTTTGTCTCTTTCTCTGTTTTTGTTTTGACATGCTGTCAGCCAGCTCATAGTGTTAGAGTGAGCGTGTGTGAAAGATATACGTGTGTTTGATTTGGTTTTTCTCTTTTTTTTTCAACAATAAATATCAGTTCAGTATTATGAAAGACATTATTGTGAAATAACACTTTTGTTTCTCTTTTTTTGGAAAGATTTCAAACTACTCAATGGAAATTACATGCACTAAAGAGATTTCCAGCATGTGTGTTTGCTTAAAGATGCCACTGTGAACTGAAGAACAAAATAAATCGACTAATTAATCTTTCTGTTCTTCATACATTGGAGGAAAAATATCAACACTTGCGTGTTAAAATATTATTCCGTAGCACAAGAAAATAGGAAGAGCTTTTGTAAAGCTTCTTGACATAGTCACTGTCTGGATTTTTTTCTCATAAATTTCTTTTTATTACACTTGAAAAACCACATAGACTATGTCAACAGTGCGTTCCAATCCAGTTTCTGTCGAAAAACACGTTTTGTTTCGAGTGGGCTCTCAGTTTTGGAACATTCGTGTTAATTTCAAAAGGTTTGCCGGTCTCGTCGACATCGGTTCGCACATGTCATTGATTCAACTGCGTAATGGAAACTTTCTTATTATTAATCCTATTATTTTAACTGATCATTCACGCTATGAAGTGGATTGTCTGACAGAGAATGGTACGACGATCGAAGCAGTTATTGGTGTACATCCTTTTCACACACTAGCATTTCCGGCGTTCTATGAAATCTATCCAAATGCAGAATATTACGGCACACCTAGGCATTTAAAAAGATTAAAGCAAATACCATGGACTGGTTCACTCGATGTCTGTCAGATAAGGCGAAAATGGGAACCAGAAGTGGAAATGCGAATACCAGCAGGTAAGACTTTACTTTGTCGTGTCGTATAAAACTGAATAGTTTAAATCTAAATAGGGGCAGAATTCGTCAATCCCTTACCTGAATCGAGTAACCATTTTGTAAGTGTGTTCGTATTCCATCGTCCATCACGTACATTACATGTTGATGATACGATTGTTTACGGTGATCATCCAAGTTTCCTCTTGAAATTAATCGGTTTTAAACATGGTACAATGGCATTTCATCCATCAATCAAAGGATCGGGACTTTATCCAACGGTTGAAGCACCGTCGCAATTCCGTTTGTGGATGGAGAACATTTTGAACGATTGGAATTTCGATAATATTTGTTGTGCACATAGTGGTGTCAAGATTGGTGGAGCTCACGAACTAGTTTCGCAATTAGTGAAGGCAGCTGAATCTTTATTTACTAAATTAAGTGAAAAAAACGGGAAGAAAACGGCGACTGATGATGTGTCAAGTGACAATCAGGCAAATCTAAATGTGACCGACAATGAATGCGGTTGAAATGGAAACTTTCATGTTGAAAAAATTTATTTGCAAATCAATGCATTTTTTCGTTGAGAGTTTTTCAATAATTTCTTATTTATCGTTTGTAATTGACTTCTCTTCATATTCAATTTTGTTTTCACTTGTTCAAGTTTACTTTTCATTTCATGCAATCGAATTCGTAATTGTTTTCGTTCATGTCTCATCCGAGCTATTTCAAACGGAAATATCGTTACAACACTTGACAAACACATCGGTCGTAACTGTTTATCCCGACGAGTTTCAAACTGCTTCAAACACACAGGACATTGTCCTGTTTCTTTCAATCGTTTTCGTATGCAATTCTTGCCGAATAAATGTCCACATTTCGTTGATACTAATTGATGTTTCTTCTGATTCGTACACATTGATGCACAAAGTGAACAGACGAACAATTCATTTTCCGAGATATTATCAAACATCGTTTTCAAATTCTCTCGTGTGAGTATTGGTAATAGATTAGTCATAAGCTGTATGTCTTTTGTTGAATAGTAACAAATGAGATTTTTAAAAAAAGGCACACAGACACAGATTTCTTTGTTTGAAAAGAGCGAAATTTCACCTAGTTACTCGATTCAATTACGGACCAAAGCGTCATCTTCAACATTCTAGTTTTTATTGGATATCATCAACGAAAAAAAAAAGAAAACGGCAGCAGTGAACTCTTTCTTTTTATAATTCTACCTTTGCTTCCTCATCTTCTTCTTTTTTCGCTTTATCTCGAAGTGTCTTTAATAGACGTTGTAAATCAACGAATGCTGTAGGTGTTAACGCTAAAAAAAAACAAAAACAGATTTTCTCATAAAACAATAAAATTAATCATCTACATACTCGCAACTAACGGTCGAATGTCTTTCATACCGATTTCAGATAATTTTCGTTCACTAATTAAGTCGAGAACGCGATTAATTTCACTAATAATTCGGCCGTAAGCGGGATATTTCGTTTCCCAATCATCATCTAAAAAGTGGTAATTACCATCGTATATACCCAAAAGAAACTGTTGGATAAATAAGCGCAGAGCGTCGTCCAGAGTAAACACATCGTTTGCTAACATAATTTCCAACGAGAATTTTGATTTTGTTTCGTCAAAACTAATCGGCGTTGAGAACGTTTTCACCAGCGCTTTTATGAGTAAATCCGACATCGCAGATGATGAACTCTCCGATGAAGTCGCTGAAAGCCCATTTATGAGTAAAAATAGTACGATTACTGTCGTATACATGTTTATCGATACGAAATGAAGAATGGTTCGATTCGTTCGCTAACCTACGAGTAGGATCAGCTGGTTTTTCTTCTCACCGGTCGTGCTACTCTCCTATCTTTGCTTCTGATAATCAATTGAAATATTTTAGGAACCTATTTTGAACATGGCTTATGCTTACGATAACGTGGATTTCTCCCATTATTATGACAAATTTGTCGCCGATCTTCCGCAGCACGCTTTTTGGATCGACATGGTTCAAAAAATCTATTCAGCAATCATTCAACGAACTTTTGTTGACGACCGACAAACCGTTGTTGTTGATCTAGGTTGCGGAACTGGCAAAGATCTAAGTTATTATGCGAACTACTTCCGCGATAGAAACATCAAACTAATCGGTGTGGATCACTCACAAGCAATGCTAGATCGTGCGGAAGAAAGATTAGCAAATCAATCTATTGACTTAGTATATGGTAGTTTAACAAATTTTGCCAGTCGTCTTGGAACAAAACCTGTCGATTGTATTCTTTTACCCGCCGGCACATATCATCATTTAACTACAGATGAAGAACGGCAAGATTTCGTTAACAATATACGAGAAGTTCTTCGATGTGAAACCGGTCTTTTCGCTATTTATTTAATGCCGGATGCATTTATTCATGTCGAACCACGGAACAACGTTTCGACGGAAGAAAAATTAAAACTAATTGCAACAGAAAATGTCCAGCAGAGTGATAATGAATGGATATGTAAATCAACATTTGAATTTGATGTTCCTCCAAAAACAGAAATTGCGTGGCACGTACGAACTTGTGCTAAGCCGAAATTTCTCAGATTACTTCGTTTGAATGGTTTCGAAGCGGTACTGTGCTGTTTAGATGGTAAAGAACTCGTTCCATTCAATGAAAATATGATGTCATCGTTAGATCAACGTTCTACACCGACAATTCTTGTTTTTCGGAAAATAACAAACACAAGCTAGAAGTTATTTTCAACATAAAGGAAAAGTTTTGAAGAACACAAAAATAAAGAAAATGAGAAAAAGAAAGAGATAAATCTTCGTGTCTGTTCGTGCATGCATTCATTCATTTTCCGATGTCCAGTAAAGTTCGTCTAGGTTATCACAGTTGTCAAAGATGTGTATAAACTGATGTTAGTGCGGATGCCTAATTGATACCACAGGCTCACATTGAAATTATCACTTCAAATGAATTGAATTCATGTTGTCGAAGTCGAACGGTACTTTCATTGTGTCGAATCAAGTTCGTGCTTATCTTCGAGCAATGGTGGTACTCGTGGTGCGACCATTTGAGTTAAAAATGGTTGCATATGTGTATCAACACTCGATTGCCGACGTACGTAGAATGGGATCGATTGTGCCATAGCGTTTTTGTTACCTAGAACAAGTAATTCATACGCGTCATACGTTTAATTCGATAAATTGTGCTGAGATTTTTATTGAATAATTAAATGAAGGTCGAGACAACAAAAGGGTGTTTAATCAAATCATGTTATCTGATGTTTAGCTAGAACCAAAATCAGAACTGATTGAATGACATCGATTGTTAATTCAATCAGAGCAAAATCAATTACGAAATTTTATATCTTTTCTCTCTCCCTCCCTTCTTCCTGCACTTATCGGAATGATGCGAACTGAATACACTCGATCCGATGAAATCAAATCGCCATCGTTACTCCGTGTGTCAAACTCGATCTCTGAATTTGCTGGAGACTGTTTGCCGTCTCGAACGGAAATAATTTGTCCTCGAGAAAATCTATGCATTTTGACACGCTGACAGTTTTATCTTTGTAATCATTAAGTGAAAGAAAAGAAAAATTTCTTTATTTAGATTGATAGATATTCATAAATATGATTAATACATATCGCATACGATCAAATGCCTATTTTCCTCTATGCTCATGTTTATTTTACCCGACGCGTTTTCTTCGTCGTCGTCTTTCATTTGATCCATTATTAACAATACTAATATGATGAAAGTTGTCGATTTAATCAAAATTTTCAGGACAATTTACTTGCATTTCCGATCTGATTATAGCCATATTCATGAATAACCTTTTTAAGTGCACTCGATAGAATCGAGGTTGGCAAACCTTGCGAACTCTCGATCGTTCGATGTTTTCTCTAGTAATCTGTAAGCGATTAGTTGTAATAAAGATCGAAGATTTAGTTAGCAGAAGAATGCAAGTCTAAATCGTTAACATCTTCAATTAGGCAACTATCGAAGAGAGGAAAATCGCTTTCAGAAAACGTCTCTAACTGAGTGGCATTCATCCTATCGTCAACGATCTTTTTCTTTGCACACATATCATGAATATGTCTTGCATATTTTTATATTGTAACGAAGAGAACAAAGTAGTTAGCAAAGATCTGTTTTTTTCCTTTCTCTCTCTTTTCTTCTTATCCAATTGTAGATTTGCCTTTTCACTTGAATAATCGAGTAATTCATGCATTCGCAGTCTAACACTTGCTTATTAGTTTCCATTCGTTACTTCCGTTCATATCTGTCATTATTCTCTTTAAATAAAAATACAATATGCTGCGCTTTCCCTTCTGCGTAAGTTAAATAAAAACACATTGATATTTACTTGACAGTTGAACGAAAAGAATGCCCCAACGGATGGACCAAATCCAGCCAACAAGTAGAAAAATCGTTGAAATTTGTAATATTGCCGCCAGAATGTTGTAGAAGAATGCAACTATATTTTTCTCATAATCATGTTTTCCACAGCAAAATACCGCGAATGCACTAACAAGGGTACCTAAAAAGGAAAACATCATCAGCTTGATGGATCAGATATATCTACCCATTGACTTTCTCGATCCTATTTAGCTTGTTTGTTCGCTATCATAGACTTTTTTCTTTGCATCACGATGTAATTTCGTCGTGACAATAGGCATTCTTCGGGGAATATATATATATGTGCATTTAGACGGCTTTTATTCGTCGTTTCGCATTATTTGACAACGGTGTTCTCATGATGAACGACATCCGATTATCATGCTTAAGTTTTGTTCAAATAGACTTGAAATCTATTCATACAAGACGAGAGAAAAGATTCCCTGTTGGACACATCAGAAAATACGGTGATGAAGAGAGAGAGAGAGATTTCTCAATGAACCACATACTATTATAGTAAGAATGAACTCATTTGTCATCGAAAATGCATGACACTTTTTTAAAAATGTCAACATCTAGCTTGCCGTGTACATATCACTGATATACATGAGTAGAGACAGCAGAAAGCCCTGATATTAACTGATTATCCTATCTCATTTCTTTTTTGTCATCGTTCGTTTCCATATATATGTGTAATTGATTAAGCAAAACAATAATATCAGTCCCATGCGTTGTTTTTGCGCTTATTATTATTATGATCATGATGAGAAAAAGATGCATCTCTCATGTTGTTAACCAATGGATCAAAATAATAACCACAGCAACAACGATATACAAACAAACAATTAAATCGAAGAAGAACAAGACTATACATATGGCACGCAGTTCGGTATGAAATCAATTCGATAAGTCTGCATCACAATGTACGTACGCGTGTATTTTACCAGCCAGTGTAAGGAAGAAAAGAAGAAAATGGCGAGTAGCGAAATCTCGAGTTTCTAAACGTCAGACGGGTTGAGTAATAGTGGTGGCATCAGCGACATGAATAATTTGCTACTTTAAAGTTCTATTCTCTTCATTATATGACGGAATGCGTAAGTAAAAGAGAAAGTGAAGACAATCTTTGTTTTCCTTTTCCTTAATCTCTCCTTATATATTTAATGCAGATTGGCGTACTGATTATCGTGTCATAAAACGTCCCTTTTTGCTTCATTATCGTTTCAGAGTCAAGTCCATACCTGTGCCAGGTAAAACAAGATTCAATGCGAAACAGATGAATGCCAATACACGTGGCATCTGTGGAACAGCTCGACGAAACATGCCTTGTTTGGTTTTATTTGAATTGGATGCACCGACATTCATGGAAGCACGTTTGCTTGACGATATTGATACATGACTGCGTCGGGGAGTTCGATTAGCCGGATGCGTAGGATCCGGCGTTAACGAACGAGCTTCATCAAAAATGATCTGTGGTGATGACATACTCATTGTCGTAGAATATTCGAAGAAATCGTAATCTGAAACGAAAAGTCAGAGGGTCACAAAGATCTGTGTTTGTTTTCTTCTTGTCACCATGTAAATTAAGATTTAGTCGAGAAAATCACATACACATATACCCCATACATCACTAGTTTTCTACTGCTTTCGGCGATATTTTTATGTCTTCTAACGACAGTAAAAAAGAAGAGAAATAGAGAGACAGATAGAGAGAAAAAAAGAAAGCAGCAGTAGAAAACGGGCGGAGACAGGCGCGACGATAGATCGTACGTGGAATCGTCGACATCGGCTCTTGTCATTCTCTGCTACAAACATCTTTCATCTCTTTTTCTGTCCCATTCTTTGCTTCTATTCTCTTGAAAAAAAGAACAGTTTCTCTCCACACTCTCTTTTCTCATCACATATACATTTCTCTGAAGATGGCATCTCCTCTACAATACTATTGAGATTAATATATACGCACAAACAAACACGGAATCATCGAACTAATAACTATCATTATTATTCTTGCTAAGACATGTTTTATATCCATTTAATCTAACTATCAATTTTATTCTGTAAATATTCACTTCTAGGAACAAAAAACGAACCTAGAAAAAAACAAGGGAAGCGAAGAAAATCTGTAATGATAGGCGATAAGAACGTTTAGAAGTGTCTCTTCATCCGGGAGACAAATAAACTTGAAGATGAACACAAAATTGTTCACGTCTATATATCGATTTTTTTTGTTGACTATCAGTTGTGTAACAAGACGAAGAAGATGTAATACATGTTGAAGTATGGCTCGCGCATCGAATTCTTGGAAGTTTGTTTTTCTCGAAAGATATCTTTTATAATGAGATACATTGATTTTTTTTCGCTGTCAGATAATCCCGAAGAGAATTCAAGTCATTGTCTGTTACTGTGATGCTTGATTAGATTGAAACTGAATGCTTCGCTTTTTGCTGAAGTCGGTCAAGCACAAGAAATTTATTCGTTAAAAAGCCTTTTTTCGGCACGAACAGTTTTTGTTGTCGACTGACGCTTCTATGAAATTCAAATCGACCCTTTTGCTTCCAACATGCGATTAGAAAAACTCTCTCCGCAGATTGATCTCGATAAACATGAAAATCTTTGCTTGAATCGTTATCATTTAGCCATCGAAGATGATTGATCGGTGATTCTTTCAAGTATAATGACTCATTTTCTTCTAATGGGTTATTACACCATTTCATACAGACATCGTACATATTCGGTAGAACACATTCTTTGTAGATCTGTTTTTTGATCCATTGACTGTATGAATACGAATGAATAAAAGAACTATTCAAATCTTTCTATACCTTAATAGATGATTTATCGTCTTTTGTAATTGATTTAGCTGCTTATTGAGATCAGTTTTCGCATTTAACGATGATTGTGACCTATCCGATCTAAAAAAAAGAGAAGTTCGATGAGTAGAACAACTCAGTTCGTCATTGTACGGTATGTGTTGATGGTCAACATCGAAGTCAATTTCAGGAAGGTCTTCAAAGCCAAACCAGAGACGATCCGAAGGCGGCGAAGGAATATTAAGCAGAAGTACTCCATTTATACTTCGAATATTAATCTATTCAAAGATGAAAAGAAGAGATATCGACCTTCATCTCATGGTGAAATAATCTCAGATGAAAATCTCTTCCGAGACAACTGTGATCATCTTTTTTCTTTCTTTTGAAGGACACGGAGAAAGCTGTCGTGTAATTAACTATAATCAACGTCGACTTATCAAGTGACGAAATTGTGAATAAGAGGAGTTCTTCTTAAGTATTGATGATGACTCTATTTTAATATTTAGCTATTAAAAAACAATGCAGCATTCTTCTTTCTCCTCGACTAAATAGAATTATTATTTCATTAGAGCTAATTTAACATGATTGTTATGCAATGTTTCATTTGAATTAGGACACACAGGATATCACATACACTGATTCGCATGTTAAGAAGATAATTTATCGAGGAAAATCTGTCTACTGATTCGGATAGAACTTGTTCTATTTATAGCTATTAAAGCTTTGATGAAAATTGGAATTCATGCGTACTCGAACTAGGTGTTTTTCTCTAAGTTATATTTATTGTAGTTTTACTAAAGAAACAGAAAGTGACACTCGTTGATGAAAACTTTCAGTGTCACCAATCTTAATTCAATGACAACTTTGCAGTTTGTATGATTCTAAAGATCGAGTGAGTGATGTTCATAGAGGAAAGAAGTGAAAGCTGATGACGTATGATAAAGGAGAACATGAGGAAGTGTAAAAACAGCATGTGTCTGTTTCTTTTTTGCGGATGTAACGTTGAAATGAATCAGATTTCTCAAAATCAGAGATGCGGAAGATAAAAACAAGTGAAGAAATGCAGGGGAAACGCATACCTGTGTTCGCGTGAATGGATCTTACCGTGATAGTTAGAATTTTTCTGGTAACTTTTTCTAAAACTTGAAGGTCATCATGAAAATGAAAGATTCTTTGAAACCATAATGATCGAGTATTGGAATCGACTTGTTTTTGCAATAAATTAAGTTGAATTGTAAATTCGATTGAAATATTTCCTTGATATGTCAAATTCATTGACGTCCATAGACCATTTTGATTAAACCAAACTTGTTTTATGTTCTCAATTGTCGGATAAGTATTATCGAAGGAAAAGTGCGAGAGACGGATCCAATGAATGTAATATGGCAACTTTAAATGTTTCAATTCATGTCCAAGTTTCGATTTCAGATAGTGTCTCACATGAGGATTTTCATAGAAATTGATTGTGCAACGTGATATGAGAAAATTAATCAAAGAAAGGAAATATTCGTTTTGTTTGTCTGTTTGTTTCGAGGAGAAGAGAGAAATACGTTCGGTGAATGTTTTCAGCAGACCACGCCAAGGTTTATCATGTAATGAAGTGGAAGACAAAGTCGTTTGTTTTGTTATGTCTGATGAGATATGTTTCTGAGAGTGAAACTCGTGCTCGATTAGATCGATGAACGATGTTGTCGTATTTTGTATGGTGGAATTCTGCAATCGATAAAACCATTCTTCTTTCGATCGCCTTGTCAGTGTGTATAACTGAATTTCATCCTTAAATATCGATAGATCAATATTATTCATCGAGATCGAAGATAACGAAATCAGTAGCTGGTAAATATGAAACCGAAGACAAAGTTGTTTAGATTGCAATTCAATCTATTCGGCGACATTACAAGAAAACAGTCACCGCACAAGGGATGAGATAGAGTTTATGAGATAAACTTGAAAAAGTATTACATCTTCTCGCGTGTTATCCTTGATAAAGCCAGATCATACTAGCTGGAATAGGTCATGAGATATCTGAATTTCCAGATGAACTTTTGCGTGTAAAGAATCATTAGCATCGGTTTAATGATTCTTACCGTAGAGAACAACCATGGAGAAGTTGGTTTTTGTGAATGATATGATGACTTTTTTCTTTTCTCAATACCATATTCATCGAAAAGATGAAGATGAGTTATTACAATTGGTGATTTAATTGACCAGTATTTTGATCGATTGACTTGAGGAAGTTTCAAATGAATTTTAGCTTGAAACAGATCGAAAATCATCACTTCTGAGAACGTAACTCGATGGCGAGTGAGTTGATTGATATTTTTCAAGTGTTTTGACGTGAAATGAATGAGTAAATACTGGTTATACAATTTTAAATAGATCAGTTGTGGTTTATCACGATTTGAAACTTTAGTTCGAGTAACAATGACTCCGAACATCCATACGGTAGAACATGAGAGTTTTTCTGACGGGATTGTTAGAATATCTGATTTAGCTGCTTTGAATGAAAAGAGCAGCGAGGAGATTCGATGAAGCTGTTTATTGGTTGTTTTCAATGTAAAAATACGAGTGAGAAGGAAAGCAAATGGAATTGAGATTAGAATACCAATGAGGCAAATGAATAAATGAGAGAAGAAAACAACGAAATCCATGGATAACCAAACGCGCTTCTTCGAAATTTATTCGATTATCAGTTAATAACAAACAGGAATTTGTAACTTACACAAGAATAACCATGATGATCCCGGATGGTCTTGATTTCTAATTTTGAAACCCAATACCGAATAAACTAATACTTTAGGATAATGAACGGAATTGCTTTATATTTGAACTCGATTAGAGAAACTGGAGCTTTTCAAATACTATTACTACTAACTAAGAAAAATACAAAGTACGGAACAGATAAATCTAATCTCTTTGTTGCATGGGTATAAAGATTAAAAGCATAAATTGATAAACGAAGGAATGATGATTTCTAACAAAAGATAACTAGTTGTCAAGCAAGCAGATGCTTCGAGTACATGTATTTTGTTCTCATACACGGCGAATCTTATCTGATATCATTCTTTGTTCTTCTACTCAGTACATTGCCACTCCCTTCATTTCTTTCTTTGTCGGTCATATTCTTCGGTCAATTCTTCAACTTCCAAAACATTCTCGTAGCATCTTTGCATTCGAAGTTTTGAGTATATATACATTAAAATTCACCTTCTAGAAAAACTAATTAATCAACGATCAGTAATTAACACTAGAGTTATCGAAAAATACAATTAGAGATGCCGATGTACTCGAATCGCGCTAAACTTATGGACGATGATTGTTCCTTACTTCTTTGGTATAAATCACGTGTTCAATTAAACCAATACGATGAAAAACAAAATCCACAGGGTATTTGTAACTTGGGTGTTGCGGAAAATCATCTCTGCGAGGAAGAATTAATTGCAAAAATGAGATCAGTATCTTCGTGGTCAGGTCAATTCAATTACTATCCAGATTCGTCAGGTGAATTTCCATTCCGTCAACGACTCTGCGCATTTTTTAGCGAAACATTCTGTTCAATGCAAACAACACTTGATCCCGCTCGTATGCTTATCTCCAGTGGTGTCAGTGGTACTATTGCTTTGCTTTCCGTACTTATCGCTGATGCTGGTGATGTTTTTCTCATTGCCTCCCCTTATTACACTGCATTCGACTTTGACGTTGCTGCTATGGCACGAAATTCATTGATTAAATGTCCATTGTTGAATCAAGACATCGGCGAATTCAGCTTATCGGTGGAAATCTTCAAGCAAGGTTATGAGAGCGCTGTAGCACAAAATCTTCGACCACGTGCCATTGTTCTAGTTAACCCACACAATCCTTTGGGTGATATCTACGATGAAGCGGTTATGCAACCAATTCTTGAGTTTGCCGCTGAGAAACGGCTCCACGTCATTGTGGATGAAATCTATGCATTGAGTGTTTTCCAGAATCAAAGACCATTCAAGTCTATCTTAAACTATACATCGATACCAGATCCAGAAAGAACTCATTTTCTTTGGTCGTTTAGTAAAGATTTCGCTTTAAGCGGCACGCGCGTTGGTGTTCTCTATGCAGGAACGAAAGACATATGCCGTGTCGGTACTAAGCTTAACTTTCTTATGGTACCATCGAGTGCAATTCAAATGACACTGAAATTAATACTTGACGACCGTGAATGGACAAATGCATACTTGAAACTGAACCAATGCAGATTAACCGAACAGTATCAATATGCAAAAAATCAAATTGAACAGATGGATAAACGAATTCGTATTCGCGACGCTCAAGCTGGCCTTTTCCTTTGGATTGACTTTCGATCAATTCTTACGAAAGTCACATTCGAAGAAGAACATAAATTATTCGACGAATTCTTTAATCATGGCATCTACATAACCAACGGTTTAACCATTGGCTGTTCTGAACCGGGCTGGTTTCGAATGGTTTTTACAGTAAAAAATAAATGGATTCAAGAAGGCATCGAACGTATGAAACAAGCTTTGAATACTTATAAATTATCTTCTTCGTAAACTACTTTAAATAAAATTTCGATAATGTCATCACTTGACATATGTTTTCTATCGTTTTCGCGATAAATACAGTCATACTTGCCATTTTCACACACTGAATAGGTCAAGACAATGTGAATCATCAAGCATCTGCCATATATTCTGTATAAGAATCAGAATTAATACCTCTTTCGCCTCTTCGTTAACCATCGAAATCATAAATTATTGATTTTTATTCATTCATATACACAAGGAAAAAATAGAATAAACATAGTTCTACATGCATACAATTGTATTTCAATTGTTGTGTCATAATCAATCATAGAAAACGAAAATCTTGTCAAGTAGTTTGTTGTCTTACTATCAAAGAAAAATCTTGTCTTTGTTGCTTGGTGCATTTAATACGTACATGTTCAAAAACCTAACTTTGTCCTACAATCAAATACTAACCAATGAATAGAATTCACGATGAAGAACTTTACCTTAGAGATCGTAATTGATCACGATCATTATCTGTTTCTGGTGGTTCACACTCGAAACTTGCTGCCATCAATGCTAAAAGAAAATACTCTTCTCATCATCATTGGATTACTCGATCAAAACACATACAATCTTCACTGAACACAGGACTAGTAACAACATAATTGATAATGCTTTCATAACGAGTAAACGAACACTGAAAACATCTTGTTAATAATATGATCAGAATTGTCTAGTCGCGAACTTACTTTACTCGATTTGCATCGCATAAATTCTTCGGAAATAAATCGAGCAAGAATATAAAATTTCTACAAGAACATGAACATTTGCGTTCAATCGACAAGTTATTAAGCGATAAACTTTACCTTTAGATTAAGTTCTTCCTTTCCATTGTCATTCATAATTATATCCGATGAGCGAACTTTGATAAAATACACATCGCGCAAAAAGATGCTCAAAAATGGTATAATGACCTCGAAACGATGCAATTAATCAACTTATCTTAAACATAAATTCAATCTTACCATGCCCGATTGCCAATGATGTTTTTCAGCTCGTTGCATTGCTGCTTTCACAATCGATCGATATATACAGAAGTTCTTACTTGGATTCATGTACTTTTCTAATGTATCTAATTTGGCACGATTGGCTTTACTCCACTAAAAATTGACAATTCGCATTTCGTCCCTTTGTTCAATAACGCTGTTCACATACCGTTTTCTTCAAACGTTTAACTGGCAACATATTTAGACCGCCTAGGTAAATAAAACATACGTTATGTTAGAATTTCCTCTACGATCAAGTGATTAAACAGCATTCATGATACATACGAAGGAGAAAAGGATCAACTAACAAAATATGTCGTTTCCTCAAGGTTCTATCTTTCAAGTGTACAACAAATGTTAATGAGATGTTGCTCTTTAGAAATTGAATGAACATCAATGAGATCTTTAATCTTACCTAAAATTCCCATCATTGAATTGAAATTTCCGGTATTAAAGCATTCTAAAGCTGCATCAATAAAATAATTCAAAAGTTTAACACGTATGTGTCGCTTTAAATGTTTGATGATCTCGGTGGTAACGAACAATGATAAACGATTACTCCAGTTGATATAAGCTTCGAGACAAGATGTCCACGGTAGCGAGGAAGACGATTTTTTCGATTCTGCATCTGACGTCGATGATGAATCAGACGAACGCATGTGAATGAACTCTTCAGCACCAATAGCTTTCAACCGATCCTATAGAGCAGAGTTTAGTTAAGAATGAGTTCTTATACAGGTAGAGTTACTAATTCAATATGGGTTAATTGATGTGCGAATTCTTTCGGACATGGACATTGCTCGTAAATATCCGTCTAAAACAAAGAGAGACAAACACGAGAGAAATGAAATGATATTCTATCGATGGAGAACAAACAGTTAACGCTGAAGTTGTTAAACGATTGGATATTTCGTTTTCAATTAATTGTAAATATTGTTCGTATCGTTCGAGAATGTTTAGCTAAATAGAGACAATTACAATGGAGCGAGTTTAAATTCGATATCGTTACTTTTGTTGAAATGTCGGATAGAAGTAGTTTTATATTTGGAGTAAACATTGGATCGAGTTTAATGATTTGATTTGTCACACAGTCGAGTTGATTCATCAGAGTTGGTGTTCGAAAATCATATGAGAAAGTTTTCGTCCAATGTATCAACATGGTCAGATAATTTAAAATCAAATTCGTTCGTTGTTCCTATGCGTGTCAAGATCAGATGCGAATAGATTTCAAATCTTTCTTACTTGAAAAATGTGTGCGAGATTACTAAACACTGTTCTTGCTATTTGATTAAATAGTAAAGTCGGATTGAGATGCGTTCGAACGCAGAGAAGAGTTGGATAGAGGAACGTGATCTGACAAAAAAGAAGAAGAAGAAGCAAAATTACATGTATTTTCATAGGAGAATACGATTGTTACTTCTGGTGTACAGTTTGATGTTGGAGTTATACGTTCGATTAAGTCATCAAGAGTGATCGAATCAGTGCGAACGGTTGAAAAATCTGGTCCTGGTGTAGGTGAACGAAATGTTGTTTCATCATTATTATAACCATATCGATGTTTATCGTCCAATAGTGAAGGTTGCTTGAAAATAAGAATACAGATTTCGATTTAAAAGTGTTCATTTAATGACAGTGACTCACTAGAACGTTTTCATAGTGTAATGGTGCTTTGTTGGGCAGAGTGGAAGTTGGACGAAAGACAGCTGTTCGAACGAAATATTTCGGATTTGAATAAGAAAATGACATATCCGATGGACAGGGACTTGCACGATTCATATTCAAACTCGTTTGACTTGCGGTACGTGGCATATGTTGTTCAAATATCGGAAGAGTCGCAGTTGTCGTAGTTGTTGACGATGAAACACTATCGACACTGTGTGTACGAGGATTTGAATGATGACGAAAGTATCGAAAATCCGGAGACAACGCTTCTGGTACGGGCTGTGGTGGTGGAGAATGAGGCTGCCAACCTGCATACGATCCGTTGCGATGTTGATTGAAATAAGCTTTTCTTAATAGTTTTTCTCGCTTTTCTCTTGCCGTACCGAGAAACATTCCATGACTTGATGATGATATCGAAGAGTTGTTGCTACTACTGCCATATCGATGATGCATTCTTTTCGAATCCTAGAATAGCAAAAAAAAGAACGAGCGACATTTTATGGTTTCATCATGCAAAATACATCAAAAATGAAGTGTAAAGACACTTGAATGTATGTAAGGCATACATATATATATATGTGAATAAATAGAGGAAAAAAATCGACGCATGAATGAAAAAGAAGTTAAATGAAACTGTTTTTTCTTCATCAATTTTTTTTCATTTGCTTATTTATTTGTTCGAAGTAATCAAATATATTACTGAAAATCAAATTACGAATCAAATACGTTTACCAAGCAATTATGCCGGGTGTGTATTTTTCAATTAAGGACAAATAATACGGTTTAAGTTCTTCGATGTTCGGTAAATCATGATCATCCTTAGTATATAAATCGAATTTTTGAAACCGACGGACCCATTCTAACATGCGAACATCCTTTTCATTGCACAAATACATGTAATCATTGCCTGTATGCCTAAAAGATTAATAGTATTAAGCAGAAAGAACTTCATGTCAAAATCGAAGCAAAAAAGAAAACTCGTACCAAGGATAAAACGAATGATATCGTATAATATATAAACCTTCATCGGGTATGGTGCATGTTGGATGATTAATCAAAACACGATAGAGATACTCATCATGTCCCCATGACATCAGACACCGATCAAGACCACAATGGGGTGTGTACATGCCAAATTTTGTCGAGTAAATCTCGTTATTTAAATCAGGATTATTTTCAAATGTCGATTGACGATATACAATTTTCTCACTGAATTCACACCCGACAGGAAATGTATCGCCTACGACAGCCCATTGTGGTTCGTTGTAGAGGGCCAGGATTTTCCCACAATCGTGAATTAGACCAACAAGATGGAACCAATCTTGGTCTGGATAGACTTTTCGAATGCCTTCAGCTGTTTGAAAAGCATGGTAGATGTTAGGTACATCAACATCCGGGTCACTTTCATCGACAACTGCATTGAGTTTTTCCAAAACTTCATACATGGTCAGCCGCACATGATCAAAATTCAACCAACGATCGTGCTGTTGCCGAACGAAATCTACACATTGATGTGTATGCATTTGTTTGTATGTATTGAATACACGTTGGGCAATGGGCATATCATTGTCTGTCGGATTTTCGACATAGTATCGAAAGCTACTCGTGGGTATTTTTGTTTGCAGCATGTTTTCGAAAAAATTTTTTTTTGTACGAGAAAACAAAGTTTATATAAGTTCGAAAAGCGATAGCTCATCTCATTAATTGATAAGAGTGTTATACTTTCGAAAATAAACTATAATCAAATGATAAAACTTAACTTACTTCGTGTGCCGTGTTTTTTTCGGCTTGCACTTCACAGTCAGTTGCTTTTGTAAATGAATATGCAGATAAGTGTCGACAATAATATTTTCGTGTCTAACCTTGATCGATTGTGAATAATTCAAACGTATCCTAATGGTGCAATGAAACGAATGTAAAACGAAATCTAACTGATCATCTTTATCCTTCTGTTGTTAATGTCCTCAATGATCATTTACTTAACGAAAACTTAAATTCGTCATTCTTTTCTGTCTTGCTCTTTCTCTCTTTATTCACCTTTTTTTCTTCGCATTCTCTTTCTTTTCGTTTGTCTTGGTCGAGGCCGGATGTACAATCGATTTAGATGCAGTTTCGTCGGTATTTTTTCTTTCGTTTCTTTTGGGAAGTAAAGAAATGAATCAAACACATTATGTATGCAAACTCGCATTATTGGCGAGGATGATAATAGTGCTAACGTTTTTGCCAAATAACAAAACTTGAAAGAAACTGTAATTACATAAACTCCTGTGTAGATTTCATAGTACGAATAGAGAGAAAAGAAAAAACGACAGAACGAACGAACGAATCAATTCGCGAGGATTGATAGAAGAGAAAATCTGTTGCATATTTCATTATGTGATAGTTTAACTCTTAATTAAATACAATGAGAATTAACGAAACAAGTAAAGATGAGTTGGCGTACATGTGAAATCTTTTTGTCCACACTTGTCTCGCCGTTCGACAATGTCTGTATGTTTACTCTCATATTAGAAAATGCACGTAAATGCATAAAAACAATAGAAGACATGGAGAAAGAAAGAAGAAAAAAAAAAGAAGTGACGTTAATACTAAGAAAATATCCTTTTGAGTCCAATTAAAATAATCAATTGTAAGGTAATAAGAAGAACAAAGTACGAGAAAGTCGTTGGATGTGATGAACCCGTATTACACATTTCTTTTGCACACATACAAAACCGACCGATGGTAAAGTTCGAGCCTGTTGTATGTCGGTAACAAACATCGATTTTGGGTAAACGATAAAGAAAATAGTCGTTCAAACAGCCTCGGCGTACAAATGTTTGATTGGTTGATGTCCCATCGAAATGAAAGAATTTCACACAATAATCAGAACATTCCACTGTACGATTAGCACGAGTTATTTTGAACGGATCATTACAATAGTCGTCCACACGTGAATCACATTGGTAACAAACAAATTTGGCCATTGTACATGTTTCTTTCGCGACGACAACGAGTAACGTTCGTAATTGTTGAATAAATATCGACAGATAAATTTGCGATAGCTACGAAATTCAAAAAAGATCAGAAAGAGATCACTGCAGTGTTCAAGATTGTATACATACCAATTTCATCGTTTGCAATCATTAGAAAACATGATTAGTAAATAGAAAACGGAGAATGCGCATTAGTTTCAATCATGATGATAATCAAGTCATTCAGAGCATATCTATAACGATTAAATGAAAGATTAGTTAGAAATACAATGAATCCTAGACAATAAACGTTATATCCGACCTTGTTTTGATTGGTTTCTATGGTGTGTGTGTGTGAGAGATAGAACGACAGTTTGTTTCAGACTATTATCATGATCATCTTCAATAGTATGAATTTGGGCTAAGCGCGACGACTATCTTCTATCTGTTATTTCCGTTGCGCTTTTCTTCTTATTTTCTTTCTATGCGCTTCGTCATCACCAATATGAGAACATATTGGATCTAATGCATTGCGTTCTTCTTTCTCCTCTTTTCTATCTATCTAACTCTCTTTCAATATAGAGATATATTGTCCTAAGTCTCGCTAATAGTCGTCTTATTCTAGTGCGACAATTCAGTGCATATTGCCCTATTAAACTCGATACTTCGCAAGAGTAATGTCAAAAGGATGGAAACTAAGATTTCGTCTGACCGATAAGGAAGATATGTGAATGTGAATGCTCAGTCATGCATGGATACCGAATGAAGAATCTCATGTTCTATTAAAATTAGTGATCTTCATAGTCTCTCATTTTCCTTCTTTTTTTTTGTACTAATGAATAATGAAGAGTGAGTGTTCTTCCATGGGGAAATTCTCATTTGTAGTCGTTCGTCATCATTATCGTTCGCATTCTCGTCATCATCGTTGTCATCAATAAATATGAAGAATTATGGAGAATGAAGGAAATAATAGTGCTCGATCATCGATTCATATTACATTATTCGTTCTCTCGCTTCCCTTGTTTAGTCAAAGTGATTTCTTCCTCTTACAGATGGTATTCTAATAGTTTACAAGCATCCTGGAAGAAAAATAACTATGTTCTAGCACCGACACGAAGACTTACTAAGTAACACTGCGATCGTTTTCGAACGTTCAAAGATAAAACTCATCAGTTTTCATATTAGCAACGGGCTTTTAACTTTGTTCCTACTTCCACCATTGATGCCGTCTGTCATGTCTGCATCATTGCGTGTATACATATCTATGTTTTCCATCTGTAGACACCGACTTTTTTTCTTTTCCTTTTTCTTACTTTTTCTCCTGTTGATGACTTACCGTTTGATGTAATGAACAAACTACTCAAAAGAAACGTCTATTTTGCTGAGCATTTCTTCACTCTACGCGTGCGCGCGCACACACACACAGTTTCTCTTCCCTTTGTCTGTCACCCTCAATAGACATTTTAGTATTACTCTTCTCGTAAGAGAGCAAAACGATTTTGTTTCCAATAGAAATTCGAACAAACAATAAGCAAGAAGAAGAAAAAAAAGGAAAGACGAGAAGAAACAAGTCTCTTCTAAACATTACTGACACTAAGTCAGGGAGATGTTCCTCGTTACTGTCTGTTTTTTTTTCGGGGGCTATCGCAATCGATTATTTGATGTCGAGACAAATGATGGAAATACATAGAAATATTTCTCGCGATTTGTTTTTCCGTATATACAGTTGCCAATGACCTCGAAATCTGTTTCACATTGATCGAAACACGACCGGATACTTTAATCTATTGAACAGATCACTCGACTAGCTAGAGAATGTAGGCATTGTTAATGCGTTTTTTTTCATTCATCATTTATTACCTAGTTTGGTTTCCGGTATAGTTATTATGGTATTGAAGTAATATGAATGCGAACATTGAACTACATTGGAATAGACAGAAGAAGAAGAAGAAGGAGAAGAAGAAGAACTCTAATAATTCTACTTCGAATGACAGAAATAATCTTTGTCTAGATTTGTCTCATGATATGTCAATAAGTTTTTTTTCTCTTTAAGTCAACTTCTTCATTCAGTAGATTGCTGATCAGACAAGATTTTCATTTATTAAGAAAAGATTCCACGAAAGAAAAGAAATTAATATCATTGAACAAGGAATAAGAAAGATTTATCACAACAATAATAGATATTCTTTCGATTCTCGACTTCACATGTCCGCATTGAGGAAAAGCAAAACCGAGTTATACAAGCAAATTGCTTTTTTGTCTAAACTATTCATTTGATTTGCAATTTATAAGTTGACATTTCAGCGAATGGAACATCGATTTTCGATGTGACAGTTAATTGAGTTCTTACAGCGCGCAACGATAATGTGGTCTGTTCAACAGATTGAATTTGATTTGCCAGAAGAAAGTGTTCGAATGTCGGTTGTTCGAAATGAAAGAAATTGTCGTAGTTATCATCACAATCATAAGCAAATCTTCGGATGATCAATGCCATGTTTGTCGATGGACTATATTTAGAATCATCTCGGTTTTCGTTCAATGTACGTAGATTAACCAGATGATAATCGCTTGGGAAAAGATTTGGCTTAACAAACAGAGTCAATTCATTCGGCGTGACTTTTAAATTCGATGTCGTTTGAAGTACATGCATAGGATAGAGAAGTTCAATGGATTGATGATGAGCTAGAAGTGTTGGGTAGCCTGTTAATGAGGTATGGTCGGCAGCCTGAAGGAAAAGTCAATTAAAATACGATTAAACTTTAATAAATTAGTTTTACGCACCGTTTGACGTGATTCAAAAAGAAGCTTGAAAGTACTGATAACTTCTCGATTATCTGTTACACCTTGTCCAACACCACGGTTATCGTCTCGAGTCAAACGTCGATCAAGGAAAACATCGACAACGCCTAAATGAATCCATTGATCATTGATCAGAGTGATTTTGGTTTTAGAATAAGTTTTTACCGGATTTCAAACTTGCCACGCCTGATGGTTGTCCAGCGAGAACACTAAATCTCATGTGATCGTCTTCAATATAAGCCATCGCTGGCATTGGATAAACATTGCCTTGTAAAGGTAATTTACTGTACGTTTTTCGTCGAATAGTCTAGATAAATTCGATATATATGCATATATTGAATCAGATTATCAAAGTAGGCCAATTTCTTCTTCTGCTTAATCGAATTGACAACTTATCAAAGGTTATTGTAACTGATCCATGTGTTTATTAATAAACAGAAGAGACTGAAATCGAATAATTTAGCTACGATAAGCACAGATGTGTTTCTGTTAGAGTAATCGATAAATCTGTGTAAACAATGAATATTACGTCTGAAGCCGACGTTTTTATGTTATTCTCGTTCTCTCTCCCTCTTTCTCCCAACGTTGTTGATGCTACTGCCCTAAATCGTATATATGGTTTTCGAACGTCTCAAATCATCTGAATGACTGATATATCATAACCGAAATGACTTGAGAGTATTGAACGCGACATGAAATGAGATCGAAGTCAAAAATTATGCTCAATAGCTATTGAATTATATCATATGTACATCACAAATGATCTGTACAATTCGACTTATTCTCCTGAGTAAACAGATAATCTATCTGATGACATCTTCACGTGGAGATGTTTACGCATTGGATGAGTGTCTATGATATAAGCCATACTCGACGTGTTTTCCTCAGAAATTCAATTAAAATATGCCTGACAGTTCAAAAGACACGAAGGCGGATGCCAATGTAATTGAGATAAAAGACAATATTATATCAATTATTCATTACAAACGACATATATGAACTAGAAGAAATATTATCTGAATGTATATACAGATATAGAAGAATGACCTTGAAACTTTTCCAAACGGGTCAAATGTGAGTCAATACAGACTTACTTGAAATCCGTTGAGATCCGTGAAAAATTCATCGCCATTTTTTATTCCAGTTGTGAATCTCAATGCTAACTCGATATCTTGATTCATATTTAAATGAGTGAGTGTGCCAAGTTCCACGACATTATCATCAGTGCCTAAACGATAAAAATTCGCAAGAATACAATTTCTTTTCTGCGCTATCTTCATTTTACTATTAATATTTGTCAATTTATATTGTAGACCGTATAGTTCATGTAAGATTTCGATTCGGCTGACTAGCGGACCTCGCTGAATACGAACGAGGTCGTGAGAACCCATGGCTACTTCCTTGGCTTCACCGTCCGGTATGAATAAATATGCTCCACTGTTATGATCAGACTGACTTGATGAACCATAACGGATGACACCGGTAACAAAAGAGATTTCCTCGTTCGATTTGAGGTTTTTCACCGTCTGTAAGACACCATCTTTGGAAAAACTAAGCGAGAGAAATCGGTTGTTCAATTTAATCTCATTCTCGTTGACTAAATCCAATTTAAATGGCCTAAAAACCCGAAAGAAAAGAAAAAGATAATTTTCATATTGAGAAGAAAAGCTTTCTACCCAGATGATGAACCCATAGCTTTCTCTTTTTCTTTGATGTATTCAATAGTACTCAAAGGACATGATTGATGCGTTGTGCTCGCATGAATTGTATATTCTTTCAGCACATACGATTCTATATCGACCAGAATAAGAAGCTAAAAGATGCACAATTGTAAAAGAACTGCCGTCAAAGACTATTGAAAATACTTCGAAATATTTATTATCGATCACATTCGATTTTCTTCCTGTCCATTTTGGATCGATTTGACAAGCATTGACTACTTGTTGATTACTTGTGACGTACACCTGGTGCGTATCAATTAGAAGTTTAACGAGTTGGACACGTCGTTGATCAGTTGGGTTGTAAACATAAAGAACTCTGTGGATGAAGTCGAAAATGAATGATCAAGAATATCTTTTATTTCGAATTTTACTTCAATTTTTGCTCTTGACCATTAAACGAAATCATTCGTTGATTTGGCAAAGATTCATATGTTTTGAATTCTGTATTTGATAGTAACAAATCCGTTTTCGGAGAGAATTCATTGGGAAAAAGAAGATAGGCCGCTGCTTGTTCTATAACTGTTTGTGCAGATTTGATTGCTGTTTCTAGCCTGAAAGAAACTTATCCACATGGAAATCAATGCACTAAAAATAGATGTGTCATACTTTGATCCATAATCATTAACAACTTGATCTTTGGCTGTACCAGTAACACCATCATGATGTTGAAATACGCCTAGATTGCGTCGAGCTTTGACCAACAGATTGAACAAATCATTGTTTGGAAATTGATTGTTACTTTTTTGTTCAAGTGTTTTAACATGTGCTAAAGAGTAGATTATTTCACTTGCTCTGAAATAAACAATAGAAATTACTTATCAAAATTTGAATCATCAGCAGAAATTTCAAAGAAGAGAATACATATTTCCAAATATTATAATCTTATGATCTCAATATATTCCGCAAAAAAACTCAATTAGAAACTCCGGTCACATCTCCATGGGTATGTTTAATTTGATTGCTAGACTCATATAATCTATAATGCAGCAAGAACGAACATCACATACTCTTTCTCAATCAACACAGACATGTATCAAGGGAAATGAACGTACTGATTATTTGTCATTCATGTTCTCTAATTATTTTATCAATGTTAATTCGGTTGTCTTTCATTTTTTTTTCTGTCGGAAATACAGTTATGCAAACTCTTGTCGATAATTTCATTTCCGATGAACTTCTTCTCACCTCAAATACGATTCGACAATTCGGTCCATTCTTTTGAAGAATACTCGTGATGTGAAATAACCACTCCAATAATGATCTGCTCGGTCGGCATATGTAAAGAAGTCGCCCATATAAGTTGGAAATTGTGATTGAGGAGTATTTCGAAGAAGCTCTTCAAAGTAATCACTTAGTGTACCAAATCGAGCCTAAAAGATTTGTGAAACAGATCTAGAGTTGAAGTTTTTCAAAAATTGAACTAATCATACTTCAACATGCCAATCCGCCCGTTGATTCATGTATGTAAACAGTTTATCATAGTTTTCAAACTGTTTCTTAGCTTCTTCCATTGATGTATAACGAAAATCATCGCCTAATTGAATAAATACTACGTTTGTTTGGTACAATTGCGATTTTTTTCGATATTGATCGAGTAGTGTCTCTGCTCTGAACATAAAACAATAATTTCAAGTCAAATATTATTCAGATATACCTTTCTTGAACATTGTCATCTGTAATTATCACAGGATCTTTTCCCCAAGGACAACTAACGCTTGAACCACGCGCACGTTTGAAGTCAAATTGACAGCACACTTTGGGATCAGGACCGCATGTATGTGGAACATCATAGGAATAAAATGGAAGCACATGTGTCATAATCCTTGTAGACGTGGTTCGATCTAAAAGTCGAAAATTTTCCTTTGTTGAATGATGAAAATAACGTTCGGCGAACTTTACCCCAGGTTTGTTGCCAAACGAATTCTAATTGTTTTTGTTTCGCTAATTCTTTTTTTATATGATAATGAACACTGAAAAGTAAGAAAAACAATCTTGATTAAATGAGACTTTTTTTCATGGTAGGCCAACGAACCGCTGAATAGCCATGTATTTCATGCCAGTACTACGTAATAAATATGCCATCGTGGGTGAATAACCAAAAGGATCGTTAGCCCAACCACTTTGTAACGATACATTTCCTAAAATAACAGAGTTCTCTTTTATCTAATGAACTGTATGGAAAAGTCAGAATCGTTTTTCTCCAGTAGGTCACATATAGAGTGAGAGCACGAACCTAAAATATTTTCAAGAAACTGATGTCCTTCGATGAGCTGATCGAGCATTGCGAAATAATGGGTATTTGCTTCGTCATTCATTACCTAGAATACCAAGAAGAATTATTCGATGTTCTCTTCAGTCGAATCAGCGAACGCCTTACCCAACCACCAGTAACAATTTCTAATTGTTTGTTTTGAACAATTTTTCTCAGTGTTTGCTTTTGACTTGACGATGCTTGGTCCCACCATAAACTCAAAAACGACATTTCAGCCCATACGAATTTATACTTCTCATTCTTATCCAGGATGTCAATCACGGTATCAATAATATACTTTGTAGCTTGTGAAAAGTATTGTTCAAATGTGTGAATCCAACCTGAATGAAGAAAATGAATACAATATCATCAACTTTCCAATGTTTTCTTCTCTGAAATGTACCTGGATCGCAATGAGAATGAGGCATGAGGATCACTTTCAATTTCTTATCAGATGCCCATTGAGAAGGCGAATATCGAATATCAAAACCTTGTTTCCATACTCCTCCATCAATATCATCAAATGGAAGTTTATCATACAATTGGCGAATCTTTTTAAGATAGAAACACAGATTTGAGATGAGGTACGAATGAAATATGTTACTTCGAATGTGGTTTTAGTTGGAGAAGACTCTCGCCAAGCACATCTTTCTTTTGAACTTGGTATTGGTTTCTTCTCAGTTGATTTTATCACTGGTTTTTCTTTGAGAACCTCTTGCTGTGGTTCCACTGGTCGGACAGGCTGGGTTGGTGGTGGAGGTGCTGGAATAGGTTGATCTTTTTGTTTTTTATGTACTTCTTTGACGGATTTATCGAGATCATGAATGGATTTTTCGAGATTATCAAGACGTTCATCAAGTTGTTGATCATCAGCATTCTACACAGAAAGAATAAATATCATATTGAAAGTAAATCTATCTGCTGTAGCTTATATCTTACCTGATGTTCATTTCGATTGGGACTCACTGATTGGAGCATAGAATACAAAACAAAAACTACCATCAGAAAGAAGGCTAAGAACAAGAAACGAGTATAACGTCGAGGAATCATCTATAATAAAAAGTTATCATCATCATCATTATTTCGACATCGATAGCTTTGATAAGTTCACAACTGCAATTCCCATTATTGACAACACACAACTAGCGCTATTTAAAAATCTCTATTAGAATTGGTGAAATGATCACATGCTGGAATATTCGACCCATTTTCAAACATGTTTTCCATCTCTCCTTCAGATATTTCTCACCATCTAGGGAATAATCTGTATCTACAAAACATTAGAACAAGATAAGAGCGATAGTTTTATTGATGCATACAGAAATATTTCTTTTTTATACATAAATTAATGTTTAACAGTAATACACAACAAAAACAGAGAGAGAGAGAGAGAAAAGAAAAATAAATGACAGGCATAATTGATTGATATCTAACAAAAATATATTTTGTCGATAAAAGATTAAAACAAGAAAATATACATGTCGATGGATAAATGATTTGATATATGATCAGAACTTTGTCAATAGTTTACGTGAGAATGTACATTTAAAGAAAGAGAAAACAAAGACGGAAACAACGGAATTCTGGAATATTTTGATTCATAAAAACAACAATAATGGGGAAAAAATAGAGAGAGAAATTTACTGTGATCCTTGCTTCCTTTTTCGACTATAAATAAAGCCCATTAATTAAATAATCTGCATCTGTTGAACGGCTCTTTAATACGCGGCCGCGCTTCCAAGAATCTCGACAATAAAAGCCAACCAAAACAAGTAGCACAATTGTGAACATTAAACCAAGCAGAAAGAGCAAAATAACACTTGATTCACGTATGAATGATTTTGTGTGAGGATCAGGATCTGATTCAACGCCATTCACTAAAAGTAAACAAAAAATAACATACTTTGTTGAAGGAAAGAGCATTGAAATAATCTATAGCAAAGCGCAGTTTGATTGATAAAAGCAAAACAAAGCAACGACGACATCGAAACTACCTCGTATCAGCGTTGTCATTGTACCCTCGCGATTCATTGGCGGGTATTTCGGTCTTGAGCGCCGCGTTGTTGTTGTTGGTGTCGTACTCTTCGTTTTTTGTTGGTAGTTATATCGATTTCCGCGACGGTCATCATATGTCGGTTGCCAGTAATATCGATCACCGTCTTCATCATTGCCACCATCTTCCTCTTCATCATCAGGGATTTCGTCATCGATCGCAGATGGTGGGCGACGTCCCCTTGAATCATTTCCTTGATTGGTTTTAGGTCGTTTAGTCGTCGTGCTCGGCGCAGTTGTCGTTTTTCGGCTGATTGGTTTCACTGGTTTCATTGTAGTTGTTGTTGTCGTCGTCGTTTTCTGTCGATCAGCAATCCATTGTTGCTCGAGCGCAAGTAAATGATCTTGAAAATTATCGTCATCTATCGACGAAGATGACCCTGTTTGATCTACTTCCGAATTCGAATGATCTTGTTGTTGATGTTGAATCAACGTCTGAAATAGGTGGTACCAGGCTTCGGGTCCTTTAGTTTTTTCTAAATACTCTTTGAGTTTCTGTAATTTGGATATACGATCCTGTGTTTCAAGATCAATGTTATATAAATAATTCGATGTTACATTTTTTGCTGTTTTTTCTCCTAGAAGAAAGCGTTCGAGAATATTTCAATGAGATGAGAAAGTACGAGTCATGCCTTCACGATCTTTTGATTTGCCTTTCGATGGCGATGATTTCGCATTCGCACCAGTCTTTGCTGAGCCCTTCGTAACTGTTGACTTCGTAGTTGCTGGCTCTTCATCAGCAATTTCGTCGAAAACTTCATCGAGCTCAGTGTTTGTGTCACTATCAGAACCAGCCAAAGGCTTCTTTCGATTTTCCTGCTGCGTACGTTGATGAGCGATGAATTCTAATACAACGAAGGAAATTATTCATTGCATTAAGGGAGACAAATTCAACACGGCAACGATAACAACAACAACAACAACGACGACTACAATATCAATTAAATACCCGATGTGCATTTTTCTTCGTCAATACCCGATGGGCAATCCTTATAGGAATTACAGACATCGTAATATGGAATACAACTTCCATCTTCGCACGAGAACTCTGTACTTCGACACGTTGAAGCTAGATCAATCAAAATTCATCACGATTTAGTGGTCGTCTCATCATCGAACGAGTAGAAAACAAAATAAATGAAAATTTTTACTTACAAAGCGTGGATGATGATGCATCGGAACCTTTCTCGTTGGTTTTCGCTTGTTTATTTGATGTCGGTGAGTCATCATCAGTCAACAGATCTTTCTTCAAAACCATGCTAGTATAATCTTGATGTGACGCAAATGTACAACTACCATTACATGCAAATAAATAACATTTATAACCGTTCTAGAAGAACCTTGCAATAAAAACGAATTTTTTCATTCGTAAATTCGTCTTACATTCGTACGTTGTTCACTTAGCATCGCTAGATCACAATCTTTCTCCACGCAACAGTTTAACATACAGATATCTTTAATATCGAGACCATGCGATGCAGTTGGCTCCTCGAGTTGAACAAAACGTATCATCCGTGCACCATTTTTGAGTTCTTTCACTTTAACCAATTGCTCTGCTTGAATATCAAATTCGTTGATGCATATCGAAGCTTCCTCCGCATAATTTTCAGTGGTTGTCGTTTTCATCCTTTGCGTGCTTCGATCGATCGTCTGAGACAATCTCGTTTGATTTGTATATTTTGATGAATGACTTCGATGAATCGGTTTCTCCGACTCATCAGGCGACTCGACTTCATCGAGAACTTTCTTCCGTGATGGATATTTCTTCTCGCGCTGAAATGTCCCAGAAGATGCTTCTTTATCATCAAATGAGTCTTGCACGTATTCTTTATTGGAATGAGATTTGTGAGGTCTATGTTCATCGAATAGTTTGTCGAATTCATTGTCATCATCATTGTGACGACGTAGCTCAACTTGAACAGATAAACACAGAAGAAGGAAAAAAACAAATTTCATCTAAAAACATTGATGGGCTAAATAGACTTCGTTCGTGTAAACAAATAGCTAAAAGGATTCCATTACGCAGAAATAAACCAACCTTGAATATCAAAACAACATCGAGAGAACCACTTAATCTTACCAGATTTCAACATACGAAGGGCTATAACATGTTGACATAGTTAATAGGAAAACTGTATCTGAAAACAAAAAATCAAACTACGTAATTAATTGTTTTTACTTAGGTTGTCTAAAGAAATTCTACGTGAAGAAAAGCAAAATGATCAGACCGAAAACAGGAAGGATTACAAATAAATGACTAATATACATACAAATGTGTTTTTTTGCATGTGGAAAAAGAAACAAACGCAAAAAAGAAGGATTTTTGAAATCGATAAGAAAAAATCAATTGTGGAAAAAGAAGGTATCTTGTTTTTTTTTTTGGTTTTCTTGTTTAATTATGTTTGTTGGTGTTGACTAGACGATTATCTATTAACTTCTATTCATTAATGGTTTGTTCATTGTTCAAGTTTAAAAAGGAAATACCAATCAAAATCAGCACCATATTTAATGTAAAAACAAAAAGAAAACAGGATAATGAGATTGCCAAACAAAATGTAAAAGTGACGATAGTTTATGTATGTGCATTTCAAAGGATCCATGATCATTTATTGCTAATACGTTTTTGACGTACTGAAAGTTAAAAGAAAGAGCAAATAACAACGAAGAATTAGGTGAAAATTCAGCTTACAAGCGTCCAGATTTTGCTTAAGTTTTTCAGTAACACGAACACGTGGTCCAAGAGTATCGAATTGTAAGTTTAAACGAAGAAGTGTATTGTTTTGTGCGATAGCATCAGCAACTTCCATTTCAACTCGATTGCCGAGAATTTGAGAACGCTAGAGAATATGACCATCATTTCATGATTGAATAGATTCCTTAGCTCTCTCACGCGAATGTATTTCTCAATGTTCTTTTCTCGAAGCGCTGGAAAAATGTGTCGACTCAAGTCGACACTTTTCACGCTGATACTCGTTGTCAATTGAATTCTATTCCCAACAGAAAATGACTATTAGCTTATGTCAGTAAAGTGTCCTCTGTCGGAACATGCATTTGGATTTAACCTTGAAATATGATCATATCGCTTTGTCAAATGATTTCCTTTTGAGTAATTTTAATACTCATCTAATATTTAATGTTCGTTCGAATGTTAATCGGTCTTCTACTAAAAAATGAATGAGCTCTGATCAACCTCCGATTTGAGTACGGATTGATAACCTTTAAAAGAGATCTTCTATCTGGAATCAACAACATTCCTTTCCCTTCCTTTCCTTATCTAAAGGTCATTTGACAGGAATCTTTTGTTTCTGCCTAGTTAACTAACATCTGGAGGAAAAAAATATCTTTTATTTACTTGATTTGAGAGACGCAATTCCAGTAATGTTTGGTTTTTCAATGTGCCTCGTACAATTTCACTGATAACTAAACCTGTTAACCGATTTGATTCAGCATTGACAGTTTTCAAAGTTGAATTAGCGTCGAGAAGCTCGGCAAGCACCTAGGAAAGAATTGATTTCAAAAATTGAGAGCATATTTTCATGTTTGATAATAATTTCATAAACATACTCGACCAACAGCATCTGTCATTCCAACATTCGCCATTTCAAGTGTTTCAACATGCGTATTTTCTTTTAAGGAGTTAAGTAATTCTTTCAAAACGTCAGCTTTCACTTCTTTGATGTTGTTAATGTTAATGCGTGTGAAATCGGTTTCATTCGCCTTAGCTCTCTTGATACAATCTTCAACATCCGTTGTATTATCCGGTTCGGGTGGAATTATTCTCAATGGTTCACTTCGTGCAGCAGCTAGAAAAACAAAATAAACTTCCTCAGTATCTTTATCTTTCATATTTCGTACCATTCCATCCACCGACAGTTGATGGTAAACCTTTGTCAGTCAAAGCTGCATGGTATTGAACTTGATTGATTAAACCAGTAAAACCAAGAATAGCTAAATCAATAAAACGCTTACAATTGATTGAAAATCAGATTTCAAAGAACAAACCGGCAAGTTCAACGATTTCTGACTCGTTCGCATTGGTTAAAACATCATCCCATTCGGTTGAAACCAGAAATTCATCGTCTTCTTCTTGATTTGGCTTCGTAACAGCAGGTGGTTGCCAGACTTTACCTTTCTTCTCGCCAGGAACATACGATTTGTAATGATCCCAGTCTTTCTCGTTCTTTCCTTGTTCAGTTAGAAATTCAAGAAGTTTAGTACGATCATACGGGCCAGTTGGATCCTTTGTTGTCTGTTGCTTGCAACGTTCACTTGCAGGTAAATACGAATTCTACACGAGTAGAAAGACACTTTCTATATTGAGAAACATAGAATTAAATTTTTTCAATGACTTACTTCAGGATCGATGATATCGTTCACTTTTTCAAGATCTTCTGGAGTTAGAGAAGCGAGAAGAGCATCGAAATCATCCATACTGAAATTTTCGGTTGAGCTTTTAGTTGTTGCCATCGAGATTATTATTTGAAACAACGAAAAATCACTTGAATAATGGCAGCGAATACAATCGTGAGCAGCGCTCGAGAGGTGAATAGTCCTAAAAAAGGAAACAAAAATAAACACCGATATAAAGCACCAATCAGCCAATGGGATGTGTAACAGATGTAACGAGAATTCTTTATAGAGGGCATGCCAATCGATTCGATTGGAGAATGATTTTCGCAGATTTTTATGAGAGATAAATTATCTAACTAACTGCTCTGATATTTTTCAATGTCAAAATCTTAATTATATCGATTACCATTTGTTGTGCTGTTAAGTACAAAGAGAAGAATTATACTGTCGCGATGATTAATGACACAAATTAATATTAGCTGTGATATATTCTTTCTGTTTCCAGCATTTAAGTCGTGTCTGGTATATTAGAACACGTATGCTTTAAGTACAAGATTTTATTTCGTAGTTTATTCGTAAATAAATCAATCTCAATGTTGTTGGCATGTTTTAAAGTAATCGTCTCGATGCGAGACCCACTAGCATAGGTAGTATCATCGAAAATAATCTTGTAGTTGAGGCTTTTGAATTAAAAAACTGATCATAGTCGAATTGAGTGGCTAAATCTCGTCGTATGTTCTCAACATTCGCTACTGAATTGCATTGCTTGCCCTGTTGGCATCGAATAAGTATAGAATCCAGTTGAGTTTGATTGGTGACTAGAAAATGCGTTCCATATAAAAAGAAATTGTACACGGTTTGATCGTCAGGACAAACGGCGCATATGGTGCTTGTTTGTGCAAATTCGGCGATGATCATACATCTCTGGCAAAGAGATTTGTTGCTTTTTGGACAAACATCCGTCATGTTTTCATCGTAGAAACAAGAATCAGGAGTGAACTCTTTGGATGGAGCGATCAATGTATCGTATGTATTGATTTGTTCGTCCAGAGGAAATGTCACTGCACGAAAACTTCGTTGGAGATTTTCCACTGTATTACATGGCGATGAATTGGATGAACCACATGTATAGTCAATATATTTTATGGTGGAATAGACCCCAGTTGACAGTGATACTCGACGATCTATTTCAATATTGACACTATCCAAGAGGGAGCCACGGTTTGTGCCATAGAAGACCTCACTTATTCCATGATTGTACCAATTAACACGTACAAAACATCCTGTTTGGGCAGTAATTATTCGACAAGCATTTTTAGTAGGCGAAGGAAAAGTATCGATTGTTAGAGAGTAATTAAATTCCATCATAGGACAATCATAACATGAATATGCAAAGCGAGATTGTACATTGAAAATTAGTAATATATTGAAACAATATTGAAAGTAAACGAAGAAGGACATTGTTGGATCTTTAGTTTTCTTTGTGAGAAGGAAGCCAAAAACGTGTCGTTAAGTAAAACTATCTATGTCGATATATCAACAAAAAACACACTTTCAATCTTACAGATAAGACATCTTCTCTTTCACTCAGCAGTCTTATTTATTCTAATATTTCAAATTGACCATAGCCACCGGAGAAGTGAAACACATTCCGTACAACAAAACTAGTTTTTATCGGAAATAACGGAATCGTACATTCGCTATGACTATAAATATCTTGATAGACTCAATCACACTTCCATCTAATAGTTAACTAATTTGTGTTCGACAGGAAACAGGTTCTTTGTCATTGGTTGTCCTAATGTATTTTTGATGAAATGAATTTTCGATTTCTCTTATATTCCATTAGCATCAACATTTGTTAGCTTGATTTTGAGATGTCGAATACGATACAGTAGTGCAGAGAAAACAGAATGCATGTAACTCCTAGTACAAAGATAAATTCAACAACAATTGGGACGGATACTTATGATACAAATGGCGCTATATTGTACATCATTACGATTCTTGTTTGGTATTCAGTTGGAATCATATTAATGTTAGTCATGCAAATGACTAGCCATTCTCATGAAATTGAAGATTCTGCTAAACGTCGCGCGAGATTTCTCATTCGACATGTAAACGATCATTATGATACAAAAGAGATATTAGGTAAAATCTTCTCATATTCTGTAATGTATAAAAATTTAGTTACTTTGTTTTCAATAGAAGAGTTAGCTAATAAGCAGAATCGAGATCGACTCTGGAATCTGTATTTGGACATCAATTCTAGAAATCGTCTAATGAGAGCGGAAAATATTCGTATTCGTCATATTCAGAAACAACTAGCGATTATAAAACGAAATCATCATTTAACACATGATGGACCTTTTCCTTCCACTGGCGAAAGAACGCATTATCGTGCTAGTCGTTCAGTCGTATCAGAGCCATTAACACCGACTCGACGTGGTTCATCTTTTGATCAGCAAGTTCTCGATCGTTGGAAACAAGCAGATGATCAACCGAAATCATCCGAACAGCAAATAGTACGGTCTAGTGGCACAACTATCATTCGAAAATACTTTCGACGTAGCCAAAAAAAATCTATAGCACCCAAATCTCGATATGCTGATCGTGCTAAGCCGAACGGCGATCCTCAATTCAATGATGTTCTGTTAGCATCAAATCCTACACCCAAACTATTGCGTCCTCGAGTAGAAGCAAGTCTATCGTTGATCACATCAACTGCTGTCAATCAACAACAGCCTTATCTGAGTTATTTCTCACTTCCATCTGCTCCAGAAATCATAAGATAACGATTTTGCTTTGGTTTCCGTTTTAGAGATTAATCCTTTTTTTTATCGCACAGAAAAAGAAGAAAAAAAATGAAGAAGAAAAATTATTTCAAATCAAACAAACACAAATCTTATAGGCTCGACAAATATAAAGAAAATCAACAAAATGCAGCGCACAAATGGACGGAGCGAAAAAGAACAAAAAGAAACGTTTAAGTACAAAGATATGAGTAAATGCCCATACGTATGGCGCCAATACATACAATATACAAAGATTCGGAAGAGAAACACTTATACACACCACGAGATTATTTAAGAAAAGAGGAGAAGAAGATCAAAGGTCAACGCAAAAATCAAAATTGCTAATCAATAGAGGAAGCGTTCGTGATTCAACATGAGACTGAATTTATTTATCACTGTTGGATAGACGAGAAGAGGAAAGAGACTGATCATTGACGTCGTAAACGTTTTAAATCATTATCGGTTGTTGAAAGATTTTCATCGATAGGACGTTTGAGTAATAATTGTTGTTTATCAACTAAATCAACAATGGTCACTGGTTGCTGTTGTTGTTGCTGATTACTGAGAGCGGAAAGGACTTGTTGTTTTTCATTGGCAGAGAGAGTTGAGGATGTTGATGACGAGTCATCATGTGAATCACACGCTGATTGTCAAAGAGCTTTTCCTGGCCTTTGAAATGAAAGCAAAACAAAGAAGTTCATTGAAAGGTTCCAACAGCAATCAATTCTTACAAAGCAAATGACATATTTTTAAAATCATGTTCAGGAAATCCAGTTAGAAATAATGTCGAGCAGCCACCATTCAATTGTCCATTTGCCGCAGCTACAGCTACCGTTGGATTTGTTTGTTGAAGTTGTGTCATACCTGTTGCTGCTTGCATAGGATGGCCCAAGCCCTAGATAGAAAAAAAAACGGACTCGTAGAGAAATACGAAGGAGATTTGCACAAGAGATTGTGTAACAAGCAAATTTGTGCGTTAGAATAAATAGAAAACAGATAGAACTATGCTCGCGCATGAATGAACAATTGAAATGAAGAGGTAACAAAAAGTAAGGACATAGAGAAAAGTTCGTTGTCTAGATTGCCATTCACACGAATAAGTATTAAAATAAATAGATAAGAGAGTAGTGAGTGCTAGATACTAAATAAACATCTCATACGCTCCTGTGTCGTATTATTATTCAGTTTTGGTTTGATGTATTTTGGGTTTAATAGTGTATACGCGCGCGTGTATGTGAAAATGTTGTTTATTTGGAGCTGTGTCGAATGTACGGTATGAGAAAGATAGAAAAAATAAACAAATTGACACTAGTCGTGCCAGTGGTCAGTGATCGATTGGCTAATAGTGGAAAGATTGATCTGTTCGATACTGATTTGATTTACTTCTTTACATTCATAGATGCTGTTTATTTTTTATCGAACCATCGGTACTTACATAGATTCGAACTCAATCAGCTCATCAACTTAAATAATACATACGAAGGAAATTACTGAGGTTTTAATAGATATTTCGAAAATGGATATGAAAGTTGACATACCATTGGCGGGCCGTGTATGGCAGTATGCAATAGAGCTGGATGATGAAGACCAGCTGGACCCAAATCGAATGTTAATGGCTGACCCCAAGCTTCTGTTGGAAAGAAAGCGGCACCAAGTTCCTCTGAAAATGAAAGATATTGTGTGTGTGATGGCTGTAAGTAATATTCATATGGAAATGAATACGTACGTGGGATTTGTATGAATTGTTGCGTTGCGGCTGCTAATGAATTTTGTGTTGGATGTTTAGGCTTTTGAACTTTTGTATTCGATTTAGCAAATTCAAGACGGAGAGTTGCTGGTAGATCAGGATCAAAGCGAACTCCCTTTTTTTAAAGAAAAACAAAACACAAAATAGAACATGTTAATGAAATCGTTATCAGATTTATTCTTACGGTAAGTTCTTGCTTAGCTGTTTCAGCATCAACACGATTGGCAAATGTAACAAAGCCAACGGGTGATAGATTTTTCCCATTTTTATTTGTTACTTTCAATAGACTTCCTTCATAGCCCTAAAAGTAATAAAAAAAATGTACTATGATTACCATAACGGTCATAGATGTCCAATTCAATCATATGTTTGATCAGCCGATAGACAAGTCTCTAATGACTAACACTTCTCCTTCTGTCTGTCAATCAAATTCATGCAAACGATATGTTGTAAAGAAAAAAGATTCGTAGTAGACGAAGCGAAGTATAGTAATGTCAATGAAATAACAACGAAGGAGGTGTGACACGGATATAAAGTAGTAAAAATACTTGTCTGTCGATATAGTTTACCTTGAATCCTCGAAATAGGAGATAGAGCTCTCGAGGCTTGGCATCCATCGGTAAACCAGAGACGAACAATGTTCGAACCTATAACAAAACAAAAAATACGTAAAATTTAGAACAAAAACTGTTTCAAAAAAAGTCTTCTGGAGAATTTCATTTCGATCTTCCTAGGCGATCAATCATAGTACACACACACACACATACCGGTCGTCTGTATACCAGATGTGTTTGATCGGTATTCGATCGAAATGTTTTTTTGTTGGCATTAGCATTCGTGCTCGTCGAAGCATTTCCGTGGTCGTCAGTTGTTTCGTGTGTCATCTCAAGTTCTCGCGTGAATTTTGTGTGTATGAGTCGAGGTGAGAGTAAAAATCTGGTTATATTTTGATCAAAAGAGGGTGAGAAACAAAGAATGATTGAAAAAAAAAGCAAGTGAGTGACACACTTGAAGTGAACAATTCTTCCTAATTGAGAAATGAAGAGCAATGATGCGAAGGGAGACGACAAGTAACGACAATTAAGAGAGAGAAAGAAAATAAGAGACGAAAAAAAAATGTTGTTTATACAATTGGTGATGACGAGAACAAGAGATGTTGCGTGTGTTGATCTAACTTGCATATGCGCATCAGGTGTGTCGATATACGAATAGATATATATGCTTATGCTTTTCAATTAGTTAATGAGGGACGTACATGAAGGAGAATGTAGTAAAAGAAGATAAAACAAGGGTTACAAGAATAGCATCTAGCTGCTTCTGGTTACACTCACCTCTGGCTTACACGACAGTGAAGATGATGACATTGTCGTGCACATACCAACACACTTCAAAAAGCTTTTACGGTGAAAAAGAAGAAAAACAGACGTTGATGACAGCACCGGCAACGAAAAGGTCTTTGTTTCGAACTAATTGAATTTCATAGATCAATACTTGAAAAAGAATAGAGAAGCAATGTGTCTACTCTTATTTGGCACTATTAAATAGACAAAAGAACGAAAAATCGACGAAGACGAGTCAATACAGACACAAGACTCAATGAAATCGTTTGCATTTCGTTTTGCTCTTTTCTTTTTTTTTCTATTTGCTATTGCATCGAGACATTTATAAAATTCCACTTCTCAAATCATAAAAAAACTAACACTGTAATCAAAGGTTACTTGGCATGCGATTGATGTGGTGCCATACACACATACACATATCATGTAATCCGAGAAGATCAAATCAAGTTTATTTCAACGTGTCGAAATTGAAGAGAACAAATGTTGTGTTCGTCATAGATTACGAGAAGTCAATTCTATCTTTCATGTTTTGTTTATTTGAATCGAAATCGAAAAAGAAAACGAAAGAAGACTATTCTCATTTAACTGGAACAATTAATAATGATGTATAGATACATATCTTCGGTTCAGTAAATTTTCTTTTCTTTCGATCAAATATATCACCGATAGCGTGACTAATTATGTCCGAAATAAGATTGCGTGATAACGCAGTCGTACAATTCTCAACTCGACTAAAAGCTTTTTCTTTCTCTTTTTTTCAATATTAAACTCATTCGCATCTAAGTATATAAATATTCGTTTCTTCCGTTTCCACATGTTCGATCGATCGATCGACCTGAACGACTACTGGATTTCTCGTCTATTGTTTATATCTGTAGACGAACGAAACAATCTGTGTATATATTTATCGTAATTATTATCCAGGGGATACTTGTCGTCATCTAGGAATAATTTGATCTTTACCAGATATCGTCTCTAACTTTCGAAGTGCAGCAACGATTCACGCATATAGAACAGATATACACATATACAAAGCAGTAAATGTAGGTGATGGCGGATATTAGGAAGAAAGGAAAGGCAGAAGAGTTTGTCAAAATAGAAAACAAGAGAAGACTTTTCTGTTCATATTGATCAGTGCTCACATCGTGTTTAAACAAATATAGTGATGCCAAATAGTGCATAAGCGCCATCGACTAGAGAAGTGCGATAAAAAGGGTTACGTGCTAATTAGAAGTGTTGAATTGAAGTAATAAACTAGAATGTGTGGAAAGTCTATTCATCTACTTACTTCATTTAGTTCATCAGTAGCACTTTTCATTTTGTAGCAATGACTACAACAGACAGGACATAATGCAACGAATTGATAACTGTAGATATGTATCAACGAAACAATTTCTACTCTTTCGTCTTCTTCTTCTTCTTCCTCGGTATATCTATTTACCTCAACAAGCAATCTATATGTTCAATAACAATTGAAAACGAGAGAGAACGGCAATGAAAGTATGTTGTAGTAGTAATAGTGTTGTTCGATCGTTTGCCGCCACCACTGTAGTCGCATCATCATATCAATTTAAATAGGTAACACGAGAAGAGTAAGAAAAAAATGCGATTGCACATTCTCGCGTTCGTTTTCAATGCTTATGAGAGAAGTAAAAGAAGACGACGGAGAAAAGAACTTTCTTTAGTTTTCCACTTATTCCCTCGACACTTCACTTCGTCTTCCGTCGAATGAAACATACAAAAGAAGAAAATAAATTTTTTTTCTTAAATGCATAAAATTAAGACGTACAAAAAAAAGTAACCGGAAGTATGTGAGTGAAACAAAATCGATCGGAATGAACGAACGCTTCGATCACTTGTTCGACATAGAGAAAAGCTTAATGTACCCTCAAGTAAATGCAACCAAATGCTCGTCTGTAATCGGAAACACTTTTCAATCAGGTAGAAAAGAAAAAAAGGTAAGCAAATGTGACGAAAGGACGGTCCGATAAATATTCAATGAGTTCGAACGCTCAACTTTGATTAATGAAGTTTCTCAATGATATGAAACGAATTTGAAAATCGATCTCGACTCACATTGATATTTAACATAACAGAGCTATTTCAAATGTCACAAAGTTCATTTAGTCAAATCAATAAATCGATAGATATTAATAAAACATAAAAACTTACTTTTAAATCAAATATTCTTCTCTCCGATTACTTTCATGACATTTCTTTCATTCAGAATGACTTCTCGTCCTCATAATCAATCAAAGAAACTAACCAGAACTAAGATAATTATTATCATTATATTAGAACTACAGATATCGTCGATTTTCATATCTACCTAGAGCGTAACGATCATGAAGAAAATCAAGATTGATATGATAAAGTTCTCGAAATCAACGACTCAGTAATGAACCGAATTGTTCATCATCCATCGTGAATATGAACAGATATATCTTACCTAGATTCAGTTCTATGCATATCGTTATCAATATCTTCGTGACGAATAATTGATTCCATAGGATGATGGTTCTATTTAATATGAATTCATCGAAGTTAGATGGTCGTTTTACCGAAAAAATATACGAAACAATGAAAATTGACTTCTAGTCACTATTTTTCTTCTATTTTATTGCGTAAAATAAGAAGGAGAGAAAGCAAGAGAAAATGTCTCCTAATTGTAATTCCATCTGGCTTATATTGTTCTTTTTCCCCCATTTTTTTTTCAATCATACATCTAAAATTTGTCTCTCTTTCATAATGCTATTTCAAAGTTAAAATATCGCCTGAAGGTAGTCGAACAGTGAGCTAGTGGTACTTTGATTCATAAAAGCAATACTATCTCAATAACTATTGTTTGCCAGTGTCTTTCAAGCACTCGACGTCTTTGACAAGTGTCTTCTAGTAGTAATAGTCGAACGATAATAATTGTCTGTATTGCTTCAACAAGAATAATATGTTTCTTCTTCGTTTATGATTTATTTCTTTAGTCAATCGAAGGCGAAGTCAAAACATATGAGTCTGATTAGTTTTCAAGTCAATTATTATCTATCGAATAAAAGAAAAACCTTCGCATTTCTTTTGCTTTATTTATTAATATCATTATGAATTTGGTGCATTTATGATGAATAGCTCTCTAGTGTAATAATAATAATAATGATAAGTAAAAAACTGACATGAATGTACGTGCGAATTGCCTTAGGGACAAGTGGAAAATCGATTTTCTTCTTACGAAGAAATGTATCTCTCTCACTCATCACGTCTCTCTTCTATTCTTCCATTCGTTGATTCAATCGTTACTAAGAACAGCTGCACATTTTTAACAATTAGGCGATACTCTCGTTCGAATCCTCTATCTTTCAGCCCATTAACTGCATATGCTTACCACATACTCAATAATGTAATAATCACAATCGATAGAGATCGTCAGTCGTGCGTGAGCTTTTCACAAATTTCTTCGTCTTTTTCTCAGAAGACGCGAACATCAACGAAGACATATATTTACACCGACAAAGGTTTCTTTTTTTTTGCTACAATAAACAGGTCATTCAAAGAAGAGAAGAAGGAGGAAGAAGAGAAAAGGTGAATGTCCTGCACGAATTTCTTTTGTCTTACTTGCTCGTAGGTCCGTACGCTAACATCGGTAACATCTGCATCGTTCTTTGACAATGTTGAAGAGAAAATAATGTGAAACAAATGAATTGTAAAATAAAAACTAGAAGAATACGACGATAAAATGAAAAGAAAATCTCTTCGTTGGTTAAAACCCTTAAATTAGTTCATTTGCGAAGTTTAGCCAGATGTTCGCGTGTCGACTAAGTATTGCTTTTATTCCCTTGTCAATGTCCTCTATTCCGTTTTCCTTCTTGAGATTAAAGGAAACGAAAAGATTTCTCAATACCTAGATTGATTTTCATCATTAACTTAATTACGACAATTATTGATTGATTAAAACATCAATGAACTCCGAGTGGCAAACTAACCGAGTTAAGTTTCTCTTTTGCCGAACAAAGAATTAAATTCATCCGGACAATATCACTTTTTCATCCGAAACCATCGAGAAAAACGATGATAATCATCAACAAGCTTAATAGAACTTAAAGGTTCTTTAATCACAATTCGACGATTATTCTACTGAATCGATTAGAGCACAATCGCCGATTAGAATCTTGTCATGTGTATAAGTATCGAGAAAGAAAAAGGATGGAGAGAAAGAGAGAACAAAAAATAGAAAGACAGACAATAAGATAAACAAATAAGACAAAACAATTAGAGAACGAACGATGCCAGGTGGTGATCCCCTTATTGTTACTTATGTATGTGTATATAGAAAGAAATGAATCTAATCATCTGTGTAGAGTAAATGTTTTATGTGTTATCATATTGCTTACCTCATCATCTGTAAAACCAATATTATTAATTGATTCCATACTTTGTGAGAGGCTATGTCCGCTTGAGCCACTCCCGCCGCCATTCTCTTCGAGATTATTCGTAGGGAAAACGGATGACGCATTGTTTGTAATATTATTATTATTATTGTTGTTGTTGTTAGTTGGGACTGTTGTTAATAGTGAATTACTATTCGAAGGATTAGGAATCGTTAATGAGTGAAATGTATCTGTAGTCGGTGTTGTTCTCGAAAGTTGTTGATGAGAATGTGATGAAATAGAAGATCGATGAAGTGGAAATTGAATTTGATGATGAGCAAAATTGTGAAGTGAATGAAGTGCTGTTGCCGGTACTGTCATGGCTGCTGGTGCTCCCGTTGGTATCATCTGTTTAATAAGTGGAGATTTAGAGTCTATTGTAGGTGATGGACCAGGCAATAGATAAGCAGGAGACGATGTTGTCATTTGCATAATCAATTTTCTCTATGGATATATTTATGATCTACGTAGGTCAATCTAAATAGAATGACAATCAATTGTAACTATTTTATGAAATAAAAAATATACAATTTCTTTTCTTGTGCATATATGGTTTACATTTCATATGTGTATATGAGAAAGGGAAGAGAAAAAGTGATACACGTCCGTTCAAACGACGGTCATGCGCATAAAATTCTTCATCACCAGACAAAGGAGAAAGGGAGGGAAAGAGGTAAAAGAAGAGAATAGAAGAAAAGGTCGTTCTGCTAGCTCTACATGCTTATTCTCTAGCTGTGCGACTAAAGGGAGAATTTAAAGGTGTTGTGCGCCGTCGCGTGCTCTCTTCTTCTCATTTGTGCTCATTTCATCGTCGAGTCTAAGAGAGAGGTGCAAGTATTTTCTTCTCCCTCTCTCTCTCTTCATCTTCTACTGAATCTTTACTATGCTTTTGACGTTTACATTGATCTATCTATCTATCTGTTTTCCTATCTGTTCACTTTTTTTCTTCTTCTTTTTTTCACATTTATTCAACTTACATACATGCACAGATACTCATAACATACTCGAGAATGTTTCAAATCAAAAAGAAAGATATAAGAATAAATGAAGCTAAAAGAAAAGAAATAGGAAAAGAAAGAAACGACATCAGTCGACAGAGTCAGTTTTTGACAAGTAAATTGTCTTCATCATTGCGCTTGTCGACGACTGGTGCACACGCGCACATATTCTTACTGCCGAGAAGCATAAGGAAAGCATTGGCAGAAGACTAAGGAAGAGAGAGAGAAAGAGACAGTGAGAGGAAATCATTTTCTGCTCGTCGTTTACTTTGTCGACAACATCAATGGACTGCTGTTGCACTCCTGCTAACCGATAATCATCGAAACATGGCGTTTAGTCCAATTAGCTATTGGCATTTTCGCAAAATTGCAACGCTCCATAAGAAGACATCCGAAGTTACCATTGTTAAACATGTACGATTAGGTCATATCGAAGGTCGAGTAGCCTGTGGTCTTTCAGTAAAATCAAAATAAGACAAAAAGTAACAACAAACTAAAGGCGAGAAGAACATCGTGCGTGAATATCTTCATTATCATAATTTCTCTTCTTGCTTGCATGCGTTCGTACTAGCGGATGCATGCTTGCACTCATACATCGATTTACGCTGTTATAAACACATGGAAAGAGGCTTGCAAGTCGAGAGTAGTAAGAACAACAATAAGAGAAGAAGCAGGAAGAAGAAGGGAAAAGGAAGAGTGCAAGTTTGATTGTTTGTTGATGTTTTTTTTTCAGAACAACGATTGTAGCAAGCTATTCTCTCGTCTTCAACCTATTGATTATTGTTTTTTATGCTACTATATATTATTGCGAATGCTGTGACACACATCCCAAGTATCCCTCTTATATATGATTAGTGTCAATATCCCGTCAATGTATATGACAGACGTCAAATCCTATGAGGAGAGAACCCAGCAGTTCGACGTATAATCGAAAAGAAAGAAAAGATATGTTTTCAGTTATTAAAATAGATGAAATGGTTAGGAATCGGTACTAACAAACCTAATCAATGACACAAAGAGAGGATCTTATCATTTTTCTTTTGTTTTCAGTCTGTCAGGAATGGTTGAAATTGAGAAAAGAGAAAGAAAGGAAATCTTCTCTTGCTGTCTGATTTATTTAATCGTACTAATACGTCGACATGGTCGAGAAAAAAAAATGTTGAAGTGCCAATATATATCCATTTACAAGGAAATGACCTTTTTCAGATCTAGTGATGAGACATGGATTGATAAACAAGCAGTAAAGAAATATGAGAGAAACGCGAGTTGATCTCATTAGAATTGTTACATTGACGACTGGTTTACGTTTCTTGACAAATAAATAAAGCATCTAATTTGGATTTCTTTCATACCGAACTTATTTTCTTACGCGATAATGAGTGTGTAGTCGTTGTCGATTTCGATTCATCTTACCATCATGCTGTTCGTTCCAATGTTATGGTCTCTTTCATGCACAAGTTCATTTGATCTGTGCACGAGTATAGGTTAACTGATGCAATGAATTATACAAAAGCGAAAAAAAAACCAATGACGTTTTTTCAATATTGAAGAGAGGAGAAGCTCGTCAAAATTCATCTGATCATTGACCTTTTCATGTTTTATATTCAATATTGATTTTTACTTGTGAAAATATACTGAATAAGAGCTCACTTCTTGGGCAATTATTAAAAGTCAACAGAATGTAGATGTTTGTCAGATTCGAATCAAATTTACATATTGTTTGTTGAGTTTATGTAGGAAATTTCGTTCGATTAGATCGGTGAAATTGTAGATTATGAATTCAAACAATCCAGGGACCGAAATCAGAAACGAATAAGTATTTCGATACTTAAATATCCTTTCATTTGACACATCCGTAGTTACTTAAAGAAGAGGTTGGCTGTATCGACTGATAGATGGCTCTGGATGATGGGAAGGATTTTGCGAACAATTGTTTGACAATTCTTTTGAAAATATATTATAAATTAACCTTTCTATGTGCAAAATCTGCTTTTTCTCTTGAAATATAGAAATTTGTTTTTGTGAGATGATGTCGTTAGTGTCAACGTTAGCCATCTCATTGACATTAGCGAATGGTTAGCTTTCTATTAATATCATTTTTTTCCTTTTTCCCGAACACGATGTTTCATTTCACAAAAAAGATATATCAGTCATTGAAAAACAAATGAATTTGTTATAGAACAAAATTAACATGGTTTTTTACTTTCAAATGCTTGAAATCGTTTGCAAATGAGTTCGTCAAGTAGTTCACCATCGAAATCCAACGCTCTCGAAACAATTAAAACCTATCGTGTCTCAGAGTTACAAGTGTGTGATTGATGTTTTTCGTCAAACAAAAGAAACCTGTTTCATTCTTTCATCCTCATTTAGGCCTTACTCCATTTTGCTGATCTTTCTCGCCAAGGACAAAAACGTGATTTACTTCAACGCTGTAAAATACTCATCAGTTCAAATTTTACTCCACAGTTAGCAAATAAAATCCAACAAATCAATAATACTCGAACACGCTCATCTCGATCAAATCATGTGTCGTCGTCAACATCATCATCCTCTCGACATCAACCAATTGTTCTCCCGAAAACACCACCCATCGAAGTCCTCCCACAACCAAACCACATTCAGTTCACAAGTTTACCATTCTTCGAAAAAATGCGTACAATTGAATGTGCAAATATGCCTATTGATTGGCATACATTTACTCCGATTCGTTTTGTCTTGAATGAAACAGATATTGATTTGATACGGAAAAATACGGCGAAAGTTTTTCTTCGTATTGCACCAACAGTCGTTTCGGAAAGGCATAACGATATTTTACCACCATATTTATTCGTGCAGTGCAATGTAAGTTCCCATCATTTTCTAAGAAACTTATTTTCATTCGATTTTCGTCCTAGAATCAACCTGTTATTAATAACAATGTGTCCAAACAAGTCGGTTCGCAAGCACATTCGATATCATTTCCCACAGATTTGACAGATAAAATCATATTGAAAGCAAATGCCAGTAATACGTTGACATTTGTTTGGTTACAATCACCAACGACAATGTCGTTTAAAAATCTACCTCGATCGTATACATTGGCGATTCATTTAGTGCATTGCGTCTCAATGAATACCATTTTCGATCTAATTGTTAAACGAGAACCATTTATTAACAAAACAGATCATGACAGTGACATCGAAATCGAAGATTTAGGATTAATGACAACGCGGCATCGAGTATCATTAATTTGTCCAATATCACAAGCATTGATCGTTGTACCGGCAAAATCGGCGCATTGCTCACACCCAACGTGTTTTGATTTGAAATCTTTCTTACAAATGAATCAACGACGTTTGCAATGGACATGTCCATTATGTAAAAAATCGGCATCGTACGATTCACTAAGAGTTGATGCACATTTGCACAATGTTCTTGCGAATGTTCCACCACATTGTTCAACAGTGGAAATCGATTCAGCAGCTGGTTGTCAATATATATTAGATAGTGTAAAACAAGAAAAATTCGATGTGATCGCTCCGACGCATGCACAGATCAATCCTGAAGATGCGGAAGTATACAATTCGTCGACGAGTAAGTTGATATTTGTGAACCAAAGATTTTTTTCTTACACAAGATTTTCTGATGATTTTAGGATCTCGTCGTCAATCTGCTGAAAGTGATTGTATTGTTCTTTCATCTGGTAGTGAAAGTGAAGATGAAACAAATGATTCTTCACCGATTGTTTCTCCTACACATCAACAAAACGGTGAGATCAATAAACTCTCTGATACACCAGATCAATCGTCTCACTCGACAAATTCAATCCCTTCTCCAAGCATATCCAACACCGACGATGTGAATTATTGGGACGACGTTGCTCAAATCACATACGAACTATCACCCAACCGAACTGATGAAAATTGTAATCGAAAGCGTTCGAATAGTTCCTCATCATCTGTCTTATCCTCAGCATCGCTGTCTTCATCAACAGCATCAGCATCGTCAAAATCACATGATGATCGTCATCGCAGGAAAAGAAACAAACAATCGTCAACATCCAAGACGCAAACAGCTGATATAGAAATTATCACACTTTCCTCAAGTGACAGTAGTAATGATGATGATCAACTAACATAGGTTGTGCTGTTCGTTTTCTTCTATTCGAATCGACATATATTTTTCTTTTTCGCTCGTATGTCTTCACTATTTTTTTTTCATACGGTTGTACATGCAGAGCGTTATATACATATTGTGTACTCATATATTCTATATTATCTCTTGATTCGTCGAAGTGTTAGGTGAATAAACAGCAAGAAATAGAGAATAATACACACATAAAGAATCAAGAATAAATTGGATGAGGTGTTTTGTCTTTATATTTAATGTTGCATTCTAGATTTTTTTGTAAATCAAAGACATTAATGGATAATGATATGCACTAAAACTAAATCTGACGATGCACGAAGCTAATTTTTCATGTTCAATCGAAACTGGCATGCCAATCGTTTGTTTCTTTTAGATTAATTTTAACATGTCGGATTTTACATCCGTTAAATTGTATATTTATGATATTTCATTTGGTCTTGCAAGTGCATACGGTTCAAGTTTACTTGGTAATCGATTGTAATTAGATCTACTTTCTTGAATCAATATTAATGCGAATTTAGGTAAACAAATTGATGGTGTTTGGCATACAGGAGTTGGTGTACTTGGTCGCGAGTATCTGTTTGGTTCTAGTGGAGTTTCATATACAACTCCTGAAGAAATCTTTCGGCAAGGTTTGGCGCCTAAACCTAATGTGTAAGTGTGAATTTTCTTGAGAATACGTCTCCAATTGATTTTCTTAGGAAAGAACTTGGTCGTACGAAGAAAACGCTCGCTGAGATACAGACATGGGTTAGAGAAAAAAGTTCAAGTAGTTTCCGGTAGGTTAAGTTTAGAAACAAATGTTTCGTGACATGTAATCATGAAATTATTTTAGTGGTGATCGATACGAACTACTTGACTGGAATTGTAATAACTTCAGCGATGAATTTACCAAGTTTCTTCTCGATAGTTCAACTTCCTTGATCCCCGAAGAGATTCTTGAATTACCAAGATTTGTCAAAACAACGTAACATCATCGAATATTTTTCTTCTGCCGTTCTTACCTTCAGCTTTTGTCTTTTAGACCATTGGGAAGAATGCTTCTCTCATTTCTGAACAAAGATCCAATATCCATTGCACAACAAACTGGAACCAATAATACATTTGCTGATACCTCTGTGCATGTGATGCCATCAGCCACCAATAGTAATACAAAACTAGACAAAGTTCCAGCTCGACATTGTATTCTGCCAACAATGGACAAATTAACACCGCGTGTAGATTTAATAGAACAAAAATGTAATCGAACATTGTCTGTTAATGAAAAAGAACAATTGAAAGAGATTGACCAGTTACTTCGACCAGATGGAAATAGTTCGCCTTTATTAACTCGAAGTCACATCGCGCTTTTGAGTAGGACGAATATTAGAATGAATCTTGTGGAAATTGTTGTTTTTCGTGTTTTAGTTTCTTTGATGGTCAATTCGATTGAAGACGCATCCGGTCAAAAGATAGTTCTCGAAGTTCTTCAGTTACTGTCGGAATATGAATTTGTTATTAAGATTCTCAACGAACTTAAAGGACAAGAATCTCCAGTAGAACTTTTGAAAGGTTTATCGGAACAACCAGAACCAATTCAAATCGAATTTTTACGTTGGGTAAGGAAAAACGACGATCAAACACGAATGACTTCCTTTTCATGTCTAGTTCTCTTCCATTGCTGCCACATCGAATGGACGAACCATGCTAATTGATATCCAAGATGATATTGCACCGATATTTACCGATTCCATTCATAACGAAACAACATCCAGTAAGGTTAAATATGAAATCATCATAGTTTTACATAATCTTTTATGTATCAACACGGATACTCGAGTAAGATCGAGAACTTTTCTCACACTGACATCGAATGTATATGTTTTGTTTGATTTTAGTTAAGCTTTATGAATTCCATATCGATCGGATCAGCTATAGTTCAATATATGACCACTCCAGTGAATGGAGATGAAGCAGAAGTTTATTTGGCTGTATTTATTGCATTAGCTGATGCCGAAAAAGACGTGAGTTTATTTGTCTAATCAATACAGATTATTAAAATCTTTCTTTAGCTTTACGGCATTGCTCAAGCAATGGATTTTGCTCCAGATTATTACTCATCGATTGTTGGATGTCAGCCATTAATTGAAAAGATAAAAACCAATTTCCAAAATGTCTGAAGCATTTCAATCTTGTTTGTGTTTTTTTTTCAAATCAAATCCAAGGAACATTCTTTTAAACATGAACCGACAGAAAACCTTTTTTTTCTCTTATTTCTATAAATAATATATTTATTGAGTTAAAAAAATGTATTCGATTTATTTTCAATTCGATCACAAAGCACAAGACAATAGAAAAAAGACGTGTATCAATCGGCCACAGTTGAGATTATGCTAAAAGAAATAGACAAAATATGAATGAGGATCAAATCTGAAACTAAAGTTTGAAGGAAGGGAACAACGATTGACGTCACAAAACAGTGATTACTACATTCACCTTAATGAATGCTTGTATCATGTTGAGAGGAACGATGGGTTCTTCTTGAAGTGATAGACACTATACTCTCAACACTTTTCCTCTGTAGATATGCTAGATTTGAAAGCAAAATGAAGAAAATTGGTTTTGATTTCGTTAAATGGATTGTTATTTTTTTAGAGAAAAAACAAATTCATTTTTCTATCGTACCGTGTTCTTCTTTGTCTAAGTCTCCAAAGATCATATGAATGTCGTCTTTCGCTTGTTGGACATTTGGAGAAATATCGACGGCGTTATGAACAAGATCTTTACCATACATAGCACGGAGACTACCATCATCAAAACATGAATATGTATGACAATGAGGGATCGGAGAAGAACTGACCTGGTTGGTGCTGTTTCCGATGCTTTAGCGGGTTCTTCTGGTCCGACAACTTCGTGCCAACTTTTGCTTGCGTCTTCTTTGACTAAAACTAATAACTCTGATGGTGCACTAGAATTGAAACGGTATTAACAACTGTATAAAAAGATTTTTCGAACAAACCTAGTCATGTAGTGGATGAGTTCGTCATAGTATTCTTTGCCGTGATGTGCATGTTGAAGTTTTGTCGCTTGTTCTTGTGTCAATGTTAGTGTTTTGCGAGCCATAACAAAGAAATGAGCTTTTCGAAAAGCATCGACAATCTCCGCTAGAATTATCAGTCGTATTAATCTATCAGATCTAATGTTTAGTATCTACCTCGTTGCTGGTCAGTTAGACCAGGTTTTAGAACAACCAATATGCGTTCCTCAGGAAAGAAGAATTGTAAATTACGATTAACTTCAGTACGTGATCCCGGTGCATGCAACGAGTTGATTTTAGCATCAACAATATCGAAATCATGACGAAATCTAGAGTAGACAAATACGTGGAGTTTTATGTCGAATGATCAATCTTACGTTCCAGTTGCCTCTTTGATACGAGCCTTGTCAGCTGGACCAAGTAAAGTACGAAAACCTTGTATAGCATCTTTCTTCGTCAAATACAACGCTAATGATGGTCCACTAAGAAAGAAGACTGAACAATAGTCAATAGGCGTCTTCTCATGTTGCTACCTGGTCATTTCTTTGATGAGATCTTGGTAGAATGGCTCGTTTTTCTTTTCTGCGTAGAATTGCTCTGCTTGTGCTTGAGTTAATTGAACTTCTGCAGTACGTGTAACACTGAAACCACTCTCTTGGATTCGTTTCACTATTGCATCTAAACACGGGGAGAAAGTTTGATTTTAAAAGAAACGTTAGCTATTGCTCAATGCTCTCCAACCTTTATATAACTTCAATGCACTCGGTCGTACAAGTGCTAATGTTCTTTCAATTTCTTTCTCACGTGCCGATTGCGGCTTTTGAGCCACATTTGGCAACAATAGCATTAAATCTCTACAACAATAATTCTCTCATCTGATAATTTATTCGTTTTATAACATACTGTTGAACATTGTCTGCAGATTGTGTGCAATCGACAGTTTCTTTCAATAATTGATCAGAATTGACGAGTTCACGGAATTCGTCCAAACTAGCTTCCTTAGCATCGGTTTTTTGCAATAGGAGGACAATTGATGGGCCACTTGTCATATGTTTTATATGATCTTCATAACCTTCCTAAAAACGAGACATGCAATAAAATTTATATTCGATGAGAAAATTGAATATGAAGCACGAACTTCGTTCATTCGATGACGATGAAATTGCCGAGCATCATGTTCAGTAAGATTATGTTCTTCTTGTAATAAAACTCGAAAACCATGTGGTACAATCTGTACGAAATGAGGCTCATTCAGTGTAAAATTATTCAAACGGATTTAATCTACTTTTTGAATGATTTCATCAACCTTGCCGTCTGCATAAGCATCCGGACGAATGGTAGCCAAAGTGTATTGATGACTTGCTAGAAGAATGGCTTTTTATTTTTGTCAAATAATGATTAGATTATACTGACCGATGGCATTGACAATCGATGGACTGCGTTTACGCTTCGCTCCACCCGCATCATCGTCATCTTCCTCTTCTACTTCTGCATATTGTACACGATGCTTTTAGAAAAGGAACATATTAATTCGAAGCGATACAAACGTTGATGAAATTACCTCAATACGTTGACCACCTTCCTTCAAAACTTTCTTTTCTTGTTCCAAATTAGAAGAAATCTTTCGTTGTAACGCAGGTGCATTGGCACCTATAACTGAATCAACTAGAACTCCGCTCTAGAAAATAGTCAATAGCATCGTATCGATCAAAATTGCTTTTATCTTACTGCGTAGAAAAGAAAGCACGGCTCGCATTTGTTACGATATTTCTCCAGTGAATCGATCGTATCCGCTTTGGCCTAAAGAGAAAAGATCAATTTTAAGCATTTCGCTTATGAAAGTCATTGTTCAAATCAAAGACCAAAGCGTGCTAATTGATGTGAACTCACAATAGCAAAAGCCAAAAGTGGATCGCCAAGCGTATTTTTAATCGCTCGAAATTTGGGTTCCAGTGCTTTACATGGTCCACCATAGGACTGATAAACATCGACGACTAAAATAAATGGAAAAAACGAGGTGCACATATTGTGTAGACATAAAGTGTAGAAATATATTGATAGCAATGTGTATTTTCAGAGTACGTGTGTTTGGAGATATACAACAACATTTGGTGGAGACAGATACAATATAGAATGATTATTACAATAGCGAATCGTAATAATGGTTCATCGGTTTCGGATTTAATCTTTTTGAAATATCCTTCGGCACTTCTACATGGACCTGCCCACTGTTGATAAATGTCGATGACTGAGAAACATGATAGATGAAAATGAAAATCGATTTGATTACAAAGGATGGTAGTTCATCAATCACCTGTAAGACCTTCTTTATTGATGTTTTCATTCCATTCTTCTTGAGTTTCAATTTCAGTTTGCAAGGCAATTTCTTGACGACGACGAGCCATCCTTTGATGATCTTCGGAATAAAAATAAAGTGAAATAAATAAAATACATTCGCCATCAATAAATTTTTACATATAGAAGCACCATGGCGATTTGGAAGTACGGAGGTTACATTTATCGATCGTAAGAGCACATAGTAACGACATCTATAATAGAATTTCCTACATATCAACACGTACAAAGTCAGTCAAACTCGTATTTTTACGATGTACTATATATATCGCGACAAGTATATTGTAAATCTAATTAATTTGGATGGAACTTGCAGCTCTTTAGATTTATTTTCGTGCACCTCCTGGTGCTTCAGCACCGTAGTGTTCACGAAGATAATTTAACTTGACATCAAATGGGATTATGAATGTTGAAATATGCGAACTCATTTTTTTTCGCTGCTTGACCACGATGGAGAATGTCAAATACTCAATGTACCGATGCAACGTGATGGATCGTACTGACACTGCGTTTTTACTGGATTTGTAGTGAAGAGGTTCCTGGTTTGATGCCTGACTGGTTCACATAGCCTTTGCCATAATACTGCCTGAAATATTCATCTCGGTTAATAAGTCAGTAGAATCTATCCATGTTCTTGATTCCGATGAGTTCGCGCCGTAACTGTATGGAACTACATATTTTCGTGCAAAAAGATTCTTATTTGTATATGTGTACTAGCGAAAGTGTTCGCTGCAAAACTCGCCCATTTTATTACGGATCTCACTAGCATTACAACTTCTTTACTATCTTAAAAAATCACTACGCAGTACCAGTTGTTCTTGGTGGATTCATGCACTAACAATCGTTCATACACTAATATACAGAAACTTGACGGTGGATATGTCGGTCCTTATTTTTGATCATTCTTATTTCTAGTGCCGCAGTCCTGCGTAACTGGAAAATGTAGATATAGAGAAAGTTGGAATCGACCCAAAGTAATTTTCTTAAAGCTGTCGAAAATTACTAAAAGTAACAGCTGACGCACAAAATGGATGAAATATCACCCAATCTCATTCTTTCTCTTTTATTGCTTGGCTTCAACCCCTTCCAATCTTTCACCGAGTCTACGGAATATTGTAGACAAGTCGATGACATTAAGTAACACAAAGAATCACGTAGATGAAATTTTACTCAGATATTCTCACCCAAATCGATGCTGACGTTACTATAGACCTATGAAACCGCCAAGAAAAGTTTGATGACTGTATATATTACAGGAATTGAATGCAGAGAGACAAAGAAGCTTTCTTCTTTGTGTATTTTCCAGTCATTTTGACTCAATGGGTTGAAACAATGAATGAATACATCGACTGATTTCATTCATTCTTTAGAGTGACGTTATTTTTTTGCCTCAACTGCTCATCTTCAGTATGAATGTACATCGACGTCCTTCACTTTCACTCACATCAATACCGTTCGAGGTCTCGTTCACCAGCAAAAACAAATAGTTCTATAAATCGCATGTAAGTTCCCTACTGCAGATATTATATGAACTCTTTTGAAAATAACTAATACCTTTATTGTACGGATGTGTCCCTTGTGTGTCACCATGAGTATCTGTACAGAGTTCTGCTCTGCACGCGCGCACATGTAAATAGTTGCAGATTATTGCAGAGAAAAAAAAGGAACAGTAATCTTTTATTTCTTCATTTCTCTTTTACAGATTTTATATGGGGATGATTTGCCAGTAATGCACGTTACCAAATGTCCAGAGCACGCTCGAAATAAGTGAGTACTTCCGAATGCTCTGTCATGTTATAGTACACCAGACCGAAGTTGTAGTACAATGTAGCCATCTTGAGGGTGTGATAAAGGTGTTGGTTATGTTCACCCTCACCCTCATGTTAGTTTTATTTTTAATAAAAATCCTGGTATTCAAACACAATCTAGCATATAACTACAACTAAATACTATAAACTTGAAACAATTTTCAGTGGGTCATGCAATCAAACTAAGCGATAGAGTAAATAAGACGTTCCCATTTCTTTGAATCTTGTAAATTTTTCGAACTACCACATCGATCTCCCGTGCCTTTGCCAATATCTTTTTGTGATGTCCAACAAAGTCGATAATCCGAATCTAACGTGCTTGAATCACATGGATCAACAACAAATGATAACGATCCACGAACGAAACCCCATGTTTGATTGTTTGCATTATACCAACCAACACCTCGCTTAGCTTGTGTAATACATTGGTAATTGGATGAACATGCTGGTTTTTTCGCTTTCTTCTTAAATTTACCATTCGTTTTACATTGCTTTGGTAGGCAAGGATTAGAAACATCTTCGTGTTGTCCTATACCAGCAAGTGTTAAGACTTTCTTGTTACTCGCATGACGACAAGCAACAAGAAGCCGACTACCATTACAAGCTTTCTTCAAAACAGAGAAATCGAATGGAATATCGTAAGTACTTTGATAACATTCTTTCCATCCATTCAGAGAACTAATTGTTAAATTGAGATGAGTACCTTCAGCGGGCGATAATAACGACTCGGCTAAAATGTCAATAGAAAATTAGATTAGCAACTGATGATTCGAATTGAATTTACTTAAAGATAATTTGCCTTTCATTATATCGGCCTGACTATTACAGGTTTTAGGTTGAAAAATTCCTTGTAAAAAAAATTCATCGTCTTATTCATATTATGACGAAATCTAAGGTGTGTTTTTTGACTAAGGAAAGTCATGCCACTGTGCATTTACCTGTAAGACCAAGATCTACAAGCATATGAGTGAAATTCATTTGAGAATTGATATACGGAGCTTGAAATTGTACTTGATATTTTGGTTTGTTCGTCATACGTTTGAGCGCTCGTAATTGATCGAGTAAATAGCTGAAATGCATGGGGTTATAATCGAAAAATACGGCACCATGTTTATCCATCGGAAGTTTTTGATTCGCATTTGATTTGCTGAACATTCGAGCTAGTTTTGAACTCGGTATAACTGTCAGTGTTGAACGTAATGTGGTCAATTTTGATCCGCCAATGTTTAACTCAATCACATCATCTGATGATGACGCAATCGATGTATCAATCTTCTCTTCATGATCATTTTCTAACGAGACAGGAGTTTTTGTTGTTGTTGCTTCTACTATAGTCGTTTCCTCAAAAACTGAGGTCGTTTCAGCTGTACTAAGAGAGGCTGAATGAACAGATAATTGCCGATTGAATAATATTAATGATGTTACCTAGATATATAAAATCAACATTCAACAAAGAATATAGATGTAGAAGATAACATACCAGCAGTATTGAGAGCATGATCGACGATACTAGTTCGCAGATTACTTATGAATGCATATCATCATTTGACAGAGAGATTTATATTAGATTTATCACACTTATCGACTATTTTTCCTTCCTGGAATAATACATGAGATTTCTGGGGAAAAATCTATAAACGAGAGAGAGCATGGCAAGGAAATGTATTTTCTTTTTTCCCCCCTCTCTCTCTCTACGATGTTTTATTTATTTGTGCATAGATAGATTTATAATTTGTTTTATGATAGACCTTGATGAGTTCTCGAGAAACAGAAAGTGTCAAAGAAGACATCCTTCTCTAATACATTCGACTTGTTTATTCAATAATTGAAACACATATACATAAATTATCATATTCTCATACAACATCCATCATTTGAACATATGCTACGTTAGATTTGATACACAATTACAATGGCAAGATGTTAGTATAAGAGCATCTTTGTTTGTTTTTACTCTCATGGTCTTATCTGAATTTGATTTCAATTTACAAGCCGATGAAAAGATCTTATTAATCGATTGGATCATCTGTCAATCAAGAAATTATTAACAAGATGGAAACGATTTGTATCTAAGCAAGAACATTGTACTTGAAGCATATCGACGAGATGAGAAAGACTGATGTGTCGTTGGACATAGACATATATCTATTATCGAATCAAGGTTTTATCATCTAGGCCATGATTAAATTCAATTGGTTCATGTCTGAATTAAGATCAACACGTAAAGATAAGATTTCTATTTGCAAGTCAAAGATTTTGTTTTGTTTTCATTTCAAACAAGCACATCAATGATAGTCAATGGCCAACAGAAAGAAAAGAAGAAGAAAAAGACAAAGAAAAAAGACAGTACATTCATCGATTAGGACAAAAGAAAGAAAAGTGAACGAGATCAAGGTTTTCTCCCTAGGATATCGTAATATAAAACGCGACAAGAGATGCTTTTTCGATAATTAGGTGGACATTGATAAGATAAAATCAAACAGTGTCAAAGGTGTATTGACTAAAATATAAAACAAAACACGAAAGAAAAGGCTAAGAGAATCGATTTTGATTGTCGTCGTTTGTTTCGTTTAAAATCAACAAATCCTTTTTCCTTTAGGTAAATGGTGAGAAGAGAAGAAAATAAAAAAAATTTAAAAAGCTGCTAGAAAATACAGTCTGAGATTAAAGATCCGATTCACCATACAAAGCTGATGAAAATGTTTTATAGTCATAGGCACCTGGCACACTGTCAGCACCAGCATATGCTTTCATTCGTTGCATACACCATTCAGCTTGTTCAGGTGGCAATTCTCGTTTGAGTAATTCTGCAGTAATATAAGGCTAAAAGAAGAACAGATAGTGGCGAATTCGGTTCGTTTGAATTCTTTCGAATTACTTACTTTATCGCCAGATAGGGTTTTGAATGCTAATGCCAATTGATCAACACTGTCTTCTTCCGAACATTCACGTGTCATGAAATCAAGAAATGATTCGAATGTTACAAAGCCTGTTTGAGTTGGATCGACATTGGCCATAATGCGTTGAAAGTCGACATCACCCTGTCGATCTTCGCGAATATTATAGCCACATGCGATTAAACAAGCACGAAATTCTTTTGGATCAAGTCGTCCTAGAAGGAAAAAAACAGTAAAAAGCTCCGGGATGTACACATCGAAGATACGTACGACAACGGCCTTTATCAAAGTGTGCAAAAGCTGCTCGAAATTCGTTCATTTGTTCTTCACTAATACCCTTCTTTTCCAATGTATAGATTTGATTTTTAATTTCAGCTATTTGTCGTGTTAATTGCGTATTTAATTGTTCCCAAGCCACACGAATAACTTCCATTGTATAAGGTGTATGGCGATTTTCAAAGATCATGCATTCTTGAATCTGTTGATTGTATTTCTCAAGTTCATCAATATGTGGACGATATTGAACAACGTTCGTTTCCATGGCTTCGAGTTTCTTCTGATGTTGTTCCAATGTGCCAACGACTTGTATAGTCAATTGTTGAAGTTGTTCATGCTGACGTTCAATCCACGGACCAACGACATTGGCTTTTTGCGCGAATTGCAAACGGAAGCGTTCATTCTGTTGCTGTTTGAGATATTCTGTTTGTAAGTCTTGATCACGTTGAGGAACAAGAGCTTGTACTTCTTGCCATTTCGCTGAGATTTCCTAAAAAGATTAAGGAGTTAAAGTTTATTACAACTCGCTTTGATCTATTTCTTATTTATGTGTTGACTTTTCTTATCGAACAAAACCATGTATCTCTCATCAACTTTTCTATTCGCACCTTCTTCAACCGTTGTACGTTTTGACCCTCGACTCGTTCTCTTTTCCATGAAATAATTCTTTCCTTTCATCATATTGATTCTATCGTGTAATTCAAGTCTCATGTTAAAACTTACTTCAGGTTGAATATTCGTGTAGGGATTAGGAGTTATTTCGAGACCGTTATCTTGACATGTTTGTTTTGCATCGTTGACCAATCGGATGATATTTTTATATTCAACGTCGGCTTCTCCTAATGTTGCTTTAAATTGATTATGGGCTTCAATTAAACCTGAAAATCCAATACAATCCTTAATCGTAGTGTCAATCGTAAACGTATACTGTTTTACCGCGAATTTCATCGAGTGTATGAATAAAGAACATATCGACTAAATCTTCTCGAGCACCGTCAAGCCAGTTGATATACGGAGCAGCTTTCTTTGCATATTCCAAGAATAAACTATCGATACGTTCAACGATTCGTTCGGCTTCATTCAAGGCTACACGTCGTTTGTGTGTCAGATCACCTAATTGATCCCATTCATTACAAATCTTCTGACAACGTTGATTCACTGTTGCGATTTGGTCATAACCGAGAACATTTAATTCTTGAGCGATGGCAGCTATTTGTTCCACGCGATCCTGATGAGCAGCGAGATCACTTTCGAATGCTAGATGTTTACGTGATAATGCACGAAGATCATTTAATGAACAATGTTTGAAGTCAGTCGATTGTAACAGGTCAACCTTTCCATTCGACCATTCTTCGTGAATGTCACATTTATGCTGAAATTTCTTCGCCAAATGATCAAGACGTTCAAGTCTAAATAGTAGGCGTTGCAAAGAATAAATCAATATACAAGTGGAGAATTCTACCGGCGTAGTTCACGTAACAACCAATCTTCGAAACCTTTTTCTGCTAACTCTAAACCTTTCCAGGCATCGACAATGTTCTACAAAACAATCGTAGTTCAACATAGACAAGTAAGTTATTCTTCTTTCGTTTGCTCACCGCAATCAATTTGCCTTCGGTTGGAGTAAATGCTGGTCGATTCGATAGACGTAAACGTGTTTGAAGTGTGTTGAAATCGGTTTCTAATTTCGCTTTTTGATGTAACTTCGGCGGCTTTTGTGAACGACAATAATCTCGAAATTCTCCTAGTTTAGCTTGTGTACCACTAAGTGTATTATCTGTAGCACGATTTTCTAACCATGGTCGTTTTTGTTTAATCCATTCTAATAGGTCCGATGCTAATCGTTCATATTCCGCCATCATTTGTTCATTTTCTTGGTTAATACTCAATACTTTACATATTCGGCTAGCTGCTTGTTCGGCCTATGATGAAAAATCAAACAAAATCTTCTCGTTAGTCAATTGATTCGAATCTTGATTGAAGATTTCATGCAAAAGATAACCTTTTGTGTCGTGGAAAATGCATGATAATATGACGAAACATATGTCATCACAACTTTTTCATCGGCTTTAATGCTGTTATTGATTTCTACAAAATAACACACATCAAATACATGCAGGAAAAGGAACGTTTTCGATAAACTTCATGCACACTGCATATCTCTTGCATTTTTCAAACTTAAGAACCTTATAAACACCAGCAAAGGCATGATAGTACGCGCTGACATAAGTCATCACAGACTTTTCATCTGGTCTGACCGTATTGACCATATCTATTTTGTTCCAAGTCTTCGTTTTTCTTGTCACAGAAGTTATCAATGATGTACGTACCTTCGGCATCTAACATTTTAGGAATATCCAAATGTTTCTCAGCAATATCGAATGCAAGATTAAGATTTGTTAATGGATCGTCCTAAAATAAATACATATTCATGATTCTTTGAGAAGAAAGGTCTGTACTATTCCTAAATGATCATCTCAAATTTTCGTTCTCTGTACCTTTTTAGATATATCTAGGTCAGAGTATTATTATCTCAATACTCCTACAAGATTATGTAGCAAACATCTGGTTTATGACTCATGTCGCTTTTGGAATGTGATGCGTATTTGAAGTGTTAGATTCCAACTAAAAATATCTTACTTTTGTCAGTTTACTATAATCGAGTAAATCAGGACGGTGGCGGTGAATGAGTGCACAGAAGGCCAAACCATCCTTGAAACTATAGGAAAAAGGAATAGAAAGGTTTACTATAATCGGTCTTTCATGGAAATCTTGAACCTTGTATGAAAATTTTGAACATTCACATTCTTGTATGGAGCGGTCTTTCGTTGACACCACAATAATAGACCTTCCTTAGCAGACATTTCTATATAAAAATAAGCAAAACTGATAATGTGTACACATGAAGTGATCGTTTTACCTTCAACTGAAATGTCTTGAATAGCAAAACGCAAGATAATTGTCCAAATCATTCCCAACGTCATTTTCAAATTTCCATCAACGATTTCTAAAGAAAAGAATCCATATTCAATTAAAAAATTATGTAAATATAGATCATATGTTCAGTATACCTTCAGCGCCAACCATTAACTTAACTCCTTTGCTCATTATAAAATCAAGTGCTTTATTTACATTTGCGATCTTATGAAATCTAAAATTATAATCTAGATTATCTCATCTTCGGATTGTGTTCAGTGAAGGAAACCTCATTCGTCCACGGTCCGGTTTGACAAGTTGTTCATTTGATATAACTTCCAAAAGAAGCATCAATTTCAAACCATTTTGAAAATCTTCTTCGATGTTTTCGATCGCTGTGCCAACTTTACGTAAATGCGAATTACACCACGCGGTAAATGTCTGCAAATATTCACATTTTTCTTTTCAAAATTTGCAACGTTCAAACTTCTTCATACTTTCTTTTGTTGTCGTTCCCATGCAGGATCAAGTACAGCTTCACGTTCCCATTCTTCTTCTGGTACCATATAATCATCAATTGAATTTTGTTGCATATACTCTCCACTGTATTGTTGTTGAAGTGGAGGCGATTTCATCATTGGCATACCATTGTATCCATTAGCATCTTGATAATAATATCCACTCATTGTGTCTTCTTTGTGCAGATTTAAATAACGATGCCAGTCGAAGAATACATCTTGAAATTAGAGAAAAAAATGAAATTAAAGATTTTCTTACAAGGTTCTCTTGATAACAATAATGAAGATTCGTTAATATAGATGTATCACATTCAAATAAATGAAAGACGACAGGTGAACAGATGCCTGATAAGCATATGTTTATAGATAGATGGATATATTTTATTGTTTGGTAGTAATAATTGAACATTATCTTCATATGTGATAATTGCCTTGTTTAATCGAGCGAACGAAGAAAACGATAGATAAACTTACATGGATGTTCCTATTGCCTCGGAAGAAAACAAAGAAGAAATTTTCTAAGCCTTTGCAAGGGGCGTATGTGTGTTAACGAAATAAAATAGGTTAAGCGACAAATCGAAAAACGTAGAGAATTAATTTGATTGACCGGTAACAAACACAAAACAGTTGGTTTACCGTTCTTCTTCTTCTTCTTCTCCATCTTTTTCCTCTTGCTCTCCATTTCCTATCTAACGTCTTTAATCAATGCCAAAAATAGTACAACAATACGTACGCGAAAGAGGTCTAGTGATAAGACTAACAATCGTATTTTAACGAAATCTTGTTATGAGAATTGAAACGAATGCGACGAGATCGAATGAAAAACTAATCTGAATAATAGAAGTAGAAGACAGTGACCTCGTTTGTTTGCGATTAAACAAGATAACAAATAGTAAAGGAGCTCGGATTTCTGGTCTTGTTGTTGTGTATATTTGTTATTGACGAACAACTCGTTATGAATTGGACAGAAGATACAAGAGAAAGAGTAGCAAACACAACGCTAACGCGTCGTTTGTGCAAAGAGAAAAATATATAAAGGAAAAGAGAAGAACTAAGATGATCTTTGGGTATTGCAGATGTTCGATCTGTATATGTACTTAGACTAGTAAAGACGCGTCGACACTGCATAAAGCTTTCTTCCTTCAAACGGCAACGACAGGCTTGTATACCTATGAGTTTAGATGTCTGCTCATATTCTAATCTTTTCCTTCTCTCGTCGCGTTGTTCTCTTTCTTTCTTGCTTTATTTTCTTATGGTTTCCTGTAGTACATATACACATATATATCCACATATACATGCAACACAACATCATTAGGAGAATAAGACCGATGAATGAAGACATGAGAGAAAGCAAAAATAACTTAGGAGATGTACGACGCTCCACAACGATAAATCGCCCATATAGACTGAGAAAGAGAGGAGGTAAATGATCTCTTGTCGAAGATTCTCTCTTTTCTCTCGTTTATTCATTTGTTTGTCGATACAATCTCTTATCTTTTATCTTCTTGTTCCCTTCCCTCCTTATTTTTTCTCTAACAAGACAAGTGATGAGACAATAGAGGGAATCAATGATAAATTGATCAAGTTATGCATGCTCTTTAAAAGCAGAAATGCTCATACTCGAAACGGAACCATCATTCAACAGAATAGTAAAAAAAGAACAAATTGAAAAAGCAAGATACTCTTGTCCGCTTGCAGAAAAAGACAAAAGAATATGATATCTCTCTCGTTCTCGCTGTCTTTTCAATACTAATCGACAAACAGTAGCAAAGATGTTCTTCTAGCCACAAGATATAAATCAGGCAGCTAATAATTTATTTGTATACATGTCTGTTAGGGCAGAGGTGGAGCCATTTTTTGATTGGTATTTAATAAACCATTCTCTTCAAAAGAGAATTCTTCTGTTCGTTCATTATTATTCTTGATTGATTTGAAAAATAATTAAACAAGATACGACACTTTTCAAATCGAATCACTGAATTCTTTCTTGTGAAATGATTTTCGCATGTTGACTTGGCAAATCGAAGTTGTTTTTTTTCGTTGTTTCGAACATCTCGTATCTCTTGGTTTCTAAAATAAACAAAAAACTCAACATGTGTGGATATTGTTGTTTTTTTCTCTTTAGTATAAGTCATTCAATGCATTCTCGAGCTTATTTACTGATCAAACGTGATTTATATTTACTTGAAAATAGTCCTGTGAATGGAATTGAAATTGAACGTATCACTAATGATAATTGCTTTGATTTAACTTTATTTCTCCGTCCAGCAAGATCTTCCATATGGTATGGCTGTGTATTTCGAATATTTTGTTCTTTTTATGATACTTACAATGTTCAACCACCTATTTTACAGTTTGATCAATTGAATATTCCTTATCATCCGAACGTTGATCCGATTACAGGTCGAATTACTCTGACGACAAGTGAGAAATGGAATCCGAGTTTGACGTTGAAAATGTTGTTTGAAGAGTTAGTCAACGTGTTTATTGAACCGAATGAAAAAACAACGATTAATCCAGATGCCATGCGCATGCTGAAGTATCGTATACATGATTATCAGAATTTAATTGATGAATCAATCGAGAAGAGTCGACAGTTGATGGAAATAGTGAATGATGATAAGACAAATATTACTCAATCACACATTATTTTATCGAAACAAAGAGATCGTGAGTAAATTAGCAAGAAATTCTAACAATTTGCTCATGATTTCTTTTATTTATAGTCGATCGGGCACGTTTACGTACACCTGAAGTAGGTGCACGTCGACAGCAATCGAGTATACCAAAAGATCTACGAATTTCTTTCGAAGATTACCTTATTACATGGAAAGGTATTGCAACATCGAAGGCTAATTTGCGCGACGAAAATCCTCTACTCAAACAACTGAGTTCGCAACCAAAACTACAAGGTCAACACCTTGCTTTGAATGCGAATGAGCTTGGTAATGTTCATGTTAACACCTAATCATCATAGAAGGTGTCTGTTTATTTTCCAGCCCAACAATTGGATGATCGAGCGTTTCAATTCGAACGACTTAAATATGGTCAATTAAAAAATCAAGAACGAATGCGACCCATCGCTGCAGTTTCTCAAATGAGTGCACCTGAAACGGATCAACAAGTTCATGTTGTGACTCAAGCAAATAGTAGTCTGGATGTGTTAACGACAGAAGAAAGACAAAATTCGAATCCAATACAAAATGAAGAGGTCGATGAGTTGATCGAGTGGACACAGAGTCTTCCGACAACCGTTGAGGAAATGATCGAAGAACATTAATACCATTTTTTACACAAAATCTCAATTCTTTCGTCCTTTTTTCTTTGTACACAAATTTGTTCAATGTTTTATTTTTGCAGATTTATATTTCGAAAGAAAATATATCCATACCATGGCGACAAGTAATAATTCATTGAATCACGTAAGAGTTATATGCATAGGTTGACGAAAACCGATCTAGAAATGATTCCATCAGATGCACTATCATATCTCTAATATAGAATATGAATGATGTGTCTCTCTATGCTGAATCCAAATTAACACGTCATCAAGCGATTGGTGAAATCACTAATGTTGTTTTGCGTTCAAATATCAAACCACGTGTTGTCAATAGTATCTTAGAATTATTGCAAAAGCTTCTTCCATCGGATAATACATTACCAATAACAATCAATGATCTTTTCAGTGCGATAATATCATGTAAATATTCGGCAAAAACAGGTTTTTGTACACGTTTCTAGCATTTTTCAGCAGAAAATAATTGGCGTGTAACACAGTACTTAGTTCGACACAAACAATTCCTTTCGGTCTCAACAACCAACGCTAGTTCAGCGTTTGTTCAACAAGAGCAAGTTTCTAATATTGCGACACAACCATCAACAAGTCAGAATAATGATTTTTATTGTAATTCTTATGATAGACTGCAAGCATGTTTACGATTGATCTTGGAAAGTAATAGATGATTACAGTTAACCTGGATAACTATTTGATAGAGATTTCCCTTTATTGTAGAAAATCATGAAGATCGTGAAGTATCAGTGTCTGATAATTGTACTGATGGTTTGTTAGTTGATGAAAATGAAGATAAAGAATCGATTGCAAATAAAAAACTATGTTGTTTTGTATGTCTATAGCTCTTTGGAAAATTTGCTGTTTTCTAATTTGATTTTTCGTAGGAAATGAATGGATATAATTTACTCAACGGTGGTAAATGACGTCGATGCCCATAGAGGTCGAATATTTTGTACTAAGTCATTTTTGATCTAGAAGTCAAAGACAGATTCTCAGTATTCTATACAAATACATTGATTTTTGTGACATTAAATAATAAATACACAAAGCATATTAACCCAACAAGTAAATTAAAATTCAATTGCAATCACTTGTTGTCAATATATCTTACAAATTGATATAAAAGTCTTTCATGTTATCTCCACTGTCGGTATAGTATGATAAAAGCTGATTGAACAGAGATTACACTGAACATAGTATACAATCGACTCCGTTTATCCTTTATTTACACATGGCTTGTTGACTTCTTTTATCTTGATCTAATTCTATTGATCCAAATAGAGTGATTGCTTCGATAGAACGAAAATTATCTATAACTATCCAGAAAAGCCTATGACAATGTTGCGCCATCTATAACTGGAGTTTGGTTTTGCAGGGAATAAACGAACTAATGGACGATTTTCATTTTTCTATCCATTTGTCATAAAAGTATACTGCAGTAAAGTGTGGGTTTTTCTAAAAATAACAAAGTGAATCTTACTGATTGTTGTCTTTCTCTTTTTTTTGCTGCAGATGTTTGTAGTATCAAAATTATTTAAACCGTATTCCAAAGGTTGTTCATTATTTCAGTTTCAGAAATTTCATACTAGTAGAAAACATATGGAAACTATTAAATCAATTATATCGACGGTAACTGGCGGTGCTAGTGAAACGAACACATCTACAGCGTCGAACGAGCAAATTCGTCATCTATTATGTAAAACTGATGACTTACAAAACGGGCAAATGAAAGAATTCGAAGTGAAAACTTCCTTTGTCAATACCAGTGTACTCCTGATTAAACAGAATGACAAATTTCATGCATATTCAAGCAAATGTTGTCACTATAAACTTCCACTAGCAAAAGGTTCGACTTGAGCGCATCTTTTTGTTCGTAACACTTATATTTGAATTCAATAGGTGTGTTGATCAACAATCGTCTTCGTTGTTTTGCACACGGTGCATGTTTTCGTGTCGACACCGGTGATATCGAAGATCATCCAGGTCATGGCAATTTACCCAGTACGTTGTTTATGATAATACTCTCTATTTGAAATTCAAATGTGTTCTGTTGAATAGAATATGATGTTGAGATCGTCGATGGACAAGTTATTTTGGTTGGAACTAAACAAGATCTTGAAAAATTGGAACGTTCGAAGATACCTGATAATCTTGAAATCGACGATAAGCCAGTTGTTGCAATTATCGGAGCTGGAGCAGGTACCTGTCTAAAGGAATCTCTTCTTTCACACAAATATTCTTTTCCTAGGTGGATTTACATGTGCTGATATGCTTCGTCAAAATGGCTTTCGTGGTCGTATACTATTATACACACGCGAAGGAACATTACCATACGATCGCGTGAGTTATTGTCTTTGCTGTTTATCTGAAAAGAAACGGTAATCATTGGATTTACAGGTTCAATTATCGAAACAACCAATGAAGAAATCGCAGGACCTTCTTCTTCGCGATCAAAATCATTTCAAAAAAGCCAAAATTGATTTAATACTTGACACCGAAATAACCAATATCAATTGGGATGCGAAAACTTTAACTTACCATACAATTGGCAAACAAATGAAATCTGAACAATACGATTATCTCGTATTGGCAACTGGTCTACGATCACGAAAATTACCATCGTCAATACGTGGAGGTGATCTTCGAAGCATTTTCTATGTACGATCAATGGAAGATGCGAATAACTTAGTCAGTAAGTCTTACATCAACATTTGTTTGATATTGTTGATTATCGTTCTTGACTAGATAAAGTCAAGTCACCGGAGACGAAAAATATTGTGATTATTGGCGATTCGTTCATTGCATTGGAATTGTGTGGATGGCTGACAACAGGTTTAGCAGGTCCTGATGGCAAACAAACTGACATCGACAAGAAAAATGTATCGGTAGTCATGCTTTTGAAAGCCCCAATGATTCGTAAGAATAAATTCGATGAAATCTCATAAGAAGGCACGTTTTGTTTTCGAAGGTATTTTCGGCGAAAAAATCGCGCGTGCACTACAAACTGTTCATGAAAAGAATGGAGCGAAATTTTATCCAGAAGCCAATGTCACTGAAATAACTGTAAGCGACTTCTGAGCTGGATCGATTAACAACTGTTCTCTCCACATATATAGGGTGAAAACAATAGTGTCAAATTTGTGCAATTAGAAACCGGTGAATCCATTCCATGTGACATGGTCATTGTGGCAATCGGTAGCGAAACTTGTACTGAATTGTACAAAGATTCGCCAATTGCATTAAGTGAAGATCATTTTATCAAAGTTAATGATCGATTGGAAACATCAGTTGAACACGTTCTTGCTGTTGGTGACATTAGCAAACATCCATTGAAAGTATTCAATTTGGATGAAGTTAACTGTCAACATTGGCAAATGGCATGTTCGAGCGGTCATCAAGCTGGTAAGTCAGCATGTGTGTATGAAGAACATTCTTTCGTGATGCGTGTTTTTTCTTCAGCGGACACAATTTTACACCATTATCTTGGCCAAAACAAAGGTGGTGCACGTCCGTTAAAAACGGACTATTATACAGTTCCCATCTACTGGACAACGCAAAATAATAAGACAACGATTCGTTATGCGGGTTATACTCGTGATCCTGAGAATGTTGTTATTCATGGCGATCTTGATGGTGAATTTAAATTCGTTGCTTATTATATCGTCGATGGTTTTGTTCGAGCTGTTGCTCAATCTAAATACGATCCATTGTCAAGTGAAGTCGCCGAAGTATTTTATCATCGGCGAAACATTCGCAAAGAAGATATTGAAAACGATATGTACGGCTATCGAAAATACCTCGAATTCAAAACGAAAAAACCTGAATAAACACTTGCATCAGTCTTTATATATTTATATATATCTAAACCTGCAATGTAGTTAATATAGTAATTCTTTTTTATTTAAAAAAAACGATTTATTTCGCCGACGAACATTTGATAATCATTTTAGATGAGTTCTCAAGCTGACCTCTATAAGCAGCTTCAATGCCAAAAATGTGAACGACGTTTGAACAAACCTTTAGAATTAAAATGTCAACATTACATATGTCGAGACTGTCTTGAAAGTAAAACGAGTAGATTGAGATCTAAGTGAAATTTACTGCTTTCTTTCAGCTATTCTTCGCAACCATCGTACTCAGGCGCAATGCCCAACTTGTCATCAAGCTCTTGGAGATTATAAAATTGAAAATTATGAGTATCTTAAGCCAAAACATCCTATTTCCCGTCTTCTAGCATCTTGGAATGATGTTGATCAGTGTACGACATGTAAAACATTTACAGTGGTTGAAGCGTGTTCTCAATGTTCGAAAGAACAATGTGATTCGTGTGCTGCACAACATGAAGAGACTCATCGTCTATCAGAAAGCCAATCTGCGAATAATTTCAACGATTTTTCTGAAGAAGAAAACAAAATTCTTGAATCGATTCGAAAAGATTTAACTGATAAAGAATACGAAGATTTCGTTTGTACAGCCGCCGCTCATTTGAATCATGCAGTGTCGAACACGGCTGGAACAAGTTCGCCATCATCAAGAAATGAACTCAGAACAAGTGTTGAGAATATAATCGGTTCTACAAAACCAATTTATGATTGGTCCAAACATGAAAAATTCACTGCTGATGATATCGTCAATAGTAGACCAGAACGCGTGAAGCAATTGTTACGACTAGACTTCACTCCTCGACCATATCAGATCCGAATGGTTCGAGCAGGTCTGAAACGAGAAAACTCACTTGTCTGTCTACAAACTGGTGCGGGAAAAACATTCGTAAGATATTTTATTTTCAATTGTTTGTTCCTCGAATTTTCCGTAGGTCGCTGGTATTATTGCTAAATTCTTCCACATACTTTCGCTGCAAAAACTTCAACATGCATCTGCAACATCTGAGAGTACATCACGCCGGTTCAAAGCCGTTTTTCTCGTTCCCATAAAAGCCTTAGTCGATCAACAATGTGCTGCATTTCGAAAGGTTTTCATGGATGAGCCCGACTCGATCCTACAGATGATCGACAATCAAGTTGGCGAACGGTAAACGTCGAAATCAATGCTGAATAGAATGATGTATTCATGTTTTGATCGATTTTAGATTTGAAAGTCTCTATCGATCACACGACATATTCTTTTTTACAGTACAAAAATTTGCTAATTTTATCGATGCGAAACATGCAGACTTGAGCAAATTTGATTTGGTCATGGTCGATGGTAAGTCCAAACAGTATCTTCGAAAAGTGTTTGACCCTTTCTTCTCTTGTTATCAAGAATGTCATCACTGCTACGATAATCATCCAATCAACACTATGATGCATCAATATCATCGATTGAAACTATCGAATCGTGCCGTACCACAAATAATTGCTTTGTAAAAAAAATTAATCGATTTGTTTGTATCCGATCAATTCTCCCTTTTAGAACAGCAAGTGTTGGTACGAATAAAAAGAAGGCTTTCGATCATCTGGTTCGTCTCTGTGCTAATCTTGATTGTTACAATATTTGTGCCATTAGCAAAGGCGCTGAAGAAGATGAACTACGAAGTTCAACTAATACACCATTAGCAGATACAATCGTTGCAGTTCCAAAAGAAGAAAACGATCCGATTGTTTTATTTCTGAAGGACAACGTGATGAAAAGCATTGCTCAACGTCTCGCACTGGATATATCAATGATGACTACCGAAAAATTAGATAATTTTCTTGTTTTAGAACATACGAGTGCTTGCAAAACGAATGATCGGGATGCTATCATTGGTTGCCATTATTTACGAGAATTAAATGTATAGAACCGAGGAGAATATCTCTGCAGTCTTTTGCTAACTGTGGTACATGATTTTATTTAGCTTTTCATTCGCTTTTACCAAGATTTGCCTCTGGAGCAATGTACGGAAAGATTAGAACAAATCTTACAAAGTTCGTCGCCTAGTAAACCAACACCATTCGATACATTTTGTCAACAAAAACTGAACGAATTTCGTAATCTGGCTACAAAACAGATATCATCGAAAGCTCCGGCTCAAGCGAAATTACAGAAACTGGTTGAGTTAATCGAGAGTCTGCACGCACCCAATCATCGAGGTGAGAATTTTAAATTCATTTGATCAATCGAGGAAACCACAACTGAATAGAATGAGATATACGCATACTTGTTTTAGGTTTGGTCTTAGTCCGCACTAAATTTCATACAGTAGCTTTAGAAAAATTTCTAAATCAGCATCCAAGAATAGCTCAACGTCAAATATCCGTTGGACGTCTGACTGGGCAAGGACCAGCAGAGGACCTTTGTTTACCAGGTAGTCAGCAAGGAGCGGTTTTGGATGCATTTAGGAAGGGTAAGTTGAACTGGCGAGAAAAAGGACCAGAGAATTACAGAAGTTTCTTCATAGGTGACAAAAAACTACTTGTTGCTACTGGTAAGCCCGTGAAAAACGCCTATTGATAAGAAATGAAGTATGTCTACGAACGTTCATGTAGATGTGGCTCAGGAAGGATTGGATGTAGCTGAATGTTCGTATGTTATTCGATATGAATTCGTATCAAACGAAATCGGCACGGTTCAAAGTCGAGGACGAGCTCGGGCTGCACAAAGTAAATGTTTTCTATTAACTGAAGCACGTAAGCGATTCATACAACTGTTTCAATTATCATTAATCGATTATGTTTCTCTCATGTTATTGTAGTATCGTTGAATTATCAACGCGAACTCGATAATCGTGAGCGTGAGGATGAAATGAAACAAGCTCTGGAAGAATGGCGTAAACTGGGAACTAGTGAATTTCGAGTGCTAGTAGATACCCAAGAAGTACCGTCTAGGCGTAGATATTTCGTTCTTTCCAAATCATATTCGTTGATTTTAGAAAGAAATAATCAGGGAACTATGTAAGAGCGATGGTTTACCAACAGTATCAAATGATTTGGAAAATAGTCAACCTAGTGCGAAAGAAATTCGTTGTCGGTTTTGTGATAAATTATTATGCAAAGGATCAAGTTTACGACGTCAAGGTACTACCGTTGTATGTAAAGACCCAGCATTCGAACGATTAGTCAATCCACCGAAGACGACTGGAGGTAATCATCGAGTACTCATTTTTTTTGCTGAAGTTAATTCTTTTCTTGTAGCGAAATTTCTCTGCCCAAATCCAACCTGTCAGCGGGAGCTAGGTGGGGTCATTTTATTATCACGAAATGAACCAGCATATGCATTACAAATCACATCATTGAAATTTGTTATGAACTCGGTGGAAGAACCACGTCTTTTTAAAAAATGGAGTTTATATCAAGGTTACATAGAACAACTATAATTTCGTTTTTGTATATTTCAATAGTGTACAAGTTCCGAGTGATGATACTTTTATTACCAATAAATGCTCAGAATATATATATATATTATACTATAACAATTGCAAAGAAAGTCACTTGTTCCCAATAGCATGTACTCATACTAATTTCTAAGAATAGTAAATATCGTATTTTACAAGTTCTAACGTAGTAACTGGAATTATTCAAAAGAATTAGTTAGTAGTTTCATATACGGAAGCATCAGATTCTTTAAATAGCTATCAGGAAAAAGCCGAGCAGACGATGAATGACTTATTTCCTTCGTTATCAAATCTTTCTTTAAAATATCCAAGACAGACTCATGTACAGGCAATTAAACTTCGTCTGAAAAGATATTTTTCAAAAACACATGAGTCAAGTCATGTATAACACGCGTGATTTTTATGCATGCTATCTATTTAGGAATGTGGACATTGACATAGCTAAGTATACGAACTGCATAGTTAGATAGTCAACTGACACTTGATTACGTATACACATCCTTTGGAGAGGAAAAACGAAGTGGGATGTATCGAGAAGTGAGTCATGTTTATTTAGATATCACCTTATCTGTCTAGTAGAGGACGTACGCAATAGAATAGTTTATTGTTCGTAAAGTTGAAAAAAACAAGCGTAATAGGTTGCCATTCAGACGTGTCAGAAGCAAAAGCGTTAGTCATTCCAACAGCCACTTACTACAGGTATGTATTCATTTATATGTGTTGCGAGGAAACTTTTAGCAATTCGGCATTATTTCGAGCATTATTCATCGATGAATAAGCAAATAGCGTACTGAGAAACTGACAATCCGAAGGAATTCCATTCTAATTAGCAGCGACATCTTTCTGTGGAAATCTAAAGAACCTTTTTTTATCCACTTAAGAGCATTGATCAGTCTTGATTTACTCAACAAAAACATCTTGAGAGGACAATCCATTGAATTACCGTGAAATAATTGTAAAACATCATCGAAATCCGTTCGAGGGTCGAACATCCATCTCATGGCGGTCGCTTACACAAAGAACGCACGAAAAGCACGCGTTATGTTTCTATTAATATGTTGATTATTTACGATTTTTTGGTCATTGATTATTATTCTATATTCCTGTGTATTTTGTAAAAGAAAATTGTCGCGTGTGGTCACCGCCGTTATCACTCCTGTTCTCTATTGTTCATAGTGTACATAGGCCTTGTCTATCTATTCCCATTTCGTGTCTTGATTTATTTCGACGTTTTGTACCTATGTATAAAGTAAAAACGATAAGCAACCATTAAACATTGATCAATTTCAACTAACAAAACCCGGCTGATTATTTTGAACATTTTTCTATTTCTGGTCAAGCAGTGTTCTCTTTATTTCATACTTTCGATATAAATACAGTAAGTTCCACTCAATTAAAACGTGATTTTTCAGTGTTTTTTTCTGTTTTGCGTAGTTATTTCTATATACATATATTTCCTGTTATGTGGTCATCACAAGGAAATACCGATTACAGTTCGACTGGTAAATACATACTTGACTTGCCCACAATGTTTTTGAATCTATATTTCGTTGTATAGAGCGATCCGCTCATTCGGTTTCACAGCCAATCAATATGCCAAATCGACCATTAGATATGACTGCCGGTTATATTGACCCACACAGTGCGGTGTTTTCGCCCAAATCCACAGATCCAACAAATCTCGGTGTTAATATGTGTATGAATATATTGGACGGTGACAATTCACCACGTGTAAAAGATAATACTGTTAAAGATGTTTCACAACGTTTACAGAACATGAAAATATTTGTAAGTATCATTTTGAAAGTTTTCACTGATTTGCGAAGATCAATTTTCGATTGTCTATTTTTTATTTCAGACTGACAGTGATAATGATAAAAAACCACATGATAATTCAAATGAATATCATGCCGATGATGGTAAATCCGTTGAAACAGTAGGCGATAATGCTTTACCAAATACAAGTCGTAAACAATCACCACGAGCATCACCTGGTCATATTCATAATGACTTACCAAATGGTAATACCAATGAAAATCTTGCTACCAATGATCCTATAGGCCCTCACAATGATATTAATGATAGTGGCTTACCATCAGTACATTCGGTAATGAATGGTATGCCGACAGCATCTGTACCGATTCCTTTCCAACGAATGCAAACAAATGATGCTCAACAACAAATGTTACTTTACCAACAACAACAACAGCAACAACAAGCGTAAGCAAATCTTTGAAAATATTTCTTCCAGGAGAAAACACTAGTCATTTTGATTTAGTTATCAAGCACAACAGTATCAAATGCTACAACATCAAGCTACTCATTATGAAATGGATCCACGTACTACAAACTTTCAATCATTCGACTATACAATAATTCAGCCACAATCGTAAGTGTAGCTTCAGTTCTAATTCATAAGATTTTTATTTTATTTTAAGATATGAAAGTCAATCAATCATATCTGCCTTCAACCCACAAGCACCAGGTACGAATCAACAAGATCCGCAACTAGCTAATCTTGCTCAAGGCCCACTCATGCCTTGGCTACAAACTACAGTCGCTGCATCTCAACAATCTGGTAATCAACAGCCACCATATGGTTCATCGTCTAATCAATACATACTTAACAACAATCAAGACAATTATTTACAAACATTAGCAAATTTTCATCAATCACCAGCTACACATCCATCATTTCAACCGCAGTATTGGTCCGCAGTACCTCCTGCTCTAGTGTTCCCAGCTCCACCACAAGCAATGTTAGCACAACAACAAACACTAAATAACGAACCACAATCCCCACAATCCAAAGCAAATAATGCGAATAATCGACCTTTGACACCGTCGAATTCAAATGATTTATTGAGTACATCACAACCAAATCAACCACCATTTCTAAGCATGCCGCGTGCTGCACAAACACCAGGTACGAAACATACGAATGAGTTCCTTTTCTCGGCTTATATAAATCATGTTCTTCTTTCTTATTAGTGAACTTTCCATTCTATGCAGCTGCATCGCCAACATTTCTCGATCCAAATCTAATGATGCAATCATCTCGAGCACCCAATGGTTCACCTGGTATTCGCATGTATCAACAACAAGTACCAATTCCAAGTATTTGATTTCTAGAGGAAACTTCTCAATATTCATGATCTATCTCTTCTTGTAGTCAATACAAATAATCAAGGTGGTCTTTATGGAAGTCCAGTAGCAGGAAGTTCGCTTTCAAGTTCATTCAATGGTAAGTCAACAGTAGAATCTTACTGATCCGAGATATGAAATGAAACTGAGGAGTTCAATTGATTTATTGAGAGAAAGAAGTAGGCGTCTTTTCTTGTGACTTTATTACAATGGAGATTTGTCATTTCATAACATGCTTGTCGGATTTAATTGGATGCGGTTGTCAATGATTTGTTATTATAAAACGCGCTGTTTGTTTTACTCTTTCCATTCTGCGGACATTTTTAGCAGGTTGTTTTCGTTGCGATATTAATCGAGAGAAACAGATGAACAAATTAGACAGTATCTCTTCAATTAAAATGATTCTACTTCATAGATGCATACACTGTTCCAAATCAGCGACGTGATGGTTCCATAGTTGATTTCTCTCGATTTCCAGGTGATCCTCGTTTATCTAAACAAGGTCAACAGCAGCAACAAACGCCAATGTTTCATGGCCAAATTAGTGGTCTACCACCATCACCTGCTTATAACAATCTAATACCATCAATGACTCCCCCGCCGACTTCCAATAACGCAACATTCGATGGTATCTTCAATACTCGATTCTTTCCTTCGAATGCTCCATCTACTGGTGGATCTCAACAACAAATCCTCAATGGTAACGAAATGTACGCTGGACGTCGTAGTGTCGGCAGCATCAGTGGAACAATGCCAAGTTTCTATCCTCCAAATGTATTCGGTGGTAATGGAAACAATGTTAATAATATGCCAGGAAATGGCAATGCGCGTGATGCCAATATCAATCGAAGTAAATTATTGGATGACTTTCGCAATAGTCGAATGCCGAATTTACAATTACGTGACGTTATTGGTCATTTTACTGAATTCTCCATGGATCAACATGGCTCGAGATTTATACAGCAAAAACTAGAACGTGCAACTAATGGTGAAAAAGATATGGTGTTCAAAGAAATTCTTCCTAATTCATCTCAATTGATGACTGACGTCTTCGGCAATTACGTTATTCAGGTGAGAGAAAGGTTACCAATCGAATGACTCTCATTTTTCTTTTCTTTTTCTTCAGAAATTTTTCGAATTCGGTACAACGGAACATAAGGGTCTTTTAGCTCACCGCATTCGCGGAAATGTTTTAACACTTGCATTACAAATGTATGGTTGTCGCGTAATTCAAAAAGCCGTCGAGACCTTACCTAACGAATTTCAGTTACAAATAGCACGAGAGTTAGAAGGCAATGTTGTTAAATGTATTGAAGATCAAAATGGTAATCATGTTATCCAAAAATGTATTGAATGTTGCTCGGCTGATAGCATCGAATTCATTATCCGGGACGTGACAAGACAAGTTTTTTCACTCTCTGCACATCCATATGGCTGTCGGGTAATTCAGCGTATATTGGAAAATTGTAATGAATTTCAAACACGACCTATACTGGATACTTTATACAATGAATTAGACAATCTTGTTCAAGATCAATATGGTAAATCTCAATGTTGCAAAAATACTTTATTGTGTTTTCTTTGTTTTAAGGAAATTATGTTATTCAACATGTGTTAGAACACGGTAAACCCGAAGATCGTGGCCGAATTATTAGTGCTATAACCGGTCGTGTGTTGCAGTTGTCTCAACATAAATTTGCCAGGTAAGAAGCATGATGAATGAATGTAAACTAATTACTCTATTGTTCATTTTCATTTTTTTAGTAATGTGGTGGAAAAATGTGTAACATTCGCTACGAGGGATGAGAAAAGACAATTGATCGATGAAATTATCACATCGGGCGACGGGTAATGATGATGATTTGATGTTACTTAGAATAAGACGATACGAATTTCTTTCGTTCTAGACCAAATTGTGCATTGTTAACAATGATGAAAGATCAGTTTGCTAATTATGTTGTGCAAAAAGTAAGTTGTTTCTTTGCAATTGATTCGAGATACATGCATACCCGATATTCATAAGTAGTAGAAAGAAACGGTTAGAAATTAAGCTTTTCTAAGCTATCTCTAACTATTTTTATACTAACCGTATCGAATGACTCGATTCGGATATGCCAAATAATACCAGTTACTTGAAAGTAGTCCGCTGAGAGAGTCTCTGATCAATTAGATATCTTCATATACATTCCGATGACTTTGAAAATACAAGCCTTGTATAGATCACGCGAGTTAAATTGCTTAGTTGTTCTTATTGCCGTTCTCAAAATTTCCTAGCTAATGCATCACGTCTTTATTCTCTTCCGAACCGCCCACTCAAGATTGCGGCGTCGCCTATGATCTAATCACATATGCAAGCGAAAAAAAAAACAAAGTCTCAGCTATATAAACTAGAATCGCGAGTTCTATAAAGTGCACAAACAACAGTAGATGTACTCTTCTTTTCGAAAAGGAAATCTTTCATCGTGAGTTTAACTTTCTTTCTGTCAAACCCTTGATTTTTGTATAGTCTATGAAGCTAAAGAACAAAGTCTCTTCGCTGTATTATTTCCAGTCATTTACTTGTTAACTTTACATGCTATATAGCTATTTATATCATCAAAAATGAAATATGACGAGCGAACATTCAGTTCAATATATATATGTGACAATAGGAATTGCTTATATTATTCGCAGTCATTCAGTTTTTTATATTAAAATACATTAACAAAAAAACTTGACATCAAAGATGCTTTGTTTCGGAATGATCTTTCTTAACTTCCTACGCATTGCCATCATTAAATATCCTCTCACGAATCTTTTCATAGACAATAGCAGCTTTTTCTATTATACTTTGTGTATATGCAATCTCAAAAGAATTCTATTGAAAAAATCTTTTTTTACATCATCTTCTTCCTCTGATCTTGTATTTTGCTTAATTAATAATCCAACAACCAAGTACACTTTTCTTTGTTCGAACTAGATGATCGATGTTGCCGAACCAGCTCAACGAAAAATTCTCTTACAAAAAGTTCGACCACATATTCAATCGCTTCGCAAGTTTACCTATGGCAAACACATAATCACTAAACTTGAAAAATATCTCAGTAAAACTGCAGACATGCCTGCAATGTCCTCATCAAATTCAAACGGTTTACCACATTATGACAATTAACGCACACATACATATATATATATACATGCTATTTTTGTTTTCTCTCGCGCTCTCTTCTTCTCTCTATTGTTCTCTAGCTAGTTTGTTTGTTTTCTTCGTTTTTCATTGCGTGACAGTGGTCGCCCTCAAACTTTGTATGTTTGGCTTTTTTGCTCTGTACATACATATACATATTATATATTATAACTGGCTCAGGCGATGTGTTATAGTCTTGCCAGCCTCACACTGTGTTGATGATCATTCAAAGAGATTTTTTTGTTATATTATTTTTCTTGTTGTTGCTCAAAAAGAAAACAGAAGCAAAGCACCCAGAGAAAAAAAAACTCACGAATCATGATTCTGTACAGTTTTCTTGTTAATCACCTGTAATCGATTCAGTTTTCTATAAGTACCTTTCTGTGTATGTTTTTGTGTGCGTAATTCATATAATGTAAAGAAGTTTCATTTCAACTGTCGTACACTTTTCAACTAAAGGAAAAAGGAAAAAAACTTTCATATGTGAATTCATACTCGAACGGTGAAAGAAAAGAGACATTTTTTGCAAATAGTTTATTGACCGCTGCGCGCACAGTTTATTTTTGTTTCCGTCTTCGTTGTCTACATCCCTGTTTTGTTCTTGTTCTCTCAGGCGAATGTGTGTGATACTGACACACATTTCACTACTTTACGCATACGTACGGTTTTCTCTCTCCCTCTCTTTGTTTACTGGGTTTCGTATATAGATGGTTTTTTTTCTTTTTTTTTGTATCCAGGAACGATTTTGATGTTTTCTTTTTCGTCAAACTTCAATCTGTTTAACTTGTTCTGGTTCTTTCTTTATGTAGTGAATGACCTGGTTTTCTTCTTTTGTTCTTTTGTTTTCTTTTCATAAAGTCTCAGTTTTTTTCTCTTTCTTCTTTTGTTTGCTCTTCTCTTTTTCTCTCTATTCATCTGTTTGCATCACCCAACTATACATGTACTACTAACGAAAAATAAATAGACAGAGAAAAAAAAACTCAAGATCTGCATGCTTTCTTCTTGGACGTTCAACGGGGAAAGAATAAATTTATAAATATTCATCTTATTCGATAAGTAGGCAGACAATCAATGTTGACTTGCAAAAATCTTTTGTGGAAGGGAAAAAAGTTGACTTGTGAGCTTGAACGACTGTTATAATGTCCTCCTATTCATTAGCATAAGCAATGATTAGAGGAAGACGTTGAAGAAGGATATTCAAGTAGATCGAGTGACAATTAGCCTTTTGTATGAAGCGAACGCGTCATCGTTTCTCGCCGCCATCCATCTTCCGCTCCAATGCAAATAAAACTTCTTCTCTCGCTTCTTTTCTTTTTCCGCTTCTCCAGATTCCTATAATTCATAAGTAATATTTTATATTCATGGATAGTCAAAATCTACCACAAGTTTATCGAGTAGTATAGTACAAAATAATTATGCGTGCACATCATCAGCTTTCCAACTCAAGTCAATCTCCTCCACCGTATCGAAACAACATGCAACATGATAATCAACCTATCAACTATAATAGACCGGCCGAAGAACGTATGGCTGATTTTCAACAGCTTGTTGCTCGTTATGAGAGTAAGATATTGACGAAGATTTCCTTGTGACATTGAACTAGAAACTACTTGTTTCCTCTTTTTGTCAACGATTATTCAGTTAATCATACATTTGCAACCAAATTACGCGTTCTCGAAGGTTACGAAATCGTCTTCATTTGTGATGATTCAGGCTCGATGAATACTCCACTCGGTAATTTCATTTCGATCGTCTATTATCTCGACGGAATTGCATTATCTGATTATTTTAGGCGATCTCTCCGGCCCGTTTGATAAAATGCCATCACGATGTAACTGTGGATATTTTTGTTTTCTTTTTGCATCGTAATTTTTCTTAATTATAGGGGATGAACTTAAACAAACAGTGTCAATTGTAGTTGATCTAGCAAGTGTTTTCGATCCCGATGGCGTCGATATCTATTTCCTTAATCGAGAACCTATATTTCATGTTCAAAATTCCGAACAATTGCTTCCAGTTTTTGCCATTCCTCCGGCTGGTATATTGTCTAAAGGAGAACATGCACATCAATTGATTAACATCATATTATTTTATTTATTCAGGTCCCACACCAATTGTTCCTGTTTTCCGACGAGTACTTCGTGATAAGCAACATGAAATCGAAGAACGTAAATTACTGATACTTTTAGCAACCGATGGTGTTCCAACTGATAATCAAGGTCACCGAGATATTCGTTCGTTTGAATACGTACTTAAACAAGAACGTAAACCAACTGACCGTATTCCCGTCACTATCATTGCCTGTACAGATGACAATGATTGCATAGGATACTTGAACGATTGGGATAAGAAAATTCCCAATCTTGATGTTGTTGATGATTATCGAAATGAGAAAAAAGAAATTCAAGGACGGCAAGGAAAGCATTTTCCATTCAGTTTTGGTGATGTATGTCCTGTTTGGAATCGATCTGACGATCAACATTGACTTGCATTTGATTTGTTTTCTTAAGTATGTCGTGAAAATTTTGATGGGTGGTGTGGATAGTTGGTTCGATGATTTAGACGAAAAGAAAGTGACAACGGATGGCTATGGACGACCGAGTACAAGCGGCGAGTCGAAACGAAGGAAGAGAAAATGTCTTATTCAATAATTCGACGAAATTTCAGTGTTTAGCAAGGAAACTGCACACGATGTTTCACATTATCGACTCTGGTGATTATTTAGTTCTGCACAAAATTATCGAAAATGTTCCACATCTATTTTTGCTTTATAATTAATTTCAATCCAAATCATTCAATGGAAAATATTGTGTGATTTTCTAAAACGAAAATTTCATTTCCAAACGTGGAACAAAACAAATGCACAAATTATTTTACTTTATTGACATCTACGTGTGAATGATGTATATATACATATATATTATTCTTTTGACTGTTTGTGTTTTTCAGCGATTCTACCATCGATACTTCCTCATGGTTTTTATTTATGACTGGCTGGATGTTCATGACTTCTTTTTTCTAATGGAATAGTTCTAAGAAAGGAATAAAATTTTTAGTAAAAACAGAAAAAAACTTGACTAAGATGAAGAAGGTCAAATATCAGACATTTTCTACGCTGACAGCAAAAGTCGTAAAGGAGAAAAAGCGAGGAAAAGAGAGAACATAGTAGCATGTTGCTAGTTGCAATCAAGAAATTGTTTTCCTCTTTCTTCTTGTGTTATTTGTCTACATATCGTCATCGATGAATTGTCGTTAAAATGAAGAAAGACAACATACTACTTCGCCGTCAGTTATTACTCACGATACCTGCGTAGCTCCTTCATTTTCATTGTTTAGGTAATGACGAGAGGAAGATATTTATTAGATAATACAATGCAATGACTTTTCACGGTGTTTTATGTCCTTCTGTTTCGTGTCTTTGAGTAAATATATTTGCTTTAAAGATTAAATAGAGACAGCAAGGCAACACCAGATGCACATATTTTTTCTGTCTCTTTCCCTCTCTCTCTCTCTTTCTTTCTTCTAGTTTCAAATTCATTAGTTGCTTATTATGTATCCTCAACAGTACCCAACATCAACGGCAGCATCAGCTCCACCTCTTCCGAACCAATATTCAAATTCAATTGGGTTCAATTCTCCACAACAAAGTAGCAATGTTTCAACGAGTGAAGAGCGCCTGAGAAAATTTCAGTATCTCGTCGATCGATACGAAATCAATCGAACGTTTGCGACAAGATTACGTGCTTTAGATGGCTATGAAATCGTGTTCATTGTCGACGGTAAGTGAAATTGATGAGAAACAATCAAACGAATTGGAGTTTTCATCGAAAGAAGATGAACTCCATTGGAATAGAAAAAGAAACCTTTTTTTAGGGTCATTTTTTATTCTATTATACTCTCTAGAGAATATACGCTACTATGTAGTATTGTGAAAAAGAATAATGGTAAAATGAGAAATTTTTTTATTAGAAGCTTTGTTCTAATGATATCCTATTATTTATTAATACCTCTCATTTGCTAAAAGCGTCAGAAAATGCAAGTAAGATTTCTCTAACGGCAGTGTGAGTTTTCTTCTTTTCTTTTTCACGAATATTTCCTATTAAACGAATGAAGTGTATCATTTTTCGACTCATATGTTCCACAAGTTTCCTTCTTCTCTTTAGTTTGCTTCTTGGGGACAAAGATTTCTAATTTATTATTTAAACATTGTCAACGTTCCTATTTGTTTTTTTTTCTTCATGTAGATTCCGGATCGATGAATACCCCTCTAGGTACGACCGTTTTCTTTTCCAATAGAAAATTTCAATTAAATCAAGCAAGATTTTTTTCACCTTCTAAGGTGATGCATCGAATCCATACGAGCAAACTCCGAGAAGATGGGATGAACTCCGACAAACCGTTTCAATCGTCGTCGACATCGCTTCTGTGTAAGCTTCTTTTTCATCGTTTGTTCTACAATATTTTCTTTCTGATTTCATTTAGTTTCGATCCCGATGGTGTTGGTAAACAAAACACTTGAGCACGAGTAATCAAATTATTTGTTCTCAATTCTTTAGATGTATTCTTCTTAAATCGTGAACCTTTACGGCATGTGAAGAGTTCCGAAGAACTCGTTCCCATCTTCGCCATACCACCTACGGGTCCGACTCCTATCGTTCGAATTCTTCGATACGTTCTCCGAGAGAAACAACTTGAAATTCAAGAACGAAAACTACTCATTCTAATCGCCACCGACGGCGTGCCAACGAATGAACATGGACAACAGGATATCAAATCGTTTGAATATGCACTTCGCTATGATCGAAAACCCGTTCAGCGTGTCCCGGTAACGATCATTGCTTGTACAGACGATAATGATTGTATTGGGTATGTCATTTGCGTTCAATGATACTCGTCTTCTCATATGTTTGATAAATATAGTTATTTGAATGATTGGGATAAGAAAATTCCAAATCTTGATGTTGCTGATGATTACAGATCGGAAAAAAAAGAAATTCTCAAAGCTCAAGGGAAAGACTTTCCATTTAGTTTTGGTGATGTATGTTAATCAACATATGAATTAAACATTTTTCTATTTAAAAATAATCTTTTTCTTTCTCTTTCTCAAGTATGTTGTCAAAGTTTTAATGGGTGGTATAGACGAGTGGTTTGATACACTTGATGAACATCGAGTCAAGAGTCGTACTCCGTCAGGTCGACGTTCCACAAGCAAGACCGATAAATGTGCGATTTTATAAAACGAGAAATCTTTTTCTTGAGCAAATTTGCATTTTTTGTTTATATTCCGCTTTAAAAATGATTTCGTATGTGTATGTATGTATGTATGCATGTTTTTATCTGTTGTACGGTACTTTTTCAACTTCATAATTGGTTTTTCCAGTTGATAATTGTTCTATAAGCAAAACAGACACTGAATAATTAATAATGATGATAACTAAAACAATAAAAACTATGTACTTACAATCAATTGTCAATAAATTCTATGAAAAAGATGATTTTCATCCAGCGTTTCGTAGACGAGTATTTCAACGATGTTGAATGTTTTTGTAGGAGAAAGATTCGATAGACCCGAAAGTTATTATGAAGTTACTCGATAATATGAAAACAATCGTGACTAAATAAATTCTTTGCTTTTATTAAGATTGAGAGATAGATATATTTGATTTGACAATCGCATTAGCATCATTAGCTAATATATGAGATGTGCTTCTTCAAAGACTTCTGTAATTTTCGAAGTCCAATATTATTCACGAGATTTCTTCGACTGTTTGACATCATTTTCAGTAGTACGCTTAGCAAAATCATAGGCACTTGAAGAAGTCGATTTTCTTCTATTCTATTGAGCATAAAGAGAGGTGTGTAATATACATATATTACTTTTGTCATCGTTCAATGTCGTATATGTAATAATTCGTTCGGGAATAATATTGATAACGAAGTGAATAAATGCGAAGTTCAGAAGATGGGAAATGAAAGAGTAAACACGTTTCAAAGTTCAAATCGTGATCATTTGTAGAATAGACACGGCCTGGAGTTGATTTCGGAATGAAATTGTGCATTTATCATGAGGATATGATTGTTCTTCGAAATTCAACTGATAAATTCGTTTGCAACATCACTTCTTATCATTTCAGCTCTTTGTCACCGAAAAACAGATTATGGTCGGTCATTGCGTCAACTATGTCCTATTTTTCGTAAACTATTTCGGTCGGAAGATGGTTTTTGACGTAACTGATGGTTTGTCAGCTGTAACATGATCGAAAATCTTTCGAATTCAGAAATATCGTCGATAACTGTAATTCTCTAACTACATATTCATTCTACACCTACTCATTCATTTGTTTTCCAGTGAAATGCTATATTTCGACAAAAGTCCTTTTGTCTATATAGTCATCGCTCATAAACATTGCCTTGGTGTTCTTTTTCTTGTTTCATCGAGTTTTTCTTATCATATCATGGTGTTTGTTTTCCTTTTTATCTTCTTTTACACCAACAAAACATGCTTCTTGGTTACACTGGTTAATCATATGTCAATTCCATGGACCTCATCGCGATCGTCATTCGAGAACGAAAAATCTATTGAGAGACAATCAGCCCTGTTTGTTCGTCTTTTGAAAGATTTATTTGACGTAAATGTGAATAAATTCGAGTCGTGATGATTGAGAAATATACGTCACCGTTGTCGAATTCTAAAGAGAATGTAAAGTATGTAGGAGAAAGATTACATACGTTAATGCTGACGTCGAGTCAAATGACGTTAAACCAAATTACAGAACGAAAGAATTGTCTTTTTTCGCTTTATATACACCAAAATTCTTCTATATATTAGTTTTTCGTTACTTACAGAACGTACTCATATTCGACGAACATTTTCAAATTGAAAACTATTATTATTGAAATGACATATACAAGTACAGCTCCAATTCAATATCCAAATATGCAGAACATTCCGACCTCAAATGAATTTAGTGCTCCGCCAACTTATAGCGACGCTGTGTTAGATCCGATGACAACTGCTGAAGCACGTATGCAAAAGTTCGCACGATTAGCGGGTCGATATGAAATTAATCGCGATTTCGCAGACCGCTTGAGACAACTCGAAGGTTATGAAATTGTCTTTCTTTGTGATGATTCGGGTTCGATGGCAACTGTCGTTGGTAGGTTACTTTGATATTTTTCCGTTAATCAACACATCACTATTTTCAAATAGGTACAAATGGAGAAACATTTGCTGTCCGTTCCACACGTTGGGAAGAATTGAAACAAATTGTTTTGATTACGGTTGATATTGCTTCTGTCCTCGATCCGGATGGTTTAGACATTTATTTTCTTAACCGTCCTGCAGTTCTACACGTGAAGCATTCGTCTCAGCTTGAATCCACGTTTGCAGCTCCACCTAACGGTTTAACTCCTATTACACGCGTACTTCGTCAAATACTTCAAGCGAAAAAGACTGCCATTCAAGAACGTAAACTTTTAATTATCATTGCAACCGATGGTCAACCGACAGACGATTATGGTACGACTGACGTTGCAACATTGGAACGTGTCTTGAAGTACGAACGAAATCCACCTGATCGTGTTTTGATCACTTTCTGTGCCTGCACGGACGATGAACAAGCTGTTGGATACTTGAATAAGTGGGACGCGAAACTTCCTTTCGTTGACGTGTGTGATGACTATCGATCAGAACGAGAAGAAATCTGGCGGGTAAGATCGATATATGTTTTCGAAATACTTTTCATTTGTGTGCTGATCTTTTAGGTTCAAGGACGGCAATTTCCTTTTTCATTCGGTGATTATGTTGTGAAGATACTATTAGGTTCAGTTGATCCGTATTTTGATAAGTTGGACCAAAAACATGTTAGTGGAATGAAAAAGAAATCTCGCTGCGCGATTTTGTAGCTGATTCGTATCTATCAGTAAGACAACTATGTATATATCTTTCGAAAATGAAGCAGGTAATGTTCAGATGATGGTGATAAATACAAATTTAATTTCTTTTTTGTTATATTTTTTTCTGCTAATTTATATAAATATGAACACGATTGTCGATCTTAAGTGTACAGTCAACTGCAGAATCATATAGGAAAGAAATTTTATCGATCGGAATGGATTGAGGAATGCGCTTGTTTGTTCTAATTATCTTTCATTCTATTATTCATCATGAAATAAACATACACAATACAAAAGAGCCATTTCATGACTTAGGACAACGAACATAAAGTTTGTTTCTTTTTGACTTAGATTAAGAGTGCAAAGCAGAGAACGTGCGTGAGAAACAAAAGAAAAGAAAGCACAGACAGAATGAGACGAAATGAAATAAAGAAGAAAAAAAAAGAGAAAACAACAAGAAAATTAAATGTTAAGTATTCATTGGTGCTGTTGATTGATCGTCGTTACCATCGAGTAAAGAAGATGATGATGACGGTGTAAGAATAATATTGGAAAGATCAGTAGAAGCAGTTGTAGTATTGATGTTTGTGATCGATGTAGAAGTTGGAGGATCTTTCGATTTGAAGATCTTGTATCCAACACCGGCTGGTTTAGGTAAAATTACAGGAAGAGGTCGTAAAGCAACATTGGTGAAATATGGCGAGAAATTGGTTTTCTGAGTTCGCTGTTGATCTCTACGACGAAGACGAACATGCAGACACATTCGAGAGCAAAAAAAACACGTTCACACTTACACTGCTTTGGGAACAGTTGATAAAGTGTTTGCTTCACTCACTGCGTATTGAATATCACGAGTGAGTCGATCGAAATTCACTTCATTTTTTCTGACAACATTCTTGGTCGAATTTTTGTAAACTGGTACCAAACTTGCTGGTTGTGTCAAGGTGATTTTTGATCGAATTATTGTTGAGTCTTCATCTCTTAAATCGCAATTACTATTGCTATCATTCGAACGTGGTGGTGATCCATCATCCGGACAGAAAACGGAATTCTCATCCGCGCAATCCGATGTTGTATCGTTCAACAGTTTTGTATTGTTTGTTCGAAGCCGGTTACGTCGTTGAACATCGTTCCATCGACGAACAATTTTCAGTGTTTGATTCGAATTTGTTATAACCGATCTGATTTGATGAGAAGTGCCATCACCATTAACATAAATTATTGGTGAACCAAGTTTTTCATTCAGATTTACAGACGTTGGATATAACTAGAGTAATCAAACAAATACAGCTTGTTCTTTCCTCAATAAAAACAAGGCCTAGTCGACAAATGACTTACACGTGGTGCGATAGGTTTCGGTTTGATCTGTTGATCATTTCGAGCAATCGGCCGATAGCGTTGATTGAATAATCTTGTCATTTTCTTCGGTATCTGTACATCGAAATTGGTGATCTGTGTTGAAGCCTCAACATATTCGTCATCTTCGTCGGTATCTGATTTATTTTCGTCTGAATCATCATCATTGTTAAGCATCTTATTCATGTCGAAGCGTGTTCGTCGATGTCGACCGCGTTGACTGATGTTTTTACTCGAATCATCAAAGTGTGTTGATGAAAGATTACTATTTTCATTGACTTGATTGATTGATAACATCGATTCGTCACCGTAGAGATTATTCTCAGCGAGATTTTCAAGTTCAGACTCCGATGCAGTCACACTTTCATCACTTGCATATTCTTTCGGTCTTAACTTCCGTTCAAGTACTTTCTTCGATTCACGTTCTAAACGTTTCGTTTCCATTTGATTAAAATTAATCAGTAACCCTTTTAGTTTTTCAAGTAAACAATTGGACAATTTCCTATGTTCACATAATGGACAAAACCAATCACCATCGGGTACGGATAAAAGCTTCGGACGTAAACATTCCAAATGGTAAGCATCGTCGCAATCATCACATAATAGTAAGACTTCCGGTCGATCACTTTTTGAACATACACGACAAGCGATGATGACGGTTGATGCTTGAGCTGTTTTTGCTGTACGTAGTTCTTCACCTGTCGGATTGTTATCTTCGTCAAGCTCGAAGAAATTTTCATCATGTTCGAGTTCAGCTGGATTAGGGAGATAATCATCCGAATTGTAGTCAGATTCATAATCAAGATGATCGTCGGAAGTTGAACTGGATAAACAGAATTCATCATCAAAATTTCGTCGTGAAGTGACTTTACGTCGACGTCGAGAACGATCGGACTTCTGTGTTGTTGAAGGTTCATGTGATGCTTTCGATTTACCATTCATAGAGCGTTTCTTTTTCCCATTAGTAATCTAAAGACGTATTTTTAAACGGGACACTTTTGAAAGAGATAGGAATTTACGTACTTGTGAATTGATCGTTGAATCCGGTACAGTCGCTTTTCTGGTTCTAGTTGAACGACGAATGGTGACAGCTGTATTGTCATCAGATGATTGTTCATGTTGCATGTTATTGCCGTTTGCGAGTTTGACTTGATCATCATGTTGATTTTCTTCGACAGGAGTTTTACGTTTTCTACCGCGACGAGAAGGTGTGACTACCTCTTCCTCTTCTTCTTTTATGTCCATATCAATTGGTTTGATCTCTTTATTGACAGGTTTTCTCGGACGAGTCGATCTTCTCGTTAATGGCAGATCCCATTCTGCGTCATCATTTGATGTCGGTTTAACTTCTTCTGTTTTGATCTTCGTATTAACTTGTTTTATTGAAGTTCTTAAACGTCCAGATTTGCGTTGTGTACATACTTCAGCCGTTTCACTTTGTTCTGGTTCTTGTTTAATTTCCTGATGTATTTTATTCGCATCAATTGATAATGATGGCTTAGCTAAACTTTTCGCTCGGCCACATTTTTTCTTTATTGGTTCGAGAGATTTTTCATCTTCTTCGTGTTTAATTTCAGGTACTTGCGACACTCGTCTTGCTCGTCCACGTTTCTTCTTTACCGGTTCATCATCGCTGGATGTACCATTCACTTCCTCTTTTACTTCCGTATCATTTTGATCTTTTCCATTAGCTATACTAAGACCTTTTGGCCAGCCGCGTCTTTTCTTCGTCGTTTCATTTTCTATTACCGTTGATGATTCGATAATTTCACTTTCTTCCATCTCTTGTTGTTGTTGCTGCTGATGTTTGTCTTCATCTTCCTCCTCCTCCTCCTCCTCATCTTTCACAGTTGAAGGTAAATAACGTTCTTCGTATTCGTTTGACAAAGATAGTGCAGCGAATGCTTCGTAATCAATGGTCCAATCTGTAAACAAGCGATACTTATTGGTGCAAAATCGGATGGAGTGTTCTCACCTGCGAATTTGTTTCGTACGACCGAATCGGTGATTAATAACTTGATAAAGTTTTCAAATTCCTCTCGATTTCTAAAAACAATAGTCGGTCGAGAGAATTTCACTGTTGTGTCTAGCTGATCTAATGACTTACTTCGCTACATGACTCCATGTTCGCTCCAGATCAATATCTTCACGGAACAATCGCACGAAACAGTCTGTATCCTAAAGTAAAGTCTGCGAGTACTTTTACTCTATACTTTAGAGATGCGCATACCATGAAAAGCCAATATGAAACACCAAACCGATCACGACCTATTGGTATTGATTTAATTTCTCGAGCAGATTTGTCTACCAATGTGTTTTTGAATGTTTGATTGAGATCAAATTGACCTTCCAATAGATTCTGAAAATGCAACATGCTTCTATGATTAATGAAGTTCTACTGTATGTATGCTCACCTTTAAAATTCGAATTTTAATAGTAATATCTACTTGTAAGTAGCCTGTTGTTGTCAATGAGTCAGCATCATTGAAATCGAATCGAGAGGCAAACTATGAGCAAAGAATAAGACAAGCTTATGTATAGTTTCTGGTGAATCCATCTGACTTACTTTAGTAATTATAGTATTGAATTTCTCTCGTTGTGTATTTTTAGCTAATGACAACCGTTTGAGAAGAATAAAATGAAAATCAATCAAACGTGGTGGAACTAAAGATCAATCAGATGAGTTTGTCTTTTAAATGATAAGAAAATGACGAATGATTTACTTTGGTCTTGATATTGGATTAGGTGATCTTCAAGTCTTTGATATGAGTACAGTGGTAAATCAAGTGAAGAACGAAACCGTTCAAGAAAGCAAAGAATTATACCATAATTTGGATCATTGAGTAACGTCAATCGACGTTGATCTTTCTCATCAATATTATTTTCCTTTGGAATAAATTCCATGGAATGCTCGTCGTCGGGAATCATTGATGTTTTGTCGTTGTTGTTATTGTTGTTACTGAGATTGGTAAGAAAACTGTATCGACGATGTTAATCATTCCATTGTGAGGAAGATCTGGAATAAGAATGAAAATATTTTAAGTGAAACTCGATTGTGTATCATAAATGGTTTTGATTTTGATTTCTTTATTCATGTAGCTGCCCTCGTTCTCGTTCCGTCCGCAATTCTTTCCATTTTTTATCATCTTTGTTGAATATTAATTCTTATTCGTTAGTAAACTGACGGTTTGAATAGCAATTGTCAACAGATGTCGCCACAAAAACTAATGTCATGTTTCTTGGAAAGGTTCCGTCAAATTTGTAACACAAATGTACGAACGAAACGTGAAAATGTTTTTTTTGCCGTTTTTGAGTTAAAGAGAAGTCTGAATATATTTCGTAATCATATTGCAATAGTGGCGAGATGATAAAGCTTTATTTCTCATAAGATATCGAGAGTAAAGGAAGTATTTGAAAACTGATGAGAAGTATTGCTTTAACCTTCCATCGTCTTACCTCTAAGGCAATGCAAATATAACTATACTTGTAAATAGCAATTCTTCTACCGTTCGAAATATCATTTTGACTGTTCACATTCTTGTTGACACACATGGGAGGCAGTACATCTATCCCGAATTCAATCAGTACTAATTCTGAACAATGCTCGAAACTTGTTTCAGACACCCAATTACCCGTATGTAATCAATGGCTTTTAGCCAGCTGCACTCGATAGCGACTTGCATAAGTACAAAAATTTATTCTTTTAGATTATGTCAGGACTTTCATCATACGATGTGATTTGTCTGGGTGTTGGTAAAGGTGCTACAGCTGTCTATTTCGATCAAACGAGTAGTTCATTTGCTCTTGTACGTCGTTCGACTGGAGAATGTATTCTTCTCATTGATATGGGTCTTGGTTCAATTTTTGCTCTTCAAAAATACATAAAAGATTTTCAAATTAAACCACGGCAAATATTCATTTCGCACAATCATACTGATCACAGTGGAGAGTTACCTGTATACATTGCAAATGAAGCTTTGAAATCTCTTGTCCGAATCGTTTGTTACGTTGGCATCCAATCTCGTCTTCGCCACCAGAGATGTGCTGAACTTGATTCGTCGACAACGGATCTGTTCCATAACGTTCAATGGATTACTTGTGACGAATCGCAAGATGTTGATTTAGACTCTGGAGATCCGAATTCAAAATTGAAAATACGTGTTCACCAAAGTCAACACAGTGAACTATGCGCTGGTTTCGTCTTGTATGAGAATAACCAAGCGATTCTTAGTTTCTCTGGTGATTCAGGATTCAATGTGCCGTTTTACACATTTCTTTGGACCGCACCAACGATTTTAGTCGACGGCCGGCAAACGACTACTTATGAACATGCAAGTTTTGATGAAATCTTAAACTTTCATAAAGCCAAAAGCATTCCACGGCAAGTTCTTGTGTATCACTACGGTCTTGAAAGTGACAAACCAAAGTTTCCTGATGGTACCATCTCAGCTATATCACCAGGTCAAACTGTACAGTTAACATTGCCGTCAGACATTTAATTGAACTCTATCCGAGAACATATTTATTATTATTTGCTCTTTTAACATAAATATCACAGACATAAAAAAAGAAAAATACGAAAATATCCAATAAACGTTTCAAAGTACCTAGATACGAAGAAAACTATATATGAAGTGATAGACAGTCAATGAACGGTCTAATAGAATTATTTTCCATCATGTGGGTTTAAATGTCCTTCCTCATCACGCCAAATCCCATCCAGATCAACTTTACCATATTGATGCGTTGATTGATTCGTGTATAGGGCGTCCATCCAGTCCTTGACTATCTGCGCCGAATCGATCATTGTATTGATTTCCTAAATGAGTGCAAAATAGTCAAATTCTTAAGCTGAGAAAATAATATCGTTTTCTGATATATTTACTTGAGAATGAAACCAGGACTGACTATCCATATTTCCATTTCCCATAATGGCAACTTGTCCATCGATCGCCATGAATTTGATGTGACAATTTCGTTTCTTTTGCGAAAAATTCAATGGTCGTGTTTGATCTAAATACAACTATCTACATGAAATCTCATTCGAACCGATTTCTAATCCAAACCTTTTCCTGTGTACCAGTAAACTTCGAGGAATTTTTCTTTTCCAGCATATTCCCTTCGCAATTTTTTGTAGAGTTTCTTTATCACGTGTTCATTTGTACCACCTTGAAAAGTTCCATGTCCTTCCTTCAAATCATTAAAGCCTAAATCGAGCCACACAATTACTTGAACACCTCGTTGACACGCTTCGAAAATGCCTTCAATAGCTGGTTTGGCGTTTAATGTTGGCGACTGAATGAAGATCAACTTTTCTGCGTAACGCATTGCTCCTAACCATGCTCCATCCTGTGGATTGGCTACATCTAAATGGCCAGGTGCACCATGCGGCAACCGATTGACTAAAGCAATGGGAAATGGCTGATGTGGCTTATGAAATATAAATGGTGTGAAGTCATTTGCGAGTTTATCCAATTCCTGCTTAGTTAGATTTTCATCTGGCTCTGTTTTAGATGCAGATTTAGCAGCCAGATTTAAATGCTTTGTCAATGGTGATTCCGCCGATGGTAAGGCTAGTAAAGGTTCGTTGAAATAGATTTCAGTCTGTTCAATATCTAAATGATTTCGCAATCTTAGACGTGCGCGAGCAATAGCATGCTCTAGTGGTTCTTTAAATGGAACGATATCGGGGTATTTCGTACCAAATTGAAACTGGTAATTATTTGCTAATGGTTCGTCGTTAAGACAAACAAGATTGGGCTGAAATGGTAACCACCATGATATGAGAAATGTGTCATAGAATGAATTGACAATATCTCCTTCATAATGGGCCATCATTTCAAGATTGGGTCGGTCTTGAATATTGTTACTGTTCAATAAAGCGATTCGACGATCGACAACCATAAATTTCGAATGAAATGTGCCCATAATCAAACGATGATAATTATTAACTTCCAGCGACACATTAGGAATTTCATCCGGTGTAGGAATATCAAAATGTGACCATTTATGCGGCGGAAGGATACTATGAAAATGTGCGACGTTTTCTTTCATAGGATGGTCAATCATTAATTTGAAGATAACCACACGATTTTCTTGTTGTGCACGTTGGCTTAAATCGCGTAATGCTTTACCAATAATGCTTACACTGTGACCTTTTTCCCAATAGTTCGTTGCTAACAAGACTTCTCTTTTAGCATTAACAATGCAATGATAATAATGCTGCATAATGTCAGGTATGGTAGAAACGATCGTCAATGGAATTACACCCGATGAACCAATCAAAGATGGTGAACATCGACCACTTAACGGATCACGTTGAAGTGTAGATAAGACATTATGAAATAGTTTGAGAAAGAGAGTACTTGGACGGTAAGGAAATCGGCCAAAGTCAGCAGCGAAATCAAGTTCAGCTTCGGTGATATTATGTGTCGAAAATTCATAGTTGATTCGAGCTCGTAAGAAAGGTGCTGGTTTTGAAAATAGGATTTCTGCCGCGTATTTTGGACTATCAATTATTGAAGATTTTTCAGCCAGTAATGATGTCACAGTTTGTGTTCTGTGCGCGTCTATTGGTGGTAAGTCTTCCATAGCGCCAAGCGCGTGCGCAGGTATCGCAAGAGCAATTGAATTGGGCGTCGGATAAAACATGATTTATTTATAAAAGATGATTTTTTGCCGTTCTGCAAGGACGACGAAGACTAGTTTGATTACGAAAAATAAGACATCGTGCACATTGTATCTGAAACAAAACGCGAGCAATGTGATATGTCATTTGTTTATGTTGAATACTGATAAGAAGATGAATGAAACATCCAACAGAAAAAGAAAACAAAATAAGATGAGTGTGATCACAAGTATTAATGTATGATGTAATCAATGGTCATCGAAAAGAGCTTATTTAGGTTGAGTGCGTAGTTTATTTTTTACAAGAACAATTCTTTATTTTTATTAACAATTTCATTGATAAATATTCAAATTATCATAGAGAATGAATGATCAAAGCGTGAATATGAAATAAGTTGCCTACATAAAACTACTCGTGCTTTAATAAGATTTTGGTTGTTGGACACTATTTGTTTTTTCATCGACACCAGCTTCGGTATCAGGACGATCTAAAGCTTCTTTTGGCAAATATCTTCCATAGATATATGTGAGCGATTTCAGTTTATATTTTGTTTCTTGTTTGATTTGCTTCCAGTGAAATCGCCAACGCCAATTGTCTTCGTAATCTGGTGTAAACGCTCTGGAGAAAATTATGTTAAGAAAAATCATTGAAAAATCTTTTTCATTGAACTTACGGATCATTCATTTGACAACCTTCTTCGAGGTCGAGAACATCTTGAAATAGCAAAACAGCAGTATTTGCTACGCTAGCAAGTACCAATCGTATTAAATCCCAATTAATCTGCCGTTCGAGATCACCTTCTTTTTGTAGATAATCTATCAGCGTCTTCTTCTCTTTAGCTGATGCATTATGACGAAACCAGGCAACTAAAATTGATTTGTAATAAAAAAAAAACCAACGATCGGTTACTCTTTAATATAGACACGTGTCCACATACTTGTTGTGTTGTTATCGTGAGTTCCCGTATAGGCGATACAATTTGGAATATAGTTATGTGGTAAATACATATTATCTGGCCAATGTGTGAAGGCGAAATGAAGTACACGCATTCCAACAAGTCCAAATTTATCGCGAAGATCAAATACTTCCTGAGTTAAATGGCCTAAATCTTCAGCAATAATTGGTAAATTTTCTCCCAGCGCTTTAGTTGCTGCAGTAAGAAATTCATCGCCTAAACACACCATTTATTAATGTTTACGAGAAGTCAATATCAATGAGAATATTACCACAAGCTTTGACCCATTCGCCTTTCGTTGGTGGAAGAGGTTTTCCGTCAGCACCGATAGGAATCGCCCTATGAAAGAAGGGGTAAATTGATTGATAGTTATCTTTTGTCAAGAGTGAAATTATATATACCAATATGCTTCTAAACCACGAAAATGGTCAATCCGAACGACATCAACTGTTTCCAAGCATTTCTTCAAACGTTTGATCCACCAGTCAAAATTTGTCTTTCGCAAATTACCTGTCCAATCATACAATCTAAGGCAATCGAACTTTATCTTTTGAATTTGTTTCTCTTTTCGACATACGGATTATTCCACAGTTGTCCTGTCTCACTGAACGAATCTGGCGGTGCACCTGAACAAAACATAAAAGTACGTCACTTCAAGTTATCATATTACCTGAGACTGCTTTTGGTAAAGATGTCTTTTCATCCAATTGAAATAACGATTGATTAGCCCAAACATCAGCACTATCATAATCAACATAAACTGGCATATCTAAATAGAAGCATCGATTTTCTCAAGCTTTTTCTCATTCAAAATTCGATCTTACCACCAAGAATAGTAACCCCATTCTCATTGGCATATTGTTTCAGTTGATTCCATTGTCGGAAGAAGATATATTGAAGAAATGTGTGTTTACGAATAACATCGGCATGTTCTTGACGTTTGTTTTCGAGAACTTGTTTTTCGCGATACTTTAATTCTTTCGGCCATTTTGACCACGATTTATTATTCTGCTCGGCTTTAATCGCCATGTATAATGTATAATCATCAAGCCAATAATCTTCTTTCTTTACAAACGTTTCCAGTTCAGTTTGAAACGTTTGATTTGAAGAGTTTTTGTAATTATGATAAGCATGATCCAAAACAGTGTACTTCCATTGGAAAACTTTCCGAAATTCAATATATTCGCCAAACTTTGGTCGGCTAGATTCGATATCTGACTGAATAAGTAAACCATCATCAACCAATTTCTCTAAACTAATCAGCAGCGGATTTCCGGCAAATGCTGATGTACCCGAATAGGGTGATGGCTTTTCACTTGCTGTCAACGGAAGAATCTATATCAGACAGAAATCAGTCGGTGGAATCCAGCAAAGATTTCCAAGAAACTTACTTGCCAAGTTTGCTGATTACATTCATGGAGAAAATCAACGAACTTATAGGCTTCTTCTCCAATATCACCTATACCATTGGGACCGGGCAGACTGGAAATATGAACAAGAATACCTGATGTACGTTCAAGTTTGACCATGACGATAGACTATCAACAATGTATTGATCTAAAGATACCGAAAATGCACTCTAATTCATCTATATACACAGGATGAAAGAAAAGAAAAGAAAATTCAAAATAAACCCCGTCGATATGTTATCTAATGACTCACTAGTAACATATGATATATTCTTTTTTGACTATTCAAAATGATCATCTCAGTTCAGCCCATCGAGACTTAAAGGTTCTCATGTGCAGGTATAAACAGATTTGGTTTTTATTTATTTCTTCAATTCCAGTGATCCAGAATTAAACAAAACACAAACAGTTTTCGCTTTCGTTTTGTAACTATTGAAAACAAACGAAAAACAGATTGATGTTATTTATTTAAACCAGATTCGAGCTATCCATTGATGAACTTTAAGTAGATGTGATCCTTCTCCATCTTTCTTCGTATCTATCGTCGAGCCTTCGGCAAATTCAATTCGAATATCTTTCACATCACTGAATTCAAATGTCTCTTTGCCTAGTTGACCAATATCTTCCTGTATTTGCTGTTTCGAAGTTAATTCTCGTTCGAGTAAATACCGGATTCTTTGTATACTATGATCAGTCTTGTTAATATCTTGTTTGTTACAAAAGATTAGCAATGGCAAATGCTGATCTCGAAAATATCTTTCACGAATAATATGATAAAGATAATCGGAGACATATTTAAGATCTTTTTCAATAGTGGTACTATCGATAACAAATATAATAGCTTTTGCAGATGTTTTATAAACAAGAAAGTCGTATTGATAATGTCGAGTGTTACTTGGAATTTCAATAACATGCACTTTTTCAATAGGACGATCTGACGAAAGATAATCGAGTTTCATTGTACCATGATTAACGGACATGGCGTAAAACGGTCGTTTTTCTAAATTCGATGTCAGACGGTTGAAGAGTAGCGTCTTTCCGGATTTGGCAATTCCACACAGAAGAAGACATTTGCCATGATGTGCGAAGCGCTGTTGACGACGTCTAATCCACCAAAGAACAATGATCGTTAATAGTAAAGTAAGTATTGAAAGAAGAATTGTACGTCGAAACGTCTGAGAAATTGGATCGATGAAAGGTTTGTCGATATGTTCGTCGAAGGATGTTGGTTGATGAGTATTCATATCTAGAAATGAATATGAACCTTTGAGTGAGATGAACAGCTTCGCTTCGCTCATGCGCAGTGTCGCTAGTTTACAGAAATGAACATGTTGTTTCCTTTAACTAGATGGAGTTCTTATTTGAATGAACGTCGTCCATGTTTTATAGCGCAGACAAATCACATGCAGCAATTCCTTTATTTGAATAAACAATGTTCACTGCAGGAAAAAAATTCATTTTCATGCGTAGTTTCGGAAACGTCGTAGATTCGAATTGTAGAGAGAAAATTTTCATTTAGCGCTAGGTGTCAGATTAACAGCGTTTGCATCGAATCAAACAAAGAATCGGTGACAGAAAAGAAAATAATAAACAATGAAGAGATTTTCCTTTCACATCACTGTCTTTATCTTTAGATTGAATATCTTTTATTAAATCGAGAATGTCACGTGATTTTATCGGAAGTAAAATATCCATTATAACAAAATCTCAATGCCGCTACGTGGGAACGATCATTGGTAAATTAACTGCCTTTACGTTTTTGTTTTCACTTTGATGAACTCGATTTCTTCTATACCAGGTATCGATGCGCAGTCATCGTCCATTGTTCTCGGTAGTGCTAAATGTTATGGAACGGAAAATCGTGCCGGCCATGTAACAAATGGTCATACACCTGGCACAGTATTGCCAATCGTGCACTTTGCTAATAGTGATATCGATGATCTGAAAATTGTCGATGAGGAATCGACACCGGAAACTCTGCAAGGTCAATCTCAGTCAATGTCTACTGCTTCAACACAACAAGCATCGATTCATGACGATCCTGCGATTGTTTCAGCTGTTGTTGGTGCATCGAACAAGGTCAATCCGTCGAATTTATCAGTATCCAATCGACTGATACATAATCTTCAACATATGAATTTATCCGACAAACCATCGACTACATTGTCAAAGAACGATGGTAAAGATCTCTTTCATTCCTAAAGCCCTCGTATTATTTACATTCAGGTGAAATAGGTGCATCCTGGTCATCGTTGTTGTCATCATCCGAGTTTGAACGTAATAATTCCAAAGTAGCGTCTCGACAACAATCCGATCATAAAAGTAAATTTTTCGACGATTTTATTTCCAACAACAACGACACAAATAACAGACCAATTCAATCGCAAGTGTTTCGCTCTTATCAACGTTCGTCTAATACGAATGCTACACAAACAGCACGTGACAACGGACAACATTTCAACGGTCGATATGAAGATAACGGTCTACCTGCCCGACAACCATTCTTTTCCAATGATCGTCCATATCCTCAAAGTCAACAACACCAAAATCGCTACCAGAACGGCCATCAACAACGACACTTTCACAATAACCGTCGACCCCAAATGCCTAATCACCAACGCCGAGGTGGCAGCAACATGGGTGGTGGAAATCGCGAAACATTTCAAAACAATGCCAATGATTACGATGCTGATTTTGACTTCGAAACAAGCAATCAAAAATTCAATAAATTAACAAATGAAGATGAAGTCAAAGAACAAACTGATTTAATATTAAAAGCAGACGTTGACACTGATCATTCAGTTTTATATGATAAAAAGAAATCTTTCTTTGATAATCTCGTCATCAGTGAACCTTCCGATCCATCAGCACCTCGTACACACAATCGATCGAAGAACAGCGATACATTCGGTAGTGATGCATATCAACGCTCAAATCCTCGCCCGAACGGCTATGGCTATCGCCGATTCAATAACAATTATCGACAACATAATAATAATAATAACGGATATCATCAACGTTATTAACCAACGAAATTTCTCGCTTTCTTTCCGCAGTGATTGCTTCTCATTCTCAAAAGAAAGCCATTTTTAACTAACGATCTTTAACTTTCCGTTCTTGATTTTCATTTTGTCTGTTTTTTTTTCTACATCCTCTAGTGAAAGTGTGATCGAATGATTGTTTTCTATGTTTGGCAATAAGCAACACTTGATTTATGTATATAGTCAAGTGTCTGTAATTATGACAGATAAATTGCCCCGTTGAACATCTTTTTTTCTTCTTTCTGTTGTTTGTTTGTTTATTCGTTGATTCATCGTTTCTCTCTCTCTCTCTATTAAACATGCTGATGCAGATATGTGTATTAGCGACTTTTTTTTAACTTGAAAAGATCTGTTCGTGGATTTGAAAAGCGTCTTAAGAGAAAAAAAACACATACACTTGTATTCTATTTATTATTGTTGTTATTGTAGTAGTATATCTTCTTCTTTTTGTTGTGCACTTTTTTCCGTGTGTATAAACAGGAGAATCCGATCTTGCGCAATGTAACCTACTCAGATGATCGATGAGAATTGGCAAGAATAAAAAAAACCAAATTTTTAATAAACAAAAAAATATCACACACATATCCGATGGAGATAAACCATTCAAATCTCAGCAATGCTGACAGGACTATTTACCAATGAAGCTAATCGTGATTGTTATCATCATTTATGTTAATGTCTACCTATAATGTCTGTTTGTATCAGTCGATTTCATCTATAAAGGTTATTGATGTTTGATCACAATCAAGCTTCAATTGAAAAATTATTATAAAGCAAAAATAAACATACGATCCGGAAAATATCAACTAACTAATTAATGAATGACTGAGAATTGAATAGTTTCGCCGTACGATGCATTCAATTAAGTATTGAAATAGACTGAAATGTTAATTCAGTTGAATTTGATGTTCATATTTCATTCAATTACATGTATCATTCATCCTACTCGATACCCTGCTGATTGAACAAGGTTACATTTTGTCTGTATAGAGAAAGAAATGCAGAGAAGAAACGCAACTATTCATCCATGAAGGACTAAGTAAGTCTTGGTATGTTATATTACGCAACTATCTGATATATGTTCTATTTGTCCCGAGGGAAAATGATTTTATCATTGTTATTTCGAACAATAGTTTCATTACAGTTCAATTTTAGATGAAAAGTACGGCGTACAATCGAAGACGATCGCTTTGATTGAACAGAAATGATTCGACAAACCAAACATTTAAATAAGGTGTTATTTAACAAAAGAACCTTGTCTATTGCATATTTATCTGACATTACTGGCCTTGTTTTGTTATGAATATATCATAAATGGTTTCGTCTCTCTTCTATATATTACTTTTTATATAGAATATCATCGATTATCGTCATTACGATTGACATTATGTTCGCTTCGAGTTTAATCACCGATGATAATCATGTCCCTGCGGGTAGCAGCAATTTTGATCGTTATGAACTACAAAACGACACAACAAACTGTCAACAACTGTCATCAAGCGGCCATGCTAGTGCATCACTAGTTCCGCAGCCTGATTCGTGGCCACATCAAAGCAAAATGCAACGAAGTGCAAGTACGACGTCGCAAACATTCATTCCATCCGCTCAATTCGATTCAAATACATGGAATTTTTCATCATTGAACGTAAATGCTGGCGGTTGTGGAGATAGTCATGCAAATTCAGATCAGTTATTTGGAACTGAGTCGATACTTCAACAAGCAGTACCAGGAACACTCGCCGTACCAAGAAGTTGGCATAGTGAAATTGTTGGTTCGACATCTTCTACGTACAAGAATGATATTGACTCGCAGTCGATCAATGACACGGATAGAAGTGTGTACGAAAAACAGGAAGAATATAAAACATTGAACACGACCGATGGTCCACCAGTAATATTTTCGTCAAGGAGTGAAACAAATCGATTTCTCAACGAGCTGCCCCCATCATCGTTAATCACATCGAATGGAACCAATACTCGTAATAGTGCTTTTGCAGAATTCAAGAATACTCCCATCGATGAAAGTTTCGAACAGAATAAAAATGTTGTTTTAACAGAGGAACAACGAGCTGCAATAGCAAATATTGATACTCAACAACCGCCGCCAATGATCATTCGAAAAAAAGCAACGGCTAGTGATATGATGTACCAACAAAATATATCAGTGCGATATTTACAACCGCCGACACCGCCTCCACCAGGCCCAATCATCATCCGTAAGTGAACATTCTAGACAAATTATTTGTTTACATTTGATTCATTAGGTGAGGTTCGTCCGCCTCCAACATGTCCAAAATCTCCGATTCATGTATGAATTTCTGCAATATCAGTTTGCAAAATATTTTCTCTTTCCGTTATCTTAGATTCGACAACGACCAGCGCCTAGCCGAACACCACCACCACTTGTAACAAATCAATGATCTTCGTCACATTCTACAAATATTTCTAATCCGTTTTGTATCTTAGATTTTTCGAGAAAGACCTCCACCGATTCCACCTCGACCGCCATGCCAAGTCATCGAAAAATTGTTACCACCGCCTCCGCGTCCACCACGACGATTAATTGTCGAACAACTTGGACCATGTCCTCCTAAACCATCGGACGTGATTATCGAACGATGGCTTCCGTACCGACGAAATGATCAACGACGAATCTTCTACGAACGAGTGCCGACTACTTATAGGTAACATGTGTTACCTCCAATCAATGCTTCACTAGATGTGCTTCTGATAACTTTAGACCACCTTCTCCAAATGTTCTCGTCATGCATGGGTCACCACAAGCACGTATTCATAAGGAATTTATTAATCAAGGAGTTAGTCGTGCTGATCCAAATTATTACCTTCAACATTACGGACACGAAATCAACTCGTCACAATTACATTCTCAGTATGCTCATATAATTGACGAGGCAACTCGTACTTTGCCACCCCCGCCGTTACCTCCGCCTCCACCGCATCCGAGTGTCGAATATCATACGTATAATCCATCCGATTCCAACTTTCATTCGCACCCGTCTCCTTCGTTTATATCAAACATTTGGGAAAGAATGAAATCAGCAGCACCATATCCGTCGCCTGGATCCTATCAAAATAATTATCCATCGTACAATCAACAGAATTCTCCCTACCCGTACACCAACCCGCCACCTTATTCAAGTGATCCTAGAGCAGTACCTCCGGTAGTACAACCATGGTCTGGTCATAATTACCCATCACCTTCTCTTCCTCTTATTCCCCCTTCTCCTTATCAATCAATTCAGCCTACACAAACAATTCAAGTGCAATCAGATACCGAACTTCATCGTGTTCTTTCTGGTTTGACCAATGGTCGTGTACCAACTCCGTTGCGAGCTTATTAGAACTTTTAAAGAAGAGATTGTGTTGAAAAGATGTACGTTGAATTTATTTACATGTTTCTCTCTTGAATAGAATAAGTTAAACATCGATGATTTTTATTTTAAGAAAGAAGGATAAAGGAAAACGAAATTATCTATTTAGGTTGTTGATTTCGAGGTTTTTTAAGAATATTTCCTTCACCCGTAAATGGCTGAAATGTATTCGAACTAGCTCTGTCTCCGGTCGTCGACGTTTCTTCATTCATTGAACGTAGTGGTGTGCGTATAAATTGTATTGTGCCATACTCATAATTATAATTAGGCACGCCACGTGCTTGTTGTACGGCAGGATTATTTTGTTGTTGTTGTTGTTCCTGATCTTTCGATCGTGTTTTTCCATTCAAACGATTACCTTGTCCATGGAATGGTAAAAATGTCGATGGACTTTTATAACTATTTGGAATCGATGATAGAGGATCTCCGGGAGTCGCTGCCATCGAGTTTGTCGTCTTAGGTGTTGTAGCAATGTTTTGTGATGTTGTTGGTGTGTATTTAGGCTCGACATAACCGACAGGTGGAGCGAAATCAACTTCCATATCACATTCAATGATTGAAACAGCATCAGCTGGTTTCAATTCCAAAACGCATAATTCATAATTTCGATTGAGATAATTAATTGCTATGATATCACCTTTGGTTAAACAATTGAAATTTCTCAAAGTTTTCTCTAAAACAGCTTTAGGATTGGATATATCGAGGAAATCTTGCGACTGAGGTTGAAAACGTGCAAATTTTGCTGTTGGTAAATTGACAGATTCGACACTGACTTCATCACCTTCTTGCAATATTAAATGACGCATCATCCAGTTAGGTAGATAACACGTGTTATTTTCATTTTGATGAAATTCTAAAACACCGCAATGAATAATACGATCGAGTTTTTTGTTTCTTAATTTGAATAACATTACACCAGACTAGAAGGACAACGTAATAGAAGGATAGATAAGCATTTTTCAATGTGATTTACTTGTTCTACTAGTTGTTCGAGAGCTGCCTGAGGAAGAAGAATTTTACCGCCATTTTCAACGTTAAGACGTTCGCGATCGCGATCCGGTAAGAATGCCGCCGAATAACAAACATAATCAGCTCGAAAGGGACCAGCATTCATACCCATATCATGACCACCACCTCCAAAATTTTGTCGAAAGAATGGACTAAAAAACATGTTTGTGAAGACAAATGATCTAAAATGCAAATATATCCTTGATTATATATGATTCCGTTATTCTAACTTTCACAATGATGACAATTAGAAAACATATGACTCATGTGATCCTTTTCAATGACGCGGCGACGTTTGATTTTCTTATCGTTTTTCGAATTATACAGTCATTTCAATATAGTTAGTCTTTCAATTCGCAAACTGTCCTCATTAAATAATCGATTTCAATTTTTCGATTGTTCTCGAAGTATGAGTATAAAATCATCGGGTTGACAGTACGTCGCTAGTTTTCATCACACTCAACCGACCAATGAAATTTCACACAGAAAAATCCTCAGTGATGAAGTCGAAATTCTGTCTCGTCAATGTGTTTAATAGAGGGTGCTAGTAGGATATTTTCTAAACAGAAAATAGGTTGTGTCCAAGAGGAGACGATCGTGGCTGCTTACATCCGTTTCCTAGGATATCAAATTGAACAATAGAAATCGTAGCATAATCTCTTTGTTTCATGTTCGTTTTTAGATGTCTTCAATGCAGAAAAATCATCAACATCTTGTACGGCCGTGCGCCGTATTTTTGGAACGTTTAAATGAAACATTTATTCCATCGAAACGCTACAAAGTTGATGCCGATATTATTTATCGTTCATCAAATGAACAAACTCCGACAAATCATCATAATGAAGAATTATCAGTCGATGTTCTCATGTTACCGAATAATAAAGTGAAAATTTCATCGTCTTCAACATTCGATGACATTCTTCCAACTTCAACAACTCAATCAAATACTAACGACGAAATCAAACCCATCGTTCGTATACGTCCACATCAATCATCGATTGATTCGAATGATTTCGAAACTTCAACAACAGCTAAACCACGTTCCAATTCACTTCGCCGGATTGAATCATCATCGAATAAATACGATAGTGACTCATATTTATTCGCTGGTACATTCGATTCTGATGATGAACTTGGCATGGATTTGAACGACGACGATTTAGCATCAATCAATCATGTCTTGGACTTTGAGGATGACGATATGTCCAATTTTGATGATGAAAATCCTCATCTATCATCGACAACCAATAGTAATCATGGGCCGGGATATCATTCGACACAATTACCAGATTTAGTTATGGGTTCAATGCGATCAGAGAATGGAGTCAAATCAGAACCGTCGTTTCAATATAGCGATTTATTTAATCGAAAAGGTCGAACATTTGTATGCGACGAACGTGGTAATCGTGTTGTTTCAGTTAAACTTGAAAAGAATTCAGCAAAGCGTCTAATCGATGCTATTGAAAGAAACTTAGGACGATTGATACTCGAAGAGTGTCGACGAGGAGACTTACAAGCACATATTTTAAAAGTATGTACCGAACAGACTTAACTTTCGTTTCAATAAGAATGCTCGTTTTAGGTTGTTTTTAAAGATGAACAAGAATTTTTTGATTTCAATCGTTCAGGAATCGTCTCAAAACATTCATTTAAACAATGTCCGGAAATGTACACGCGATTTTTGGAGAGTTTATTTGAATCTCAAACGTATCCAAACGAAAGTGAAACTGATCCACTGGGAGTCGATGTATGTTGTCATATGTTGAACTTTAACTATCGAATTTTTGTGTGTTTTCTTTTCGCAGGAAGGTGATCAATTAACTCAGTCATTTTGTTGTAAAGTTCACGAATGTGGAGAAGCATTTACTTCGAAATCTGAAGCATTGAAACACGCGAAGAAGCATGCAGGTATAATCAAACAATAGGAGTAACCTTTGTCGTTCTACTACGATCGTTTTTCTTCTAGAACTGGATCCGTTTGATTTTGTTTGTGATCATTGTGGAAAGAAATTTCTCGGTATTGCCAATATGAAACGTCATTTACGTGTTCATATGGGTAGTGAAGGAAAAGATTTCGCTTGTCCACTGTGTCATTATCGCGGTTGTACGACAACACATGTCAAACGTCATATGGCACATAAGCATTTAGAAAAGTAATGATCCGATAGAAATGTAAACATTTCGTACTAAAATGAATGCTGTTGTTCGATTTAGATCGATTCCTTGTCCATATTGCTCATTTATGGCTGCAACCAATGCGGATTTGAAAATCCATATGGCACGTCGTCATTGGGATATTGAAGGATTGGATATTTTGAATAATTTACCCAAAACATATAAAAAAGAATGGAAATGTAATAAATGTGATACAGTATTTCACGACTATTCAGTATGTAGAAATACATTTCTCGTAAAACTAGATCTTTAACAAATTGTCTTGAATAGGATTTTCAAAATCATATCTACAGTCACTCAAGTCAAACAAATAAATTTCAATGCAATTTATGTCCATACAACTGTAAGAGTTTCTCGAAATTAAAAGTAACTAATCATGCTTTCGATTGAACAGGAGAATGACATGTTTGCTTTTTTAGCGACATATGCTCTACCATCAAGGTCAACGTAATTATGAATGTCCGAAATGTAATAATAAATTCTACCAAATGGAACATCTCAAACGTCATTTAACATCCATACATAAGCTGAATATTCCTCAAATCGGTCGAGGAAATCGATTATTCAGTTCGGATATTTTAAAGAGAGTAAGAAGATCGTGCTGCTTGAAAGAATTTTGTAATACTTCAATCGGTTTTGTAGCATTCGGACATGCCACATATTCCTCCGCCGCATGGTACAGTTCCTCAATGTTATAAAGTTATCTCGAAATGCGTTTTTACATGTCAAAAATGTCCATTTTCAACAACAAAACTTTATCATCTGAATGAACATGTGAAAAGTGAACATTTACAATTGGATGATTCAGCACATGTTTGTACTTTTTGTTCATATATAACCGATAAAAAAACCAATCTTAAAGTGAGTTTCGAAGTCGATGATATCTGAATTACATATTCTCTTCTTTTTCAGCGTCATTTACATCATAATCATGCTGGTCAATCAAATACACCTGTTCTCTTATCGAATGATGCTCTTTTATCCAATCCTAATACGAAGTATGATCCATCAAATGATCCTTTTATTCCATTGAAAGCAAGTTCTTTTTCAAACTTTCTTAGATTTCAATGTGGACTTTGTCGACGATATCAAAGCAATGTCGATGAATTTATTAAACATATAACCGAGAAACATCGTATGGACGTATGTGTATATTCTGCCTTGTTGATATTATTCTGAACTGTACTTCGTTGTTTAGGTTGTTATCTTAGACTCTGCTAATAATGGAAATATTCACCAGCAGATAAAATCTCGTGGTCGTGCTGAGGTTTGTTCGAATCGCTTGGTTGTTGATTCAATACATGTGTATTTTATTTTGTTTAGTTGATTTGCGCTAGTAACAATTCGACACCCTTTCGATTCGATGAATTCGGTGGTCTCGTGACTGTTATGAAGAACCCAAATGAAACAACATCACTAGTGAATCCAACAAATCAACCGACTAATGCATCAACAGATTTTCTCCTTCAGCAATAAAGGAAAAAAAACATTCTCTTCTTTCGTTATTTCATTCTCTGTATACACAATTCTATCAGTCAGTCCTTATAGGATTGTATTTCGCATCTTTCAAGGCACAGTTCATCCAGCCCATTTCTTGTGTATTGTTCTGTTTTTTTTTGTTTGTTCGTTTATTTGTTAAAAAGGCAAGTCAGGAGGAAGAAAAGCAGACTGATTCAATTCTTTTCTTTATTAACGTATTAATAAAAAAAAGAAATCGATGTTTACAGAAAATGCTTCATTAATATCAACATTCTCACGCATTACGAAGGTAATGAGTTTTTTGCAAGAAGTCAATGAATATGTTGAATTGAGAAAAGCTTCTACTTTTTTTTTATTTTGTTGCACGCAAGAGGAATGGCAAAGATATTGAAGGTGACGAAGAGAGAACTTCGTTCAACAAAACTTGCCAGATCTATCGACCGAATGAACTCTTACAGTAGGTAAAAAGAGAATAGAGATGATGTAATCTTCTAGTTCTTGGCATAGAAGGATACTTTGAGGGTGAGACGTGACATTTCTGAGGAATACGCTTTCTCAATTTAATTCTGTCTGAAATGAAGAAGAAACACAAACAAATGTAGTTCCCAATTTTACTCAGATAACTGTCATCGATAATTCTATATAAAGAACAATGGATTAAGAAATAGAGATTTATAATCGCAGTCTTCTGTAACTAACGAATGAGAAATATAAGAATACAATCGAGAAAAAGTTATAATAAAGTGCATGGTTATTTGTCGAATAAGAAATGATAGATTGTTACAGTCTTTTTCATAAGAGAAAAACCCGTTTTAGCGAGTAGCGCACATTCTCTTTTCATTCTGCGTCGGAGATCGAGACACGTTTGATAGAAACTCCGGTTTTTATGCATATCAAATCTTACTTCGTCAAAGCAGGTCACATGAACTTGCTTTATTTTCTGCAATGTAAATAACAAAGCAGGAAGTGCTTTTGATGAGTAGGAACGTAGCGTACTATTGCAATATTAAATAGAAAGAAACTTTAATAGCATAATCAACACTTCGTTGCTCATGATGACAATTACAAATCATAGGGTTTTTGTTATTTCCATTTAGAAAACTATCAGTTAATCGACAATGGGTACATTTCCTCTTCACTTTTTATTGTTGGCAGTAGACACAATCCAGATTGTCATCGATGATAGACAAAAAAATATGAGGAGAAAGAGAAGCAAAAAACAGCGTTCATATAGCAGAAATGTTTTCCTATCTGACGACATCAACATTTCTCTAGGCTAGTTTTTCATCAGGTGTGTCGATTTATGATTACATTTCTTTTTTTTTTATTTCTAGATTAACTCTTCTTTTCTTTGGAAAAGTACGATTCATGTCAGCGGACCTATTTACATTATCATGGTTCATTGTATTTATTCTGGTCATATCCATTGCATTTATTGCCAATATGATCATCATCATTGCCATCCTGCGAGACAAATCCATGCATACATCAACATATTTCTACATTATCAATGTCAATATAGCTGATCTTATTCTGGTGGTGAGTTGCTTGCCAGAGCGCGTAGCTGGGGTCTTCGGATCAAACGACGGATTTCAATTGGGAATGTTGACATGTAAGTGCATTTCTTATACATTCAGTTCAGTAGATATTGGAACTGGAGAAACTGGTTTTGTCGAGACTGGAGAATAGAGAGAAATCAATTAGATAAAAATGGAAATTCTCTATGAATAAAATATAATGCTGTCGTGTATAAAATATCATGTTTTGTACCTTGTATTCTTTTGATTGACGTACAATAGGAGCAACAGTGACGTATATACGATGAAAAAAAAGAAATCAAAAGATCTTGTTTGACGTCGTCATTTCTTAAGACATTGATTACAATGGATAAGAATAAAAATTTTGTTTGAAACAAAAGAATTCATTCTGATCAAGGTATAAGAATATGAGTATATTTAATTGATAGTCAGAAAGAACTAGAAAAGAAGGAAAAACCGTTTTTTTTCCCGTCATATATAATGAAATTAGTTTCCGATATGATCGTGTTGTTTATCCGTATCGGAGAGAAAATAGCAAATAGCAATTGAGAATCATCGGTGAAATAATCTGTCGCGTTTATAAGAAGTTTAATAGATGATTGATCTATATTTGAGTATCGAAACTAAGCAATCGAATTTTATCTCTCGTGAAATCAAATTTATCCTAATCTTTCTGCTATTTCACTCGCGAGAAATCCCAACATGATAATTATACGATCATTTTCTTGAAAAGGGCAAGAGAAAGTTCATGCTAAACAACAGAACCTGGCTTGAAGGTGATACTTAGTTATTACAACACGTTTTCATCAAGTAATAGATATTCTATGTCAAATGTCTCTATCAACTCTCGCCCGATAATTAATATATACATGAAATGATCATACCATCTCACCGTATAATCCCTTCCCTATTAGAATTACTAATGAATACACATGAGTTGTTATTTAATTAATATAAATTATCAAATTAATAATATCTTGACTTCAATAAACCGAATGACGTGTGAAATAGTGAAGGAAACTATCGTGTTATTTTTATTCGATGACCTTAATGGTTTCATTTTCCAATAGGTTACTTACTCCCATTTTTTCAACAAGTTTCAATGCACGCTGCATTTGTTTTCTTGCTTGTTCTATCCATTCATCGCTGTTATCCTGCTGGTGTGCCGCGATTTCTTCAAGGAAATCTCATTCGTCGACAAATACGAAATTATCCGCGAACACTATGTATTCTTTGGACTTTTGCTGTCATTATTAATCTACCCTTGTTTGCGATAACCAAATACGAAACATTCAGCATGAATATAACGATTTCCATTGGAAATGACCTCAATGTCACTAAAATAGTCAATCATAATTCCTGTTTTACAGCAGCGGAAGAAATCTGGTCACGTACTTATTTAAGTTTATTACTCATTTGTACTTATGTCATAACAGGCATCTTTCTTATTGCTATCTATGGTCAAGCCATACGGATAATTCTTGCTTCAAAAAAGTATTCGAAACCATCGTTACGAACAACAGTAAATAGCAATGATCATTATCGTTTTCTTTCACCGAATAATACTCCGGACAGTGAATGTCAATCAAATTTGTGTCTTCGCACAAATGGACGAGGAAATCTTGAAGTCCTAGCAGGAAATTCGATGTCATCATTAACAACAATAGCTTCAGCTCGACATTATCAACAGAAACTTTTACATGCATCAATAACACCGCTAGTTATTACAAAATCTAATGAACATAACGATCATCTCAATCATTCATTAACGAATTCTCATTCCACTCAACATCTGCAAGTTATTGTCATGTTATTCATTGTGATTCTTTTGTATATTCTTCTTCTTTTACCTTATCGTCTATTTAATTTGCTATACATTGTTTACAATGACATCTTTCAGAAAACTACCATCAATGAAACGATGTTCCAATGGTTAATCAATACTGTTCGTCTACTTGTTTTTCTTAACTGTGCTTTACAACCAATAACTTATTTGATTATCTCCTCACGTTTACGACAAACCGTCGGTAAACTTCTTCGTTCATGGTATTGTCATTGCCATTGTTCATCATCGGTATCATTAACAAATGGGAATGAACGTTACAAAAACGATATACGTGCGGTGCAAGCATATTCTTCTCACAAATATCGCGGTCGAACGCCGTATGAAGATCAGCAGAGACAAAATATTCATCATGCGGTTCGCCCATTTCAAACTTCATTGTATAACACTCAGTTGATGGGTTCACAATTGAATCAGTTGACTTTATCGCGTTCGCAATCACCAGCTGGTGTATCGCAAATAACTTTGTCACGCTCGCCATCACCGATTGGTTTGACACATTTGACAAACAAGACTCGATATATTGTGTCATTCACAAATGACTCTCGAAAGTAAAAATTTGTATAAAGATGTTTTTATTTTAAAAAATGAACAGAAATAAAAGTGAAAAATAAAGTTTATTGACTCGATCGACCAAGATGTTCAGCTAAACGTTTCCGAAGCATCTCTTGTATGGGCACAAATTGACGACGGAATTGTGGACAACGTTCGGATAAACCATGGAGGATAGTTTCATAATGTTGTAAACGATTGATTTGATTTTCACGAGCAGTGTTTAATGCATCTGGTGTTTGATGAACTTTCACATATTTACCATCTTTTATCTGTTCGTAATATTTCGCACGTGCTTGTTTTTCAGTTAATGTGATAAACATCTAAATACAATAAGAAGTTGTTTTCGTTTTTCGTTAGTGGCAGAAATGTTTACCATATTCTTTCGAGTATTTAATTCAACGATACGTTCGTCGAGTTGACTGTTCTCATTGGTTAATTGATCTCGTTGTGCTTCGAGTTCGCTCATGTGTGAGACATGTTCTTGTTGGAGATTTCGATATTCATCTAATTGTTGTTCAAGTTCACCTGCTTGCTAAAACAGACACAAGCGAATGAAAACGTTTTATCAAATCCAGAATTGACATTGAGATTTACTTGAGTCGATTCGCGAATCTTTCGCTGTAAATCGGTGATTTTTCTTTGTACAGTGCTTTCCATGATCGCTTTGTTTTGCGGCACACGTTGTTGAATTTCTCCACGAGTTACAATCGTATCACGTCGTAGTACACTTGCTTCCATATCACGTATTAATTTTTCTTGCTGACGCAACAGCTGATCATATCGAACCTGAAAAAACAGATGGAATTACTTGGAAGAAATTCGAGGTATGTTGATGAAGAACTTACTTGCATACGATGAATTTCCGATTTCATCGCTCGAATTTCACCTTGACCAGTTTCCGAATCAACAGCTGATTTCATCTCTTTTGCAAGCTGAATTTTTCGTTCCCAGAACATGATTTGTTTTCTAGAAAGATCTCAATAGTTTTCAATATGGCTTCATTATCTTTTAAACTTACTCAGCTTCGACAAGATTTGATAATAAATTTTCTCGTTCTTTTCGTATCTTTTCCAATTGTTCTTCCATTTGTATCGCATCTTTCTCTGCTTCCTACGAAAGACGCTGCACATCGATTTCGAAAGTCAAAAAATTTTCTTTCTGCAAACTTTTAATTCTCGAACAAAATCGCCTTCTGATAGTAGATTGTTTCTTTCTAACGTTGTTTTAGTTGTTGATTCTTTGTAGATCAGTTTATTCAATCGTTCCAAATCCAATGTTAATAATTCCATTTGCCGTTTCAAATGTGTACAATCGGTTTCCATATTTTTAATTGTATCTAAACAGAAAATTCCAAACCACAATTGAGAAACAGTGAGGTTCATTTTCATTACTTTCTGTTCGGATCTTTCTCGACATTAAAATCGTATATTTTAATTTCATCGAATCGGTTTCTTTTTCTAAAACATCTTTTTCATTTGTTAAACGAACTAATTCGTTTTGTCCTTTAAGCCACGCTTGTTCCAATTCGAAAATTTCTTTTCCCGTTTGTGCAATTGATTTCTGAAGATTCAACACTTCCAATTCCAATGGTCCAAGTTCCACTCCGCCAGCTTTTTCTTTCAAGCTTTCCAACTTTTTGTTCATTAGATCAATCTGATTCTGTTTCTGTTCAATTAAAAGAACTCGTCGTTTTATCTCCTGTTCACTGCGCGTGATGATCTGGTTCTTTTCGAGAATTTGTTCATTATATTCCTTCGCTTGGGTTTCCAATTGTTGAATATTTGTTAACAAATAAGTCTTTTCCAGACGTGCGCGTGATATATCATTCTCAACTTTAGATAAATTTCGTTCCTAAACGAAAAGAATCGAAGAAGATGATGAGAAAGACGAAAGAGTTATTCATACAATTTCACGAGTAGATTCTTTGAGTTTAAAACGTCGTTTTGAACTATATTCAGCAGCTTTTTCCGCTGTTAATTGTTCTTGTACACGCTCATAGATATCATCTTCAAGTTTCACACATTCTTGACTTTCTTTTTCAATATCTCGTCGAAGAATATCTAAGTCATGTTGCTTTTCCGATTTATCCTAAACAAAAAACTCGATTGTTCAAAAGGAATATTCGAATTCTTCATTACATTGTTGATACGATCGAGCATATGTTGAGTTTCTTGAAGTGCACGTGTATAAGTCGAGATTTCTTGTTTGGTCGTTTCTGACTTCTCATGGGTAATTTCATGTAAACGTTCTAAATTTTGAATTTCATATTTTGTTCGATTGAGTACTAAGGTGAGTTTTTCATTCAATTCCTGCTCTTTAACAATCGAACGTTTGTAAGATTCCATTTCCGTGTTCATTGTATCAATACGTTGAGATTGTAATCTGAACGAAAGAATGTTTTTCAGAGGTAATCATTCTTTCGAAGATTTCGTCTCACCTGACGGCTTCGTTCATGGTTGCTTGTGCTTCATCACGTCTTCGAATACCAATCAAACAACTGCTCCAGTTCTGCATCAATTGTTTCTTTTCTAATTCTAACGTTTCTGATTCTAATCGTGCTTCAGTTAATGTATGAGTGATATTCTTTCTTTCTTCCACTAAATGAACAATCATCAAGTAGATGTAGTTCGATAATCAGAAACTTACTCTGAATTTTTAATTGATATTCATACTGAGCGATTTGTTCTCGAAGAGCATCGACTTGCTCGACAAGACGATTGACAAAAAAGTCCTAATTTGTACAAGGATATGAATAAGTACATGAATTTTCAGAAGAATTTATCTACTTGTTCTTTTTTCTCCGCTTCTAACTTGGTCACTTCGGAGTCGACTTTTTCCGTTGCTCGTCGCATTGTCGATAGATCACTTCTAACATCGCCTTTAGCTTTGTTTAGGTAAAATAATCGTCGTTGAAGAACATCACGTTCCTTTTGTGTATCCATCGCTGCAGAGATGAAATTTATGAAATGTTGGTTCAGTTCGAAAGACAATACTTTGTTTCGTTTGTGTCTCGAGCTCGACTTTTTTATTAACCTGCTTTTCTTTTGCTTGTTTCAACTCTTGGTCGATACGCTGACGTTCTTGATTCACTTCACCATAATGATCATGTTCCTTTTCGAGTAACATCTGATGTCGGGCTAGTTCTTGTTGAAGATTGTATAGATTAACACCAAGTTCTTCACGTCTCTCACGCATTTTCTACAGTCAATGATGAGTTATTGCAAAAACAATGAAAAAATTGTTATTTACTTTGAGTTCATGATCGACTTCGCGTAATTGAATGTTAAATTTCTCTTCTTGTTTAACGAGATATTCTTTGAGTGCTTTTTGATATGGAGCCATAAGTGGATGATTTGGATCCAAAACCACCACGGACTGTTCGTCTTCCGTAGGTCCATCTTCTATGAAAAATCAAACAAATTTTCTCATTCATTTCATCTGATCAGAAAACATTTTCATATGTATATAAATAGACGATCGAATTACTGCGGTCATCATCATCAGAGAATCACTGGAAATCTAATACCCATACCATATGCTCTTCTTTCTTAGATTGCTGAAATAACAAAGTAAGTTCAACAAATCTCACGACTGCATATCTTTTGAAGTTCTATTTGAAAAACGAGCAAGATACTCAATCTTGTTTTGGTCTCCTAACTCAAGTTGAAAGCCGATCGATCAGCTGTTAACAGATATGTCAAGCGTAAAAATGAACATACGTCTGTCTTGTGTATCATCCAGTTGACGATCTAGATCTGCATAATTAAATGGATACTCATTTAAATCTGTATTGTTTGTTACAGTTGGGGCAGCTAAACAGAAGATGAATCGAATTGACAGAATTCGAATGATTGAAAGCAATTCAAACCTGGACCACCATTAACAACATCGTCATCGTCATCATAAAGAGACATGCCTTCCTTAAACGTCGAGATGTTTCCTTTGGCTGAATTAGAACTGAAAATAGCAGCTAATCTAGCACTTGCTTTTCCTTCGGACACTAAATGGTTAAGAAGGTTGCTTAGCAAGTGCTTGCTGTTTCCTTTGGACAATATATAGTTAAAAGTGTTGCTTAGCAACACAATTGAATTTTTCTTTTTTTTATCAAAATTTTATCTAGTCGAAGAAAAATCATGTTCGGAATTTTTTAACCTTGAGTAACAGAAAATTTCAGTGAAAAAAGCGAAGAATGTTTTGATTATAGATGTCGCTTTGACACGTTTGTGCGATATGCATCGCCATTGTTTCCCGTATGTGAACCTTCACTTATTTGTACATCTCCTATGTCTGCTGAAAGAGAACACATGCACATACGTCTAATCCAATTTAGCAAATCATCTGTTTGTTCTTCTAGATTTTAGATTTCTTTTTCGTTAGTTCTTAGCATCAATTATATATATATATATTTCCAATTGAAAAAATCTATTTTACAACTTAACGAAACAGAAAGCATCCTGCGAAAGAAGAAATCGAATAATTCATCACTTTTATTTATTGTATGAGAACGGGATTAATATCATGTCTGTACCTAATAAATCTCTTGATAAAAATAAACGCTATGCTGGTGTTAAAGCGAATGATTTTGTAAACAAGACTCGAGCAAATGAAGCAAATCGATCAGCTGGTATGTGAATCAGTGTTCATTCCTTTTTTTTTCGCTAATTGACGCCCATTCTTTTCAATTTTAGTTCGTCCGCAAGGTTGGGCAAATCTAGGAAAAATCAATAGTCGACGAATTCCACCACCAGCCAATCTGCCTAGTCTCAAAAGTGAAATAGGTGTGAGTTCACCAACTTTTGATCCACCATCGACTCCAAACTATGGATGGTCCTCAACAGAGAATACAACATCGACGAATGTTGTATCGAACCCAACGCAACAACAGCTAGATTCGATGCCTGTCAGTTCTCGAACACCACCACCGTTAATATCATCACAGCCATCGTCGGCTGATGTTGATAAATCTCGTGCACCGCCGTCATGGAGTACCATAACAGCTAGTGGCACAAGCTCAAATATGGCGGAACCGCCACCGAATCTACTCGGTCTTAATGACTTTCCTCGTTTAGCAACGACACCTGATCGAAAATCTCAGCCGGAATCGCCGATAAATCCGACATTTCGACCAACGAATCTTGCGACATGGAAAGAAGGTGGTGGTAGCCGTATTCAACCACTAGTCAATGATCTATCACAAATGATACCAAACAATCCTGGTGCTAATTTCTATCAACAGCAATCGCCAATGCCGAATGTAAGAATGTATTCGCCACAAATGGTAAATGAAAGCTTTATTTGTTTCTCGTCTTAACTTGTCTCTGTTGTCTTTTCTTAGTGGACATATAATCCATATCCACCAGTACCATCAGCTATGCCTCAATCTCAACGTGTTAACAACTTCAATGATTATAAGAGTCCAACTATATTACGAAATAAAGATATAGACGATCTCTCCAAAATAACCGATAATACGTGGGCAAATGCGTCTCAGGAAGTGAATTACGAAGAAAAGATTCGATTTAGTGATGACGAAGAAGACAACCATCGACGAGAATTACCGGCGACAGATAACAAAACACGGCGAACGAAACCACAGATACTACAACATACACGCTTGTTACAGGACGATGAACATCTGAAGCAAATGCAAGATAACAAAAATTCGGAATTGATCAATGCATTAAACATTGCTAAACAGCGACGAGATGAACAAGAACGTCATCTGCGAAATGAACAATTCAATTCAAATATGAACGAACAAAAACAAATACCGGGATATCAAACACGACCATTGCTAAATTCGAATGATCAAGAAAATCATAATTCGTCACCGTCGTGGCAACGAAAGAATCGAGAAAATTGCAATCCACCTCGTGCTCATCATGATACAGCCAATAGTCAATCCTCATTCACGATGAAAAGTTGGTCGGATCAAATGGACTCATTCAACTATGCATCTTTACATGAAAAGTATGTCACAGAGAAAGTATTCATACAGATTAACGATGATCATTTGTTTAGATCTGGCGGAGCCATGGAAAACGATGATCCGGCAATGTCGAATAATTATAGTCGTTCTCCAAGTGAGTCAAGTTTACCTTCTCAAAATGAAAAAGGACGTGTGGTAAGGAAATCGAAGAAGCTTCCATTATCTTCGAAGAAATCTCAAAAACCAAGTTTGAACCCAACGAAGAGTTCAACTAAAAAACTAGTTAAATTCGATAGTAAAGACTATTACGAGAATTCAAATGACCAATGGGAAACATGGGAAGAACAGACAGATAATCGTCAACAACAATGTCCGAATGATAACAATAATAACAACAATAATCAACAACGTCGGCGTCAACAATTACATTCAGATGATTCAGCAACACAGAGGTCCAACCGTTTCAATAAACAAGTGGTAAATAAAACAAATCAGAATGATAAACAACAAACAAGTAAATTTGAAAAATCGATACTTTTTTCGAAAGAATTACTAATTTTCTTTTGTTCCAATTAGACTCTCATGTTAAACCAAACTCCGCTCCAACAAACAAAACTAATCAAATTTCAGATACCAAATCAATGAACAATAAAAATCAACCAGCTTGGCGATCATTATCCCCAAATCGACCAACTGAGTCCGTTGATCCAACACCACAAGAATCTATGTCGTATAAATCGCAGCAACGAACAAATTTGAATGATCATAAGCAACGATATCCTCCTATCGACACATCATCGATACCTCCACTAATGAGCGTCCGATCGAACTTACCCATACCGACCAGCAAGTCCTATCAAACGACAAATCACACAGGTGCACCTCATTATGATGATGAAAACGCTTATTACGAGTCAAATTTGCAAGCACATCAACGGTATCAACATTCTCATTTACAGAATCGAGGTTATACAACATTAGGTTCATATGGACGTTACAGACGGAGTGGTACACTTCGACATCAACAACAATACACAACTTACAATACAACAAATACATCGGCTGGATCGTCAGCACCATCGACAAGCAATGGAACACGTCAGAAGAAGAATGCAAACAACAAAAAAGTCAGCTCATCATCCGATCAATCGAAATCTGCCGTTGCTGATAATGTTAATTCTCCAACGGAAAATGTCAAAACAATCAACGACGAAATACCCGTAGTAAAATCACCTGAACCATTGATTCCATCTCCATCCATGGAAACTGGAAAGTTAAATGAATCAAATATTGGAATCAATGAACAGAAGAACATATCAAAGACAGACAATGAAAATAATACGAATCAGAATGGAGCGGAGTCGACGACTAAAGCGAACAAGAAAAGTACACCATTCAATTCAAAACGACGAACGAATAAAGACCAACAAACATACCAACAAGATCAACGTTATCAAAATCAACAAGCACCACGCCATCGAAACATCTATCAACGATCGATACAAGGTAAGCCTTCAACTCATTCAAACATCCTGCACTCCAACCCGTGAGATTCATATCAGATCTCTAAGAATTGTCATTCTAATTTCATGATAATACGATTATCTCCGTTATAAGTACATCATGTCGATCACAGAACGAGCAAAGATTGCGCGAAGGATTTCGAGACGCAATTTGAATTGTCCTCGACTATAATGTTCTTCTACATGTAAATTTTAGAATATGATACCATGTCAATGACTGGTACACACAATTATTACGGTACCACTCGTCGAATGGCAAACAATGGTCGCAATACACATATACATGATCTATCCAGCAATTACTACTATGAACATCCTCAACAGTAAGATTTCCTTGTGTTTTCTTGTTGCAAAACATACTTTTCCTGAATATCTCTAGACATTACAATAATCGATATAATAATTATTCGAATGAACATTATCAGCAATCGTCCCGTCAAACGACGAAACATACAAAACGTAATGGTACATCAGCAATAAACAATCGTCATCAGAAACAACATGTAGTCAATGGAGATACAAATAATACGAATAATAATCATCGTCATCATTCAACAAGTGATAATGATCAAAAAGAAGGTGAAGAATGGGAAACAGCATCCGAATCAAGCATGAATATGCGTAATGGTCATTATGATAATAATCAATCGACAAATGAAATAAAAGCAGTTCATCGTGGTAGAACACCACCAAAGAAGAGTTTTTCCAGTCAAAGGTAAGATCTCCTCTTTCGAAAAGACAAAACATGTAAATCAACGTTTACAATGTCTTTCAGGCCACATGCGCGTCAGATTTTCAAATATACGAATGCATGAGAAAGTCGAAGTAACAGATCTTTCTTAAACTTTTTTGTGTATTTTCTCCTTTCTTTCGTCAACGCACATACATATCAGCAGACATGTATGTATGTATGAGTGTATCCTATTTTCTTGTTCTTTCAAACTAGATAGAAAAGTAGACTAAATACACCTATACATATATTTATTCAAATGTTCTCTGTTTTTAAACGAATCTCAACAAAACGTAACTACTACAGCTTTTAAAGCCAAGTTTGAGGAAAAAAATCAAGTGTTTGTTATTTCTTTTCTTTCGTTTCGCTTTTTTTTATATAATATACTGGTCATATTACTTTCTTTTCGAATGATGATGATGATGAATATCAATATTGTGTATTTCTGTTGTTTGTTTGTTTGTTTGCCTCTCTTTTTATTTCTCATCTCTGTTTGTTAATCGAACAAACTTTGTTTAATCATCTGTATGTTTCTTCTTCTTCTTTTTTTAGTCGTTGATGTGACATAATTGATCAAAATACATAAAAAATCTCTTCGTTCTCTCTGTTTTTCCTTCTCTCTTGCTATTTATTATTTGTAAATAGAATGCAACACATAAACTAACATAATTCTAATGTGCAAAAATCATTTTAATGAGTGTGATTTTTGGTTTCATTTTTCTTCTCTCGTCTCTATCTCCCTCCGTTTATATTTAATCCTCATGCGTTTATGTCCCGCCCAAGACATTGCAGGTTCTTTCTTTTTCTCTTGTTTTTCTTTTCTCTTGTCATGAAAAATAAAATGCAATCACAATAGATTCGAATCTTCTCATTGCCAATACCACTTTCCAAAACTTCTGAACGTCATTAGTTTAATATAATTAAGCGAGTGACATGTGTACTTGGCCATTTTGCGGTGAATAACTCTTGGGCTGCTTTCCAGATGTTCCGCTAATGGTTCTCAGTACACTGAGGGACAATTGTCGTGACGTATACAAAATTATCTAAAAAAAAGAATCTAGGAACGCAAAATTTGTCATTTGAGTTTGCTTTTCATGACAATCCCAACCAGCTGTTCATCAATTAGTCAGAGAAATTCTATCTGTGCACCGTCATAATGACCTAAGTCAGATATCTTTCTTATATCACACACATAAATGACGCAAATATCAAAATCCTTCTTATTACTTTCAATTAGAACATTTAACATTAACATCAAGAAGATAACTCAGACAAAATGTCTTATTAAATACGCATACATTGACACGTAATCTTTCTAAATGAAGAGGGCTATATACATACTCATTGAATATCCTGAAAATATTTATAATCATGAAGTATCTTAACTTTTGTAGTCATTTGAATTCTTATCTACATAAATCTCTTCCTGTGAGTCACATGGGCTATGAAGAAACTTTTTTGTTAATCACGATTTTTTAAAAATAGAATCTAGTAGTTCGAATGAATAATTTTCTAGAGCAGAAAATATCTCATTATTTGTTTCCAACTGGATGAATCTATCTTCATCTTCTTCGTTCTCTGTGCTATCGATAATAAATAGGCAAAAATCCATTCAAGGTTTGTATTTCATTAAATTACAGACGATTTACATGAAAAAGTCTCCTACTGTTTATATTATTTATTTCACATCGAAACAAACGAGTGTTTTACTTTGACTTCGCACAGGACAGAACGGCAACGACAACGCGAGTACTGTTACATCTGATATACACTATAAATAGAAATTGATTATATGTACAGTAGTATGTGTCGTTGTTATCAGTGATTTCTTCGAGAAGAATGTTTATCTAGTTAGTGTCCACTCCAAGTAGTTGATTAAGAACATAGATATAGTTAACAGCTGTACGCAGAGTTTCAATCCGAGATAATTTGCATTTATTTTCTACAGGTAGGACTAAGCGGAGTTGATGATAAGCTTTATTCAGTTTGAGCATCCGATTTTTTTCGCGTACAGTTGCTTCGTCACGTTGTTGACCATTAAGTTTACGTTTTTTCCGTGTCGATGAGGCTTGTATTTGTTGGTGAGCCGACGATGACGACGACGATGATAAAATATTGTTATACAGAAACTCTTCTTCGTTGTTCATTTCAATTCACTTCTGATTTACATAAAACTAGTCAATGTCTCTCTCTCTCTCGCGCTTTCACCACTATATATACATGTATCCATAACTCTTTTTTTGTAGTCGAATCATTAAGTAAGTAATGATCTATGATGATGTACGAATCACAAACAATCGTTGAATTGAATTGAATTCGGTAGTTATGAAGTGTTATTATGTTTTATAACGAGATATCAACGTACGAATCAATGAATTTGATTCACATTTGAAAAGAGGTTAGTTTTCTCGATTGACCTATGTATACGAGGTAAGTGAAGATGTTAAGTAATCGAATCTTTTCAAATGATATCGAACGAATCATTCTTTGATGTGAGATCGATCTTTACAGATAGCAGAAATGTACATTCTGTTAAACGAACCAATGAATTCAAAGTCAATGAATCTTTCGAATCTAATGTGCCCGAACGACATTTACGACTGAATTGTAATTGAATTTCTTTACTATTCATACATTTCTTTCTTCTATTCTATACATCTGTCTACTCCCGAAAGCTAGATTGTACTCTTCTCAACGAGCTCTCTCTCTCTTTTTATATTCTATAGGCCAGCAGGTGCCATTGTCATTGCTTTTCCATTTTCATTCGATTCTTTTTTTTGTCAATGACCTAGTATGTAAACATTGTAGTACAATAAAACATAATACCCGAATAAAGAGAAAGAAATAACATAGATCATACACACTCATTTGTGCTCCTTCTTCTTCGATGTATATACTCAAATAATCATTTTATCATCGAAATATGTTTGTAACAGTATTCAAATGACGTACGCACCTCTACGGTTTCTTCTTTACTTATGCATTGCTTTCAATCAGATTGGGCATTGAGTGTATGTATGTGTATATGTCAATATTTTGACAGAATCAATCGTTCCTTGATGCTGTAGAGTTACGCCTATGTAGAAAAAAAAGGAAAGAAAAAACCAAATAAATTTCTTAAGCAAATGGTAATCATTCCCTATTACTCATAAGATTGACTTTCATTCCTTTTGCTCTTTTATAACCCCATCATTCGAAGATATTCAGTACAAATCAAGACCCATGGAAAAGGTAGATAAGAGTGACAGGGGGGAACGGAAGTTTATATCTGTATGAACGTATGTATAGATGAATGATTTATTTCCTAGAGATTAGTAGTCAACATAACATTCAAACATATGGATAATATTGAATATGCTTCTATGCACACGTACGAAGGAAAGAACAGATCACAAGGGTAACATTTGTTTAGTATAGGATGATGGTTATTCTTTTTCTTCTTCGGATTATCAAATATGAGCACTCTGATAAACATATGCGAGTGAATAAACATCAACATATGCTTTGTTTGATTCGTCATCGATATTGTACATCAGTCGTTGAGAGAAAGTTAGATAGAGATCAATATCCACGAGCATTTTTGCATTTGTAATTGTTCGTACACTTTACTTCATCATCATCTTTCGATCGTTAACAACTATTTTCTGTCTATACACGACTGTGTTCCTCTGTGTATATGTGTACGTCATTCGATGCTTGAGGGTAAAATTTTATCATTTTTTTTGTTATATGCTATTTCTTCCTCTTTGTTGGGTTAAAATTCTGTGCAAGCACAAATGCACAAACTAGTCTATCGTTCGTGCTTGATGTCTGTTCGATTGAGAGATGAAATGAATGAGAATCGAGAACTCTCCTTCTTTCTTTTGACGTTCTTCCGCTCTTGTTTGAGAAATACATAAGAGCACCATTACTATGCCACGCCTTGCACTCATCAGAAAAGAATGAAGAAAGAGACGAAAAAGAAACGGACGATGGTAGCAAAGAGAAAATGTCATTTCCATTTCTTCGTCATCACTATCGTCGTCGATTGTGTTCCACCATCAGATCAACGGACAATGGTCGGGATGAATTCAGCACAGATGAACATCGCATTTTTTTCCTCTTTTCGCGTTACCTTTCTACATCGATAACGAGAGAACGAGAGAGAAAGAGAGAAACAGTTGATTACTCTGGACATATACATGCATATTCGTGTATTGATCACACACGTTCTCTCGCTCTCCTCCTTTTCTCATTCTATTCATTTTTTTCTCTACTCTTCTAGATTAGTCGTCAACACTGTTCAGCATCAACGACTGAATTCGCCTGATCTGCTTTTCGACACGGCAATCAACGACAATTCGTTCTAGATACGCCGTCTATGTGGTATTCTGTTCATCAGCAACAACAGCAGCAGCAGCAGCAACATAGCTGCTATGGATATGCGCGTCATCATCCATCTCACCAGCAACAACAACAACAACAAACTTATTTAAGAACTTCATATTATTGTAACACTGACGAATTATCGACTACTTGTGTGGAAGCAATCAATGATGAGAATGATTCATCGAACCATTGTCAAACAACTTACAGCGGCAGTGCTCACGGTAAAAAAGAAATGCAATTGAAATTTAAAAGAAATAATTTTTTCTTCTCTTCAACAATTTTCTTTCACATATTCGAATAAGACTAATGATTTTTTGGAGTGTTATAATTTCATTTTACAGGTTTCACTACTTTCAAGGTGGAATAATAGTTGAAAAAAGGCAAGAAAAGGAGAGAGAGAGAGAGTACGAAGAGGAGGGAGGAGGGGGGGGGGGAAGAAAGAACGAATCAAGGTAGTAACATATGTACATGTAGGCACTTATATCAATGTTTTTATCATCATTGATTTGCATATGTGCATAAGAGAACAAATTGTTGCATCTCTATCTGTAGTTACAACTACAACTATTCTCTCCTTCATCTTGCGCAATGATGATCTTAATGGACGAGAGCGACGGCGACGATGACATTTGTCGCGTTCGCAGCGCAAGTTATTCAATTCGGCTTCTCGTTCTCTTAGCAAGTTGATCGCTAGATCAATCACATAGTTATTGCATGTCGAGATTCATTCACGCAATCGCATATTGCTATGTTCTCTAAGCACAAGTAAACGATGATAGAATCTAAATCGAATTATTACGACTTAGATGAAGTAAAAGAAAGAAAGACATCATTCGAGATTAAACTTTAATATTTATCAAAATTCATGAAAAGAAAGATCTGACAGAAATCAATCTCCGTCGAATATATCTTTAAATTATACATTACGTTTTACACGCCTATGAATCGCGCAGTTTTTTTTTCTTCTTTCCCTCACATACGAAAGTGTTTCTTTCAACGTTCAATTATAACTTGATGACTACTATCATCGAATAATAATAGGGATTGTACATGTCTATAAGTAGACAAGAGGAGTATTTGAAGAAATCGGAATAGATGAAATATCTCTTGAATAGAATCGAAACATTCCGTTGCCTATAAATGTTAATGATGTGTCATGTTTTACTATTCCCATATGTAACGATTAACAGAAAGCAGCAAATGAAGATGCATTGGTGAATAATTAATCTCGTTGCATTTTGCGAGGTATGTTGATATTGAATTCTTTTATGCGTGAAAAAGAAAAGACAATGTGTGCGTGTTTTTTGTATATTAGATCGTTAGTTGGATCTGTCGTCGCTTTTGTTTACATGAATTTAAAAGCAGTCAAACTTGAAAAGAATGAGAGTCAGTCAAAGTGTCGGGAATAGAAAAGAAGAAGAGAAGCAAAGAAACCGATGAAAGCAAAATATTTTTTAGCTTTAGCTTTCCTGTCTTTATCTGCGTAATAGTAATAGGAGTATACAATATCGTTCTCAATTGGCGATACACAATTATAAATTATGACGGAAAAGTAGGTGGAATTTTGTTAGCTGTCTTTTGCGTTCATTTCTTTCTCCTTTTTCGCACTGCGTGTGAAAGGTTACCATTGAGTAATGGAAGTTGAGTGTGTATTCATCGAAGAAAGTGATATATCTATGTTCGTACATATGAGAATATATTATAGTCGATTATTAATGCAATTACCAACTGCTGTTCTGTGTATATATGTGTATGTCATGTTGCAATGCAGCAGTTATGTGTATAGTTTGTTTTGTTGATCAGATGAGAAGAAAAGTATCTGTGAAAAATGTTTGTTTCGCTATTTTCTTATTTGAAAATTAAATGCTTTTCTGATGGAAATTAATGCGTCATTTTAATAAATTTGCCTGCATTTACACAGTTACGTTCTTTTTTTCTCGCACTCTCGTTTTTTACTCATATCTCACCAGCCGTCTTTGCGCTGTCTCTCTCTTTTTCTCTTTTTCTCTTGACTTTTTTCCTATTGCTTTCTTTCTAGTCGACGAGTGCTCAAAGGACTGTTTTTTTGTCTTTCTTTTTTCTTCTTATATACGTGCTTCTACTATTACTGCCGTGCTCATTGTCATTCTATTTCATCATCATCTTGTCTTTTTTCTAGTTACTACTGCAAACTACTACGTGACTCCTTCATTCAATCCATATGGTGATGAAATGTCGTCACATCAAACAGCAACAACAACAACAACAACAACTCGAAAAACGTATTGGAACCCTGTTATCGTTGCTCCAAATAGAAATATGAATATGCTCACACCTTCAATGTCAACTGTTTCGTCTTCTTCGTTATCGCATACCTCGTCGTGTTGGGACTGGTTACTATATTCGCCTCAATACTATTCCGAATTTTATACACCTTCGTCGACATATACTCAGCAGCAGAAATTCGATGAAGAAGATGATAAAGAAAACGATCATGATTGGAGTTTCTTGACGAGTTTACCTACATGTTTGCTCTCTCTTCTTTGTCTGACACCACAATTAATTCAAACATCGGACGATGAGAATGATAGTGATCAAGAAATGAATATTGTTCATTCAATTGATGAATCATCTTTACTGCTCAATCACGTCGATGCAACAAGATTGAACAATATCTCGTCAAATCTGCTCTTGTCGTCGATCAACACTACGAAACCAAATGTAAATCGTTCACCAACACCTGAAACAGATGATGGTTATCAATCCGCTAATGATGCTAGTCGAAGTGATTATTCTCAACCATCATCTGTCCCGTACGATCATCATAGTAGTAAAGATGATATCTCCATCAACGAACATTCTTTACCTAAACCATTAATGCCTCGTCGTATATCATACGCAGCTGCAGCCAAACCAATCACTACCACCCCTAGCCCAACAACGAAAATTTCATCATTATCGGCAGCGGTTAGTAAACCAAAACAAACAATCAATAAGATATTAACAGGTATAACAACTACCAATGATATATCGAGCACTAATGGTCAAAAATCGAAATTTATCGCACCTCGTTTCGAACGTATGCATCATGCTAAACAGCACTCGTCATCATCAATAACGACAATCGTCAAACCTTCGTCGACATCAACTGCATCTAATCGTACACAAACACGTTCGACTAATATTAATAATAATAATAATTATCATCAACGTAATCACATGATGAATTCAACACGACGTCGTTAACCATAAATTGAATAATTTTTATTCTTCTGATCTTATTATTATTATTTTTTCTCTTAATGAACTTTTGAACTTCAAGATCAAAGTGGCCATTTATAACAAACAAATCTAATGTTTCTTTCTCATTGGTTTTTCTTTCTTTTTTGCTATGTGTATTTCATTGTTGTTCGTATATCTTCATTGTGTTTCTATGTTGTATTAGCATCGAGTCAGTTAACATTAAAAAACAAAAGCAACCTAGATGACGAGATGAACTTCGATTGTGAAGAGCTTGTTCTTTCAATCTCACATGTCATGAACATTCTCAAGAGATTTTGTTAATTGTTCAACAGTTACTCGACAATTCTCTTTCTTGAACAAGCAAAAAGTAATCGTGTCCATAATTATTTTTCGATATGAAATGTTAACATATACAAAACGAGATGAATCGTTTGTCAGAATTGTTTATGTCAGAATATCTTCTGTTCACATCCGATGAATTCATTCAATGGACATAATATAATCGTTTATATTGACAAGGTGACATGTTACATAATCAGTTGTCAAACTCGAAGAAGAACATGTTGATAAATCGTTATTTCAATAAGAAGAAGGACAAATATTCAATGCCATTGAAATGTACAACTTTAGGAAGTCAATTCTTCATTCAAGAGAAACATTTACTATTTCAATCGGTGAATGGTGTTTTCATAAAAGAAATCTTCGGATTTATTTTCTTCGGGTTCTATGACATGCATTTCTTTGACGTCATTCTTTTGCCTAACACCTATTTATGCTTATGAATGACGACTATTTCTCTTCATAAATATGAATAAAATAAGTATAACATAATGATGAAAATTTGTTTTGCGAGAAGAGGAGCATTCAACGACAAAATTGTGTTGCTGATTAACAGATGTTCTCATTAATGCATTCGGGCAAAGATAAATATTATTAGTTGAGTTGAAAAAAAGAAAACAGCCAAGTTCCTTAGTTGACTTCGAAAAGATTCTGTCGATGTCAATATTCTTAAGTGAAACGAAACACTTTTCGCTGAATGACAATGATCAAGGACGAATTTGAATTAGTTGAAAGAAAAAAAAAGACGATATTGTTTATTTTGTAATCATATACTGTATAAATTAGAGTTGTAAGTTGTGAAATGTTATTTATTAATTATCTGTAAGATAATACCTTCAATAATTTACCGTAGGGATTCATTTAACATCTACCTTGAGTGCAATGAACAAAGGTACGCTTCATTTCAACGCAATAAGTCTGACATTGATTAACATCAATGATATTGCATCTTATCTTTTGCCTCGAGATTTTAAATGCAGAACATTTCAAATTAACGTTGAGAAAAAGAGAATAATTAATCGTATGTAGGTTGTTACGCTATACTCGTGCTCTTCTGTAGATAATAGAGAACAAAATAGTATCTATTGAAAGAGATAATATTCTTTTCCGTCGTTTCAGACGTGTATTCGACATATTTTCTAGTTTCTCTAAGTTATTCGAAGATGCATATGGTCGATCTGTCTGTCATACTTTCATTTGGTTAGATTTTGTTTTCTCCGAGAGTCATGGATCGACGTCGAATGTCTGTTGATGGACATCCACTTTTGCTTGATACACTGTCAGTGCTAAGTTAGTTCTGAAAGTGAAACGTTGTCTACATCTTCAGAGTTCATAATTATCTGCTCTTATATGTATTTAATGGAGAACCAGGTAGTAATCTAAACCTTTGTTCATGTTTGATTATGTATTCGATGTTTTCTATTCTTTTCCTCTTGCTTTTCTTTGCTAGAAGAGAGAACACAATCATTAACAGAAGAGTTTGTCTTCTCAGGACGAGAAAAACAAAACGACAACTAACAGATAACTGATTTCTTGACATACATCTCTGTATATCTTCTAATTTTTCTACGAATTAGATAAGCATACACATCCATCGCCGACTGTCGCATAGATTCTCAACAACAAAGCATATACAGAAGCAAAAATCCGATCAAAGATATTATCGTCTCAACTTATCCGACCTATTGCAGCACGACCTTTGTTTTGTCGAGTCTTCGTGTTTTTTTTTTCTGTGTGTCTCGATTTCTTTTCATGTCATTTATTTAATAAACAAATAACAGTAAGATTTTTTGCTCCTCTAAGACGAGTGACATTCTCTTTTATTATTGAATAGATTTATTTCTTTTTCTTGTTCGAAAACAATGCTAAATTCTCCGTCGGACGATCGATCACCGTTTACAACGGCAAATAATCAACCTGCCAAACGTTTCGTTAACGAACGCTATCCGAAAACGTGCTACGATGATGTTCCATCAACATCTCATGATACACATGCAACACGTACTCGTCGACATCTACATTTTCATACCCAACCGATAACCCTGACAGAAATCAATGAAACCGATGAAGAGGTCAAGAACGAAAATACTCATCAGCAGGAATCTCAATCGACCGTATCGGAAGATTTTCAACGCTTGGAACATCTTGCGTTATCGGAAAGTCGTCGACGATCAGCGAGAAAGAAATTGCCACTGAAGAATTATCTTGAACGACAGCGACTGAAAGCGACAAGAGAAGAACCTGTCGAAAACGAAACAAATTGAAGCATTTTTCTTTTCTATGTATATATATATATATGTTTAAATGTCTATTCCATCTAAATATGAAATCAAATTGCGCGAGAGAAAAATGAGAAAAGACAGCAAGTGAGAGAGAGAGAGTGAAAATGAAAGAGAAGGAACAGATAAAAAAAACGAAGAAGCACTTAGATATTCTATCGCATGATTATATTTCGATTGTAATTTTCATATAAATTGTTTGAAAAATATTTCTGTTTGCCTGTTATCATGGTTCGATGTGGTTGTGTTTGCGCATTCGTACGTGCTGGTTGTATTGTTGTCGATTGCCATGAACTCGAGGGTGTAACAAGACTATGTTCCTGATTCTCTCTCTGATTATCTTCATGCATTAAATTACTCATTAATGGTGTTTGTAATTCAAATTCCTCACTTGAACACCCTCGTTCACGTTTCAATGAAGCATTTCGTTGAATTAATCGTGTTGTAATTGTCTCATTTGTGCTGATAAAACGATTTTCTGTATTGATTGCCGATTGGCCCGATGGCGATGCCACTATGGTACTCGTTGCTGTCGTTGGTAATGTGTTTGCTGTTATTGTCGTTGTTGTCGTTTGCAATGGAGTAAGTTGTCCTAGCGAGTAGTTAAGCACAGCAAATATAAGTGGTATAAGTACAGAGAAATAGACTAGATAAAAGCGCATGGCAATAGGATAAATACACGCGAGTAGACAACATGATAAGACAAGTAAAAAACGAAGAAACGATGACGAGCACCAATGTCCACATGATTGTAGGATAATATTCGATGACGATATTGTGGTTTCACTTGTAGGTGTTGGTGATTCGGTCATTGGTGCTAAATTGTAACTACTACTTGGAATATTACTATTACTGACAATACCAAGTGATGAAAGCATTGAGATCGAATTCGGTATCGAGAGACCCTGTTGTCGGCTCTCATGAGGATGACGATGACGATTTGACGATGAACACGAGGAGCGTTTTCGACATGGAAAACATTTACACATTTTACAACGCAAATAAATGTAGAAAAGACATTCAGAGAACAGTTTCAATAGAGCTATGGCGGATATAAATAATGTGACTAATAATGGAATTAGGTTGAAGATAATACTTTGTGTTAATCGATTGCGATCGAACCATTCTTCGAGATAACTGATTTGGGTTGTCCCTGGACAATAAACCGGTTTGGGAATTTTCTCATTCGAATCGATCGTGTAGAGCAACGGAATCGTGGCTGTAAATGACAATGACCAAACGAGAAGGACGAGACAGAAGCAAAATCGACGAAAAAATTTACGTAAACAAAGGCCGCATGATTGTAAACATGAACGTAATGAATGTTGATGATCGGACGATGATGACGATAATAGACACAAGACGAAATTTGCATGCATTGCAGTGATTGTATAAGCTAAAATAGATTAAAACTCATAAGTTATAGGCGAATCCTCAACGGAATAGGACATTTTTCTTTCTGTCAACATGCATTACTTGATTATTTATCTCGCATCCATCCAATTCAGTTTAGATATATATTTAAATGTCTGATTGTAATAATCGGATCAAGAAAAAAAAAGTGATTTCTTTTCGATGAAATTAATCTAATATGATCTTTTTTTCAAAGAAAATTGATGAAATCTCGTTTTGTCATGGACTGTGCAGCTCTTTTTTTTCTAATTGCAGAACTTACCAAGTACAACAGTACACGATGTTTGTAAATAATAGATAGCTCGACAATTACTTTCCGAAAGTCCTCTTGAACGTAATGTTTCGACAAGATAATAAATGTATAAACAATTCAATAATGAACTTGACAGTGCAGCACTTGAGAAATAGAAATTCACGACATTGCGATATGAACTAAAGGCCATCAAAGCTGGAATGACCAGATTTAATACGACTAAGATTGACGTGGCCACCAATTCGATGACTAGCCATGTCGATATACGATAGAACAAAAATGGCATTGACACAAACGGTGTTCACCATCGACTCTTTTGTCCGTTCATAAGTCTTTGCCAGGTCGAGATTTATCTGCAATAGATGAAGAAAATAATCGACTTCTCGTCTTCCTTTTTTTTCTTCTTCTTCTTCTTTTGACTAGACTATTTCTCTGATAGTTCTTTTGACAATGGCGACGATAAACTTCTACATATCGATTGATCGGCTCGAATACATCGATGTCCTTGACACATTACCACACATATACTGTAGGCAGAAGAAACGGAGTGAGAGAGAGAAACTAATTCGATCTCATTCCCGATTTGAGAAGTCGTGTTCTCGTTGTCACAAAGAATAAGAAAAGAAAACTGCTCTTGGTCTAGTTTGTTTTATTCTCGTAAGACTCGAGGCGCATCCAAAGAAATGAATCGGCATGTAATTATGTTCCCCCCTCTCTCTCTCTTTTACTTCTTCTGTCTGCATCTCAAAACATCGAAAAAATTTTCAAAAGAAAAACCCCTGTTTCCATTACGAGCAATCAAGTTGACCTGGACGCCATTCATTTCTTTCCGACTGAACTATTACGACAGTGATATTATGTGGGGAATAACTAATGCATATTTAACTAGTTGAAGAAGACTAGTAATGAATGTAGAACATTACTATACTATATAATTTTAACTTGACAGATTTTCTTTTCTTATAACATTACCGAGCGAATTAGAAGTATACAAAAAAGAAAGAAACTAGCCAACAACAGACAATTAGCTGGCGAGGAAAAAAACGGCAAACGTCTGTTAACGGCAGTAACAATTGAATTTTTTTAATATAGAAAAAAGGCAAGACTAAATCTAAGTACGAGTAGAATAATTGTAGGAAAGGAGAGAGAAAGAAAAATAGTCGGAGACGATGAAGAAAAAGATGATTTACGATATCGTGAATCGAACTAGAGAAGTGAGAAGAACTGGAAATAATAACCATGACGAGAAAGAAAGAAGATTGAAGTGGCAAAACTAGGAGGGAGAGAGAGGGAGTACGTAAATGACAGACACACGGAGACGAGTTCGATTGATTATTCGATATACTCGTGTAATAGAACAGGATGAGACAAATGAATTAGAAGAGAGAAGACGACACTTTTTTTTTATTGACAAGGACACATCGAACCGATTGGGTGAGAACGATCGAAGCGAAATGTTCCGTGGTACTCATTTATTTCCGGTTATAGTTTTATTTCGGGGACTACTAACTAACGAACACTCTTTATGCTCGTATTCACAAGAATATAACCTCAAGGTTAATGTCACAACTCTCGACACGAATGAATATGACAGTATGAAATTCAAATAAAAGAAACGCATAGATGGAACATTCTCTATCTCATACACTCAAATTAGTCAAATAAGACACGAACAAGATAGAAATCCTTCCATTCTGAAGATTTTCTCTATTATTTCTATCAACCTCGCTTTGTTGCATTCGAAGTTGGACGAATGACGAACAAACGATCAATGATCCTTCTTTGTCTTTGAACGACATTGCATGACATGTTTGTCGTAGAGAATACTTGTTATTATTGTCGTCATTTTCCTTTTTTTTCTGTCTATTACTTCTTCTCCTTCATCCTCCTCTCCTTCTCTTCGACTCACTTATTGCGAACAATCAAGCAAAACTTATTTAAACGTTAGATCTATCCATTCTCAACAGTTGTTACAATGAATGACAGTATAACACATACTCATATTCTATTCAGCAAATAAATGAACAAATAGAATGTTTATCGGCATCGCGCTTTTCTTCCTTCGGAGCAAATCTCTATCCGAAGAGCATAAACGATGACTTGGGTAGCTCGAAGAGACATTATTATGCGATTATGATTACTTATCCTTGATCGATACGCAAGAATTAGAACACCTGTTGCTATCTACAGCATATCATTGGTTTTCGGTTTCCTCGTAGATCAACATAACTCGCTGCGTATCTAACAGTTAGGAAAAAGAAATTCATATTCAACAGCAGGAGCTCATTTATTTGTGAAATACGACATTACCATTGAATAACTTCAACAGCAGAAATTGATTACAAGATCTAATAGTTAAATTGCACATTAAGACGAGAAAAATGCGATGTGCTATCGAATATTTCGGTTAATTTTCGCTGACACCAGCAATCGATCGTTAGATCGAATTAAATAATTAACTCGTTTAAAAACTAGAAATTAAATATAGATGTATATATGTATATATATATATATATCGTGACTAATCATATTAGAATAACGAGACGCTTTGTTTTGAAAGACGAATTCTCCGAAAGAAAAATTGTTGTTGTAATCAAATTAATATTCAACGAGAAAAACAATAGCAGAAAATGTCAAACGCGTTCGTCTCTTTTGTCTTTGACGAAAACGTTCTCTGAGGAACGCAAACGACAACTATAAGAGCTCTACATTGTTTCATCCAATAAACATAGCAAGACGAAGAGGTTATTAGTGTTGGAACTTCCGACAATGTGCATCGGCTAGTACAGCTGCAAGATGAATTCATCAATCAACAATCGATCGTAATTCACATGAACGAGCATTTGTAGTTCTCAAAAAAGCATTGATTATAATCAGAAACCGATTAAATCGATGTTGTTCTTCGCAGTAAGACATTCCTTCAGAACTCACTTCATACCTTATCAATCAAATAGTTTGTTAATCGAAATTGCATATAGATTAGTGCTTCTCAGATGGGTATTTATTCTAAGTTGTAGAAAAAAAGTGAACTCATTTTTCTCTCTGTACTATTAGTCGAATTGTTTCCATTATTGTTGTTTGAACAGTTTCAATAGGAAGATAATGGCAAGCAGGAGTCATGCTGAAGATGACCTTGATGTTCTTCCTAAATATATTTAGAAAGATTACCAGTTGAAAAAAAAGCTTGATCTCTGCTCTTCGAATAGATTTTATTAGGAAAAAAAGCGGAATGATAGAATAATCCTTTTGGATCAAGAGATTTTCATGAATGGGAAAATCGATCAACATTAACAGATGATGATGTGCGACTATCGAATGAGAAATTTTCATTGTGTTTGAGGCAGAAAAAGAATGGTCATGTCGCTATATTATCGTTATTCATATGAAGAGAACGTTCGCGTTTTCTTTTTATTCAAATAAACAGCGCAGTATTCAATATAAAAAAAAGGAGTGTATATGTATGCACAAAATAAGAGAAAGAGAGAAAGAGAAAACGGCAAATTGAAAAAAAAAAGAATTTCAAAACTGATTGGTTTTCTTGTGTATATGTATATTTGTATGTAAATTCTCTCGTTTTTCACAAAGAGAAAATCATCATCTAATGTTCAAAGTATTTGCATAAGAAGTGGGTGTCATATCAATCACTGTTAATCAATGATTCTAAAAGAAACCGATGAATAACAAACGAAAGCTGAACGTTCGACATTCAACCTGTTTTTATTTGATGATCAGACGTTGACCAGATTCGAACTGTGGCATCATCGGATGCTGAAGCGAATAGTAAGGGGAGAATAGGATGCCAGGAAACACAATTAACAGTACGTAAATGTCCAGAAAAGATCATGATTGGACGTTCATGTCTTCGATGCCAGAGATAAACTTTCGAATCTAATGGATCAAAATCGCATGAAGAAGTCTCTGTTAATCAAGGGAATAGAAACAAACCTTCGCTACCACTTGCAATAAACTCTTCGTTGGGTCCGCCGAATGTTGCGTGATTAACATAATGTCCTTGTGTTACACCTTGATATTTACGAACTAATTGACGATCATGTAAATCCCAAAGATGAACACCCTGGAAAGGAAGAGTGTTCAAATGCTGTAATATAATTTCTTCTTTTCAACGTACTTGTGTCGCAATGTTCAGAAGTGCTAGACGACCATCTTTGCTGATGGTAAAGGACATTATTGGATGATCTTCATGGATACTAAACAGTCAACGAGAACGTGTCATCTATTTCTTCTGGTCTGTTATTCTTACATTTGTTGATCAGTTAGACTATCAAACTTGTAAGAACTAATACGTTTTTGTGCATCTGCTGCCAGGATAATTCCATCGGTAGTTACGTTTAAACATTGTAAACGTACACCTTCCCAACTATCGATTACATTACCATCAATATCCTAGAAAGAAAATCCGTAGTGAAAAGAACATTTCTCTTCATCTTCATACACAGTAATAGAATTGTCCACGTGATCCTCCACAAACAAATCTTGTTCCACAAGGTAACCAAGCAGCGCATGTTAAACTATCGTCTGTCGTATGGTTTATACGTGATCGCTGTTCTTCCCTCTAAATACAATCCATTTCATTTTCGGAAAACTCCAACAGACACCTCTTTCGTACATGGACATCCCATATCAATATTTCATTGCATTCATCTGTGCCGCATGCGATGATGTATCGGCTAAATGGACACCAAGCTATACAACCAATGCCAAACGTATGGCCATCGAATTGTTTTCGTAGTTTGATTTCGTATGTTTCCTATGTGACGAAGAAGACGATATGTCGAACTGATTGATGTGTTCTCTTCTTACCATATCAACATCGTATATAATTAGATTGCCATCTTTTGAACCAGTAGCAAGTTTGGTACCATCCGGAGAAAATTTACAAAACCATACTTCATCGGTATGTTCAGTTAGTGTTCGAATTGTCACACAGGGTAATGTATGCCTAGAAAAACAATTGATCGAGTTGGTTTGACGATCAATTAGTACCTACTTAGTGCAAGCATGATCTTGAAGTAAGGAAACATCATCAATCGATAATTTGCCAGGTTTAATATGATATGTGCAACGGTCTTGTTGAAATTCGATCGCTTGTGATAGTAATGATTCCAGCCGTTTTGGTGGTAACATGATATTTGGTGGAAAATATTCTAATAAACGAGGAAAAAGACATTAATTTGTCATATCATTTCCAATTGATCTACTTTGTAATTTCTCCATTAGACTTTCTCTTGATGCAAAACCTTTGCCACTCCAACTTGCTGCTTTACACATGTCTTTGATGGAATTGAACATCAGAAACCTAAGGAAAAGAAAAATTTTAGTTCAAATCATTCTATTTCCATATCATACGCAGTTAATTGATGGGTTCGTTCGATCCGAATATTCAATAATCGAATTTCGTTTCTCAAACAATACAGTGCATCCATAGGTTGATTGTCTTCAATTAATTCAAAATATTTCTGTTCAAGAATTAAATATTTCATTTGCTAGAAGAAAAGAAAATCTTTCTCCGTATCCATCGTATGAATATATTTACCAATATGCCGTCTTGTTCTTCGATATACTGTTTCAATTGATCAAGTGCAACAAGTGCCTAAAAACAACACGACAAGGATAGAGGAGAAATTCGAAATGGACAACGCTTTACTTCTGTCCATTTGCCTAACATAATGAGTTCGCGAAAGTTGGATGCTTGTTCATTTTCAAGTACACAACCACTCTCGGTTATAAGACTTTCGACTGTGTTACTGAAACGAACATGAAACAACTAATGAAACAATTGAAACATAGGCTTTTCATTGTACCTCAGTCCAATACTTTGTAAGTGTTGTCCAACAAGTCTCAGGATTTCTTTTTGACTGTTTGTAAGTAGTTGTAGGTTGACTTGATTAGAATGGGTTTGGGTTGATATGGACGTGGACGTGGACGTGGACGTGGAATGATTTGTATGGGCATTTCCATTACAATGTTGTGATTGTTGTTTGAGTCGTTCAAGGTGATTAGTCGTATCAGTTGGATTGTTATCGAGGGACGAGTTCGAAGTTGTTGGATCAGAAGAATGCATGGTTGGAATCGAAGGAGATGAAGAAGGAGGATTGAAATGTTTTGTTGATGGGATCGGATTAGGATTTAGACGCGCTCGTTTGGGTGGTGGACACCCTGCAACGTCTTCGTCTGAACTTGATGAGGCCAGTATTGTTTAAAGATTAACAATGAATGACTCATAAGGAAAATGTTAGAATACGAAAGCATACGGCCAGCGTGAGAGAAGAGAGAGTGAGAGAGAGAGAGAAAAATAAAGGAGAGAAAGCAATTGCACGTTGTAGTCGATATAAAGATACGTATTTATGGACGTCGAACAGCAAATCGAATGAGAATCTTTGAAATGATAGACGATTCAAATATCTAAATAGAGAACAGGCAAATGCTTATTGTATTTGTCCTTCAAACGAACGATTTCAATCAACATCAAGCGATCACATGCTTTACAACGAACGAATCGGTAATGAGAGATAATGCGAAGAAAAAATACGATGACTTCGAAAAAATATTGTCGAGAATAGTTCAGAAGAAAACAAATAATCAGAAAATATTAACGGCGGTCAAGGAAACATTTTCTCAATGGTGGAAAACGTTCGCCAATCATATCGAAGCTTTGATAAGTACACATACTACTTACATTGGATTATAAATACGCAAAAGGTTTCAACTATCTTCTTCATGCTCTCAAACTTGTACTTAAGTATCTGACGAGACCTATTAACTTGTTGTTGAAAATTCATTCGGTTGTTAAGTTTTATTTATGTAAATGTTCTTTCTCGACGGGATCTACTAGTTTTTTCTTTAACAAAAAAGTCTTTCCTTGGGTTTAACCCACGTGATCGTCGTTTATGACACATTTCAAGTACAAAGAGCGCCATCAAAATGGAATATACCACTTCAAACGATTCCATTTAGGTTGTGATGGTTGTTTTCTTTAGATTATAGCCCTATTGACCAAAATAATACTACCAACAATGAATACAGTGCATAAATTAAAAGAATGTTAATCTTATTGTTCCATGTTGACACGGAATTCACTTCAATAGTTTCTCTTTTTCGTACATTGAACTGTTCGCACTGTCGTCTTTTGAAGAGAAGAAAAATGATATTGAATTTCACAGGATATTGCCATCCTTGAAATGAACTAAAGTGTTAAACAAACAGAACGAAACATGTCAATGTCTCGAAATCACGTGATGTCTATGATAATTCAGAAACATGAGTGATTAATTCGCATTCTTGATTCTGGTATGGAACTTTTTCGGATTCCATCGATTGAACACATAGAACAAACAATGGTTCGTGTCTAACTCGACGAACCGTTAGATGTCACTGTATCGAAAAGAGAATCTTTTCTTTTTCTACGTAGGGGTTTACATGAATCTACTAATGATGGAAAGTCAAAGTGCGCTGGTTGTTTTTCAGAACATATTTTCTTTTTTTTTATGCACTTTTTGAACTTCTAATTCTGTTCTTTATAAAACGAATAGTGACACTCACGTTTGTACTCATTTATAGAACGATTAGATGACAAATTGGCTAACACGATTGGTTGATCTTGTCTATTAAACAATCGCAAAACTGCTACGATCAACGCTTCGACATTTATTTGCACCCCAACAGTTATTTTTACCAGTTGGTCGACAAACGTCCTCTAGATATCTTTCTCTTACAGTTTGTTGTCGTCAAATGAGTGAAATTTCAACGAATAATCCTCTCATCCCTTCAAATACTGAAGTACTAAGAAAGTCTTCATTCTATCCGACGAGTGATGTCCGACGGAAATGGTGGAAAGAATCTGTAGCATATCAAATCTATCCTCGTTCCTTCCAGGACTCAAATGGAGATGGAATAGGAGACATACGCGGTAAACTTTCGATGACATCGACATGAACAACGTTCTCGACTAAACCTTTCTTCAAGGTATCATCCAGCGACTCGATCATATTAAAGAACTCGGCGCTGATCTCATCTGGATTTGCCCCATATATAAAAGTCCAAATGATGTAAGTCATTTTTTCTTCATGGATCTCGTTCAGTTTGACTGCTGTTCAGGACAATGGTTATGATATATCTGATTATCAACAAATCATGGATGTATTTGGTACGATGGCCGATGTTGAGGAACTTGTCAAAGCTGTTCACGATCGAAAAATGCGCATTATTTTTGATCTTGTTCTGAATCATACTAGCGAGTATGAATACGATTTTCGTGAGAGAAATATATGATAAGTATTTGGTCTAGTGAACATCCATGGTTCATCGAATCTCGTTCATCTCGTACGAATCCTAAACGTGACTGGTACATATGGCGAGATGGTAAACCAGGTGGTCTTCGTCCGAATAATTGGGAATCAATTTTTAATGGATCAGCATGGGAATATGATAAAGAAACCGATCAGTATTATTTACACTTATTTTCTCGTAAAATGCCAGATGTCAATTGGGAATGTGCAGAACTACGTCAGGAATTGTATAAAATGACACGTTGGTGGCTGGATCAAGGTACTATATTTCGAATCATTTCGTTATTCTCGTCTTCCAATATGATTTTCGCTAGGTATCGATGGTTTCCGTATTGATGCAATATCACATATCAAGAAGAAACCCGGTTTGCCAGATTTGCCAAATCCTAAACAGTTAGAATTTGTCTCATCGTTTGATTATCACATGAATGTCGAAGGAATCGAAGAATATTTAAACGAATTTAAACGTGAAACCTACAGCAAATATGACGTTGTTACAGTAGGAGAAGCGAATGGTGTCAGCGCTGATCAAGCCGTTGACTGGGTCGATGAAGAAAAAGGGAAATTTAATATGATATTTCAATTTGAAGCAACAAATCTCTGGGAGAAAACGTTAGGAACACTTGATGGTAAGCGTGAAGAATCATCGGGCGGAAAGAACTTGTTTTATGATTCGTTTAGTTTTGGCATTGAAGCGTATTATGACCAGATGGGAGAAAGGTGTAGAGAAATCAGGTTGGAATGCTTTATTTATCGAAAATCATGATAAACCACGAATTGTCTCAACATGGGGAGATGACAAAGAGTATTGGAGAGATTGTGCTACGGCTTTCGGTACTGTATACATGCTGATGATGGGTACACCATTTATTTATCAAGGTAAAAGACATACTGAAAACTGTTATGTAGTCACATGAAGAATTGGAAAATTCTATTTAGGTCAAGAAATTGGTATGACAAATGTGCGTTTTCCTTCGATTAATGATTATCCAGATGTAGCTGCAAAAAACTTCTACAATCTCGAATTAGCCAAAGGTATCGACCATAACGAAATCATGCAAATTATTTACATCACTGGTCGTGATAACGCGCGTACACCAATGCAATGGGATGACTCACTGAACGCTGGTTTTAGTACATCTCAACAGACATGGATTGGTGTGAATCCGAACTATGTTCGTATCAACGTTGCTCAACAAGAAAAAGATCAACATTCCGTCTTGAATTTCTATAAACGTCTTGTTCGTGTTCGAAAAGAAAATGATGTATTTACATACGGAATTTACGATTTGATTCTATCCAGTCATAAGCAAATCTATGGTTATACACGTACATCAGATACAAAACGAGCATATGTTCTAACGAACCTAACGGATCGTCCAGCGCAATTCACCTTGTATCAAGGATTATCGTCATCCCAACTTGTGCTATCCAATCTAGTCGAACCGGTGGCCGAACATAAAGTAAAGTTTTCTTTTCAATAAACATGTAAACTGTTTATCGGTTTCTTTCAGGACGAGAAATCTTTTAAATTTCACCCGTATGAAATTCGTGTATATATTATTGATTATAAAAAGAAGGAACATACACATCGTCATTCGCATCATCATGATAAGAAAAAGCATACGACGACAGAAGCTGACGATGTAGAAGAAAAATCGTCCGATGAACCGACGAAAGGATCCTTGACTAAACGACAGAAAGCCGCTTTGGAAAAACTCGAACAGATATCAAATAATGTACGCAATGAGCCATTGGAAGATCCCAAAGTCATTCTAGAAGCAGTCGCTTCGGCAACAAAGAAGATTCTATCTGAAACCAAACCAATAGAGCCGTCGCATCCAGCAACATCCACCGCACCACCTGTATTAACTCCAGAGAAAAGTGAAAACGAGAAAGGTGCATCAGCAGACAGCGCAGAAAGTGATTTGGAAAATGAACCAATTCAAAAGAAACGTGAACGACAACGTTCGCTCGTCCTTAATCTCGGTAAGAGTTCATAACCATAGTAATAGTAGTACATCGTTCGTTTCACTATAGAAAATATCCCTCCAGCAACATCTGCACGAACAAGTGAATCATCGACTACAATGGATCAACCGCGTCGATCGTTTTCTACTCAAGCCGTGTCATCAAAACCAAGTCTGAAAGGTCATCACGCAGACAGTTCCTCGGAGGACGATGGTGATGACGAAGAAAAGCAAACAACATCAACAAGCGAGTTGGAAGACGAAACAAGCGACACAGGTGCCAAAGATATCGATTATGCTGTTCTATATGACGATACAATTGAAGACTTCAGTTTCACAAGTGCAAGAGAACAAGCGAAGAAACGTCTTCTACGTCAACAACAACAAACAATGTTAGAACAAGTCAAAGAACAAGAATAACAACTCTCCTCTTAGTATTCAATTTCTCCTGCCTTTCTTCTGGTTTTTAAATATCTGCGGAAGTTTAGAAAATTCTATAAATCTGAACAGTAGTATCCAGCCATACGATAAATTCTACCAAGTCACAGTGATCAGCACAGTGCTTTTTCTCTAGGCCAACGTCTTTCTTCCCTTTGTTCAAACCAATGATGAGACAGAAAAATGAACGATTTTTATTCAAAGATCTCTACTTCTTCTTTCTGTATCTATGTCATTAAGTTTTATGTATTATTATATTTTGTTCAACTAGTTCTATTTTTCGTAGCATTTAGTTCTCTCAATAATCATAAACTAGCATCGATTCTGTTTTCGTTTTCTATAAAAGCAAATCTATACAAGCAAAATCTAGCTTATTTTAACGAATAAAACAACTTTTGGTATCATTCTGATAGACAATAATGTTTCGTAAGTTCAAAAGTCAATGCGAAGAAACATACTGAATGTTATCTATCACAAGCGACATCTTATTCAAAAGAAAAGATACATTTCCTTTGTTTTCTCTTCTGTTAGTACCTGACTTCGAATGAAAACTATCAGTTACGCTATTTCACGTTCACATTCATGCATTCGTCTCCATTAATGACGACTGAAAAGAATAAATTACAGGTGAGAATCTGTGACAGTAAGTGAATTCTTAGATTAGAAATCGTTTACTATGATATAGTTGCCGACTATCAAAGATTTTCATTTTCTGAAGACAATTAGTCGTGGTGGTTATGGGTATGAACGAAATTGACTGAAATAAGCGATCTTCTGGCATTGATTTCTTATTATTCTAGTCGAGTGTATTTAGCTACGAAAAAAACTGATGAAAACAAGATCAAATATGCGATTAAAGTGATTAACAAACAGGATATACGCAGGAAAAATTTGATCGATCAAAGTATTTGCAATAATTTCTACCAAGATATATCATTCGACATGATCTGTTTTATCTAGTTCTTAATGAACGTGATGCATTAGCAACACTGCATAGTCAATTTTTAGTTCGTCTTTTTTATTCTCTACAAAGCAAAGAACATATCTATTTAGTCATGGAATACATGATCGGAGGAGATCTCATGTCCTTTTTATGTATCAAACATGTTCTGGAACAACATGAAGCGCAGTTTTATGTTGCAGAAATCGCCCTCGCACTCGATTATCTACATCGAAAAGGTGTTGTACATCGGTAAAAACAAGCAAAGAAATTTCGTTGACAAACATCCGTCATGATTTGTTTTCAACAGAGATTTAAAACCAGATAATGTTCTGATATCCGCAACTGGACATATCAAATTGACTGACCTTGGTCTATCGGAAATACGAAATCGACGAAGTAAATTCGGAGTTCATCGGTACGGTCGAACAATTGTTTGTTCTTCTAGAAGTTTCAGTGGCTGATGTGATTGGTACACCATCGGTGTATAAAATGCGAGCTTTTCGTACACCTGGTCAAATCATATCTTTAACATCGGATTTTAGTTTTGTAAGGAAGTCTTTTCATATTCGTTCTTGATTTCTTTTTCGATACGTCAATTTAGTCATCGAGTGAATCAGATTCTGATCCATTTCATTCGTCAGCATCCATCGAAAATATTTACTCGAATAACAGTTCCTATCGTTCTTATTCATCGTCACGTCCAATTGATTGTAGTCTACGCATTTATCGTCAAGCGTTACCAGCATGCATTCCTGAAAATGAACCATTATCATTTGGAAATAATGACTTCGATGATATAAACTCAAACCATTCATCTGACTTTCTTTTCTCCAGTCCAAATAAACGTTCATCTAATACATCTCAAACAATCAAACAACAACCAAGAATTTATCCAAAGACAGTTTCACGACTACTTGCTTCGTCACCAGCTCATCACAATCAATATCGCCTATTTCGTGGTATCGGTCGAACAGTAACTGCGACAACCACCGTATCGAGTGTTTGCTCATCTGGCTCACCATGTTTATCCCCTATTCGATGTTCAATCGATGGATTAGAAATGAATGAAGATGAATCAAACGAAAAATCCGCGAATAATGATGATAATGCAAATATCATTCCAATAGAAGATTTACCAACAAATCAATTATCTCTTCCTATCGATGATAGTTCTTTGAAAGTATAGAGAAAAGAATTATTGTAAACTAAGAACTAATACGAATGAGTGCATTGTAGTCGGTTTGTCTTGCTCAGAATTATTCCAGCGGTCGCATTTTAACGGATGCATCGATTCGAAGTAGTTCTTCGAAATCACCCATACATTCCAATGTATCAGGACCGGTTCTAGGCACACCTGATTATCTCAGTAAGTAGATCGTTTTCATCAATACTCTTTTACTCGTTGCTTGATCTAGGTCCAGAAATCTTATTGCAGGATGAAAATCACAGTATGTAGATAAGTAACTCCAACGATTGACTTCGTAGTGCAACATGTTTTTCTTTTAGCTGCAGCGGTTGATTTTTGGGCGCTTGGTGTATGTTTGTATCAATTTCTCGTTGGTGTCACACCCTTTACAGACGAATCTCCACGTGCGATTATATCGAATATCGTGAATTATCGACTTGCATGGCCTGAAGAAGATGACGATGACAATCAGTTAACCGACGATGCAATAAATGCCATTAAAGGCTTACTTCAGTACGATGCGACCTCGCGATTCCAGTTAGATGGTAAACGGTTAGATTAGAAGATGAACGTCTACACAATCTCTCTTTAGATTTAAAGAAAGAACCTTTTTTCAATACGATTGATTGGGACAATCTATCGAATTTACCGGCCCCTTTTATTCCAGTACCAGACAATGATTCTGATACGTTCTATTTTGAAGGTAGACACATCTGCTTGGCAAGTATCTTGTCTTCCTAATCATTCTTTTCCATTTAGCTCGAAATAAAGCTATTGGTTTCGATGAAGAATCCCTTGATTACATCATTATGTAGTCAAATTCGCTTCTCGCATACTTCTCAATCGGATTCATGAACAGCCTCACTTTTGAACTGTCATTTCATTTCAATATTCTTCCTTTTGTGTTATACGTAGTTTACTTTCTACAGTTATATTTAATACGCGTATGTGTGTTAGATTAAATAATAAATAAAAACAATCGATTGACACGTTTCTTTACATTGAATGGAAGAGGCTGGTAGTCATAGTTTATTTTAACATAAATGGCATGTCATGCAAAGAAAGAAGGAACAAAAAGAAAGTTCACATTAAAAATTCTAAATACCTGCAATTAATTCATGAATAGATTTGAAGGTAAAAGTTCGAACTAGGTAATTTCAATCTATCGATTTCATTTAGATCGACGGGAACTATCGCGTTTAGGAGAAGATGATGAACGATCTGGATTCGATGATCATACTGATATCGCTTATTATAATGATAGACAAGAAGAAGAAGAAGAAGAAGAAGAAGAAGCACAACGACAACAGCAACAAAAAGAGCCAGATCCATTTGAAGAACTCGAAGAATTTACTCCGAGTGTGAGAATAGATGCGAATAAGTTCAGCATGCTCTGTGATCATGTCGAGAGTAGTCTGTCAGAAATTGATAATTCAATGTTCGAATTACTCGAGCTGAAAGACACTTTACTTCTACAATTTCTGCCTCCAAATGTATCGACGCGAATAACATTGGTTATCTCACGTTTATATCGTGCTTATTCATTGTCTCAAATACCTCTTCATGAACTTGTTCGCATTGTTCACTTATATAGTCAACCATTTGATATGAAGAGTGTAATTATGAAGAAATTTTACGAAGGCAATGAAATGAAGAAAAGAATGCTCAACGCGGCATTGCAAAGGCTGACATTGATGGAAGGAAATAATAAACGATATCAACAGATGAGATGTATAAGTAATTGGGAAAAAATGTAAGTCGATTAATGGAATTGATGTATGAATGAATGTGACAATCGTTTTGAAGGTATATTCAATTAGCTTTGCCGAGATCGAATGTACGAAAGTGGAAATTTCGTTTGAGAACTTTTCGCGAAGTAATTATTCTTGCCCTTCGTAGGAATGTATTGATTATTGGCGCTTTAGACATCTCAACTTGGTTATGAACATGTCATCGAATGGTTGAACTCGAGTGTTCCACGTCCGAAGTCTGAGAGCGATGTTTTATCGAAAGGAGAATCGATGGGCGATGAAGATGAACTTGAAGACCTCGATCAACTTGATTCCTCGGGCGATCAAAGTAGTATAAGAGAAATCGATGATCAACAGCAGGTTAGTTTCGATTCCATTTGAGTCAAATTTCAGAAAGAAATTCTCATTTTAACAGGGTTCTGATTTGGACGATGATATTCGAAGTGATAACGAAGGAAGTTTCTTGAGTAGTGCAGGAAAACAACGAAAGAAACGAACAAGTGGATCCGCGAAAGCCGAACCACAGGAACCTGAAATGAAGCAAATCGATGTTGAAATTCAAGCGACACCTGATTTCGATAATCAGGAAACATCGACGGGTGATGTTCTTTCTACCAAGTAATAAATAATTCAATTACTTACAACTGTAATCATTTGTTTGGTTTAGAGCATTAATTATACGTGTTTATCGGCCCGTTGGACTCGAAAAGAAAACATTCCAATGTGTTATTCATACTCAAGGGCAAACTTATAAAACAAATATTTTCACTTTTGAAGTAGGTTCAGTTTATTTTTCTATGGAAACGCTCTAATTATCGATTGCAGAAAACGAATACATTGAAAACTGAAGATGTCCATACACCTGACCGAGGAAGTAGCCGACGGAAGCTGCGACGATCGATCGAGCCAAGTAAATTTTTATAGCACGTTCCAGAAATTCAAAAGCTTTGTTCGATCTCATAGGAGCGAAAAGTCGAAATGAAAATACGCCACTTCAGGAAGAAAATGACATTAATGCTATTGATAGAAAACAATGTGATGAACAATTTATTCCCATGCCAGCTGTTTTGAAACGTCGATCTTTGTTGGATACTGGAGTGGATCCTGAAGCGGTTAATATCGATATTTTGGGCGACGGAAAACTTTGTGGATCGCTTGTGCTTTCATCCGAAGATTTACGAATGCTCGTAAGATGCCCATCACATATCATTGTCAATACAAATCATCTTATCTTCTAGGATCTTCCAAATTTACATAGCCCATCAACCGCACCACTAGTGATTATCGATGACAGTACACCGAACGAACCTGAACCGTCATCAAGAACAACTCAACTTGAATTCGAAGAATTGTCGTATGATCTCTACAAATCTTGGATATCACGTACACCACAAACATTCACCATCTACAACGACAAGCGTGAACCGATCGCCAAACTGCCATTACATATGTTTTGGTATAATAAAGTCGAAATAACTCATGCAACGAAATGCACAAGTAAACAAGAAGATATACTTTTAATTTAGCTCATTGCATTTCGCTCTAGTGACTGCACCAATGAAAGTTCGTGCACCAACAGCGAAGGCAGTGGTGTATTCTCCGTCACCGCTGATTTCGAATGAAACATCTGAACAAACGATCCCGTTGATAGTCGTACCTTCAACTGTAGATCTCGAGGAAGAAGACATCGTACCGACCATTGATGCGACCGAGGAGACTGATGAGCAGCTGGAAATGATCAAAGTGTCATATGAAGATAAAATTGCTCGACTTCATGAAAGTTACCAGTCTGTTTCTGAAGACATTTCTCGTTTCTAAAAATAAATAATACTTATTTCTCTAGAGCGGAAATTCAACGTTTACGGAAGCTTCTTAGTGAATCACCTTCGCATCGATCGAATCGAATGGATGAAGTCTCAGAATTTGAAGAAAATATTCAGGATATTATTGGAGAAGAGTCGTCGAATGTTATATCACAGTACATACATTGATGATGAACAACCGAAAATACTTTTCTATTCTTCATTTCAGACATCCAACACGACCATCCTCGAAGCGAAATATTAATCTTGAACATCATCGAACGCCCAATTATGGAAAACATCTTTCAGATAGTGTAAGTTTTTCTGTGAAAAAAAAACCGAACGGAGAAGGAACTACTGCTCGTATGTAGTTTCTTGATCGTTATCAAATGTTTTTGGAACGAAGTGCAACTCATCGTCGTCAATTAGCAACTAAAGTCGAGCAAGAAACAGCACAAACGATGGAACGGCAAATGGAAATACAACATCGATTGCACAAACCTGATCAACATGGCGAACGCTACGATGGTAACATTCAATTTGAAGAAGTACTTCTCTGATAAATAGCACACAATGTTTTAGATTTGTGTTTGCCAGCAGTTTTCATGCCTTTTCGTTCCGGGAATGTTTTCAATCCGAGAGCTTATCGATTTTTTCATCCAACTGGTAAATTCTAAAAAACATTTGTCTTTTGTTTATGTTATTTTTACTTTCGCAGGCACAACCGATCCTCGTTTAACGCAAACACCGACAATTTTCAAACTTCCACCACTTCCATCGGGCTCGGTAGTTTGCTTTTGTCATTCTTCCATTCATTCGCATTGTTTGTGTTTTGATTTTATAGGTATCTGTATTGAATCTGTTTGAATTGAGTCGATGTTATGATGGTTCGGCGGACAAAGAACAATCTGTTGATCAAACAATGAATCAAACTAACGAGCCAGCTCGACCCTTCTCGTCTCCAACTAATCAACAACGAACAAACTAGAAGAAGAAAAATAGGCTTCAACTTTTGCCGAATTGTCTTTCTTTGGTCTTCTCTTTCTCTTGTATTTTAATAAAAAAAACATTCAATATCCATAAAAGCGATATTTCTTCATGCTTCGTTGAAAACTTTCCAGTGCTTTCGAACGTGGCAACATCGTTGCATTATTGGTATTAACTGCAGTAAGTGTGACAGCTTGTTCTTTCTTAATTGGTTGTAACTAAAAAAACAAGGTATACTTCGGCAGGAAATATTCTCCTTCGGGGAAAGTATACTTACAGGCGGTGACGGAGTCGGGGAAAAAGACGATAAAAATTTGTTCTCATTTGATTTAATTAAAGTATACGTGATTACTTTCTTATCTGTTGGACTATCAGGAGGCGTTAAAAAAGCAGTTGATTTAAGTTGATGATAATTAGCGGTTCTATACAATCCTTGTTTGTCGTCATCAACAATGCCAGGTGTTTTCCGGCTTTCGGTACTTATATAATACATTTCCGCTCTTGCTTCACATGATACAGACGACTTCCGTTTCTTACTGATTAATTCCGGGGGTGAACGACAAGTGCATATCTTTGCATCCGCATCTTCAGTATTAAGATGATATAGCTCAGGTCGAAACCGAGCTGAATTGACGCTTCGGCGCGTTGTTAGAGGCGGCGGCGGTGGCACAGGCTTTGTTATTTCGTCGGAATGTATTTGTGGATGATTCTCGATACTTAAGTAATACACTTCTATCTTTTGATTTGAAGAGTTCCGAGGGATATCGAGTGTAGATCGCTTGTCAGGATTGGAAATCCGATTGTCTGATGTTCCAAACGAATGTAGTTCTGACATAATTGCGACGAATGTTTGCTTGCACGTTGTTTTTTCTCTTTAGTTGAAACCTTTTGGCAGCATCATTAGTTAACAACTAAGTCATATGAGTAGTAGCAAAGGAGAAGAAAAATATAATGCTACGTCAATAGTAACAGTACAACACTTGAAATTTGATTTGAAAAAGGAGATGATTGAGTTTCGAATAGTCAAGAGGAGAAGAGGACAGGAAAAAACAGCGCTCTTTGATTATTAATTATTACGATTATTTTTTCTTTCTTTCTTTTTCTTTTTAGTTAATTATGTTATCGGATCGAAAACATGCTGATTTAGGTCGCATTTCAATATATGATATTGAAACAGATAAAATTCAACTATCATCAGAAGATCTTCAATTAAAAGAACACACAGGTTATGATGACGAACATCTCAAACGATTGAAGTACCTCTTTCAACAAATCACCGGCCCACAACGAACGACATTGGATACCGAGCATTTTGAGTCAGCTGTCAGATCGATGTGTCGATCATTGACGGAATCTCGTGAAGCACACCGTCTAGCAGAGATACTTTTTCAAGCATATGATAAAAATACGAACGGTTCGATTGATTTCCCCGAAATGATCGATTTTGTTTGGTAAAACAATGAGAGTTCGTCATCATGTTCGCAGTTTCATCGAGAACTATCTCTAGGACGGTCGTTGACGCGCCACGTGAAGAGCAAATCGTCGGTCTATACCAAGCCTTTCAAAATTCCCACGAAAAACTATCCAAAGAACGACTAATTGAATTCATCACAATCCTCAAAGAAGATTTTCAACCGAATGCTTCTCTCGCACAGAAAAAGATTCAAGGCCAAATGAAATCTCTCCATACTGATGAAGACATTCAACATCGAGTAGATGAATGTCTCTCCTATTATCATCATCCATCGGATGGTCTTAATTTAACTCAAGTGATCGAATACTTCCTTGGACGAAACGATCCATTGATCAACCAAATCCGAACTCGTTCGAATGCTCGCAAAGCACGCCACAAGAAAAAGAATCGAAAATAAAACTAACCTGTTTCGACAGAAGTGAACTTGTCGTTTTTCTTTCTTCTTCTCCTCAGTTTTACAATAGAAAACAAACTCGAAGTGTGTCTGTCGTGGATAAGAAAGTTAAAGAGTTATTTTGTTCGAGCATAACAAATAGGCAGAATAAGCAAGTTATTTTCAGCTGTTTGATTCTATAGTCTCTTCATTAATACATTAAAAGCGCCGATAAAAATCTTCGAAAAAAAAGAGCAAATGCGCAAGGAAGGAAGTTCAACCTGCCGTAAAGCTTTCAATCGGATATAAGAATTTTTAGTAAACAATCTTGTCGTCGTCTTTTTTTGTTTGTATGTCACTTGAATATTTTTTTTTCTGTGCCTCAGATTAATCAGATGCTGATATAATCATTTTTTGACTAACTATGCCTAGTGTTCGATTGAAACATTGATTTGCATGTCAAATTTATTTGTAATCATGCGACAAATAATCTCATTCATTAAATTCAATCACAAATGTCATATTGACCTAATCGACTGGAATTTTTCTTAACTAGTCCGACCGAATTTCAATCGGCTTTGCCCGCTTGGAATGTCGACAACTAGCTCTTCATGTTGAAAATAACATCTATTATATATTCATGAAGTGTGACTTTGATCTGATGTAGACGAGTAATGAAGTAGTTTTTCTTTCTGGTGGTGTATGTGGTTAAATCATATAGTTAACAAAAGAAACTCTCAGTAGTTATTATTAATTAACATACTCAAAGGTATCCTTTGATTAATGAGAAATATAAGAATTTCTGAGTGCAGCTGTCGAGAAGGAAAGTTTGAGAGTCTGCGTCAGCATCCGAGTGTCTCTTTCTGCTAACAAGTCAATTAACCGTGATTTCGATTTTGTCAACCGACGAAACAAAGAATCTAATTGATTTTAGCAGAGAAATCACCGTAGACAAAGAATATCGAGCAAATGATAATCATGATTAATCATCGAGTCTAATTTTATGATATGTCAATGTTTTTCTGAATGGGAAAATCTCATCGTATTGACAGTCTTGTGACACTTCGATTATTTTCTTATCTTTATTGTTCACATGTCTTCTTTTTTTCGCTCAGCCTCTTTCCTGATGTTGTCAACAAATCTCCATACGACTGTATGTCAATGTTGACTAGTGATTTTAGCCTTTTTTCAGATTTACTAACGATATTTGTTATGTTCTATGTTAGATGAAGTAAATTACATGTTCAATACCAAGCAAAAAAAGAAAACGACTCGATGAATAGATTATGTCGACGTGTTCTTTCTTTTTTTTTATTCAGGCATTTGCTTTCATATATTTAATAAATATTGAGATAACAACATTGCACGATTCTACTTATGCATACAAATATCTCCAAACTATTTTTGTCGAAGAATCCGTTGCTTTTCTCTTCTTCGCTTTTATACGAGCGCATGCATTCTTGTATTTGCATGTGCCATCTAAATCTCCATACACTGGTGTCTATGTAGAGCGACTTCTTATTCACTTTAATGTTCGCTTGCGCTAGAGAAAGAGAATCCATCTAACGTTGCCATGTTCAATCTTCACTCTCTACTTTTTTGTGACGGCAATCTGGGAAAAGAAAGAGTAGAGCAAGAAGACGAAGTAGTAGTAGCAGCAGCAGCAACAACAGAAGCAAGAAGAAGGGGAGAACAAGAAAGAAACATCGGCAAAGAACGAGAAACAACTCGTTCTTCGTTCATTCATTTAGCAACCGCGTAAATCAAATAAGGCAAGACTTTGAGACTTCTTTTCTTTCGCGTGTGTTGTCGTTGAGAGAACTTAAACGCGAACCAAAATATGATGTGTTCACAACCGTAGATGATCATGCTGATGATCATCAGAGAAATCGATCAAAAGCAGATCAACGTTAGATAGACTTAAATGTATTAAAAAACATCACTTTCCTTTCCTTCTCAACAACGGCGAACAGCATTCATCTAATCGATTCTAGAGGTTGTCTTCGATATATATTTAGTGTGTAGCACGAGACGGAGGAGTCGAAGAAGCGAGACAAAAAAAAGGAAAAAATAGTTTCCGCTTTGGACTCGCGTTTTATATGAATGTGTATTCATGCAGCCAACCGCTACCATCACAATCAGATAGAATCGTAAGTCTATAAGGCATGTACATTCATTCATTCACTTGCAGCGGATGAAGAGAAGTGCTGTAAGTATAGATTCTCCGATCAAATGATGATAAGCATTAGTTTTTTTTTTCTCTTGATTTCTTCTCAATGACAAAAAACATTCTCTTTCAACTGGACAGAATATAAATTTCTTTGGATGTCTTTATCAATATGAATGCGTGTTCATCATGTTAATGATGGCATGTGAGACCGTGCATAATATATGGGTAGCTAAAGAAGGCACGGCTCACTTGAGGCGGATATCCGGTTGGTTTCTCTCGTTTGAAGAGAATAGGAGAGAGAGAGTAAACTTTCAAAATAAATTTCCTAAAAAACGAGAGGAACACTCTTTTGCGAAGAAACTTGTCTTAACTACAATGAAACAACAGATTCAAATATCATTGCGCATTCGGACAACAGACATGTAAATTTATTAGTAAATCGGCTTTTGTTCGTTTTTAATCATAAGTTTTCTCATCCACATCGGTTGCATGCCGATAGAAAATCTATTCTTTTATCGATATTTTCTTCTATAGAATCTATTTTTTCATTGCTATTCAAGCTTGAATATCAACATCCAATGAGAACGATTAGTTCGTTGAGCAATTTTTTAAACAAGAAGTATTACTTATTTCCTTCTCATAGTTTTTACATTAATAATCGGAATAAGAAAAAAGAACTTAAGGGTAAACATTAATTCCCAAGTGAACATTCATATTGAAAAAACGACAGATAGAGGAGGAAAGCAGGAATATAGAAGTTACACAAATATATGCATATCTTTCAGATCAACAAAGCAATGCTCTTCGATTAAATGGCACATTTCACACGTTTTGTTTTATTTGAAGATAAATTTAGTACAAAGTATGAACTCAACTCGTTGTTTGCACAAGTCGATTTCCTTTTCTCTCGTTTTAGTTTATTTACATTCATTCTTCCAAGTTCATTTCTATTAGGAACAGAGGAAAAATTAACTACGCGAGAATTTGTTTGTCGACATGTTCCATTTGCATTGACATTTGTTAAGAATGGCGATCAAATCAATGTATTTCTTCTTCATCGTAGTCGAGATACTGAACGACTTGAAATGACACTTGATCTCAGTATTGCCCTATTATGTCGAGAACATTTTACACGTAACGAATCATTTACAGAGAGGAATTGTAAATTCACCAATAAAATTACTCTACATGGACGAAAATCGTTTACATCAGTTAATCGTCTATGCTCAGTCGAATACATGGACGAACGCGGGAATATTCAATGTGAACTCGAAATTAAGAATCTCTCTATATCGTACATAACTGAAGTACAACTAAGTCCGCAATTAGTCAATCCGCAATATGCACACGTTATGCAGGCAACGAGTAATCGTCAACCGATCGATGCAAAGATCGAAACGCCGTCATTTTTCTATTCGAACTACGAATGGAACGTGGTTATTCAGCCGAAACTCGATAGCGTCGGTCAACTCGGACATTTTCGAATGTATCTACAACGTTTAACTCCATGTGATTATTCTGTTAAAATCTCCTATCGTGTGAAATTAATCGCTGGAACGTATACATGGGATTCGTATCAAGAACGTAAATCAACGAATCCAAACGATACGAATACATATGAAATTAATTATACGGACATTCACGGTCTCTGTCGACCATTTCGTATTGATCGTGTTCGGGATTTACTGCAAACGGAAGGAAAATTCACTGTGACTGTTGAACTTAAAGATGCTGTTAGTAAGTATCTGAAAAGAAAACGCATGAAACCGTATCTATGTACTGACAAATCCGGAAGAGGAAATCTAGAAATTCGAGAGACTTATATAAATACGATTTTAATTACTAGTCCGATGAAAAGAAGTTGATAACGGAAAAAACTAATGATAGGATGTTTTCCTCATTAAAGAAGTCAATGTTAAATCTATCAGATTAAACAGCATGTCAAATATCGTCTGCAGATTTTTCGTGATCAATATGAAAGGAGAGAGAAAGAGTACGCATATCGGGATGATTTTAACCTTCAACTAAAAATAGATCCTTGAAGTATCTCTGCAGGTGTTATTCCAAAGAGATAGTGATGTGACACATGATACGTTAAGTTCGACTTAAAAATAGACTCAATATCACTCGAATCGATGTGTAGATATGAGAATTTTCGAAGAGAAAAATCTGTCTGAGCGCTGATTTGTTTCTCCTTAATTTGCGGATTATTTTTTTCCGCTTGGTTTTTTTCTACTTCCTGTGATATATATTTATTCACGCAGATGAAACAGGAACCAACAGTAACTTTCTTTTACATAAGTTAAATTGTATATTATAAACTTTAACCATCACATTAGCAGACGAAAACAAGCAACATTTTCGAGGTCATTTTCAAATCAAAATATCGTCATTCCGATTCGATTGTCTTCTTCCTTGTCAAAATTGATAAATCCAGACGAGTTCATTCATCTTGTCGATTGTTTTCTAATGAGCTTTTTCTCTTTCTAGCTGTCATACCAATTATTGTTGATCCATTTGCTCCAAATCCCGTTCCCATTCCATTTCTCGATAAAGATCAACAAGCATGGACTGTTGAAGCTTATATTGAAGAGCAATGTTTCATCATACGTCTCTACTATTCGGATATATTCAAAATTCCCACGGACTACATTCGTTCAATATGTTTCAACATCACTGTTCGAAATTTCAATGATTCGAAGATTACGACCAGTGTATTTCCAAAACCCGTCACGAAATATTACGCACAGAAAGAAAGCGATGAAGGCTTGGAAATTAGTACAACATTGGATGTTGACGAAGTGAGTTACGATCTTGTATTCTTATTCGAACGTTCAGCCTCTTTGGTTTTGTAGTTGAATGATCGTGGATATTTGAATGAACAGCAATGCGTGACGATTGAAATTGAAATGTTTTTCTCTCATTTAATGTATTTGCCGGAATATTCACCGTTGGATGATATCGTTCGAAAACAAAAGCAGCAGATAATGTATGTGAAAGATTTTTATTGGAGAAGTGTATTCGATTTTGATTTGATTCGTATTTAAGGCGTGAACTGCTAACAGCACAGAATGAAAACTTCCAATTAGAGAAGAAGATCCACGAATTACAGATGACTATACAAAACCCATCGATGTCCGGTCGATTGTCTGACTTCGGAAATGGTGCACAAGGTGGTCTCAACGCTGCAGCTACGCCTGAAGTTGTTCGCAAATACTACGAAAAAAAGTACGGTGATAAAGGTTCAACAAGTAATCCCCCCCTATCAAACTATAGCAGCGCCGCGAGTTTCGATGGCGGACAGTCGAATTCTCCGTCGATGAGAAACGGCGGTCTGATTGGTAAAGGTTTATCATCGTCAATACCCCAACCAAATGTTACCATGGGTGCGCGTAGTTCGACATTTAAATTTCCAACCAAACTATCTGATTCAATACAGAATACGATCAACAACACCAGTCAATCTTTGCAATCGAAATTGCCAGCTAGTTTGCAAAAACTACCAGCGAGTTTAACCCAAGGACCAACTATGAACATGTTGGCGAATAAATTTCAAAATGCATTTTCGTAGAAATAATGTTTCTCTTTCTTCTATTCTTGTGTATTTTATGTTATGTGTGTATGTGTGATACCAATTCATGAAATTATCCCATTACTGTGATCCCTTCTATTTCTCTAAACGAATTTCAACGAGAAAAAAAAGATAACAATATAAAGATTACAATGAAATCGAGAAGCTTTTTCTCCTCATATTTTAATCACATCGACTCAATTTTGATATTAACTGAAAAAGCTCTCATAATTTTGAAAGCACTCTTGTAAAATTGATGAGTGCCTCACTTCATATATATAAAACTATTCACTTATCTACGTAAACGACGAGTCGCGTCTGTTAGTTTTCATACTGAAATATTCTATGGAGTTTTACACGGCATCGGAGTTGCGGTTTGACTGATTAGACAAATTTTCTTCAAATGGCATATAAAATAAATGTTAAAATAGAACATGCGAAAGGTCACCACGCAAAAACTGGAATCAATCATTTCTGATTTCCAATGACAATCGAGAGATGTACAAAGTCACCATCGACGTGCGATTTCTTTAGTCATTTATAAACAAACTCTCATTTTTCATCGACTTCTTAACGACATACTTATGAATACAAACATGACGTTGCTATTTTGACATCAATCAAAGAAAGTTTGCTGGTTAATTATATCTGAAGAGTCTTATTTTATATGTCCGTTCACAGCGACGAGAATTTTATATAAAAAAAATACAAAATATGCTTTTCACTATAACAACAGTTACTGTACAAACAAAAGACAGGAAAAACAATTGCCTAGATAACAAAACAAAAAATGGAAGTGCAGATCGAAAGGATATTTCCGGATTTTTTTGGTTAGCGAACTTTACATACAAAAGCATCTTCATTATACATGATTGAGCACAGTAAGAGTTGTTGACGATGGATCAGTTGTTGTTGTTGTATGATGTTTCTTCTCCGTTGGAGTATTCGTAGGTCTTGCTTTTCGCAGTCGAGCTTTCGCAGATACTGTTATCGATGGTTCGTCATCGTCGATTCCATTTTCTATTCTTATCGTTGATGGATGTTTCTCATGTTTGTGACTTTCATGACTAGACGATTTCTTTGCTAGTCGAGATTCGACAATGAGATCTTCGTCGTCATCATCTTCATCGTTCTCGACTGGTGTTAATGGCAACGATTTCGTCAATTCGCTTTCGATACCGTATGTTTTCGCCCAGAAGAGAAGATCGTCGAATGAATTCTGTTGCGTAGTCACTTTGTTCGATAAATTGCTGAAGATTTCATTCAAATCGTTCGTTTGTTTTGGCGTATGCATGGCTTGAATGAAATCCAATAGAGTTTCTCGTATTTGATTTAATCGTTCTTCTTCTTCGTATTGACATTGTTTAAATATTTCCATCGCTTTATGTCGATAAACTTTTTGTGCAGTTTTCTGCTGTTTTTTCGTTTCGCGAATTTTCCGTTCGATATCGATTAACACTGCGTGTTTTTTACTTTGATCTTCATGAGCACGCGCTAGATGTTTATCAGTTGTTGTTGGGTCGAGCTCGAGGATTTCACAAGCACGTTCAGCTGTACGTACAGCGTCGTGAGCTTTCTTTTCTTGTGCGCGTAGTTTTTCCAATTCGTCGGAGACTTCGCGTAGTGATGCGTGTGATGTTTTGAATAATTTCTTGAACTCATTCGATCGACGATGTTTACGACCGGGCCGAAGACGTTCACTGATATATGTTTCATCAATATGCGCACGATATTTATCGATTACTTTATCGATTTCAGTGCATGTTGCTTCTCTAACACGAACGAGTTCTTTCGTTACACGAACAACATCGAATTGAGCGCGTTTAGTCGTATGATAAGAAGCCAGAGATGATTGTTGTTTCAATCGTGTTAGCCATTTTTCAGATAGTAAGGTAAGAGTGCGCGCTTGTTCGCGTTCGTTATCACGAAAATCTTGCATTAACTCAATCAAATCCTGTGCAATGTTATACCCTACAGCAAAAAGAGATAAAAAGAATTAAAACAACGAAATGAAGCCTACCATCGTCAAGACATTCGATTACAGCACGAAAGTTTTCATCATCGTAAAAGCTCTTTCCAATATATTGATTCAATCGATAATTGTCTGCATTGCCATTGGCTAATCGGCTAGCGGCCAATGCGTCTTTAATTCCGACGCAAGCACCAATACTCATTGTAATTAGGTTTAGTAAAGAAAATTTTTATCACGCGGAAATCCAATTTTATCTGGAATGAAACCGATTTAACGGACAGGTTCTTGGCGGAAAGAACGATGTTAACAAAATGAGCAACACACCAAGTCGCTTTATATATATATATACAAGTAGATATGTATTTTTTCTTCCTTCCACTCAGAGTGGGAAGAATGAGAGGGGAAAAAGCGAAAAGAAAAGAAACAAAGCCGATGAAATCAGAGGCAAGTATACGGATGATTCATCGAAAAAGTGCCGTTAGCTGAAGGACTAGATAAAGGAAGATGAAGTCCTTCATACAAATTCTCTTGTCAATGAGTAAGGAAGCAAATTATCAACTACTTTTCTCTTGCTCTTATCCGCATTCCTGACATATATGAAGAACTCTCTCATTCTACCAGATTTGTCTCTCTGCTGCACAAATATATAATTACGCAAGAATACTTTTCTACTTAAGTTCATTCCATTAACAGCAAAGGTGTGAAAAAGGAAGGATTTTTATATTAATAACAAGAATGTTGTCTTACGTTACGGTTGCTGTTTATTTCGTACAATTTCATCAGATTGTCAACCAAAAGAGCACGTCACAATATCTACAAATGAGTCATTCTATTCGTTCGTAAACGCATATATAATCAACAACTATAGAATGAATACCTCAAATACTACGCTCCTACGTGCGTTTAATCATCTTTATGAATGATTCACCAACTTGATCTATTATAAAAAACTAGACTAAGATCATATTTATGACTTTCGAAAGCTATTGTCTTATCCGGTTAAGTTTCTCATACAGTAGACAAAAAAGAGGTACGAATACCAAAAAAGGTAATGATAGGAAATAAAAAAAGCAACTCTATTCGTTCTTTCGATGCAAAATATCTATTGAAGTCACTATACTTGTCGAAATTGCGTGTTTTACTTTCACGTTGATATAAGTATATGTATGCACTTGGAATATCCTTGAGATTCAATTTCATACGTCGTTTGTTTGTTCACTTCATAGGTAAAAATAAAGGAGAAAGAAGCGAATGACTTTTTCTTTATCCACTTCTTCGTTTACTACTACTCATGTGAACTGGGCGATTTCCATTTTAATATAAAAAACAAAAAAAATCATTTGATTAAATATCTATGCCGCCGAGCAAAATCCATATAAATTCCGATGTCGAAAAAAAATTGTTAGTCAAGTATTTAGAAAATAAAAAAATTGATTTTCGAGATATTATATAGATGTGATTGTTGACTGTATAAATATTTGCGTCATTCAGTACTTCTCATTTTGAAAAATAGGTGTCAATTGCAAATGTTTTCACTCGGTCGATTCTTCTTCTCTAACCTTGATAGCAAACTGCTGCTTCTGCTCTAAAACGACTCTGTTTTTGCTGTAAAATGATCATCTCATGGTCAACAGATGGGGAAGACGTTGTCTTTTTTTTCTCTTTTGTCTTTGTTGCTTTTATGGTCTCCACACAACACGACGGAAGTAATGATCGATATCATCATCCTTCGCTTCATTGCATGTCTCAGTCATGTAAAGCATATTCACGCACTTCCAGAATATGTCAGAGACGAAAGAAGGATCATTAGCGTATACTAAGATAAGATAGACAATGAAAATGCTGATGCAATACGATTGTTTTTATTGCTTAAAGAAGAGTAAAGGACATTTCATTCAAACCTTGACAAGCCAGAAAAAAACCTTTTTCAGAAAGAACGAAAGACGATTGGCAAAACTTAATGTTCTACGACTATACATCTGTTAATGCGGAATTCAGAATCACGATCTGATGATCGCGAGTTATGTACTATTGCTGAAAACTACTAGAAATTATGAATATTGCTCTTAATCCTTTGCAGAAAGCTCGCTGACGATCTTATTATTTCGCAGCGATTATAGATTAAAGGAACTAAACAATTCATACATTGTTCAGTCTACTCGAATAATATTTCCATAGTGACTCGCGAAGATCATCACTATTAAACTTTTTGGATTCTTATGAAGCGTTTCTTGAAAATTTCAAACCATTTGAGAGATACGTAAAATAGATGAAGATGTAAATCATTGACAACATCTTAACGATCTCTGGGTAGTACCAAGCTCAGTAATGTCGAAGATCGTTTTATTTCGACAAATCTGTCAATCAATGTCATTACAAACTGATGCTCTACAGATATGACATAATTCATCGATGAAGCAACGAAAATCGGATGATTAGTATCTAATGAGTTCGAAGAGGTAATGTGTGTCGAACATCAATTGCGAGATATACTCCAGTCAATCAATTTGCTATCCGATTCTAAATTAAACACAACCTCATCGTATTGAATTAATCAAAGAAAAATAAACCGGTACATTTCGATTTGAGAAAACATTGTCCATGGAATGATTGGAAAATCATTTCTAACGCTAGTGTGTACTTAAGAACAATGGTTGGACCATTGATGAAAGTGTCTGATGTTTTTGTAGAAAGAATTTTTATTTATATTGAAGACAGAACAGACATTTTATCTTTTTGAAAGATTAAATTTAACGATCATAAATATCAAGATTGAATGTTTTTATCTTTTTCTCTGACATTCGGCGCCCTCTTAAACGATTGCTCGTTGTTTGACATCTTTTCTCCTCCAATTGAAATCATGAATTCACCTTTTTTTGTCTTTTCTGTCTGTCTTCTCATTTCTCATCTCGTTCTATTCCTTTCTTGTTTCGTTTTACACACCTGCCACATTAACTAGCTCGCATTTCATTCTTTTCTTTTTATCAAAAACAGAGAAACCAACTAGATTTTCAACTCAGTAACACATACAAATTGATCATTATTGCATTTTCCTCTACTTCATTTTCTTATAATTATATAAAATCATATATAATTATCCACATGTCATTTTCTTCATTCATCGTGCGCTCAAAAGAACATACACATACATACGTACGTGTTCTAGACATCGACCTATTGATCGATCTCTTACTATTTTGTTCCCTCCTTCAGCGTATGGTCTACACATACATATGTACAAAGAAAGGAACGTTGTTCTTCTGTGTACGTGTGTGTGTCTATTGCTCTCTCATTCTTCCGTGTACATCGTTAAAATCATCATCATTATCGTATATACATTCTTTTTTTCTTCTTCTTTCTTTTAGTTCTGATAAGATGCATTGTCTGAATAACTATTCAAAGAATCATATATCATGAAAGTAATTGTGAATTTTGGTGAGAAAAAAGTTGTTGTGCCGTGCGGTCCATCTGGTGATTTATCCATTCGAGAATTAATTCGTTCGGCAACAGCTAAATATTCGAAATTGGTGAGTATCGACAATCTTGAGAGATTTTAAACATATGCCCATTGATGTGTCTGACAGTCATGCAATTATTGATTTGTCTGTTTCATTCTAGTCGTCATACAACAATGTGGTTAATATAAACAGTGAACAAATTCAATTAAGATTGAATAATGGTGCTGTTGTCGATCCAGATGACCGAGTTTGTGATGTCGCTGACGATCGAGAAGAAGTAAATTTTCGTCTTTAAATTAGCAGATGATCTAATTGAAGAAATTTCTTAGTTGTTTGCTATCGTTGAAACACATTCAACAGTCTTAAATAGCAATGGAGAATTATCTTCAAGTCTTACAAGTTCGAACTTATCGACAAGTTTGTCTGATCATGAACCACAACGTCCTGGTGTGCCGCCTCCCCTGCCCAATTCATCTTCAATTCATAATCGTCATGAAGTCATTGTCACTGATGCTGATCTTCGAAGTATGTGATCCTCTCCGAAGTCTCGAATGAAAAATGAAATGTCCATAAGAAACACTTGACTGAATCCTTTGAGTCGCTCGTTTTATAAACATGATTGAACTCGTTGGATAAATATAAAACGAAGAACATTTTCAACAACGAATCTCTAATGTACAAATAATGATGTTTCTATGTAATGATTATGCGTATGTGTTGGAGCACGCAGTTGAGTAAGTCTTCATAGGAGTAAGTTCTATGATATTTTCGTATGATTAAAAGAAATCGATTGTCAACAAACTTATGAAGCCTATTAGAAATCGAGAAGATGCCCGAATGTCACATCGATTCATACCTATAGCCCTGAACAATTGTATTTGAAGATGAAATTTACGTTTATATCTTTATTTAGCTCGATCTTTACGAATTAAAACTGAATCAAACAATACAAATCAAGTAAGAATTGAAAAATAGTTTGTATTTCTCATGTTGCTCTGTCTATTCTTCAGTCAAATGTAATGAATATCAATCGTTCGAATCATTCTTCACTAATGCATGCATCAGATAACAAAGGAATGTACAATGTTCATACTGATGAAACAACTGCTGACAAGATCTTTTACATTTCATTACCTAAAGAGAATAGTCCATTAGGTATTCATGTTATACCATACAATACAGACGAAGAGCATGTGAATGGTTTGCTCTTACAAAATATCGAACCCGACGGACGAATCAAACGTCAGGGAATTCTAGAAATTAACGATCGTATTGTGGAAATCAACCGAGTTAATATTGAACAATGCTCATTTGAAAAGTAAGTCAAAATATTTTTTCGAGACTTTCGTTGCTTGGAACATGGTGACCTTGATCTAGAGCACAACTAATTTTTCGTAATGCCCTGTTGGAACCCGAGCTTGAACTGAAAGTTATTCGCACGAAACCCTTATCAACGTCGTTTTATTTAAACAATAATAACGAAATTAATCAAAATACAAAACGTTTAGGAAAAATTATCAAAATCGCTTTAAGAAAAGGTACTGATGGATTAGGTTTTAAACTCGCTTCACGTGATAATCCAACGGGTATTGCCAATCCAATCTATGTAAAAACTATCTTTCCCAAGGGTGCGGCTATCGAAGACGGACGTCTACGTAATGGTGATCGTTTATTAACTGTCAATTCTATTGATGTTACCCAAATGTCATTACAAGATGCTGTTGGTCTATTACGTGAGACACGTATCGGTGAAACAGTTCATTTATGCATATCAAGACAAAATGATGGGTCATTGCCGAAAGATTTAGTAAGAAGTTTTGAATGCGAAAATATCAAGGGTTTTTATCGAAGCGAATGTTTCTTTTAGATGTCCGATGATGTGAAGACACAGTTAATGACATTTGACATACCATTGAGAGACACATCTTCAGCAGGATTGGGAATTACGTTGAAGGGGAAGACGTCGATTATCGACGGGCAATCGATTGATTTAGGGATATTTGTGAAAAGTATTTTAACGGGTGGCGCTGCTTATCGAGTAAATCTTGTTTGCTGAGAATTTCTTTTTTTGTCAAATTCCGATCTTGATGCATTTAGGATAATCGTCTTTGTCCAAACGATCAAATACTGATTATTAATGATTCTTCATTGGTGAATCTGTCGAATCTTGAAGCAGCTGCGATTTTACACGATGCCGTACGAAAAGAAATTCATCCGGGATTCATCAAAATCACGATATCTCGTGTTTTAAATGATGGACAAGAGAGGAACTCGAGATATGTCAAAGAAACAGAACTTTTACCACCGGTGGCAACAACAATGAATGATGAAAATGAATTAGACTTAACGAACTTCGTTCCACCAGTGAATCAAAAGCCCCCGATGAGTAATAACAACTCGGCACTAAATTTCTAACCTTGTTGCATACTTTTCAGAACCGACTAAACCTATTGATCCAGAAAATCGTTCAACAATGAATCAATCACCGATTAGAACCAAAACAACATTGAGTGAAAAACGTAGGTTTACCTTGGAAATTGCTAATCATTGATGACACTTGACTTCATTTAGAAAATCAAGAAGAGATCGCCAATGGAAAGTAAGTTTGTCGATAAACATCATCAGATTGGTTAACGTTTTTTTTAGTACGAATCCATTTGAACGTGAGACACCATTTCGGCAAAGTATATCCGAAAAGCGTCGTTTAACTCAACAACCCAACAGTCAAGTTGTTCAATGGAAACAACGCTCCTTCCACGACGCGCGCACAAATAGCGAACGAAGTAAGCTGATTTTCAATTTCTTCTAAAACGTTCACATAAAAATTCCTCTTCAATCAAGCTTTCCGTCGGTTTAACCTTGCCAGTAAACTGTGCTACTGTAGACTTCACTACTAATGACGACTGAAAGACATTTTCCACATTCAGACCGCATTCTTTCTCTCTTAGGACAACCGCCTCGACCATTGCCAGATTCGTCAGCACGATTGCCACGTTCGTCGTCCTATGAAAGTATCCACCGACCGATTGAAGACGAAGAGCATAAACGCCAATCTAAATTACGTAATCGTGCATGTAATGATTCATTTCGACATGCTGTCGATAAATCCTATTGTCAAAATGGTCAAGATGGTAAAAGATTATCATATCGATTCAGTGTAATGAAGAATGCTTAGAATGTTTAGAATCGACTAATGGTGAAAAACCTAATAAAGGAGAACGGCAGAAATTTAAATTCTCCAATTTATTTACGACAAAGTAAATTTTCTTTTTAACTCTTTTCAATACAAAGTTTGCCTTTGTGTTCAGAGCAAAACGAAAAGAAAATCAAGAAGAACAGTATGGAAACAAATCGAATAAAGGAGAAAAACTTTTGTCATTTGTCTAGATCACCATCGAATCAAACGACAAAAACAGTTCTTGTTCATTCGCAATCCGCTCATGAAAATCAGGCACCATTCTATCCACCTCCTCCAGCGCCATTCAGTTCTCGACCAAGTTCATCCAAATCACAAAATGTAATTTAACTTTCTTCAGCTCATTCATTTCTTTATAACACATTGTTTTATTTCAGAACGAACGTCCATCGACTGGTTTTGTTCATCCTTCCAGTATACAACCTCAAGGTTATCAACCATATCGTTTCGATTCGACTCATGCATCTCGCAGCACACCTGTCATGGATCACTCTACTCCACCACGTCACGAAGCTCAAATTATAACTGGTAAATCTTCCTTGTCCATCAATCTTCAAAAGCCAACGCACCCACCCATTCCACGACAATTCCTGCAATCGAATATCAACGGTACACAATCATTAAAACATCATCAAAACAAGTCACGTTCCCCGTATCCACCGACATTTTCTACTCCAACTGATCAATTTCCAATGCGTAGTCAAGCGATCGATTTTCCGATTAATGCATCTCAATCAAGCAGACCACCAGGCTATCCACCGAGAGCACGTGTTCATTTACAATTCGAAAATCCGGCCAATGTTTAAAATAAAACTAACTCAATATGTTTTACTACTAAGCTATTTTTCTATGCGTTCCTCTTTACTATATCCTAGATCAAATTTCTATGCGTGTGTTTTGGGATTGTGTCAGATATTCAGTTGGTTCGCTCTCTTTTTCTATTGTTTATACGTTCTGCTCGTTTTCTTTCTTCTCCATTGTCTTTGTTTTGTCTCTCTACACCATCATGTAAAGTAACCAAAGAGAATAAAAAAAGGAATGTACATGTTTATAATTACCACACATTTTGCTTTGAATAAAGAATGTCTTTTTCACATAAAATCAAGCAAAGCAATCACACTAATGGACACCTGGAAAGAACGAAGTTAAGTTCAAAAATACGATATTAGGAATGTCGTCAGGGTCGTATTATCTTATTAGCAATTGCAAAAGTGTATGAGAAACAATATTCATTTGTCATTGAAAAAAATCTCGTATCGAATACGAAATAGAAGTGTACGAATAACCTCTCATTTATTCAATACTTTTCACCATGAGCTTGATGTCATGTACGTTTCTTTTTTTTTCGTCTTGCTGTATTCAATTCGTTTACATATCTATTCGAATCATGACAAGTGCTATTTAACATAAACGATATGTCGAAAAAAATCGACTGATTATCGTTTATATACTGTCGCGACATTCGTTAAACGTTGCGTTTATTGCTGCTGATTTTGTCCTACGCTCTCCTTCATTATCAAATACGTGTTTGTCTAGAGATTCAGTCTAGATGTAAAAAGAAGATGTATTGAAGAAAATCAGGCGTACTGTGACGATTGATTTGACACACACAATCTTTATCTGATTTTGTTGTCGCGTCAAATAGACTCTGAGCAAATACTTCATACGTTCGTATTAACACGTACTTCATAGTTGATAGGACGGGTGAACTTGATTGAAAAGCAGCAGTTTGTAATCCTTTCTTCTTCTTTTGTCTGAATGACACGATCGTTCAAACGATGGATGATGCATACATACGTATAGAGAGTAATCAATTCATCACAATGAGATCATTGGTAAAAAGATATATCTACGCTTTTTTTTTAGATTTCTGTCTGTATTATGAACGTGATGGACATTCTTTTGTTACATTAATTGAGCAGCCATCCGTTCAAACAATAGTCCATGATCAATGGTCTGCTTTCTTTCTTTCCTCAGCCTTTTTCTCAATAACATTCAGCGTCCAGACAGACGATGTGTTGTCTACATCATATGATAGATTTTGTAACAAGCACATACCTCATCGATAGGTATATATAGATGTGGCAGATTACAGAGAAAATGTCATCGAAAAGCTTCGAACGTTTGCTGGAGAAGAATACATTCGTCAGCGGCCAATAGCCTTTACTTAGAATTATGAAATTTTTTATTAAGTCCAATCAGTCAATAAACTAAATCTTGCAAAAGACAATCCAAGTTATGCAATTGTGGATATACACATTCTCTTCAGTAGTCAATAAAGTTGACCCACTGTCTTTTTTCTTCTTCTTTTTTTATGAATATGTCTTGATGCTATTATTTGTCTCTACGCAATATAAAGGTAAAACAATCGAAGTTTAAGTCTCGAGATTACTCGGTATATTTTCATCATTGTTTAAGGTCGAAGAAAAGATTTTTGTATTTTGCTCTACTGCAAAGTCGGAATTCAGCTGAAATGCATAAGCAACAGCGATGTCATTTTAACATTATAGTGAATCAATACGTCAGCACGCTATGAGTACGTTATTAGATAATCGATTTCAATTACTGAAGTATTCTATCATGAGAAAGCAGCTGTTTTTGTTCAATTGAGTGTCGTCGTCTTTGCTATTAGATTTATTGCTTCGATGAAAGAGGAAGAAGTGATTTTTTTTCCCGAGAAGATGATAGACGAAAAACGGAGAGGAAAGCAGACGACAACAAAAAAGAGAAATAAAGTGAGAGTTCGCCGCCAATACCATACCACCGATGAAAGACGACGATCGACGTTTGGGTAGAAAAAAGGCATTATTTGAATGTGTGAAAGGACGTATTGTAATGGTAACTGCTAACGTCCAGAGGAAAAAAACGCGACACACACACATGTTCTAACATACGTTTGTTGTTCTCATTTTTTTGCTTCCTTTTTTTCTCTAGTCATTCTCTGCCTTTTCTCTTTTTTTCTAAAGCGGAAAAAAGTGAAGTATTCCTCATATCTTTTAAGTATTGCGACATTCATCATTGGCGCTAGTTGTCGAAGAAAGTAACGCGAAAAAAAGTATGGATTGTAATGCAATGATTGTCAGTTTTATTTGAAATTCAAAGCCATTGTAAAGCAAAACGACGATATTGTCATGCGACTTTTTCTTTAAAGTTTTATCGGCCTTTATTTAGTATTATGTTTCACTAACTTGCAGACAACCTTGATACTGCAAGTCGTCTGTTTTCTGTGTGCTGCTTCTGATGCCACTTGAGTCGGTGTTTTTACCTTGAGAGAAAAAGAAGTATAGTTATGTCAATATTTTTTTGTAATCAAACCACGTCTTTGTAAGTATGTTTCTCTCCAATACGTTAACTCACATCCACTTAGGAAATAATTTATTTTATAGAATGACAAGTTTTGTTTCTTTTGCGTTGTTTTTTAAGAAAAGAAAAGACGTTTTTTTTCTGGCTTAATTTTGCCAAAAAACGCGGTTAATGTGGGTAAATTCAATGAGGGGCGTGCGTCTATTGAGATATGAATCAATCAAATCTAATGAACATTTAAGTGTAGATGATACGAACAACTGTACCTCTTGTAAACATCAGGATTAGTAAAAAAAATCGATGTGTTGATTTAAAACATTCTGTTTTTCTTTTAGATCAAGTTAAAAATGATTTCTATTCAAATTAATATCACTTCTATTTTATAATCTGTATGTAAATGATTTCCTTCTTAGAGAAAATCGAGTCTCTAGTCATTTAAATCGATAAATCAAGATCAACACAAACTTTTTTTAAACGGTCAAGGCTACAAAATACAATTAAATAAACATCGTTCTTTTTCTTTCTCTTTCTCTCTCTCTATTTCGTTCTTATGCGTTGTATATGTGTACAAAGCTCAATATAGAGTGGTAATACCTGATTCATTATCAAGTATTATCTAAGGAAAGAACGCGACTTCATGGTGTGCAATTGTTTTCACTTGTGTGATTCTCATGTATAGAAGATACTAATGAATGAGAAACACTGTACTTTACTTTCTAAACAGTCTTCTCCACTGAAAGTTTCGTGCTTCGGAGATGAGAAAAGAAGCAGATTCGAAGGAAAGAGAGAGAGAAAGAGGAAATTAAAGTACATCTATTACCTCTTCTAGATAACATATTTCATCTGTCTTGTCAACATCCCGGTAAAAACTATTCCAAAATGTTAAAATCCTGTCAACTGGTATCTTCACCTCCGATCATTTATTTCTTTGTCTGTATTATTCTTTTCACAAAATCAGTTCGATGTTATACAACCACCATAATCAGTTTTGAATATTATACATCATCATCAAATTATCAAACTCGAATAGAAGATAGTCAAACAAATGGAATCGTGTCAACGAAAGGTAGTCAATTATCCGTCTCTTGGGGTCAAGCGTTCGCGTTAATCGATGCAGCTGGAAACTACGATGGATGCCAAGAAGCAATGTATCCTTCGAATTATTCAAATGGTATTGCGATCATTCAACGAGGTGGAAATTGTACATTCAGTGTTAAAATAACACGCGCAAAACAAAGCGGAGCAGCAGGTTAGACATATGAATATTCAAATGATGCATGCATTTCAAAGTTGTTCTTTTCTAGCTGTTATAATCTATGATCCACAAAATCCTGGTTTTGAAATGTATAATATGATTCACAATACTTCAAACATACTTTCTGTTTATGTTCAAAAACGCATCGGTTCCTCATTGTTCAGTTTAGCGAAAGATGTGCGTGCAAAATTGAATATCACCTTACAACCCACAAGCATGGACTACGATGATTACTCTCATGAAACTATTTGGTTTGGTTCGCAATCCGCAACTATATTTATAGCTGTGTCAATTTGTATATTAATATCGTTATGTATATCGTGGCTCGTGTTTTATTATTGTCAACGACATCGCGCGCGTACGGCAAAAGATCGATTACAAAATCGTTTATCGAATGCAGCAAAAAAAGCGCTGACGAAAATACCATTAGTTAACGTAACTGAAAATCCTCCGACAGAAGATTCATGTGTTATATGTTTAGATACAATAAAAACGGGTGATACAGTACGGCAATTAGGTAAGCATCTCTGATCAATATGAATAGTTTCTTGTCTCTCATCTCTTTTCGTCTTTTTCTCTTTAGTTTGTGGCCATTCATTTCATCATCATTGTGTCGATCCTTGGTTACTCAACCATCGACATTGTCCATTATGTAATCTCGATATACTTGCTGCATATCGTATATCATTACCATCGACAACAAATCGTCGTCGTCAATCAAATATCAATATGAATATAAATTCGAATGTATCTCTTGCGACAACATCTGCATTACCGATCGCTGAACAACAGACGAACGCGAACGTACCGACCATATCAGCGACTATCAAAGATGGATTCTATGACGTTCATATACATGGTGAACAAAATCCATCATTTCGATCAGATGAAAATTTGTCCTAAGTGTATCATGTGCTTGTTTCGTGTTTTATTTTTTATTTATTTCATGACAATGTTGGTTTTTGTTCGCGAAAAGAAAATCAAATCAAATCTCTTGCACTTTCACATGGCTCACTTCTTATCATTATGACCTCGTAGGTAGTGCTGGGTACACCGAGCAAGAAATCGAGAAATCCTTCTTAATAGGATAATCCTTTGTCATGTTCTTCTTTCATTCTCGTCAATATTACAAATGAAAATATCATGATTTCACCGTCTCGGACTTAGTTCGCATTACAGTCAATGTTCTTGAGTTTCTCAAAAGATAATTTTACATATTCTCGCTACTGGACTCCCTCTAAGGTTAGAGTAAAACGTCATTCTAATTAGAAAGAGTGCTTCTAACAGATATGACAACATTTTCACAATTGTGTTGTTTCATGCAAGCAGACAAACTGTCAATGTTAGCTTTTCTCCTCTATCGCAGACGTACAAGGTGAAGGAAATGTACACTGATCATTTTCATACAACCAAAATAACGTTCTGCTTGATTGATGAAGGGTACAAGCTTTTCCTGGTACAACCTAATTTCCCTTCTGCCATTAAGCATCACTATCACTGAGAAAAAAGGTTACACACGTATCATTCATGATCAGTCATGTGTGGGCGATATAGTTCAAACGGCTTACACCGACTTTTGTCGTTCTTGTGCTTTACTAACATCAAGCAATATCTAATCAAGTAGCTTTACATTTTTAATGAAGTCGGAAACCTATCAAATTCCGTCAAGGATATGCAATATTAAAGAAAATTCAACGAATGTACATGTTTTTCTGAATGAAATTAATTTGATTTTTTGTTAATTATTTATTTTCGATATGCTACTTTATTTCTTCTCAGCTGATAAACGTGGGAACGTTAAGAATAACAACATGATCACGGTTACCTTTTCCCCCATCGTCTAACGAATAGTTTTCTTCGGACATTTTTCTTCAGTATAAACGAAACAACTCGAAGTTTTTTTTTTGTAATATCTCAAACGCATATCTGAACTTGACGGTCAATAAAATATGTTCATGATTTCATAGCTCATCATCAAGAGAGATGACAAGTTGATAGTTAGTTCTCGTTTCAGAGATGATTTATGTGTTCTTCCTCATCCATGTCACTACTCTCTTTGACCTTATGTCTCAAGTTTTCGAAACAGCAGAGAGATTTTCTTCCGATTTCGTTAGCGATACTCGTTTGTACTTAAACTTGCTTGAACAACTTAGCGCACCCTGTGCCCAGGTTAAAAACCTTTTTTGGTGAAAATGTAATTAATTAACCACAAGACAGATGACAGTCATAGAAAATTAGCTGTGAAAAAGTACGTTTTTCAATTACATTTCCATTATTCATCAGATATAATCAAATTAGTTCGTTTTTCAAAAATACACTCGATTTTCCTTTGTGAGAAAAGAAAACGAATGAAATTTTCCAGGAGACTGACGAAATTGTTATATCAATCGTTTTAATCAACGATTCATCATTTAGTTCGATTAAGACAACTTCAATCGACGTGACATAAATGTTCATTAGTAGGTGTCACTCGCTGTATGTTAGAAAACGCAATATGTATAGGGACGAACACATTTTTTGTCTTTTTTTTTCTTCGACTTGTCATAATATATGTAAAATGTACGCCTATCTATTTTCATTATGACGTGTCAGTGAACGATCAATTGATGACAGATTGGATGTGGCCAAAAAAGCAATCATTTGAGCAGAGCACGTTGCAAAACCTCAAGTTACTCGTCCTATTTAATGATTTTTTTCCTACATGGTTATTATTATCAAAACGAGGAAAAAAAGAAGAATACAAATCAAGCGTGACTGTTGAAATAAGAAGAAATAGAATATGTCCATACATTTCTTATTGACACTTTTGTTCTGTAGCATTGGTCAAAGTTGAAAGTAAGAAAGAAGTCTATAATTAAATATACTTGTCGACATCGACGACGAGGACGACAGTAGAAAGTGAGAAATAGACATATATATCAATCATTGTTATCTAAGGTTGCTTCATAGTTCCCTCGTAGTCTTCGACACGAATTTGTTGACACCCATCCTTTCAGATCATTTGTTTGCCAAATACATCGACTATGAATCAATTAATAACTTATAATAATCCGAATGATGGGGTCACATCTCGACGGTACACCGCTTTTCCACTTAACTCAACTTTGATAAGTACATATACATCAGATACAATTCGTAGTATTATCAATCATGCCATTACGGGAAAACCTTACAGTAAGTTCTTTCGATGCACTCACACACTGCTACTATGTGAATTTATTTTAGCTACGGCTGTTTGGATTCGTATTAGTCGAGTTGGAATTCAAATCAAAGCACAAGATCCCCAAATTGCGCGTACACGTATACCAGTATTTATTCCTATTGCACATGTTCATGACATCTTTATGCAACCAAATATAAATAATGTGATTTGTATTGTTTATGAAGAAGTTAAATCGAATATGAAAGGTGTTCTTCTCTATGTCGTTCATCCATCCGATGCACATTTGATCCGCGATGATTTTCGGCATGTGAAACAATCATCATTCAGCAAAGGTGCTGAAAATCAAATTATGGTCGAAGCCAAATCACCTGATAACAAACAATTAGCATCTCCAACTTCGCAAAAATCCAACGAAATCTTTCGTAATGGCAAAACCAATCGACAACAGTCGCCGAAACGAATTTTATATGTACGTGACAGTGATATTAATGCAACGAGAGAGAAAACGCCGTCGTCAGCTCCTCCATTGCCTCAACTTAGTTATACACCGTTTAATAACAGTTATCATAGTAGTCGAGATGAAAGCGCAAACTATCGTCGACATAAGAGTCCACGCAAGAACAAAACAGGACATTCTTCAAGTAAAACGGCAAGCGATAGCGGAAGTAAACATCGACGTAAACATCGATCACGATCACCGCAGAAATCGGTTAAACCAAAAGTAGCTGAGGACACTGTCAGTCAAACATCACCGACAGAACTACAAGATCAACAAGTTCAACAGCGGCAGTCGCCGTCGCAGCAATCGCAACAGCAGCAGCAGCAGCAACAACAACAACAACAACAACAATTGCAACAACAGCAACTACAGCAGCAACAATTTCAGCAACAACAATTACTTTTTCAACAACAGCAAATAGCTGCATGGCAAGCTGCGCAACAAGCACCCGTTGTTCCAATGGGAATCTATAACCGGTAATGAGTCTATCCGATGCTACTGTCACCTATTTAGCTCATTTCTAACATACGTTTCTCTTTTCTCTTATAGCTATGTACCTAAAGTAATTCCGTTACCGACAGGCGAAAAAATCAAAACTACTCTTTCACCTTCGAATACCAATGGTATGATTGTTGCTCATATTGAACCACAACAAGCTTCTAATAGCGATGCATACAGTCAGTCGCCAACACGTTCTCGTTCGGTTTCACCGAAACGTCCCGATCAATCGTTCCGAAGTCGTCCACTGAGTGCGGAAAATGCTGAAGCATCAGCTATTCTTATCCAATCATCTCATCACCGTCATCATCATCATCGACGACATCAAATGAACGGACAGAGTCATTCAGTTTCCAAACCCGAAGCTAAACTCTATAATACAATCTCTCATCCATCTCGCATACGCTTAAAATATGGCCCACCAACGAATAATAACAATAATAATAATAATACCGAATCAGAAAGCGAAACCAAACAATACTTAAAACGTTTAATCGATGATATGCATGCAATGAAGGTAGAAATGAATAAAATGCGTTTGGCATCTTCATCCGTTGGAACTTCTCGTGGACGTTCAGATTCTTTACGACTGAATTTGAAGGAACTACGTAGTGATATTGACGCTATTCGTGCTCGAATGGCAATGACGCCGCGAGTTTATAATCCATAAATTCATTTTTGCTTTTGGTCTCATTTTTGTTTTTTATTTTAAAAAATTTTACAATGTCTAAGGAAGAAGAAAGATAAAGAATCATGCAGAAGAAATCTCTTACAGATCTAAAGGAAATAGGCAACTATATGGGGACTTGAAAACAAAGTTTTTCTTTTAGATTGATTGACCGATCAGTTCATTTACAGTTGAGTTATAACACCAGCGAGAACAAATGAAAGGAGGAAAATCGCTGCACTGATCTTTTCAAAGTTTTCAAAGCCTCGTCCAGTATCCCAAGCCTAAAAGAAATGAAATAAATGTTCAACGCTCTACTCGAAATCAATCGCTTACCAAATGACGAATACCGTTTAGTGCGTGATATGAAATCCTATAAAAGAAGAGGTGAAAACGTGAAATAGGAATGCTTCGATCTACTCACGGCCAAGCAATGAACAATTTCACTGAAAAGATGAACCAGCTTGGGATGTCCATTGAATAGATATAGTTTAAAATTTCTGTACTATGACCAGTAGCAAGAAACGCAAGTGGACCAGCAGTATATAACACTAAAATGTATAAGCTGCATTTGGTTTTGAAGAGAAGCGATGTTCGATATTCATACTTCCGTTCAACATCAAACCACTAATACGATGAAAGCCAGATGACCATACTTGAAAAGGAAATCTAAAAAGCGAATATTAGGTAAGAAAAATAAAATTGAACGTCCAATTACCGATAGATTTGTAAGTGTGGTGATATTGGTCGTTGGTATTTCTTCTCATTAGTTGCAACCCATTCAGCAGATTTCGCTCGATATTTAGCTACGTCTGGTGTAACAGTGCTGGAAGTAGCTTTTTGTTGACTATGTAATTCGAATCGATTAAAAAGAATTCAATATATAAAAAAACAAATGCATACGCTATTGCCAAAGGACCTGTACGAGTCAAGGCTCGTGTGAGTAATTGGCGATTAAGGTGAAAGAGAGTAATAGACATTATCAATCTAAAATAAAACAGTTGCCAATATTGATTATCGTCCGTCAATGATGAAATACAAAACGAGGGAATTATCATTTCTACATGAAAATAGGTTTTCTTTCCGAAGAAAAGTTTACTCATACAAGTCGTGCCCTAGATCACGGCTCCATACATGACAATGACAGAGAATCAGGTCTGTTTGTAACTTCGATTGATGCGATGACTATCATGTGGTATGTTTTGCGGTTATATCGAAACTCTATCGTCAAAGATCGAGTACCAGTGAACTTTTTGCATTTCCACTATTTAGAAACGTTTCGATTCGAGTCGTGTACTTTTTCTTGTAAATATCTGAGTCAAGTCAATAAAAGTCTTCTTATTCATTGGTTTTCGCAAAATCAATATACTCTATAGATGTCGTTGGCTTATTTCCTCGTGATATATGAGCGAGGAATCTTCAAAATAAATCTTCAAATAATATTTTCAGTCACAAATTTATTTTTAAACAAAAGAATTACATTTCTTCGGAAATAATTCTCTTTTTTGTAAACAAAGTTCAGCCAGTCAGTCATATCTCTTTGATCGGTCAAAGTGATTGGCTTGTTTATTTTTTTTTGTTATCCGTGAAATTTCATCTTCATCTTACATCTCATTTTCTTCGCCTTTTTATTTATTTCAGTGTATGGCTGTTCAGATTCAAACATTGTACATTGCAATTGAGTTTCAAAAAGTAAGATTTGTTCCTTGCGCGCTATTCCGTTGTTGTCTAATGTTCACAAGTCAATTTAGGAATAATAAATCTAGAATGGAAATTGATCCTAATGCACAATTTACGAACACGAGTCAACGTCTCGACCCATCACGTTGTGTGGATTTGATTGTACTTGGTATAAATTATCGATCGAATGAAGATGATGTCAGAAATTATTTTCAACAATTTGGAGAACTTGTCTTTTGTGAAGTGAGAAAACATTGTTGAGAGAGTAGGGTTTGTTTTGAAGAAGATTTTTCGATGTGTTACTAGATTAAACGTGATGCTCAAGGACAATCGCGTGGATTTGGTTTTGTTCGTTTTAAAGATTATGAATCACAATTAAATGCATTAAATAAACGTCATCATATTGATGGACGCACATGTGACTTGAAAATTCCAGATTCAAAGGTAAATTGAAAGCAAGATTTCATTCGTCTTATCAATCTGCATTCGTTTTCAGAATCCTGGTATGCATGAACCTGAATGTGCACGGAAAGTGTTTGTAGCACGCCTTCCAGGTAAGAGATATTGAGTGGAAATATAGTTGTTGATTCGAATTGTCGTGTAGAAATTGTTACTGCTGATGATCTCAATCAGTATTTCAAACGATTCGGAGAAGTGACTGATGTGTATATTCCTCGTCCATCAAGAAGTTTTGCTTTTGTTACTTTTCTTGAATCATCTATTGTTCCATCTCTGTACGGTGATCATTTCATCAATGGGTAAGAAGAAAGAGACAGAGAGAGAGGATTGATAAGAATATGAATGACTTCATTGTTGTCTTTTATTATAGATGCAGTGTACACGTTGGACCCGCGGAACCGAAAGGAAAACCGAGTGACAGCCAGTTTAAACGTTCTAAACCAGGTACGTACAGCTATTTTGAAATCTCTCGAAAGCAAGCATAATCTCATATGATTGATAAAACCAACTTCAGTTAGATCGGAGAAAGCTGTACCAATACTTTGACAGAGTGAAGTGAAATCAATATTGTTAAACTTTAGATCGTAATTTTCATAATGTTCGCTCGATACCACCTGGAAATCCTCACCATTACTCATCCTACTCTCAATACGGCGCAGGCAATACTATGATGCCCCATGGTGGCAATGGTGGCGGTGCTGCTGCTTCGAACAATCCTGATCAGCAGCAATTACTCTTGCAGCAAATGTTAAATCCGAATATGATGCAAGCATTCATTCAAGCCTTTCAACAGCAACAACAGCAGCAGCAACAACAACAACAACAACAACAGCAACAACAAGCAAATAAATATGATGCGAATAATTGGGCGACTGGTATTAATGAACAAGCAGCGAATGCATATAGTCATCATCATTATCAGAATGGTCCGACGGCGACTGGGAAATTCAATGAATTTAATAATGATCCATGGGGCCCACAACATCATACATATCGATGAAACTGTTGCGTTTCTGTGTGTTTCTCTCTCTCTTTCCTTATTTCGCTCTCGCTTTTCTTCTCTTCTTTTCTTGCGATCTCATTTTTTTGAGTAGCTGCAATAATACTCGCGCGTGTGTAAGTTTTCTCCTTTTTTTGCAGTGTGTGTGTGTGTCGTTAGTCTAACGAAAAAAAAGAATTTTGTGTTCATGTGTTCGACATTTTTCCTTTTTTAAAACGATCTGTTGTGCATTTGTGTGTGCGTATGCGTGTGTGCGTGTGTGTGTGTGTGGTGTTTGTTGCATAGACAATGTGATTTTCCTTTTCTTTTTTGGTATGTTTATATGGAAAAGAAGAACATGATTGAATTGATCTTCTAGATTTTAGATGGCTAGTAATACAGTATCAAACGATAGCGTCGGCAATGTGCCAGTATCACCTACGCTGAAAACAGCATTAGCAACAGTGAATAAACCAACAGCAATGAATAATGGTGAATCAACTGCGATGAATGATGATAGTAAAAAATGTTTTCCAGAAGATCGTGTTTCGAAAGATTACTATTTTGATTCTTATGCTCATTTGTAAGTGCAATGGAAATGGAGGAGATCAATCTAATCATATATTCTTCTAGTGGCATTCACGAAGAAATGCTTAAAGATGAAGTTCGAACATTAACTTATCGTAATGCAATGATCTACAATCGACACTTATTTAAAGACAAAGTTGTGCTTGATTTAGGTAGAGCATAGTCGTTCATAGTTGATAGAGATGATCGCTGATGTTGATTTCCTGTTTAGGCTGCGGAACGGGTATTTTAAGTATGTTCGCTGCAAAGGCCGGTGCTAAACGTGTTATCGGTATTGATATGTCGTCAATTGTTGGTTATGCACAAGAAATCATTGCTAGTAATAATCTAAGTTCAGTCATCACATTGATCCGAGGCAAAATCGAAGAAGTCGAATTACCTGATGGTATCACTGAAGTCGATATTATCGTCAGTGAATGGATGGGCTATTGTTTACTGTATGAATCCATGCTTAATTCGATATTATACGCTCGAGATAAATGGTTAAACAAACAACATGGTCTTTTATTCCCAGATAAATGTCAAATTTATATCTGTGGTATTGAAGATAAGAAATATCGCGATGAAAAAATCAACTGGTGGTAAGTAATATGCAAATAATATTCAAGCTGGTGTTCGAGATGATTATCTTTCCTATAATGTTAAACTCACCGCTTGTTCTTAAATATTCTAAGAACGTATTATTGAAATGTTTTTCGTCTGTTTTCAGGTACAATGTGTATGGTTTTGATATGAGTTGTATTCGTAAAGTAGCCATTAAAGAACCGCTCGTCGATAGTGTTGACAATCGCCAAGTCATGACCACACACTACATGTTAAAAGAATTCGATTTACAAACAGTTCGTGTCGAAGATCTTGCATTTACTGCCAATTTCTCACTTGATGCCATACGCAATGATTACATTCACGCACTTGTGGCATATTTCACCGTGGAGTTCAGTAAATGTCATAAGTATTGTGGATTCTCAACCGGTCCTGATGCCCCGTACACACATTGGAAGCAAACTTTGTTTTATTTTGATCACGATGAAGAAGATATTATGTTGCATAAAGGTGAAAAAATATCCGGTAAATTATCATTACGACCCAATCCGAAGAACGATCGTGATTTGGATTTTGATATTGATTTTGTTGCTCGAGGACAAAATACTCAAACCAAATACCATGGTGAATATCGTATGCATTGAAAGTTCCCAACAAATTTATCAAAGACAAATAAACACATATAAATCCGATTTGAAGCCTAGTCAGACATTCATCTGAACATGAACTAAGACAAATTTGTTGTTTTTTTGTTTTTGTTCTTGTTTCTTTCTAATTATGCTCGACAGTATAACTTCTGATTCGAATGTGTTTTGTTCAGAAGAGAAAAACAAGCAGAAGAATACATAAAATCCTCGTTATTATATTTTGTTTTTTGAGATTATTGAAAAGAAAAAGAAAGAACAATGATTCGAACATTTGTTAGACACTTAACAACAAAAGTACCATTTCAGCCCAAACCATTAGCGCCGCGAAAACCGAAAGCATCCATGGATTTTGTAAGTAATCAATGGATATACAATGCATGTCTAGAAACTACTTCATCTAGGATAATGAATTTCAAGATGAAGTTGAAGTTCGACTAGTGGCGGGAAAAGGCGGTGATGGAAGAGCGACATTTTCCAAAACATTTCAGAACGAATTTGGTGGAGCTAACGGAGGAGACGGTGGCAACGGTGCCCACATTATCTTTCAAGGTAAAACATACCAGACAATAGAACCCTTCTCTTGAATCACAAGTGAGGCGAAAAGCAATACAATATCTTCTAGTCATAACAATTGTTAGAAGCCATACTGATGATTGAACAAACAGAAAAATCACTTGTCTGTTGGAGATTCGAGAGTGTTTTTTTAAATGAAATCATCGCCAATGAAGACAATAGAATTTTGATAAAGTTGTTTGGTCGTTTAGCGTCAAAACATGTGACGTCATTGAATAATATTCGAAAATTGTATATTGCCGATAGTGGAGCACCGGGCGAAGCAAATTTCAAAAAGGGCACATCAGCTGAACATTCGATAATTCCGGTAAATATGAAGTAAACAATTTCGATCGGTTTCGTATTTCCTATGCTGTTTCCTAGGTGCCTGTCGGAACCATAGTGAAGAAAATGAATGGAAAGACTGTTTGTGAATTACGAAAACATGAACAGAAGTTTATCGCAGCACGGGGAGGTTTAGGTGAGATGATCGAATTGCGGTAAGCATGTCTGTAGAGAAGACATGTTATTCGTGATGTTTTTTCAACTTGATTTTGTTTTTCTAGGTGGAAAAGGAAATTATTACTTTCTATCAAATATGAATCGAGCACCAACGGAATACGAATTAGGTGCGAATGGTGACAAAAAGAAGTATAAACTTGAACTCCAACTGATCGCGCATTTTGGTTTAGTAAGTTTCTTCACATCAATGTTCGTATTACTAATTCTTTGTTTTTGTAGCTTGGCTTTCCTAATGCTGGTAAAAGCAGTCTCTTACGAACGATTTCTCGAGCACGACCTATCGTGGGCGATTATGAATTCACCACACGTCAACCACAACTCGGTTCAATCGAATACGATGATTTCATTCAAATTCATGGTTTGACTTTGTCTTTCTTTCACACTCAAACATGAATCGATTCTTTTTTGCATGGAATTTCATAGTGGCCGACATTCCTGGTATTGTCCCCGGTGCTTGTAAAGAAGAACAAGGTTTAGGCAGCCGATTTCTACGTCATATCGAGCGATGCTTAGCATTACTTCTCATTATCGATATGAGTGTTGAACGTCCATGGGAACAATACGATCTGTTGATGAATGAATTACGTGAATATAGAACTGATTTGACACAGAAAAAAATAACCGTTCTTGGAAATAAAATGGATGATGCGGACGCAAAGCTACAACTGGAAAAAACTCGACAATACATTCCTTATCCGTTGATACCAATCTCAACCGTGGAAAAAATAAATATCGATAAGTTGTTGTTTTATCTAAGAAAACAATATGATGAATTGATTACTGATGAATGGCGTGAAAGAATATAATAAATAGTATATAAAATGTTGTTGTTTTTTATTCTGTCGATTGACTGAGACAGCGCAATCAACACGAGAATACTTCGGTTGAGAATTAGTCGTGTAAGAGACTGTCTTCCGATGGTAATTGAAACCAATCGATTTCGGGTATACCAGCAGCTTTCAGATAAACATTAGCTTGAGAAAAATGCTGAAAAGAAGCAATAAAATTCGGTAGACAAAAAGATTGTCGAGGACATTTCGACATACTTTACAGCCTAGGAAACCTCTACTGGCTGATAGCGGTGATGGATGTGGAGCGGTTAATATATAGTGACGCGTCTGAAAAGCAAGAGTGCATAGTGTGTGTTAGAGACTAGATTTTGTTTTACTTTGTCGATTTGTGCTGCTTTCATCTGAGCATCGCGACCCCAGAGTAAGAAAACAATATTTGATGATTGATGATTGAAATATCGAATGATACTATCCTAGAAAATGAATATTTCTGCCTAAAAACTTCACAAAAGATAATAACATACCGTAAATATCTCCCATCCTTTGTTTTTATGAGAATTGGCTCGATTTTCTTCTACCGTCAAGCAAGTATTCAACAATAAAACACCTTGTCTCGCCCAGCCAAACAATGTGCCATGTTTTGGAATAATAAAATTCGATAAGTCATTTTGCACTTCTTTGAATATATTTTGTAAGCTAAACTTGTATTCAAGATGAAGAGAACGAAAAGTCACGGACAAACCTCGGTGGAATCGGAACGTTCTTTGGAACGGAAAAGCTGAGGCCATGTGCTTGATTAGGTTGATGATATGGATCTTGTCCAAGAATAACAACTTTCACTTCATTTGGTTTACACAATCGTGTAAATGTAAAGACTTGCTGCAACGGAGGATAAATAGTCACACGTGTCTCTCGTTGATCAGCAATGAATTCAATCAACTATTCAAACAATGAAGAGTATTTCATAATAAACCAAGATTCATGTATCATACTTTTTTGAAGTACTCTTTCGAAAATTCGTTTTCTAATATTTTGTACCATGAGATATCGATACTGTCCAACAATTCATGTGTTACTAATCTTTGTTCTGACAATCTTCTGTCTTTAGTTTTCGAACGTGACGCCAATACCACTGTTCGTGCTAACTGTCTATTCAGAATGCACTTAAAGAACATTCTGTTGGTCTATGTACTGTGGCGATCTATTCCTTAGGTTAAACAAAAGTGACTTCGATTGGCTCGTTCGATTCAAATGATATGATAGATGACAGAAGACGTTTCCGAAAGAACTACCGGTCAGTCAGTCATGTTGACTGGTGGCTAACTTGTTTGTGTGTTTCGCTCTTTTTCGGATACACAAATCCATTCTTATGATACCATCTATTATTATCATCAAACAAAAGGATCACCAACACGCCAGACGAACGAAGTAACTTCAATTAACGACGTTTTCAGAATGAATGAAATCATACATACGTGTTCGTCAATGCTGACAATTGTTTGTCAACCGTCTGCTTCGCCTTCTAAACCAGATGTCGTTAGTCTGTGTTATCAACTAATCCGATTATTGTGAATATGTCAAATCATAAATCAATCCGTTTTCGCGTTATATTTACAATTTGTAAAAACTACACTGATAACACTTTATCTTTGTCAATAGGTGTACACACACACACTTGTGATCTATTTATTCAATGACATAGCTTGATCTAATTCGGCAAAATGTTCCAATCGAAACGAAATTCATAGGAAAAACTTCATAATTGAATCTGAAAATGATTTTCGAGAAATCTTTGGCAAGCGAAAAATAGTTTTTGTTCAATGTTCAATCGGTGACTTTTGACATCGATCTGTGTTGGTTGCTAAGCAACACGTTCATTGCGAAATTGGACATGGCAATCAATCGTGTTCTTCGATCTTTAATCTGCGGTTACTTATTCTTGTTTTTGATGTTTTCTTCTTCGTCGTGGAGTGTTTAATTGAAAGATTTCTTGAGGCAGTCAGCTAATTCACATCACATTCAAATCAATCATCGAGTCGAATTCGATTTCTTCTATTTATTTACTCCATTCTCAGACTTTTTTTTTAGATTAAAACACTTTTGATTATTATTATTATTATTATTTTGTAAGTACAGTATTTTTCTTTTTCTTTAATCGATGAACCGAGATGGGAAATGATAGAAGTCACTTTTGCATGTAACAATGATCTATGAGATTTGAAATCGTTTCCTTTTTCTAAGTATACAATCATTTGATCTCAGATTTCATCAAACGTTGATTTTATCCATGGTAATCGAAGTTTACCTTCGTGCATATATGAATATCTATTGTTATTCTTAAATATCCCTGAACAAAACATCGCAATGTATACGGTTTATTAACGAAAAAGAAACAAATTTCAAGTAGGAGAATAAAAAAAACGCCGAGCTCTTTTTCTTCAATCACTCTCTCCGTCGCTCTGATACATTACAAAAAAAAAGAAATGATAATTTCGGTAGAAGCCATTACATATCATCGACCGAGCGAACGTACTTGATTCAAAACTGTATGTTGTTTATCTTTCATTTTAACAAGCACATTCGTTTGTTAAAAAAAAGAGAATATGACGAGAGAACCTTGAAAAAACAAAAAAAAGGGACTAAAATGTGTGACATATTTAATCAAACTTCATTAACTAATTTTCGGTTTTCTTAATGAAATCGATCCAAAGTGAGAGATGACAAAGTCCGATTTGTAAATCTTGGACTCGGAGATATCTGAGCTGCACAAGTTCAAAAGCATGCGACTAGAATTTCAAGTAATGTTAACGAGTATGTTAGATAAACATCGAAGAGTCATTTCGACGCGTATAATCGATTTTAGTTCACGATTAATCAGAAAAGAAAAACGAAACGAACAGAAAGAAGCAGAGAAGTTTGATGCTTGATCCTTTCTCGTTTAATACAACTATACAAAAGACTATTCGATGAATGCTTTATCCTATCACTTACAAAAAAGTATACAGGTAAGAATGCGACCCGCTTTGATTACGACAGTTCGTTGTAGACGCGAAGAGTATGCTTTATTCGGGCATATTTCGAGAAATCAATCAAACATTTCTGTAGATTCTTCTCGTACCATTGAGACATATGCCAACACAAAGAAGATCAGCATAGGTTTTCATAGTTTACTCCTCGATTATAAACAAATAATGAGAAACTTTTTCTTATTACTTTTTTTTTCTTTTTCTAGTCTCTTCAAGAATTTCTCGATTTCTTTCCGCCTTCTTTTTTTCCATTCATTATGTATTTGTTCTTGTCGATACTCTAGTCAGAACGGAGTTAGTCACACCTCAGTTAATTATTCAGGCAAATTTGCATGGCGGATGATGATATTGTTCAATCGATCGTTGTAGGTATAGGGTTCTTGGTGTAGAGACAATTCGATTTTTCTCAACAGTTTGTCAAGAGCAAAGACAAATAAACTTCGTTTTCTTTTTCAGCGCTTGGAAGAAGTTCTTTCTCATGATGATCACGACATCGACGACAATCGTTTAGCTCGTCTTAACACTTCACCCTTGACGCAATCTCACTCGCCACGTAGTACTTCAAATCACAGATCCAATCGCAATCTCATGGCGACATCCAATCCTACTCAACTAGTCGAGGAGAATCGTTATCTTAACGATGAATTGAATCGTGTGGAGACAATGCTGAATCTTACTCGTGCTGAAAAAGATGAACTGAGTATTCGTTACAATGCCCTCTCCGATCGAGTAAGAATTTATAAATGAATTTGTTTTATTATTTCAAAAATTTGGTCAAACAAAAATAAAACAATGGCCGTGTCTCTTCACAACTCGAATAAAAACGTTTTTTTCCAAACAATAGAATGTTTTTTTTTTATTAAAAGAATGAAGAGATTTGAATTCATTGGAGTTTGCGTTTCATTTAGCTCGAACAAGCATTACGGGCGCAAGGTGTAGACATCGGAGCAGAAATGATGAGCAGCGACTCCGAACAACACATTCTGGTTCAACAGAATATTGAATTGAGACGAAAGCTTGAAGAGGAACATCAGAATTACAAACGAAAACTATCGAACTATCAAGAAGGACAACTGAAACAAGCGGAATTAGTGCAAAAACTTCAACAAAAAGTAAATCAAACGATGATCATCCGTAACTTTCAAATTCCTTCTTTCGCAGGTTTTGCAATATAAAAGTCGATGTACGGAATTAGAATTACTGATCGAACAGCACCAAGCCGACATGGATCGCCTTCGACAAACAGTAAGTATCAATATTTACATAAAGAAAAACTTTCTTCTATTCATCTGTAACTAGACAACTAGTCAACGTCCATCATCGCGAACAACAACAATAAATTATGAATCTCACACAATAGAAAACGAAGAAGACCAAGATATGACAACAATGACACTTGAAAGTGAAAAGCAAAAGTAAGTGATATTGGTTTTATATTTGAAGAAAAAAAAAGGAAATGAGATTTTGAAATCTTGTTGTCAATTAGCAATGCTAAATTGTTGACGAGACAAAGAGAAGACCAACGTGATTTTGTGGTTTAGCATGATTTGCTATTTAATACTCACCGTTGGCCTTGATAGCAGCTTCTAAAACACTGAAGATGATGTTTGATTGACGGAATTTCTTTTGATATTGTAGAAGTATCAATTTGACCCAATTGAACACAGTCTTACGAGATCAGATCGATCAAGCTCATTTAGCTAATCAACAATTGAGTGAAGAACTACGTCGAGTCACCGTTGAATTGAATCAAGTTCGTGACGAATATACTCAAAAAACACGCGATTGGAAAGAAGAAGAACGGGTTTGTTCGCCGTGCAAATTCATTATCCTTTCATAAATTGAACGTCTCTTCAGGTTTTCAACCAATATTACAATAAAGAACATAACTTGATGTACGAGTTATGGCGTGATATCGTTTCGTTTCGTAAACAATTCACTGAATTAAAAGGCACAACTGAACGTGATTTGATGCGTGTTCGCAATGATCTTGCTCAAACGGGCCGTTCGTTAACAAGTGCTTGTTTCGGGTTCTTGACAACCTCGAAAGCAGCTGAAACTCAGGGACAGGTTAGATTGAGTTGTAGAATGTTTCTTCATTTCGTTTCACAATCCGATATATTTCAACAGGCGGCCATAGAACGCGAACGCAATGATCGCACAAATCTAGAAAGTCAAATTCGTGAAAAATCACGCGAAATTGCTGACTTGAAACAAAAGTATGTCTGACTTGTTCTTTTAACTCGATGAATCATCTGATTATCTTCGAATAATTTAGATCACAAGATTTAGCGGAATTGAATGAAAAACTACGCCTTCAATTAGCAGAAAAAGATGGCACTATCAATACTCTAGCACGTGCTAAACAAACACATCAACAAGCAACGGTTTGTCTCGTTTCTCCTATCGAAATTCCGATCGAAAGAAAGAAGCTTGTTAAGTTCGCGTAATCTTGCATGAAAACCTTAGAAAATCTCCTTCTCAATAAAGTTACAACAAACTAGTCAATATGTAAAAGAAATCTCGTCCTTGATTAGTACTTAGCTTAGGACACTTTTTTCCATCTGCTACTTAACCTGAATCGCAATTCGTAACATCGAGAGCAGAAGAAGAAAAAAAAACTTGTCTGAAGTAATGTTCGAACAAGACGACGATAAGTCAAATAATTGTGACATTCGTTGATTTCATTAATTCTGTACATTAAAATCACTCTTTGATTTACATAATCAATAACTGCGGATGACTGTTAAACAATTTAAGTACTGCCTGCATTATATAATGAGTTCTTATCATCGATAGAACGCTTCAGGCAAGAGGGTGACTGTGTGTGTGTGTGTGCTCGGCCTGATATTTCATCTAAGAGAGAATATGGTTTTGTTATTTATTCGTTTGTTTAGCAAACCGATCGGTTCGTTCTTTAGTTAAATAGAAAGGTTATTTAAGAAAACTGATCAATGATATACATAGTTTTTCAAATCTTGTTGAATGTTAATTATAAAATAGAATTTTTTACGGTATTTAAAGTGGTTTTTATTGTCTAAATGATTGTTGTTTTATAACTTATGGCTTGAATAAGAAAAATACATGTGATTTCAATTGCTTCTCATTATGACTAGACTAACATACAATCTTGTAAGTTGGACTATTACCATATATAAAGCAATCATTGAGATACCTTATAATATCGATACAATGTAGAAGAATAAACTTCAGAGTGAAGGAAGAACATTTTCTGCAAACTTCCGAACGTATTCCGATGAAATTTGACGTGTCGAGCAGTTCATTTTTCGTTTCTTGCCAATGCCAATGTTTCGATGGCTAATTGTTTGATTTCAAACTTGATTTTCAGAATCAACAAACGACGCTTTTGTTGAAACAGAAGAGGCAAACGTTCGGCTTGAGAATTTCGAGCAGTACAAAATGACTTTCACATGCTCGATTGAAATTTTGCAGCGCATTTTTTCGAATTCATAGTCGTCACAACTCAAAAACAACATTTCATTACCAGAAGAAAGAATTGATTGTGTCTACTGGAGAAGTTTTTCTTCAGCTTCTCTGCTGTTTTGTTTATTGACTGCGCAGTATTCTTTACTAATCTACATATCAGTCAATTTAAATCACTGGAGAAACGATTGATCGCGAGAAGAGAAGAAAAAATCGAGAATAGAGACTGACAGAGAGAAAAAAGAAGGTATTTTGATCAGAGAAACCTCCTAATATATTACATAGCAGAGGACGCGATTATTTACTCTGCGGCATTAGTGACGACTGTGCTGGAAAGAAAATCAAACAACAACTGGTAGCATTAGTTGTCGATCTGTGATTGTTTGCGGCTGATTCCCCGTAAAGATGTTGCAACGTAGTGCGGTTGCGAAGGTGAGTGTATAATCTATACACAACTCAATCTATTTATCTTTTTTCCTCTCTCACTGCCTCATTTACCTTGTAATCAAATCTTTTTTTTTATTGTTTCCTCACCGTTTATTCATTTAATCTTTTGATAGTCGGTTTTAAACGATGTAAAAATCGATTAAGTACATCGTGCTTAATCGGAATTCTATGACGACTCTGACTACCGGTCTTGATCGGTACCGATTTTCTGAAAATACGGTAACGAAACACATGAACGAATAAAAGAGTGAAATAGACAATCACTATGGCGAATGACAAGAAAATGAATGGAACTTGATACTGATTCAATGTGGAGTTGTCCGATTCGCCCTTAGTGGTCACTAAGTAGAGAAGAGATATAAATAGTACCGAGAGTTGCTTCATCATTAGTATTAGCACTTGAAAAATTTGATAGCAATATTGTCAGACACTTGTAATTGAAGAATAACACCGACGAACGCCGCCTGCCAACGATCTCATCTTGCTCATTAGAAGCAACAGTACGAACAACATAAGTTAAAATCGAATCTGTGTTTAAAACCGCAGACTGACAACTGTGCTTGTTGTTAGAAACCAACTAGACCTTTGAAGAGCAAAAGTTGTTTACAAAACTTGCTCAAATTTCTATTTTGACGGATCTTCTTCGTCTAATTTGAATGCAACTCTGATAGTTAGTGAGAAAAGTATAAGTAGAAGAATTTGCGAAATGAAATAAGATGCTGGTGGTGATGTTTGATGGTATTCTTTCTTTTCTTTCTTTTTTTTTGTTAAAACTATTTTATAGAGAGAAAAAAAGAGCAAACGAGTGGGAAAGAAGGGAGACAAAGTAAGTGAGAGAGAGAGAGGGAGAAAGCGAAGAAAAATTCTCTTCATCGTCGTCATGCCGTGTGCATAAGTACTACCGCCTTCAACATCAATTCTTCTCTTTTCTTCTTCTCGTGTTTCGTTTTCATTCATTCATCAAAATTGTTGATTTGATTTGCGGTTCTTGTCTGACCACCATCATTATGTATCGACGAACACAGGTATGCAAAAAAACTCAATACAAATCTCATCATCAGAGTTCTTTGTATGACTGTTGCGCGTTCGAGTCACAACGGAAATGCGTGGTCAACTATATAAAAGAAAATTACTAGAGAAACAAGCTAAGCTATTTTGTTCATTGTTCTTGCAAGCACTTCTGAACTTCTTCAAGTTTCTTTTCCTTTCTTTTTCCTCTGTACATTTCTCTGTCAAATGACCACATATTGCTATCGGGTTCGTTGATTAATTATGGATCAGAATCGATGAATACCTATATCTAAAGTGCCGTTTTCTTTTCTTCTTTTCTAGGAAAGCTCTTCTTCGACTCTTGAGACACGTACAAGAGAAATCAATGGTGATACCGAACGACTCCATCAACGTTTACGTGACATAGCACAAGCAGTGCTCAATGATGAAGATGACCGATATGATGGACATGATGCAGGCAGATCATCGCCTCGACGTTTATCACCTGTTCGAGGTGGTGCCGGTGGCACTGATCGATTCGAATCACCTGATCGAGGTTACAGTCGGTATGTCATTGAAATTCACGTTTGTTTTACTTACGCGAGAAGATAGACGAAATAAGCATTCCATGTAACACTTTCACATACTCTAACTATTCGAATTCTCCTTCTTCCTCAAGCTGAAAAAAATGGCAAGAAAGCTTTTAAAATAGAAAGAAGAAGTTGCTCCCAAAGAACCTATTTACAAATTACTTTTCTCTTCTTTTCTATTTTTCGTGATCAACGTAGGAGACATTATATTGTTAGTTTTGATTTTGAACAGACATCATCGAACGGTTTCTCGTAGTTAATTTAACTGAGAAAAAACGAGCGAGAAGGGTGAGAGAGAATTCGAAACAGAAAAAGTGTGATGTTTTAAAATAAATTTTCTTCAAGGCTTTCTGACGAAAGAGAAATAGAACAACAAAAATTAAAAGAACCTTGACGAAAATTGTGCTTAAGAAATTGATCTACTTGAAAAAAAAACGGCAATTCATCATATTAGTTTATAAAAAAAAAGAGATTTGACTTCCAAGACAAAAGATGAACTTTTGCGTCATTGTTATCTATGTCAGTTGATCTTCTATGAAAACATCAAGGTTACTTTTCCTTCGATGACGGACATGATAATAACTGTCGGAATGTTGAACTGCATTGTTAAATGAGTTAGAAAGATTAATAGAATTCTTTTCATTGACCTTGAATGAATCAAGACTTTTTTCTTTTTCTTCTTCGTCACTCTTCATGGTTACATATACAGTTTTAATTTATTAAGAGCGTAATGTTATTTTTAAAAATTTGTTTGTTCAATGGCAAATAGTATCCTGATTTGCATCGACATGATCAATATTTCATAAAGTATTTACAATGTAACGTTCAGCTGAGGTTTTCTTTCACCGCTATGAGTAGATTGAGGTGTTCAATTATTTGCTAAAAGGTCCAATATTCTTTCATTGATAAACTAATGACGACTTTTTTTAAAATTTAGTATTCGTTCACCACGATCTCGCTCACCTCAACGTGCGACTCAAGCCTCTCGACCACATTCCCGTAATGTTTCACCATCGTATGGCGACAGTACATTCAGTGCTGTTCATGCTGCTTTGAACAAACGTCAAGTCCAGGTACAGCATCTCTCTGCTCCTCTTCGTAGTCACCTTTGTATTAGATCATATATTGTTAACAAACTAAAACTATCAAACTTTTCCTTCCATCGTCCGTTTAGATTCCACTTCGTTGGAAACCTAATAATTATCTGATCAGAAGAGGAGGAGTACTTTTCTAAACCGACGCACACTAAACAAACTAAACTATGTACAATTGAAGTTTTACTCTATTTTTCGCTTTGAATACATTCAGGGGTCCCATATTATTTATTCATTGTCATGCCATGCCTTGCCAATGATTCGGTTTTTCCTCTAATCTTTGTCTACTACTATGTTTTCCTGTTCTGAAATAGTTTAATAATCAATAAAGACACAACCTTGAGACTTGCAAACAGATCGAATTCCATTTCCAATATGATTATTTTTGTTAAATATAGGTGCATGATTTACAAACCAAGTTAGATGGGGCACGGGAAGCAAATCAACAATTGAAGGATCAATTGAATCAAAGCGATGCTGAACGACGACAATTGGATCAAAAAGCGGCTTCGTATAAACTACAAATCGAGGAGCTACGAAGACAATTTGATGATACCGCGAACGAACGTGATCGATCGAAATCAGCGTTGGAAACATCGAATTTTGAACGGACAAATATGGAAAAAATTCGTCTGGTAAATTATTCTCACTCTCTCTCTTTGAGATCTTCTTAATGAATTTAACTCTTCCAGACATTGAATTCACAAATCGATTCATTACGTGCTGATTGCGATCGTTTACAACAAGCGAATACGGATATTCAACGTCAACGCGATATTCTCGAAGAAGAAAAAGAAGATTTATTCAAAGATAAAATTCGTCAAGTGAAAGAGAACGAACGTTGTATAAAAATCATCGAAAATCTCGAGAATAAAATCTCGCAATTGAAACAAGATGTCACAGAATTACGCGAGCAATACCACAAAGAAAAACTAGCCAAAGATGTTCTCACACAAGAAAAACTTGTTCTTTGTAAGTTTGATGATTTTTTTTCCGAAAGATTAGTCATTGGGAAATGTTTAGCTGATGCACTTTCACGATCTGAATCTTATCGCGCTGAAGTCGAACTCGAGATCAGCAAAGAACGAAGCGAAAGTGCAGCTTTACGAGATCTTCTTTGTAAAGTTCAAGCACTTAACGAAGGTTTGGCTCAGGATAAAATTGAATTGAATAAGATCATCCTTTTGGTAAGGCAACGATAGTTTCATTTCGAAATATTTCGCTTTTTTCCTCAAAAATGTAGGTCGAACAAGAAAAGAATGCGATTCACAACGAAAAATCTGATGTTGAACTTGACAAATCCACACTCCGACAAGTAATGAACTTCATAGGACTGTATTCGATTCATGAGAATTATTCTTTAGGAATTGGTCAAAGTTGAACAAGAAAAAATCGATGTGGAGAACGAACGTGATAGTAAGTATTTCGTCTGGAGAAATCCTTCATGTAAACATGTAATCTCTCGATTTTAGCCATTCATCATCGCCTTCAATTAACAGAAGTTAGTCGTCAACAAATTGAAGAAGAATTAAGCATTGTTAACAAAGAAAAAGCTGAAATCATCGAACAATTCCAACATGTAAGATGTGAATTCTTACGAATGTACACATGGAAATTCTTCTGCTCTAGATGACACGATTGAAAAATACATTAGCTGAAGATTTGATCGCTGCGAAGAAAGATATCCAACGATTGAGCGATCATAATCTACGGTTGAATAAAGAAAAAGAAGACTTAACGAAAGAACGTGGTAATCTCGTTGTTGACTTAACCGGCTCCGAGCGTGACAATCAAACATTGAATTCAGTACGTTCTTTTTTCTTCTAACATTTTCCAAAATGAAAGTTTTCTTTTTTCTTCTAGACAATCAGTGCCTTACGTGCTGAGTACGTAGAAAAATCCGAGACAAATCATACATTTGTGTATGTATTTCGTTTCTTCTAGGAAAGAAGCTTTAGAAACCAGTCTGTACGAAGCGCAAAGTACCGTCAGTCAACTCGAAGTTCGTAAAGAACAATTGGAAGGTGAGAATCAAGAATTACTTCTTCGCAAAGAACAATTACAAAATGAGATACAACGACTTCATTTGGAATTGAATGGTGAAATTGAGAAATCAGCTCGTACTCGTGATCAATTACAGCAACGATTAACTCAACTCGAACAAGATAAAGAATCAGCTATTCGACAACATCATCAAGCTCATGAAGATGATGTTGAACGTATGACACGTGAACGAGAGAAACTTCGTCAGGAACTGGAAGCTGGTCGAGAAGAAATCATTCGACAACTGTCACGTGAAAAGGATGAATTAATTCAAAAATACGAAAAAGAAAAAGAAGATCTACATTATGAATTGGCGAACATTGTGACCGAACGTGATCAAGCATTAATCGAAGCAGAAAACGAAAAACAGAAGGTAAATTCATTTTTCTTCCTCATACATGATCATTCGTTTGTCTTCTAGCTTCTTTCGATTGCCCAATCAGAACGAAATGCCTTAGCGGAAAAACTATCGTTAACGAAAGATGATTTATTACGTTTACAAGTTGAATTCGACAAAGTTCGACGTGACGCTGCTTTACGTAACGAACAAGATCGTCAAGTGATTGGCTCTTTACAAGATGAACTGAAGAGATTCCAAGTGAAATTCGAAGATACTGCACTTGCTAATGATCGTGATATCAAAGCTTTAACTTCTGATATTGAACAATTGCGTCAACAAAAACAATTGCAAACCCATGAGAATTTCGAATTGAAAACTCAATTGAAATTGACTGAAGATAGTCGTGATCAATTAAAACGTGATTTGATAGAAAGTAATCGACGTGTTCGCGAATACGAAGAGAACTTGACTGTTCAACGAAAAGAAATTCAGGATCTGAAGCGCTACTTACAAGATGAACAACGAGACAAAGAATTAGCATTACGTTCAGGTGACGATCTTCGTACGAAATTGAAGAGTGTCGAAAATGAGAAGATCGATCTTCGACAATTATTCGAAGAAGCCAAACAACGGATTATCGGTATTGTATACAAGAAAAGCTCCTTTCCAGTAATGAAAAGTG